AGCTCTTCACGCCCCTCAAAATTGGCAATGGCACTCTCACCCTCTCCCACCGCATCGTGCTCGCGCCCCTAACCCGCAACCGTGGCGTCCCCTTAAATCCCAACGCACCGTCCTCAGCCCCGAACAGAACCTGGTACCCAGACTCCCTAGTAACGGAATACTACACGCAGCGTACAACACCCGGCGGACTCCTCATCACAGAAGGCCTCCCTCCCTCCCTCGAAAGCAACGGCATGCCTGGCGTCCCCGGTCTGTGGTGTGCGGAACAAGTCGCGGGCTGGAAAGCCGTCGTGGAAGCTGTCCATGCAAAGGGCGGATATATATACGCACAACTGTGGAATGCGGGCCGCGCGTCTGTACCGCAGCATACCGGTATGCCTACGATCTCTGCCGCAGCAACACCCTATGATGGCGACGAGGTATATCCGTATCCGCCGCCGGGCAGTAGTGCGCAGGTCCGGTATGCGGATTTCCCGCCCACGGAACTGAGTCATGCGGGGATTTCCAAGCAGATTGCAGATTATGTCAATGCTGCTAAGTTGGCGGTACAGGAGTGCGGGTTTGATGGCGTGGAGTTGCATGGTGGGAATGGGTATTTGCCAGAGCAATTTTTGAGTAGTAATATCAATACGCGGACAGATGAGTATGGCGGTACGCCTGAGAAACGCTGTCGTTTTGTGTTGGAAGTAATGGAAGCGCTTGCTGAGGCTGTAGGAGAAGATAAGTTGGCTATCCGCTTGACGCCGTTTGGACTGTACAACCAAGCGAAGGGGATGCAGAGATTGGAAACGTGGGGGTATTTGTGTAGGGAATTGAAGAAGAGGTTGAGCTTGAGTTATGTGCATTTTGTTGAGCCGCGGTATGAGCAGGTACATAGTCTAGAGGAGAAAACAAAGGGTATGGATTACCTACTATTTCACTTGAAAGAGAAAGAAACGAGCTGACTTGCTTACCCATGGTAGTTTTGGAATCTTGGGGAATGGCAAGTGTGAATCTAAAGCTATTCAGAGAGATTTTTGGGGATACACCATTTTTCTCGGCAGGAGGTTGGAACGATACAAACTGCTGGGGCGTATTGGAGGAAGGAACATACGATGCTTTTGCTATTGGACGATTGTTTCTGGGTACGCCAGATATGATTGATAGGTAGAGCCACCCAAGCTCCACTTGGAGCAAGCAGTATTGCTAACCATCTTACAGATTAAAACAAGGCCAGCCCCTGAACGCGTACGATCGGTCTCGCTTCTATGGGCCCTTCCCAGACCGAGAAGTAGGATACACTGATTACCCAACGTATGAGGAAGTAAAAAATTCGGGAAAGCCATAGAGTCGTAGTGCCTAAACCAAATGCATCGATTCGACGCTGTCATTGCATTCCTACCTCTATGGATTATCAATGTAAAATTACCTGAATGCTGGTCTGTTGTACATGCAAGGCCAAATTGCCTATCTGAGAGTACTGTCACACCCGGTTATGTTACAGGTTGTTCGGTAGGAACTGTCTCGGCTTCAGTCGGCGCTGCCCCGTCCGTGACTGCTAACGTGTCTTCTTTTGATTCCTCCAATGCTGAGACATTTTCGTCTAGCATCTTCACTTCATTGTCCACCGTTGGGGTATCTCTCTCCTCTTCGCCGTTGATTGGTTCCTCCACCATAACGTCATCCAAAAAGATCTCATCAATCTTATCCGAGCGCTCGATCTTATCAAACGCTACAAGCTTGGAAGTGCTGGCAATTCGTAAAGCTCTCCAGCTTTTACTCGCCTTTTGTTCAATTGCCAAAACTTTAGCTTCATCATCCCTTGCCATATCGATATCCATATCGTCTAACTCAATCTTGCTCTTGAAGTCTTTTAGAGGCGGAAGTTTAAATCTTGACGGATCCTTTAATCGGTCTAGCGCAAGCTGTCCGTCCTTTTCTGAAAGGAAGTCAAGACGAAGTGATCCCATAGGACTTGGGCGAAGTCGTTTGTTGGTCGTAGCTTTCCGGGCGGCGGCCTTTGCTTCGACATATTCCTCGGGAGACACAGCAGGTCTAGCAATCGTTGGACAATTCTCAATCTTCCATCGAACCCAATTCTTATCTCTTGAAAGCACCGTATCCACCACACGGTAGAAGAAAGGGCCCTCGACCCCTTTCTTCAGATATTCTGCGATTTCCTTCTTCATATCAGAGGCCCAGATTGTCTAATTATATTAGTATAAGCTTGGAAATGCTTCAATTGACGGGACTTACATCTTCTTCGTTCAGGGTTTGGTCTGCATACATGACAGATTTGTTCGGATTTTCAGGCAGAGTTGATTTTGAAAGCTTTTCTTTCGCTTTGGCACTCAGCGAGAGCAGAAAGTCCATGACAATAAGCACTTGTACCAAGATGTGCCTACGAAATGAGAGATCGCTGATCTGGAGAGTAAGTGTAAGCTGAAGGTTCTAACCCAGGCAACATCGCACATACCTCGAGCTCGAATAAGTCTCTGCTGGTCAAATACTTGGGGTTGAAAGTATTGGCGAGATCCTCATCCCCCTCACCTCGTTTTCGTTTCGTTCCCTTTTTGCTATCGTCCGTGGCCTTCGTCGAACGGCCGTTGCTCTCACTCTGGACCGATTTGAACATGACCATGGTAGCTTGAAGACCCCTTTTGAAATTTGTGAAGTGGGCTTGGTCAAAAAGTTTTTTGGGTTGACTAAAGCTTTGTTGTAATGACCAGAATATCGGATATAGCTCATCAATACTCATAGGCTTCTCTGGCTTGGGAGATGCCACTCCTTTTCCTTCTTCCGCCGTTTTCGACATGCGCGAGACACCATTCGTAGGTACTTTCAGAGACGGTACGGTTGGCTTGTCGGTATCTAAATCGACATCCATACCCTCTGGTTCCTGCTCCTTGGCTGGTAACTCGTCAAACGCGGTGACATTCTCCGTATGATATTCGCCCCGAAGGTTGACTGAACTTTTGTCTCCCAAAGGAAAGCTCTGGAATAGAAATATGAATACGCGCCCACAGAATGCTGTATCTTCCGCCCTGGAGAGCCGTCGTAACAGTTCATTGCAACTTCTGAGAATAACCAATTGCTTTTGGGGGAAATGCTTAGACGTAATCCGTTCGCGCCGTGTGTCTAAATAGTCGAATATCTTTCGGCATCCAGCAATTGTTTGACTGTCCAAAAGCTCTTCCACCAACCAGAATAGTAGTGCGGGATCGCATTGCTCATCATCGGAGAGAATAGATATGATATCCAGTAGATTCCATAATTTAATAGAAGAAGGTGCGTTGACGGATGTATAGGCCTATGGAATCGTCAGATGTATGCTCCCTTGCTCGTTCGTGCTAAGTCGCGGCTCACCAGCAGGCCGTTGAAGGTATCTCGCACAGCGGTCTCAATAATAGCACATTGGCTTCGCTTCTTCACTTCTGGCTTAACTCCTGGGGTCGCGGTAGTGGCGAATATCGGCTCGACTCGTTCGAATAGACCAGTGAAATCTGACTTGTTCAAAGGTGGCTCGACGGTATCCGTTTGCTTTTGCTGCTCAGCCCTTTGGAGCATCTCTACCAAGAGGGCCAGGAACTCGTCCACCGCTTGAACGGCATGACCGGCCATTTTGGGGGGTCATTCGCAGCGAATACCCTTCTCTGAATGAGAGAATCCGGCGAGTTGGGACTTGGCAGAGTAGGAGGTGAAGTTGCTTCGTGGTGGCTGTCTAGGTATGTACCTCTTTGTATGCAAGGTATCGCGAGCGCGAGCGGTGCATGAATTACGGTAATATCTACCCGCCGCTAGTCCGTTTCGAGCAATGTAAATTCGCGACCCAAAATTTATAGCCTTTGCGACGCGACCAGAGCCTCTTTCGTGAGTGCAATCAACTACCACCACCATGCCGCCGAGAAAGAAAGTCCAGGTGGAAGATCGCCGTGAGGTGGACGATGGGAGGCCAACCGTGGCGGAATTGGATGGCGGAAGTGCCTTTGCGCAGTTGGCGCAGCAGCACTGGTTAAAGCCCTCGAAGAAATCGGCGAAAGTCAAGGTCAAGCACGACGTCTTGAAGACCGAGATATGGGACGTGCTGGAGAAGGAAGACTTTGCTTTCAAGTCACTTCTGGCTTTGGAGAATCTGCAGATCCTAGAAAAGTAAAGCGCGTTCTCTCTAAGCCTTCTCATTTCATGCTAATGCTCATACAGCTATCTTTGGCCAGGATACTCCGAGGATTCGTCCAATTACCAAGTCATCCTTATTGTGTTGATATCGAATGTTAAAGCCCGCGAGCATCTGCCAATATGGGGTGAGTCCTTCTGCGTTAGAATATGAGAATATAGGCTGACAATTATTAGACATATTCTCAGACAATGCGCCCGGATTCTCAACCCTCTTCAAAAGGATACTATCTATGATGCTGGATACCACACTCTCTGCAAATATCCGTACCCACCTACTTTCGTTCATTATAAATGCTTTCCAGTCTTTGGACAGTGGCATAGTGAGGAAAGAGTGCGCTCCTTTGGTGTCCATTTCGATATGGCACAACATCACGAATGAGAACAAGCGAGATCGCAAGCTCGACCAGAGCGTACAGTTGAGAAAGGCTTGGAGAGCAGCTGCCAAACGGTATGATGCGGCGGATGATGCGACCAAGCCTCGGTTACGGTTTGAGAGATCGTGGTTGTTTACCTTGATCCTGGATTTCTTCAACCAGCTTTACAGTAACATGAAACCAGGTATGTGCTGTGTATCTCAAAAATCGCATACCACAATACTAAACTATTCAGACAATGTCCTTTACTGCGAGCGATTCATGGAGTTTCTATCAGACCTACAGAGTCAACTCCCTACGAGAAGATATGTCAACACACTCCTCCAGGATCTGAATACACTCTCAGCGATACGACTGTCACCGGCCTTCAATGACGAGGGCAATGGCCTTCTAAGGGATTTATATGCTCTGCTGAAGCATTACACATACTTCTCAATCGACGATTATACTGGCATCCAGCACACCCGTACCGAAGCATATGAACGACACTGTGCCACATTGGCTTCGTTACAACGAGTTGCTCTCAAGCATTTCAAGGAGAAATTGACTGTGCTCGCTCTGTCAAATTATGGCTCAATAGACAAGCGAACGGAGCTTGAGGATCATCTCAAACCCCTCACAGATGCCGAAGTCACTGAACTTTGTGAGCTCCTCGACTTCCGCACATCATATCCTGCCTCGACAAAAGTAGCAGCAGATCGCCAATTTCTTACTGAGGTGCTGCTATCTGGACATGAGAAACGGAAGACTTTTCAGGAGACGGCACGTGATCTCAGTATCCTTCCTACGGAGCTCACTCTTTTCGAGCCTACTTTGGTGAGAAATGATAACTACAATGGATCCCAACCCCTTGCGATACCTAAACTTAACTTACAGTACCTTACGGTTGGGGATTTCCTATGGAGATCATTCATCCTTCATCGTTGCGAATCTTTCTATGAAATTAGAAAGCATGTTGAAGATACCTTGAAACGCCTGCGACCTACGATGAACCGGAATAGTCAGACTACTTTTGATGGGTTCTCCAGAATGGCGTTACCGATTACGAAGCCAGCGTAAGCTTATCAAACCCTTCAATTTCTTGTCATTCGTTCCTAACAAATATTGTAGCATAATGGAAGTCGTCCCACCTCTAGTTGGTGATGATAACCCTTCAATAGTGCGCGCGGAGATCACATTAGATGTAAGTCGTTTAGCAGACAACGTTCGGCGAGAATGGGAGTCATTTCGTCAGGACGACGTGATCTTTCTATTAGCCGTACAAGCTTCAGATGACAACAAAATGATCACTAATGGTGGTTCAATATCCGACGCCCAAAAGCTAGGCGTGAAATATCTTCGAGCAGCCGAGGTCACCCAAGTGCTGGACGATAAAGGACGCTCACTGAGAGATCAAAACAATCAGGCCAACGGCCATGGCCGGCCTCGGGTCCGCAGGTTACAAGTAAAGCTTGATGCTGCTATGTTCAAGGAGGACATGCAACGAGCGAGCAATGGGAAACCAGACATCTATGAAAGTATAAATGTGGTCGTTCGGAGAAATGGCAGAGAGAACAACTTCAAACCTATCCTGGAATCAATTCGCAGCCTGACCCTGTCAGATGTACCCCTGGCATCATGGCTTCACGAAGTGTTCTTGGGTTATGGTGATCCCGCTGGAGCTAGTTACACTCACTTGTCCAATCGAATCAAGAAGGTCGACTATCGGGATACTTTCCTCGACTGGCAACATCTAATTGCAAGCTTACCAGGGAAAACGGTGGAGCCGAGCGATGATGAAGATGGCAGTTTCGGGCCTCCATATGTTCTTCAAACAGTCACTAAGTTGGCAGAAATTCCAGCCGCAAAGCCTTCTAAGAAAAGGCGGCGAGATGCTGAGCCAGCAGCACAAGTTCAACATCAATCCATCGAGGTGTCAACGTATAAACCTGAGAACACCGGACCTTATCCGACAGATGCTCCAAAACTCAATCATGTTCGATTCACTCCAGCCCAAGTTGATGCTATCATCTCAGGAACTCAGCCAGGGCTTACGGTGATTGTGGGACCTCCGGGAACGGGAAAGACTGACGTTGCCACTCAAATCATTAACAACATATATCACAATTTCCCGAATCAACGGACACTCCTGATTGCGCATAGCAACCAAGCCTTGAATCAACTTTTCCAAAAGATAGTCGCATTGGATATTGATGAGCGCCACTTACTCCGGCTTGGCCACGGTGAAGAAGATCTAGATACCGAGGCCAACTTCAGTAAACATGGTCGAGTGGAATCATTCCTACAGAACACAGGAGGATATCTCATGGAGGTTGATCGACTGGCCGCGAACTTTGGTGCCCCTGGAGCTCACGGTGCCTCGGCTGAGACTGCTGGTTACTTCAATTCTGTCTATGTGGAGCCCGCCTGGACGAGATTTGAGGAGGTATCTAAATCTCCAGAATCTACGGTGGAGTCTATTATCGAAGCTTTCCCGTTCCACAATTACTTCGCCAATGCTCCTCAACCACTATTCCCGGCCGATGCAGACAAGGAAACGATACTAGACATTGCTAGCGGTTGTTATCATCACGTCTCAAAGATCTTCACAGAACTTGCAGATATTAGACCTTTTGAAATCCTGCGACGCGATCGAGATAGATCGAACTTTCTCCTCACAAACGAAGCCAGAATAATTGCCATGACATCAACCCACGCAGCGATGAGGAGGCAGGAAATTGCATCACTTGGTTTCCACTATGATAATGTCATCATGGAGGAAGCTGCTCAGATCACCGAGATTGAGAATTTCATTCCCCTTGCCCTTCAGAATCCCAAGAACGGCGCCATGCCGCTGCAAAGAGTGGTTCTTTGCGGTGACCATTATCAGAATTCACCTGTCATCCAAAATCTCGCCTTCCATCAATACGCAAACCTCGAACAATCCCTCTTCTCTCGGCTTGTCCGTCTCGGTGTTCCTACAATCGACCTAGACCAACAAGGTCGCGCTCGGCCATCGATAGCGGAGTTGTACTCGTGGCGTTATAAGAACCTAGGCAATTTACCTCTCGTCTCTACCTCACCTGAATTCCAGACCGCCAATGCTGGCTTCAGATACGACTATCAATTCATCCAGGTCAATGACTATAAGGGAAAAGGGGAATCGGAGCCGACTCCACATTTCATTCAGAATCTTGGAGAGGCAGAATACGCTGTAGCAATTTTCCAATATATGAGGCTACTTGGATACCCAGCATCCAGTATCAGCATCCTAGCTACCTATGCCGGTCAACGTGCGCTTATAAAAGATGTCTTGGATCATAGATGCGCCAAGAATCCCCTCTTCGGACTCCCAAAAATCATTACAACAGTCGACAAATATCAGGGGGAGCAAAATGACTGTAAGAACCGTTCCTCTTCCTCTCCTGCATCATAATCATACTAATGTGTAATAGATGTCATTCTCTCCCTGACTCGTACCTCCCGCGTCGGCTACCTCCGCGACATCCGTCGGCTAACTGTCGCCCTCTCCAGAGCACGTCTCGGACTCTACATCTTAGGCCGCCGGGAAGTCTTCGAGTCCTGCTTTGAACTTCGTCAGGCCTTCGAAATCCTGTTGCAGAGACCAGATAAGTTGCAGCTTGTTACCGGCGAGCTCTTCCCTACTAGCCGCATGCTGAAGGAAGATGATGTGCCGGGTGAGACACAGATGGAAGGTGTGGAGCACCTAGGACAATATGTGTACGAGATGACGAACTCAAAAGTTCAACAGCTCAGAGCAGAACGAGGATTGCCGGAGGCAGAGTTAGCGATACCAAAGACTGGGGATGCGGAAGAGGTGGAGGTGGAGGAGGTAGAGATGGCAGAGGGTTTTGAGGCCGAAGAAGCTGAAGAAGCTCGAGAGAATGTCTCATAGCTCATGAGACATTAGAAATCGATGCACATCGACGGCGGTCCCGGATAGCATCCAGACACTATCGGTTCGGGTCAGCGATGGCTTAGGAAAATGTTTCAAGGCATCTGAAGCATTAAATAGAAAAGGAGCGATTTGTATGATTTGCATTGCAATGGCGTCTGTAGGATAAACATCAACATACCACCAAAATGAAATGAAGTTCTTATTCTCTGTACATCACAGACATCGAGTTGCGGAGTTGGGTGACTCGTTCTATTAGATGTATTGAGCTCACCTATGCTGCTATCCCTGCCTTCTTGTTCTTGCGCTATGTCTCGGGAAAGCCGCGAGGTTTAGATTCCACAGGTAGTGTTTGTAGCGACTGCCATCCTATTCGACTTGCCATTTCTCTAAGGGGGGGGGGGGGGGGGGGGTGGTGATCTGCATACTAGTGTAGAAGAGGCCGTGCCAAATACGACTCTTTGCTTGAATTTGCGGTGCACATCTGCAGCAAGGAACTGGTTTGGGCGCAGGCCGACCCGTGTGGTGAGCGGGCCTGGTCGACTGTCTTATCATTTCGTTGTCCAAACATTTCACACCTGTCTGCTAAGGAGATCGAGCCTGTAAATTAGGGTAGCTTGTAATTTATATCGATCTAAAGATCATTTCTTAACGACAATAATAAACGACCACAACAGGCTAGTAACTCAAAAAATAGACATTTCAGCGAAGTTTCATCTTATGGAAGGCCAGCCTCTGGATATCATCCGGAATAAACCCTCTAGAGTATTGCAGTTTATCGACAACTCCATTAGCACGAGGTGCGCTATGTCCAACCCTGCCCCCCTTTCAACCTCGCTTAGCATCAGAAAGACGCAAATCTCATAAAACATTTAAAAGCGAATCAAACGAAGGTATTCAAGATGCAAAAAGGTTTATATGCTGATTAGATAGTAAATTGTAATTGCCACACACAACGAACCAAAGGAAGCAAAAATCTGGGGGTACACAACACACCCGCCCACATGGAACAAAGTGTATTGTTACCCCTTGAGACCTCTAGCAGGATTCGAACCTGCGTCTTGCTCGAAAATGTTGAAGCATATGCTACCATTACACCAAGGAGGTTGTTGCTTTGTTTTGATAGAACTAATGACTAATTCTAGTCTAAAAGGGAGAGTGATATATAACTAGGCAGCAAGGCAGCAAGGAATACGTACATACCTTGACAACAGTGATTCACTTGACGAGCAACGCAGAGATGCAAAACTCAACTTTTTCAAACGGAATAGAAAGACATTCAAGCACTAGAAATTCATAGACAAAAGCGAATTAACAGATTGAGGCTGCATTACAACACGGCCCACGAGGGGACCATGTTCGTAAGGCTAGCCTCGCGGACCTCCCGTAGGATTCGGACCTACGTCTTGCTCGAATATACCCCAAGAACATGCAACCATTACACCAGGAAGATTGAAGTTTTGGGGTAGACGTCTGCTTATTTCAAGTTAGAAAGGCGTGTAGGTACTGTAACTAGTGACACGGGTCGGGGATGTAAGCTGTTAAGCGATATAGGGGGAGGAGTGTGGCAGGTGCTAGCGAGGCGAAAGCTTCTACTCTACTTGAGCGGGAATTGCCCACGGACAAGATAATAATGGGAGCATCGTGTTCGTAAAGTATGTTCTTGGGGTCTGTAAAGAGGAAGTTGAAAGCCGGTTCGGGTTGCTGAGTGACTAGCTCCCCCTTTTGATCCACCATTATACACCCGAGTGGACTTGGATGATAACACCACACATGCAAATATAGCCCGTTACCTCGTGCTTTGCTATTCAATACATGATGCATTCTGCACAATAATGGAGGCATTTCTGCCCGAAAGGCTATCAAGTCTCGGTCGTTCAACAGTCAAGACCCCTGATGGGAGGAAAGGCTCGGCACCAACAGCGATACCCCTCACAAGCTTTCTTCGTGCACCTATCCGCCGTCACTATACCCCGACGGCCTAGGTCTTTTGACAGGTCTCACGCACCCCCGACTTATCTGTACCGACCCCCAACTTTGCAACCGACTGGTCAGAAGGGGTTCCTCAAAGAGGCATGACGAGCAAGGGGTCAAGGGAGCGCCCATTCAGCACCTTCCTTTCACTTCATGCAGAGCGGGGAAGGGGCAGAGCTAGAGAAGATCTCCTCCATGTGACGTCCAAGCTGACACCGGGAGAGGGTGCAAGATTGACGCTGCAAAGATGCACGGATATAAGGACTACGCGATCGAACGCGGGGACCAAGTGGATGGGTCTTAAGAGACAAGCTATGAAGCGATTCTCTGGAGAAGGTTAATACAATTCTGGGAGATTCTCAATCTGTATTTGATTGCGAAGGTGTGCGCGATTGATTGAAGTTGGGGGTGCTAGAGATGCGTCTGCTGGAGTGGGACAGAAGAATCAGGGGGCATAACAAATGTGGGTGTAGTGTTGTTGGCCGCCCTCTGCCGCGCGATTCTTAAGATTATTGTCCTCCAATAGATTAGATTGAGAAGGCCGATGCTCAAGTTCAGTGTGATATGCCAGATCATGTCCTTCCTATAAAGTTCATCTATCTAGCGAGTCTCGCCTCACTTCTGTGTCGGGAAGTTGATTGGAACAGCAATTCTCTCCGAAGACTATAGATCTGGCTTTCCCTGAACGGAATCTTGTGAGGCAGGTTTCGAGGAGTACCACAGTTCAGCTCTACCGTCCCGATTGATAGCAGATTAGAGAACTAAAGAGTCTGACGCGGATGGCAGGTCGAAGTTCACTAGTGGAATTATCTGGCTGAAAAGGAGTACCATGTTTTAGATATTACTTTTTAGTTGCATCAAGTAGGGTCTTGCTTTTCAGAGAATCGAATAATAAGATTCAAGTTTCCGAATAGCAGTTGATATTTCAGTGTTTCAAAGATCTTGATATTTGCTGAATGTTTGGACATGTGAGAAGTACGTGCAAGGCATGAAGCTTTCATTGCGTAGCAATATACTTGAAACGGCATTAAGACTTTATACGAAATTATGTCTTAGTTTTGTGTGCTGTTGTACTCGCGCTAGCTATGAAACATATCGCCGTTGACGAAACTCCAAGACATGAAAGAATAGGTCAAGTTGATCTCTAAACTACGATACGCTCAATAACAATCGGATGCCAAACTAGAGTGATTTGGATGACAGAATATATCTCACAGGCACGGATGACATTTCCCTGATTTCGAAGATGAATAGCTAGAGCTGGTCGAGCAAGGGACCTTCCAATCGTAACCAGTAGTGTTTGTTTGAATGATAACAGACATACGCAACCTGAGTGAGCGGCCTTGCCGTACTTGGGCGTGACGAATAGGTGCTGGCTGCCTATTAAGATTCGAAGCTCAGCCGCGTGCGAGTTGAGGAGGAATATGAGTCTGTTATCAGCATTATACCTCACTATCTAGTATCAAAGCTTGTTGCAGAAGATTTAAGTATTGGAAAGGAAGCTGATGTCGTTACAATGTAGGCTTATGCTGTATTATTTTTCAGTTGACCCCAGTTACTTGAGACTAACAGGGCAATGAAACAGCAATAATATGATAATATGACGTTGTTACTAGGTTTCAAGACCGAGATAAGGCTAGCCATGATCCGAAGCAGATCTTAAGGGTAGTTTTCGGAGAGAAATTGCCAGTAGAATTTGGGTTTAGATGCCGATCGCTAATACAACCAGGCACATAAGGTTCGAAAGCCACAAAAGTATATTATACTTAACCTTATCTCGCCACAGTGTCATATAAATAAATTAGCCCCAAGTGCCGGCGGTTATAAGGACCTGCGGATTCTGGCAGAGCCCGGGAGGCCGTCGCAGAATGGAAAATGTACTCCAGACCGTCCTAATCCAGAGAATCTGATAAGGCAACTTTGGGATGATGCTGATAGGCTTGAAGATTTGACCTACGGAGCACTTCCGTTCGAGGACTAAGAGACATACGAGAAGGCTGGGGAAAGAACCTCCTTCTGGCTTCAGTTCTAGCGGAGAAGCGATTGTGTATTCCAAATAGCCTCATATAAGGGGTGTAGGCAGCACTGTACGTCTGGCTGGAGCCGATGGATGGGGCTCATGCAACTCGGTAGGTGGGCATTCCAGACGCAACAGACGAAGGCAGGTACAGGGTCTGTCTTAAGAGCAAGAACACCCCTCGATCTTCCGGATAATCAGGTCCGTCAGGCCAGGAGACCAGTACGAAGAGGGGTGACAACAGCAGAAACCACAGCGTTACCATTGACTAGTATTGCACTACACGGCAGTACTTCGTAGTCCATTGCCCAAAGCCTACCGTGCTTTCCAACAACTTGGTTGATTAGGCTTTGAATCTGTCTGACCATCGCTAGATTCAAACAAAGTTGGACTCTTCATGTGCTTGGGAGGTTCCTTTAGGAAGGCTCGGCGGGCGGAGAATATATCTCACGGAGTACATTGTGGTCAGGGCCTACTTGTGGTACGTAACGCTCCGATGCGCCTCTTGGATAACCCTTTCTCGGCAAGAGCAGGCGAGGCGTGCACGCACAACTATCTACTGTACAGAAGGTACTCGGTGGGTATCGTATCGTTGCGAAGTGGACAGGGTTTAAGCCTATTCAGGCACGTTCGACCCCCTCTGACGCTGCTTAGTCATCCTCGACATAAATTGGCAGGTCCTTACTCTACCAGTACTTCGTATACCCTCTGCGATCCCTTGTAACTTTCAAACCACCAGAACCTAATTACTAGTAATGGCAATAGGTATTGCCATTGCCGTTATAACCATCAATTCTGCGTCTAGTATGATTGTCAGCATCGTATAATACCCATCAATAACAATATTAGCAGCAAACCACAGGTGATAAAACAGTGTACTGTACTGTACTGTATTGTAAAGGCTGTCATCACGCTGTGTGTCGTCTGTCTGCCGAGTGTGGACGTATGGTCCGTTCTGCTTTCGTTGCTGTTGACGTGCAGGTGGACTATGCCGCTTTCGGTATGGTCGGTGGGTTTGGTAACACAACCCACCACCCAGCTCCACTCTCCTCCTCCGCTCCTCTCGTAGACGAATCAATGAGGAGCCAACTGGCACTCCTGGCTCTCCTGCCTAGCAAGTGACGCGACAACGGGTTTCATGTGTGGTTGTACCTGTCTGCCTGTACCTGCATCCTCAAGTCCTCTGCCAGCGAACATACAGACAACACTGGACCCTGCCAGCTCCATTGCTCTGATTCCACGTATGAAATGCACATGCAGGACCTCGAGAAAAAGAAATTATGAAAGGATCCATCCCGAGCCGCGGCTACCGACATCGTGCCTATTCTAGAGTAACAGCACAGTACCTCCCGATGACAATGCCAGGAAGTGTCCCCGAAGCCTACAGTACCATCTCAAGGGGATCTCTCAGGTTCCAGTAAGTGACCTTGATACTCCCGAATTCATCGCCAGCTACCGCAGGTGACGAAAATGTCGTGCCATCCATCAACACCGTCCGCCTATTTCAACAATTGTTACAATATTCGTCTCGAGGCGTCTCAGCCCTACGGAAGAAATACAACTCCGGTCCGTCCGAGTTCCAGACGAAGGCCGGTTCGCGATTCCACTGTGGTACGGCGTACTAAGCACAGGTGCTGGTGTAATTACCGATATGAGATGTCGACAAGGAAATGAGCTTTGGCTGAGTTTCATCGTGGCAGCCTCTTCCCTCAATCTGCTTTCGTGAAGAATCCTTGTATCAGATCATTCGAAGGATGGGATGTACGAAGTACGGAGTACGAGAATCTAATCTCAACATGCTCACGGGCTGGTCCCGTGGATTCCGGGACCGAGTCAGTGACCCAGTGCGAGCACAGGCGTATATACCAGTAGGTACTCCGGTATGATGGATGGATCATTAACGTTTTCAAGATGTGAACAAATGACCCAGAGATGAGCCTAAGCGATACAAATTAGAGTTTGAGATGCCATAATACCAGTGTTGAAAAGAGTCCCGGCGATTCGTCCCTCCGCATTCCCAGGAGGCTTTTAAGTGGTACTAATATCTATCCGAGCTCGCACCGCGGCAGATCGGGCCGCAAGGGGAAGGGAAGAGTAGATTTCGCGGTCCAAAGCTTCTTCCGCAAAATATAGCAAATACGAAATTCGCCAGGACTGCTAAGAACAATGGCAATTTCGTTCTTCGTTTTCGGGTCTCATCGTCATGTCGCAGACAAGTCCATGCTTGATAGGGCGGGACGATACGCACAGACTTCTGGCGCCAGAGAAAATCCCTGCAAGTACAGTACTGTATCTCGTCTAAACTGATGGACATTTCTGTAGGGGAGGGGGGCACGGCACTATTCAGATCTAATCTGATGCCAACAGCCAGCCTCCATGTCCCAGACTCCTAGTAGTTGTCGGGGGTTACATTGTGTTCGACTTATTTGCCCAAGCTGTGTAGCTCGCCTTCCTCTCCGAGAGTAATACTGTATGCAAATTTCCAAACAGTGTGCCGCACAACTGGTAGCGGAGTCCTTGGTTATCTTAGGAAGTTAGGAACAAGGATCCTGGCTTCCCTGAAACCACCGACGGCGGGAGTAGACTTTTTGGGGCTGCAAGCCTCACTAGTTACCCGCAAAGCCGCTACTATGCTGCGAAGAGTCGAAGACACCTTCTAGGCTTCTAGCCCTTCTCCAACCGGGGTTGAAAAATAACTTCGCGTTCTAGTGCCACCAACCCCAGTCCTTTGAGCTGCAAGTAACGGCCTGCACCGTCGTGCATTTCTTCCCTATGGTCCATGGAACCTTGAGTGAGTGCTGTAGCCGAGCTCGGACATGAGGGCCCTTGGGATGATGGTTGGCTGTTTCTTGCAAATCCGACATACTGGATGAGGCTCGAGGCATACATAGGTCAAGTAGCTGATCTACAATCCAAACCGCTCCCCATCTTGAATGCTTCAAGAGATCTTCGCTGGTAGAGTTTCGTCGCCAGGGTCGTCACGTTTTCCAGTGGCCACGGTACTTATATCCTGGCCCCCGGTCTCCTTGACCTTTGCAGAGTCTCATTGGCTTGTCCACCCAACATCCCTAGTCCTGACAGCCGTTATGCGTTGACCCGCAGAAATGTATGTATAGCCCTAGCAGTTATTCGAGCGACACTGACCCAGCCTCGATCTTTCCGCTTACTCCCTGTGATACTCCTTTGATCTCTCCATCAGGTCTAGTTGAGATCGATGCACCTCGCGAACTTCGCAGCAGCCCTGTCCAAAGACTCACCAATTCTTGTTGGCCCATTATTCCTGCTTCATCTGAGTATCGGATGATTGCGCCGGCAGCAGGCCCCAACATCCTAGTCACACCCTCATCTTACCCAACGTCCTGCACGGGGCTCTCGATAGAGTGGTCTCCAGCATCTTTGCTGCAGCATCACTGCCATTTGCCAATCCCCACAGAAGCCACACACGGGAGCTCTACACGACACTAGTCTTTGAACCGGGTTTCCTTTCTGTTGTTATTTCTTGTGGCTAAGTCCATCTCTCATGTTTACACACTTGATGCACTTGCATTGTGTTGCTTCCTTCCACTTGATAAAAGGTTTCTTTCTACCTTTTGGTCGTGCGTACAATAAACTATAGCTTGCTCTTCTCTGGTCCCACCAAGTGTAGACCCTGGAAACAACCGTGCTGCCCCTGTTCGTCTTGCTCAGCATCGACAATTCTCCGCGTGTGGCACGCCTGTTATCGGCGCGGTACTAAACCTGCCTCAGCGGCACCGTGTGCATCGGCAGGGTCCTACAAAGAAGATCCAGGGTTATAGAGGTCTATTGACCTTGTCATGGTGATCATATTCCCAGCATCATATCGAAACCCTTCAACATTGCTGTATATCACCCGCGGCTCTGCCGATCGAACGTGGAAAGCAGGACAGCAAACCCCGTCCAACTTCATATGAGCCCTCAGATCTCCTAAACAGGAAGCAGCACGTCATAAAACAGAGAAGTAATTTATCCTTCATTTGGACGGCGCAGGATACCCGCCACAACTGTTTAAGGACTGGACCTATCCTTGACATCCAGGTCGCTTCACCTCAGGTCTTGACCGTGTGGTCTGTTAACCGTCAATTTGAACTTCTGAAAGTATCATCTGTTTTGAGCCGGAATTCGTGTTTTGAAGCACGCCCAGAGTCGTCAGATCCATCCAGTTTGATCTACCGCCGAGATTACGATTCGATCGGGCAGCCTATTTGTTTATAGTTGGAGGTGAAGTCTCGAGTGGCTTTCTTTGGCTGATCTCCAACATTTCTCCAGACATCATAGGAAAGGACTCGGGCGTTCCCATCTACAACTCGATCGACAGCATTTCCAGCGATCTAACGCACATCCGGCACATCCTCTCAATAAGCCTCATGTCCGTCTCTGGTCTGTGATCAGCAACTGTTCAGTGCGGCCCCTACTTTCGTTCATCCCAAGGCATCGTACCATAAGCTCACAACTCTCCTCTCGCCACGACAGGAGCTCGGGTTTCCCCCAGCTAGCATACCGGATCGATCTCCAAGTCCTTTATATCAAAGGGAAACACATCTCTCAATGCTGGTCACACGGCAATGTGATACAGGAAGGAACACTTGGTCTTCTAGTAAGCTCGAGGCGATCTATCGCAACTCAGCGTCTCCACGCATGTCGAACTTTGAGCCACTACCAACGCAGCCGGACTGGCGGGAACAGTACTCAACATTTCCACTCCCAGGAGAAAACGGGTTACTTCAACCATCATTCGATCAAAGCACTACATCAAATGTATCAGAGAGTAACCAGAATCAGCAACAAAACAACGCAAGGCCTACATTAGGGCACCGCCATAGCCTGGGACCTTTACTGCAGACAGATCCTCAGCCAGCTCCGGCCATAGAAAGACCGGACTCTGCGCCGCCAGGAGATTGTGGTCATCAAGCAAACCCTATCCGGGACGACTCTTTTTCCACAGAATCAACCGCTGTTTCACTTGCCTCGGGATCGAATCCACTGAGTTCAGCATCCAGCGCGCCAGCTCAACAAGGGACTTTGGCAAACAAAGAAGAAGGCAGTGGTGGACCTCAAAGTGAAATCAAGGATGAAGAAGATGACGACGACGATGATGACGAGATGCTTGACCCGGAGGAGGGTGCTCCACCGCAAACTGCGGCAGAGCGGCGAGCAGAGCGAAGAAAAATGAAGCGCTTCCGGTAAGTCGTTCTTTCTCAAGCGCATAATTGGCGAGCGCGAGTAATGGGGCGAACACACAAGTTGACAATGATATAGTTTAACACATCAGCAAACGCGGTTTCTAATGAGTGAATTCGCAAAACAAGCGCATCCAGACGCGGCCCACCGAGAACGACTTTCGAGAGAGATCCCAGGGCTGAGTCCTAGGCAGGTACAGGTTTGGTTTCAGAACAGGTAGGTGAAACGATCCAGAAAAATTGATGGGCTTGGGTGGGACAAGGACTGACAAAATCTAGGCGTGCGAAGATAAAGCGGTTGACAGCGGACGATCGAGAGCGCATGATGAAAATGAGGGCTGTGCCGGACGACTTTGACAATGTGCAGGCTTTGCACTCTCCTTATGGGGCCGCTCAAGGCATTGGTACACCGATGCAGTCGTCAGTCGACTTCGTCCCAGGATACAGCGATCATATGATGCGGCCTTTGATGGTCGATACTATGAGGAGAAACGATCACGAAGACCATATTTCCCAAACTGGTCTGAGTCCAGCTTTTGGCCATGTAGGATTCGCACCTCCGGGATCGATGGGTTCCCCCGATGTGCTGTCGCCATTATCTTTGAACTCTGGTGACCGATATTTCCCAGGCAGTAGTCATCTCTCGAGTCCGATGAGCGCAGGGCCAAGGAGTTCAAACCCGTTCGATCGACAAAATAGCTACCAAGCGCTTTCTAATTCCAGACAGCTCGTTCGTCCTTTGCAACCCTTGCAACTGCGCGAAACAATGTCGAGATCGCGGTCTGAATCGATCCAGTCTCCTCTGAGGTCGAGCATGTCTTGGAAAGGGGAAAATATCGACTACAATAGCTACAACACTGGCCAGGGCAGTCCCCAATTGAGCGGACGCCAGCAGTCTGTGTACCAACCAGACCAAATTGGCAATAGTTCCATCAATGCGCATCAATATGAGACCAATGCATTTTCCAGTTCGTCCCAATCTTTCTTTCCCTTTTAGTCTCATACCTTTGATGGTGATCTATGCGCTGACTATTTTTAGACCAAAACATCCAGAGCTCACCTACTCAAATGACGTACTCCCAGTCCCATAGCGGCCCCTCGTCTTCAGTACAGCAGTCAGGACCATCCACATTATCGCGGCTCCGAGCGTCATCCTCAGCTTTCCCTCCTAGTCTAGATCTGCGAAATCAGTATCGACCACTTCAAACACAACACAACTCTCCGCATGGCACGACACCACGAAGCACTTCATTTGCTAGCGCTTTCACAGGCGGATATGCTAGTGCGCCTTTGGCTGCGCCTGTGGACTTCTCGTTGCCACGGACTCCTGTTGATGGAAGCCATGGAAACAGGAATTTTAACATTCCTCAAACTGCACCGATGAACCCCCCACAGGATTTTACGAGCGCTTATAATTCGACCATAAGTCCTGCGAGAGCGCAACATGGTGACAGAAATTTCGGGAGTCAGGGACAAAACAACCAGGATCAGGGAAATCAGGGGCAAGGACAAGGGTCTGGTCAGGCCGGGGACCAGCAGCAACAACAACAACAGTCTAAAGTTAATGATGAGACATCCTACCTGGCCGGACACAAGCGAAAGAGAAGTTTCGCGATATCTGGTCCATTCGAAAGCCCATGAATAATCATTCGAGGGGGGGAATTCTCGACGGGACATAATGCTTGGCATGAAGAGATCGCACATAATTATCAATCACCACCCATGACGTATATGATTTGTTTTTTGAGGAAGAATTCTCCTAAAGGACCCACCAAATATCAGCGAAGAGCCAGGCGAAGAAGAAAGCGCGGAGATCGGATGCTATACTCCTGAACATTTCCTTCTTGGTGCCATGTTCGTTTCTCCGCTCTATGAGCTTTATTTTCAGATATCAATGTTTTAGTAATGCGTGGGGTGCTCTATATGCGGGCAAATGGGCTGAGGATGGGAATGGAAAGGAAAATGGGATTCGTCGCAAGAAAATAGGTGCAATGGGGACGCCTGTACTTTGTGCCCAAACATACACATCAGCGTGCAGTGCGCAGCTTTGCTTATGAATGTAGGCCAGGGAGCCAGTTATCTGTGTATATTTAGTTCGTTTTTGGTAGGAGCTGGCTCAGGGCGTGCCTGTAGATATTTTTGAATCATGATGTCTTTAAACAAGCCCTCGACTTGAGATTGATGAACCACACTTGCGGTTCGTACTGATGGGAGATGTAAGAGATAAAGCAATGCAAGAATTGGACAGAGACATGAGTTTTGATAATATATTTCAGGTAGAAGCAAACTTCTAATAGTCGTAGAATCTGTGGCGGTGTTAGCTGTTGACCTTCTCAAATTGGCGCGTAATTGGACCGACCCCTTTCCACTCTTTTTCCCCAACCAGCCTGCATCGACCATTTTCCTCAGAAGTACGCTAGGTCTGTATTTTGAGTCTCCAGTTTCCTCGTATAATACCTTCATAATAGCCAGGCAAGTGTCGATTCCGATAAAGTCCGCTAATTGTAAAGGACCCATAGGTACATTTGTGCCGTTCTTCATGATGGCATCAATGTCATCCCTGCGTCCAACACCAGTTTCCAGACAGATGATTGCCTCATTGATATATGGCATCAGGATTCGGTTTGCAAGAAATCCTGGCGAATCCGCAGATTGTGATGGAATTTTGCCTATAGCCTTGCAGAAAGCTATCGCGGTATTAATTGTCTCTTGACTTGTTTGTAAACCAGTGATGATTTCAACGCCCTTTTGAATTGGCACCGGGTTCATGAAGTGCGTTGAAATCACACGTGATGAAGCTGATGTGTCCGTTGGGTCCTTTGTCGTCGATGCTGCTATTCTAGTGATGGAAATAGAGGAGGTGTTTGTAGCTAGGATGGCATGGGGAGGGCATATCTGCGCCAGGGCTTCGAATATAGAAAATTTAAGGGAGGGAATTTCGGGGACAGCTTCAATTACGAAGTCTACATCCGCAAGGGAATCCATGGATGTGGTGGGACGGAGGAGGGATCGTGTCTTGTCGGACTGCTCTTGTGTGATACGCTCTTTCGAGACATCTTTGGCTAACAATTTGTCTGCAAAAGATATGCTCAGCCCCTGCTAATCCATAAATATCTGGAAGTAGGGTCATACCGGCGAATTTAAGACCTTTATCGATTGAAGCCTGGTTCGTATCAACTAGAGTTACTGGTAGGCCGGCCTTCTGCGCGGCTACCAATGCTATCCCCAGGCCCTAAATCGCATTAGCAACATGCATCTGACAAGAAGAAAAGGGGGGGCGGGAGTATAGGCTCACCATCTGTCCAGCTCCAATGACGCCGAGGCGCTTTACCTCTTGGGCAGCAAGAATTGGGCTTGAACAGAAGCATCTGGACTGTGTAGCACGTCTCAGGAGCTGCCTGTGAAGTATGGGTGAGATCATACTGCCAATTTATAGAGAATATCGACGGAGATGTCAGGGAGAAGAGCGGCGGAGACAGAAATCTGGAGGTTTCTCAGACGTCGTGGCGCGGCACACAGTGCGGTAGCATAGCTTCCCCAGGATTTGCTTGTGTACCTCGGCTTTGACTTTTGTCTGCTGGAAATATTGCGCTAAATTTTAGTACTACTCTACTGTAGACTCTACCTTATCTTATCTAGTACAGGGGTCAGGGAACGCGTCGCGTAAACTTCAACGGTACTGTCAAGCGCGTACAGTGAGCATTTCATGTCCGAACCGCAAAATCAATAGCAAATATGGAACTCGCAGACGGCAAAAGAGACGTTGTCGACCCCGAGGTGCGGGCGTATGTATCAAGTCTTGTTACTGCAGTAAGTATAAACATTGCCCCTTTGCGCCTCCAACCATGTGTGCCCTTCTGACGCGTCCAAGCTTGGAGGAAGCGGTGCCGACGAAGATGGTCGATATGTACTCGGAGACGATGCTTTGGCTTGTCTTCGAGATCTCAAGAGATGGCTGAAACTTTACGACGAGAAAGCGAATCGATTGGACGTGGCAAGGTGTCTAGCAGAGTCAAATCTCGTGGGAGGAGACTTGCTACAGATTCTGGCAGCTTGGCCGGAAAATGCTACGGATGATCGATTGAAGTCGAAGATAGCCCTGGCGTGTCTGGAACTTTTGGTGCCTCTGACATGGCCTCTCGGCAAGGATCCAAAGGAGATGACCGTCAATCACCACCGACATGTTCCCTACCTCGAAACCGCGCAGCTGGGATACAAACGTTCAATCATCAATTTCGACGGAGCCAGAATACTTCATACTGCGATACGATGTGCTCTGCCCTCGATGGCTGTAGATATGGGTGACCGGAGTACACGAGATGAAGGCATTATCAAGCTTCTACTCTATTTCATACGGAATATTGCTATGATTGCTCCGCCTCCAAATGTCCAATACGAAGGAGACGAAGCAGAAATCTCGAGATCCGCCACAATTGATGCCTTTGACTACCAGGATGTTTTTCACCTACTCTTAACCGTGTCATCCACAATTGGGGAAGACTACAATATGCAGGATGTTGTGGTACTGGATATACTTTTTCACCTGATCAAAGGGGTAGACATTGAGAAACTCTTTCTCGATGAAAAGGCAGCCGACAACAGCAAGATGGATGAACTAGTACGTCTACGGAAGAAGGAGGCAGCAATGCTACGAAGCTATCAGACAAATGCCCCAACGAGGCACAATCGATTTGGTGCTATGGCCTGGCTACAGCGAGAGGACGCAAAGATGACGACGATCTCAGGCCAGGCTGCTGTAACGGACTCTTCGAGGGGTTTGGCCAAAATGGATGCAACCAAAAAGTTCAAGCCTCCACGCCGAGCCCTGAAAGGAGACAACGGGCCTATGGATTTTGACACCCCTGTCCATCTCAGTGTGCAGGCGACTAAGCATCTCCGTGAATTTGTTGAGGAATTTCTGGATTCGGGCTTCAACCCTCTTTTCAACCACATACGCAAAGCGATTGACCGAGAAGCAGAGCGAGTTCTTGAGTACCATCCGCGACAGTTTTTCTACTTGATCTCCTGGTTTCTTGAGGCTGAGCGAGTCAGGAGAAGGAACAAAAAACCTTCCAAGGTTCAACAGAGTGCTGTCTCGGAAGAAGTGGACAGCTACTCCCTCGTCGCCAGTGTTTTGAACCAGGAGATGTTTGTTACGTTGAACAGAGCCATGGACTACACATTTGAGCACAAGTCATGGCAGGATCTTAGCGCGGCTATGAAGTGCTTCACTCAAATTCTCCTCACTGTTCAAGACATGTTGGAATCACCTCTTGAAGACGACCAAGAAATTGCCGAAAACATTCTCAATCGAATATTCTACGAAGAAACGACGCATGATAGAGTAGCCAACATCACGCGTACCTACAAAGACCAGGGATTTGGATATCTGGACTCTTGCACCGAACTCTCTCACCACTACCTTCGTATTCTTGAGCAATATTCAAAACAAAATGTGGACCTTCAAGTCAGATCACGGCGCAGGGTGCGGCGAAAGAAGAAGGCTGCTAGAGCTGCTGGACAAGATGAAGCTGATGACGATATTGTGGATGAATCGGAGGGCGAGGATACAACCAGAGCTGAACGCACTTCACACGAGCGGAAATTCGAGTTCAAGCGCTTTGCTGCGCGCTTTTTGTCTCAGGGATGCGTCGATACTTTCGTTACCTTCACAGCCTACTACAACGACTTGAAGTCTTCACAGCTGAAAAGGGCACATCGATTCTTTTACCGAGTTGCGTTCAAGCAGGAGATGAGTGTAATGCTGTTCCGGGTCGACATCATTGCGCTTTTATACAAGATGATCAAGGGTCCCGAAGGCTTAGACCCACAATCCAGCAGTTACAAGGAATGGGATGAATTCGTGAAGCAGATTTTGAAGAAGTGTACGAGGAAGATTCAGGAGCGACCTGAATTGGTTGTCGAAATGCTCTTTTCGAAAATCAACAGTACTGCACATTATCTTGAGTACGGATATGAGAAGCAAACAGTGACGACGAAACCTCGCGCAGCGGCCGAGCTGGAAGTTAAGGGAGCTAAAGAATGGGAAGAGCAAATTGCCATTGTTGTTGGTGCCCTGCTAGACAAAAATGAGGCCGACCATTTACAATGGGTCAAATCACAACTTTCCTCGGCTGAAAGCGAGCGAAGAAGCTGGGAAGGAGCGAATGCTGCATTGCCATCAGTTGAGGATGACCCGTTTGCAGAGCCTGACGAGACACCAGCAGTGCAGGTAGAGCCGCTTAAGGCTCCTCCAATCCGTAAGTTCCTTTTTTTGGTGCTTCGGTCAACATTTAGCTAATGTGCAATAGTGATAAAACCTGGCGATGATGCTCGCAAGCTTGCCATGTTCAAGAATGGGCATCTTCGACTTCTCATGACTCTGGTCAGTTTTCAAGTCATTGGAGTAGCTGATGACCCCGATGCGTCATGGATTATCCCCTCCGACCAGTCAGCGGACCAGTTGAAACAATCGCTAGATTTGATTAAGACATCTGAATTCTCCCCACCTGTTTTCGACGATGGCCAAGAAGCAGGAGATTTCATTAGACGCAAATCTGCAGGCACAGCAGGTAGGAAAAAGGCCACTTTTGACGACGATGATGGAATCGATGATGAAGACGATGAGGATCTCTTGTTCCCTGCAGGAGGACCAACCCCAATGAATAAGTCCGATGCTTTGAAAGAACTCAAGAAGAACCGTCGGCGTAGAAGAAAGGAGGGCACAGAAGACGCCGAAAGCCGCGGCTTAACAGATGAACAGATTCAGGCACGCGCCGAAGCTCGACGGCTAAAAGAGCTAGAGAAGAACCGGAAAATCAAGAGCGCCCTCTTTGTGACGGCGAGTGATGATGAATCTGATGGAGATAACGATGCAGAGTTCTTTGCTCAAGAGAAGGAGAGACAGGCAGTTAAGATCAAAACCATGAAAGAGCTGCTAGGTGTTGGCCCAGACAAGCCTAGGAAGAGGCTTTCAAGTGCTATGTCGGGGGAGAGCGACGATGATGATATTCTGATGAGTGCGGCTGCGCTCCCGAGCAAAAAGCGGCGGTCGAGTGTTATTCCGGTAGATAGTGATGACGATGATGATCTTCTTACCAACCGTGGACGATCTTCATCTACGGCGAAAGATGTGGGATCTGAGGATGATGCCACGGATACACCGTTGTCGAGTCCACATATCCGGTCATCTCAAATGAAGAAACGAAAAGTTGTGCGTGATGAGGAGGATAAAGAGAATTCGGTACCTGAAAATTCAGCTGCTTCTGCTTCAACGAAGTCCACGGCAATGGTATTAGACGAGGACGATGAGGATGAAGAAGTGCCTGTAGTTCGACAAGTAAGGCAGAGAGTCCGGGCAGGTTTTATTGTGGATAGCAGTGATGAGGAATAATGATTGTGTTTTGCTGGAGTACTGGATACAGGATTCGGGGCGTTGGGATTAGGCTACTGTTTGAATACCAACTGAATTTCCGTATCGAAAAACGAAGTTTCCCAACTGTAATGTATGAAAAGTGAGAGCTGGAAAAGGGGTCAAATAACCCCTCCTCTCCAGCCTCGTCCCCAGCCTCGCGCTAAGAACCCTTCTAAGCGATAAATCCCAACTTCCTCACCACGGGTTTTATTATCCCATCCCATCCTACCAATACGAAATGGCCTCAATATCATAGCGTCAACTAGATAGAGCAAGCATCATGGCGGCCGATTCACACATCAACCACCAAGACGCACGTGATTATTGGCAGTCCATCGACGCGGACGTCAATGGAATGCTAGGCGGCTTCCCATACATTTCCAAGGTTGATTTGCAGGGGAGTCGCAGCTTTCTGGTTAAGATTGGGGTTAGCGGGAAAGGGAAGGAGAAGGTGGAGAGAGCGATTGATTGTGGTGCTGGGTGAGTTTCTGTTGAAGCTTTTGTTTTTTATGTTGTTTAGAGTTTCGTATGGCGGTGTTGCTTAAGTCAGGCCAAGTTGGTTGAATCATAACTCTTTTGTATAGGGGAGCCGAGATTTGATTTGTCCATGAGATAGCTGCCTAGCATGCGCACTTGTGGTGGCCAATGGCGCGAATATCTTGCAAGGCAAGCAATCATGTTTAATCCGCAACATGTCTACCTTTCACGCAACTTTCCCATCATATAAATCTACGTACCACATCCTGATACCTTCCACAGGATTGGCCGCATCACAGAAGGCCTCCTTCTCTCCACAGCTACCACTGTCGACGTCGTAGAGCCCATTGCCAAATTCTCCAACGCCCTAGCCAACAAGCCCGGTATCGGCGAAATCTACAACGTGGGCCTCGAGTCCTGGGAGCCGACCGTCGAATACGACCTAATATGGAACCAATGGTGTCTGGGTCACCTGACTGACGAGCAGCTTCTTACATACTTGCAGAAGTGCGGACGTGTGTTGAAGGAAGGGGGGTTTGTGGTTGTGAAGGAAAACATGAGTAGTATGGGCGAGGATGTGTTTGATGAGGTGGACAGCAGTGTTACGAGGTAGGTCCCTACCATGCGAGGTGAGGTGGTGGTTTGAGGGGAAGAGTGTTAACGTGGGTAGGACGGATGAAAAGTTTCGGGAGCTTTTTGAAAAAGCGGGGTTGAAGATTAAGAAGACGGAGATACAGAATGGGTTACCCACAGAGTTGTATCCTGTGAGGATGTATGCGTTGCAGCCATCCGGGGAGTCTTAGATTCGAACATCTTCGTTTTGTTGAGATTTGGAAGCGTATGGAGTTAGACTTCCTCTTGAATCTTGGGCGTTAAGTTCAGCATAGATCTAGAACTCTTTTGCGTGCGCGGACATGATGGAAGATGATGGTATAACTGAATATGCCACGGGAAGAGGGCAAGTATGGCGAAGATCCATCACTTGAAAAGTCATTGGGTGGTTTCTTGTAAATTGACACATGATTTCGAGAGATGGAATTTCCTTCTTTGTGAGTTGCCAATATTACGCAGCAGTGCCCAGGAAGGAAAGGTTCGTTGAAGTCTAGTGTAGAGCGGAGAGGGGAAAGGCATTGAGGGAAGCACTGAATTCGAGTCGTTCACATGACATACTTTTTTCGTCCTTGAATATTGGGTAATCACGCATCTTCTTCATCATCTTCTATACGATAACGTTTTACTTAGATGTTTTTTTACTCTTGCCTCCAGACCGGCGGTGAGAAGCAAAGAGAGAAAGTACTCGTTACTACCGTGAAGCATAAAGTTACACAATACGACGTGTCATTGAAAGCAAGTGCAGCTAGCCGCAGCGGCTATATATCTAATAGATGGGCAGATCTAAAGGTCGGTCTACCGCATCAGCACATCAGAACTTATTACTGTCCACAAACACTTTGTTACCCTGCCCTCCGATGCTTCCGCCAAGTGATTTCATTACACCCTCGCTCCCCTCATTTCCAGCTTTGACCATAGAATGCACATACCCACTAAACCTATCACTATCCACGTGTAGATAGCTACTCGTCCCGTTCACTTTTGCACCAATGGACTTCATTACCCCCTCACTCTCCTTATTCCCCACCTTTACATCGGAATGCACGTACCCACTCCTCCCCGCATACCCCAGATCGGCAAACTCACCCCTCTCATACCGACTCAACAACTCAACAGCAACCTGAGTAGCCAGTCCCTTGCCTCTGTGCTCAGGCAATACATACAGTGTCGCCAAACTCCCGTCAATTCCCAGATACCCCCACGCTGCTAGCTTCCCTTCTGCATCCATGATTCCCACGTTTGCTTGCCCCTTCAGCGTTGATGGCTCCCGTGGTATAGAGGATGTGGAGACTACGATGCCTAATTGGTCTTCTGGAACGCGGCTCACTGAGTATCCTGAAGGAAGCGGCCGCCTGGTCTTGGAAGAGACGGTAGAAGTCGGCACGATCCAGAAATTCCATTTGGTTATATATGGAATGCCGCCACGGGTTTCAAGGAGTTGGGTAAGTGAGGTGGTAATACTATCGTGTAGACATGAGAATTTTAGACGTTGGTCAAAGGGCCATCCTGGAGCTTCTGGGATTTCGATTGCCTTCAGATATAAAATTGCGGAGTGGACATGGGCGTTGAGTATGTTTTGCTGGGAAGCCGGAAGAGGGGTTGGGAGAGTAATTAGATTATTAAAGATCCATACTTGTGATTCAGCATGGCGCGAGCGGTCTGAAAACAAAATTGTGTAGACCTCGGGAACTGAAAGAGAGGAACCGGGAGCTGGAGGAGGAAATGTAGCGGCGAATAGACAGTGACGGGAAGGCAAATTATGAGGGGCCTGAAGCCGGTTGTAGATGGGATTGCTATGCGGAAGGTGTTGCTGGAGAATTGGAAGAAAAGATGACAGTGCCGTCTCCTGGGGGTGTCGATAGAATTTGACGATTTCTTTTGCCGCCATCTTGATCTACTGATAGTTAGACAAAAACGTCTAGGAACCTTTCGAAACAGTTTGACGACTGTTTACTTGGGCAACGCAATTCAGGTTCTAGTTTTTACAGTACAAAAAGACGATTAGAACAGGCATCTAAAATTTTATCTACTTACATAGCAGAAATGAGGTCAAAGTGTGCATATGTAATACATTTGAGTCATGGCTTTATTGAGAGAGAATAGGGCTTGACGTCTAGAAAGAGGAGTGGGGGTAGAATTCCTTAGCTCCGACCCGAAGATGCACGTGAGTCCTAGCCCTATTCCGATGTTTTCCCCCTTTCCTCTTTCCTCCCTCCTCCCCGAGAAACGACACTAGCATCAGTCAACATCATCGTAAGTCATTTGCAGTACATTGCACTCCACTGTGATATAATATAGATACTCGAGGTAAATCTTTCATTAGATCCTACTACTGTGGAATATACAAGAAATAGGCCACCTGCTTTATCCGAGTCGTGCCTTTCAGACTTTGGAGCACGCAAACCCCTACACGACCTGCCTGGTGTTCATAGGAAACACCGAACCGTTGAGAATTTCAATCCCCATGGCAGTTACATGACATTTCATCGAAGGCGCGGGTATAATTGTGGCCAGTGCAACAGCCTAGTCAAGTCGGCTGGTATACAAAAAGAGTAAATACTCGACGCCTTCCCCTCTCTTTCTGCTTGATGATCTTTTCTCTCAAACAACTTTTGAGTTCCAGTCGTCAAAGGTACTTTTTTCCCCCTTCTTTGGCTCTTCTTCACGTGAAATTAAATCATGTAGGTTCATGAAACGGTCTCCAGGGCGTGTCCATATTCTATGCCTCTGGAGATAGTGGAGTCACAGGACGTGAAAGGGATACGGCTCAAAGCTGTATAGGTGCCAATTATACAGCTTTCAGTCCCGCGTGGCCAAATAGGTAAGCCGGGATATCCTCAAGCATAACACAGGCTAATAGTCTTCCTAGTTGCCCATACGTAACCAATGTTGGCGCCACAGAGGTATACCCCGGAAAAACAGTCAAAGACAGCGAGAGTGCAGCATATGATCCTGCCGGTCAGCCATATTGGAATGAGTTCGCATCTGGTGGAGGTTTCAGTAACCTGTATCCCATACCCGAATATCAGAAGAACACTGTGGCACATTTCTACAAGAACCATAATCCAAAGCATCCATACTACACAACCGGCGTCGTGGGTCAAGATGGTGGACTTTACAATCGTAGTGGGAGAGGGTAAAAGCACCTTTTGTAACCTCAATTTGTATGAATGCTAAACTGCGCTCTAGATATCCCGATGTCGCTGCAAATGTATAAAGCCACCACTCATCTCTACACTCATCTCAACAAACAATGCTAACTTTAGAACTCAAGGGTGACAATATTGCCGTCTTCTTCAGTGGTTTTTTCCGGGCGCGACAGCGGAACAAGCGCCTCCACGCCCATCTTCGCAAGTATCGTCAACCGCATCAACGAGCAGAGGCTCAATGCAGGCAAAACGTTATCGGATTCATTACTCTGGCTCCTTACGCGAACCCCTCGATGCTGAACAATATTACCAACGGGAGTAACCCAGGCTGTGGTACTGATGGCTTCCAGGCTGTTCCTGGTTGGGATCCTGTCACTGGGCTAGGTGAGGGCTTCTACCTTCAGAGTAGGAGTACTGACATACCAGGAACTCCAAACTATCCAAAGATGGTGGCATACTTTATGAGCTTGCCGTAAGTAGAATATTGGATATTAAAGATTCATGGCAGGTGCCCACCTTCTCCGGCGAACTCACAGCCAGTGATGATATATGACCATTGGTATTGGGGAACCTATTTTAATGATAATGAAAAGACATTTACCGTCTTCTTGCTTCATATGCTGCACCAACGCTTTCCGGACACATTGTGAGACGTGGCCTAGATGGACAAAATGCCACCTTGCCTGCCGTTTGAGAGAGGAAGTGCCTCTTATTCTACTGTTCCTCTTACTCACAATTTGTACGTGACTAAGGAGTTGGAGAAGATCACCCCGCGATCTTTCGACTTGTGCTCTTCTAAAGATGCCATAGGAAGGTACTGCAATTACAATGAAGGAAAAGGTGCATAGTACTGTCTTGAAGCCAGAACAAGTGTCCGTTCTGATACTGCTGGATTTCCAGATTCAAAAGACAAGTAGCAACAAGGAGAAATTTGGTCATCAGATTAGTTTTGCTTGATGTATTCAATCTAGTTCTCTGCATCTCCATAACGCCTCTGACGCCAAATAACTAACCAAGGTCCCCTTCATGCCTATATTATCCAATCTCAATGCAATAACAGAGACGCTAAAAATACAACATAAATCTAAGGTATCTCCAAAACCCAAGTAATCTTCTCACGGATAGCTCTCTGCCTCTTGAAAAACAACAGCTGTGGTCGTCATCGTGAACAACTACACTACCCTTTTATTGGGTTCTAGATCCAGATCCGGCAGTGGGATATTACCCATCTTATCATCCCCCTGACACCTCTCCCGCTCGAGCTTCATCGGCATAATCATAGCCAGCTCCGGGCAGTAATCTAAGTTCGCCTTCCGCTTCTTTGGGTCTTTCCATACATCATCTGCAAGATTCTCGCCCATATCTCGGGCGTGATAGCCCATGGGTTTCTCGAACCAGGTATCCTCGACCGAAAGATGGGTCTCCTCCGCCCCACTCGCTACCTTCGCTCCCGGCAAGACCGTAATCCGCTTACCGAACCATTCGTCTTCGGGCTCCGTGTCGTTGTATCTTGACTGGAAGCCGAGTATTCTCTTTACGGTCGAGATCCGGCGGAGGGATAGTCCGCCGTTACCGGCAAACGTATCGTCCTTGGATCTGCGATGAGCTGTTAGACTTCAGTGTCGAGGCACTAGGTGGGATGTAATGGGATAAGACTGACCTCGGGGCTCCAGCCCAATCGTAATGCAGCCAGTCATCTAACGTATCCCCCGAATTGGCACACATGATGCTATCCGACTCGAACTTAAGCATCCATTCCACCTCTGACAAATGGTCGTTGTAGAAGCGAAGATCAGTAAGCAACCTATAGATATCCTCCTTACTATCAACCTTCCACGGTTTCGGCAAAACCACCAAGTCCAGCTTCCCATTCAAAGCCTGGTACTGCGTAGCAAAGCTTCTAGAAACGCTCATCACACTCTTATTCGTCCCGATAAACTTGAACCTCCAGTCCGGGGGCACGACCGACATCATATGCAAGAGTTGCGGCACGAGATGCGGGATCGGGCGCCCCTCAATCAGAAGCGCCACTTTTGAGGCATTGAACTGTACTTCCGAATCAACTTTTGGATGCCAGTCGACTTTCAACGCTGGGAAATGCCCGATTGCTTCGTTGTATTTTTTCTGCGCCAGGTCTTTGACTGATTGCTTGTAGCTAGGGATAAGGCTTGCAAACAACCACCTGTGACTTGCGGGTTAGCATTCGCTTCTATCTTAGCAGTACGGGATTTTGGATTGGACATACGTTGCAAGAAGAGTTATTGCCAGAACTATCCTCGTTCTGTTTGTGGCAAACATGCCGTTGCTCAGAGGTTTTGAGCCGTTTGGTGGTGTGGCCATTGCCGCCGTCATGGCGCCCTTGTTAAACTACAATACTCGGAGCAGTTTTGCAGAGAAGTAGATTAATTCTAGCTAGGGATGCGAATCTGGATTTCTCTCTGTTGGTGGAAAAGCATAATGTCGTCCAAGCGTAAGACGAAGTCAGTTCTATGGATGCTTCCTTCGCTAGAGATCTACAGTAATGACGAGACTCTAGTTGTGTCTCGTAAATCGCGGGGTTGGTTCGAGAATGCTAGAGCTCCACTTGCTTTATATTTCACTATTGAGTCCCGCAAGCCCCCATCTGTAACAAAAGCAAATCAAGCAGATTCAGGGTTAATTTACATGTACGCCAAATTGTTTTATGGGGATATCTAATCCACAATTTGTCTTAATTTCGATATGCAATTCTATCAAAGGTCGATAAGAAAAGCAACAAACCGTGAACCCCTTTCGGCTTTTCTGAGACAGTCTCCCAACCCCTTGCATTCCAATGCATCCTTAGAATTCTAACCCTAGTTGCATTCCAACTATCCCGGTATTGCAGTACGAAGCCCAGAATATGCCTCTAGGTTTGTAGAGAAACAGAATGGACTCGAGTCTGGTCTCTTCATATTGACTTGAGTGAACTCAGGGGTAATAAGCGATACCCGTGCCATGCCACGCCACCAACACACATTTTCAACCCCTAAATCACTGTGCACGAGAGTTTGTATGTTGAACAGTGAGATACAATATGAATTCCTCTTCCAAAACTCCCAATTCCATGTAACAGCCCAAAGTTTTCCAGTTTCATCCAGAGTATAGATCCTCATCTATCAATCATGGACGTGATCTTCACTACACAACTTGTATTCGGGACACCACTCAGTCAAGCGAATAAGCGATTCTTCTGTCCACTTGTGAATCTGATGCACCCCCAAGGGGTGAGGATAATCTACCGTCTTCACACTAAACGTTCTTGCAACTTCCACGCTGGGGAGATTTATAGCATCATCTTCTTCTGGTAGAATCCCCTCTGCCTCATCTCGTTCTTGCAATATTTTGAGTCTAAGACACCTCGTTAGTTTCTTCAGCTTTTGTGGGAGCTTCAAAGGGACAAACCTATTGTGAAACCACTGGTCCTCATATCGATCATTCTTGTCATTCTTCTTCGTATCCTCGTAATCCCACTCCTCCAATACCTTCAACGTACTACTCCTCTTCCGCAAACTCAATCCGCCATTATACGCATCACTCCCACCAGCCGCAGTAGGCGCGCCCACAAAATCATACTCGAAATAATCATTCACACTCCTGGCCGCGTTCCCGCATAGCATACTGTCGCTTTGAAACAGCAATATATGCTCCGCCGGACTCAAGAACTCCCACAGCCAATCCTGCGTCAGGAAACGGTTCATCGCGTCTGCGTCTGTGAGCATGGAATCTTGAGGCAGGACCCGCACTTGCATGATACCGTTCTGCAGGTACCGGGCCAGAGCGGACGATGTTGAGAACTGCGATGCTGATTCGGCGGATGTAAGGATGATGATGGGCCAGCTGTCACCGAGGACGATACCGAAATGTAGGATAAGGGGAATGAGGTTGCTGCGGAAGCGGCTCTCGATTATGACTGCTACTTTGTCGGTGATGGTTCCATTGAAGGTCCCTTCGTAGATATCTGAAGCATACGATTTGAGGTGCTTTCCGATGGCGATTTCTGGTATGGGTGAACTGGAAGATTCTTCGAGATCCAGAGGACTAGGTGTGGAAGGGAAGTGGTCTGAATATGCCCTCACTAATGAGGCTTGTGGGTAGAAAAGTTTCCATATCCAGAGAATGATCAGAATACAAAAGGCCGTGAGGAGAAAGTTGTGGGATCTTCGACGGCGCTCTTCGACAGAGATCATTGCGATGGTCTGCGACCCTCGGGTCGTTATGGAGGTGCTCCTCGATCTTTGTGATGCCCGCAATCCGTGAAGAATGTGGGTTTGCCGAACATCCCTTCAAATATCGTTGTCTTTCTCATCTTAACAGAATGACCGATTATGGTTAGGCACAGAACTGTCAATCCTGCCAATCAAGGGAAGCACCATTTCAGATTGTGTCTCAAAAGACCGGCCCGACAAATGACTGTGAGATTTCCGAAAGCGGAAATTATTGCAAGTCACAACTAACATCACGAAGCTGGAATGTTCTAAGACAGAGCATTAGCCAGTTCATCACTCACTCCAGCTTCCCTATACACACGTTTACTTAGACATAGAGGTCCACTAGAAGTTCTTCATGAACACCGAGGGGGCTCTGGACTCTGGGTTCTGGAGGCTCAAGTAAGATCAATGAAAAAGAAAACCTTTGTATCACGAATCAAGGAGGTTTCGTTTCGCTTCCCCTTGCAGATCGAATTAGAGATCTGTCACAAAATACACCCCTTGATGGAGAATTACCGGTTAACCGTTCGATAAACACACCCCTAGGATATGCAAGGTAGATCCGAGGGCTGCATCCGCTCGTGCATTTTTGAAGATCTGGCATCCTTACCTGTTAGGCTTGTAGAACACAAGCAAAGATCTGCTTCAACATCCTCCGGATTTTCCATCCTATCATTCTTCCCTCTCTTTAATCTACTAGTGCCTAATAAACCTTCCTCTTACATTACATATACTAAGAGTCTAGAACAAGTTTAGTACTTGGGTTTTAATTTTCCGTAAATCATTCCCCAATTGCACACTATTCAAGTACTAGTAACAAGACGCTGCGCTTGCTTCTACAGTATCGGAGATTCATATCCCTGAAATACGATTCGGTAAGCTACCTTACAGTAACAATCCGCCGGGCTCTGACTTGCAGGTGCTGCACTCGCTGTAGCCAGCCCAGCCTCAAACTGCATGCCCCTCCCTCATACCCAGACCATCCAAGCGTCAACCACCTACTTTGAACAGAACACTTGACAACTTCAACACTATCTTGACATGCCACTACAAATATTTTTAGGACATCAGGATTCTTCCACTCTCAACTACTTTTATCCCATATATCGATAATCTCTTGTTCAAAATGGCGTCGTCAGCAGGCAGCGAGATGACTATTGGCGATGCATGGGATTATCTCAAAACAACCGGACTAACTGGATGGCATAAAACTACACGACGGATGCGCGTTGCTGGAGTCATTTTTACATTATGGTAAACTCCCTCCCTCTTTCATTCATTCATTCAATCAATTGAAAATGACTAAATGAAAAACCTCCAGCGTCCTCTCCTTCTTCTTCCTTCAACCCTCCATCCCAGACCCTCCTTCGCTCCCAACAATCCCCCAGCATAAGCCTAGAATACAACACCCACAACACCCAGAACCCCTCCCCAACCACGTCCCCCTACAACGCCTCCAAAGTAGCCCTCCTGATCGAAAACCGGCCCATCCCCATCCTCGCGCCATTAATGCTGCACTTCATTTCCGTCGTCCCTCCCGACTGGCGCTTCCGGTTCATGGGCTCCCTCGAATCCGTCGCATCTCTCAACGCCTCGCGCAGCATCCGCAACCACATCTCTGCCGGAAAACTAGACCTAACCTACATCCCGGCCAACATGACAACGGGCTCGCAAGAAGAAATCTCCGCCTTCCTGACCACGCTCTGGTTATACGAAGTAGTACTGCAGCCAGCGGAATGGCTGTTGGTTTTCCAGACCGATAGCATGTTATGCGCGAACAGTAGGCAGAGTCTGGACAACTGGCTGGATTACGACTGGGTGGCGCGCCGTGGAACCCGAATGGGCGGTTTGGGGGGAACGGGGGACTGAGTTTGAGGCGGGTGAGTAGTATTGTTGATGTACTGAGGAATCAAGAAAGAAGGCCTGGCTCGGAGCCAGAGGATGTGTGGTTGACGGATCGGTTGGGCCATCGGCCGGGGGCGAAGCTGGCGAATGGGACAGCGAGCTTGACGTTTTCGGGGGAGATGTGGAGTGGGGAGCTTGAGAAGGTTGCTGCGGCTGCGAGGAAGAAGAAGGGGAAGGGCAAAGGGAAGGGGAAGGATCCGAGTAAGGCGGGGGAGTTGGTCAAGGGCATTGATGATTGGAGGGAAGGGTTTTATGAACCGATGGGGTATCATACTGGTGGTAGTGGAAACATGCTGCATGCTGGCATTTGGGGCACGCCGGAGCAGAGGAAGCATATCTGGGGATATTGCCCTGAAGTCAAGATTATGCTCCAGATGGACGCTGCCAAGTTCATCCCTGGAGATTGCGGTGGTGTGTGGAAGCGGGGTGAAGAGGCCTTGGATGGCATTCTAGATGGAGGTGGGGAGACGGAAGTCATTGATGGAGAGGAGTACCCTATGTTACCAGCAGATCTATCCCCATGGTAAGGTAGAGGATCATGTAGTTTGAAGCCCATTCCGACGGCGCTTTTCTATTTTGCGATGACCCCTCTACTAGGGGTCTTCGAAACACCTGTTTTGCTTGTGTAACAACTGGAGAAAGGAGTATAGGTCAGCATTTTTCTGTATACCAGTTCTTTTTCAGCATTGAGGAGTTGCAGGGCATCTGGTGTAGATCAATCAATTCGCATCCCGCCAGATCAGATAACTCACATGCAAAGTGAAGACAGTCACATCTCACAAAGGTAATTCCCCGTCTAAGAAACATTCATAAGGTATATATCGTTCTGTTTATTTCAAATGGATATACCCAAAGGTCACATAGTATATCGTATCACCACCGCCACGCCATCGAAAAATGATAGCCAAGAAACGCCTTGCACTCCCAGAGAATTCCCATGTAGTATACTGTATATGTGCAAGAGAAAAGTATAGAGCATGTGAGGGGTGCTGTAACTTGGGCGTACAAGTAACACGTGTCCCAAATGAGGTTACGAAACTTGTACGCCATCCTCGCTTCGCACCAAGGTGGGGGGACTTTGATAAGGTCATGATTTTCCTTGCTGGGCCTTGTGTTTCAACATTACCACTGAGTATCTATAGCAAAAAATCAGTCCATGACGACGGATGGGATTACGAATTGGGTTTTAGATAGTGATGAGAAGATATGAATCAAACTTCTCCAGCATCCTGAAAGCATGGATAATCGAGATATAGCGATAGGGCGGGGGAGAAACAGTCATATGTAGAGTAGAACTTACGCAATTATGCCGCCAATAGCAACAAATACTCCGAGAACAGATTTGTCTCCAACTGCACGTCCGGATGTAATCCAACCTATCGCTACGATGGTGCACGTCTTGACGTGACCAACTACTGTGCTGGATACTGGACCGGTCTGTGCAATGATGAAGAATTGTGACATGTTGATAATACAGGCAAAGAAGCCGGACTATATCAAATGTCAGCTGCTGTCTGCGAATTGTGGAATGAAATATCAGTAGTTGAAAACATACCATTCCAATCATGACCCAACGATTTACTGGCAATTCAGTCCAGACTGGGAAAGTATCGACAAAAGGGATAACATAGAGAAGCATGAAAGCTGCTAGAGGAGCCTGGTTGAACAGCAATTGCATGCTGTTCATTTGGAGCTTCTTGTGGTAGCTAGAAATCCAGACCGTGTACAAAGAGCTTGCAAAAATACCCGCAAAGGCAAAAATGACCCCCAGCGAGCTTGTAGTCTTGACATTGGCATCTGCGGATGGCTTGGAATCATAATATGAAACCATTCCTACGCCGGCGCAAGCCGGAATCAATGCGTAAATAGCCATTCTAGGCAGAGTAGATTTGTACAGGACGTAGTTCATGAGGGCGACCGTCGGCGTGAGCAGAATTCGCGCAACTTGGTAGAAGGTCACAGTCGAGAATGCGAGTGACAGGTTGGGCAGGATGACATTCAGAGCCATAGCAACTGCCAACGGAATAATCTCCGTGATTGCGACCCGTCTTGGTACGAACATGGCGAATCGAGGTCGCGAGAGGGTGAAAAGCGTGAGCCATGTTATGAAGAAATGGAAGGCCGCGAATGTAAGTTGGGCAAGTTTCAGAGAAGGGTCGGAGAAGATGGCTTTGTTCGTGAAGACCTGAAGAATCGCGAGAATTAGCTACGCAACCAAAAAGAGCCGGCTTGGCGTCGTCGAACTCACAATTCCAATGGTAGCTAATGTGTTGACCACCATCCATAAGACTGCTGTTCGCGTCGAGTTATCGGGCTTCGCAGGCGCGGGCTTCTCCTCGTCCGCAGGCAGGAATTCAGCCCGCTCATCAAGCTCGTCCCCCTGCTCAACATCGTCGCAGTCTTCACCTTGACAAAGCTTGGATCGGCCGCATGCTTCTCGTTGTCGTCGAAAGATACGTTCGTGACGGATGAGCTGGAAGAGGGCGGATGATCTTGTGCCATTGTGTATGTAAGGGTAGGTGGGTGGGATGAAGTAAAAAGGGATGCCGGTAGGATAGAAGAGAAGAGAAGAGAATATATACGATAGTAGAGACAGAATAGAGATGCGATCAAACGAAAAGTGCTAGGAGAGGACGAGAAGAGCAGAGCAGAGCAGCTTCGAATAATATATTATTATCTCATCCGAAGTTAGGTGTTAGGGTAGGGTGTAGGGTAGTAGGGCAAGGGTAGTGCGGAGGTATCGAAATAATAGGTCCCCGGTCTGGATGCGTGCTCGTCGTCGTCGTCGTCGGAATGCCAACTAATAATAAGGGGACCGTACCTTACTGTACTCGTGCCGACGGCGTAGTAGACTAGTAGCCCTTCAGCCTTAGCTCTAATTCCCGTGCATTCCTTCCTTGCAGTCTAAAAATGGCGTCGTGGATCAGATCTGCGTAAGAAGGGAAGGGAAGGGAAGGGAAGGGATGGGATGGGATGTCTATTAAGGTAATCCTTGACTGGTCGAGTCTGGTGAGTCGCTACTCGAAGGAATAATTAACCTCAAGTTTCAAGTTCGCAGGTGGGGACGTAAGGTATTACGAGTTAATTTATTTATCCCTTATCGATACCGACCGAGTACATTTACTCGAGGACTGTACCGTATTGGTGTACCGCATTGGTGTAACGCTGTTGAATCTTCGATGGTACTGTAGGGTAGTTTGACCCGAGCACGTGGAAATCCTAGGTAGGGTAGTGGAAGGGGGTAGTGAAATACAGTAGTATATAAATTTACCTACAAGGTATCTCGGGTATGTATTTACCTACTAGTAACCCTTACAACGAAGAGTTTACTGAAGATGGCAGGGATTTTCATAAACCGCCGTAGGATTCTATCGTTCATACGGCCAATGGAATAAAACGTCTTGTATCCATTGATTTCGTATACTTTGCGAGAAGGATCGAGGCGAGGCAGCAAGAAGAAGTACCCTACCGTAATATCGAATTCAAGGGCCCTTATTTGACCGGTTATTTTTACATTTCCCAAGCTGTCAAAACTCAATACTCACCAATAGGAAGTCAAGAAACGTGCTTCCTCTCAACTCCTCCGGCCGTGGCTGACAGTGCAATCTCCTGACCGTATGCCCTCATTTCATCCATTTCATCTCATGTGTGATTCAGCCCCCTCCAGGTCGCCAGGCTGAGTCCAACCCCTGAATCCTATGTTTTGCATCTTTACTTGAGCCTCTCTAAATCGGGAACCTATAGATACTGTAGATATAGGGACTTTTTATTAAACTAGATTTTGGCATTTAGTTACCCATTATCTATCATCGTTATCATTATCTTCATCTTCATACATATATATCTATACTATATTTCTTTCCATCTTCCGACTCCTTTTCTGGTAGTAGAAAAAGCTGACTACTGCACCCTATCTTACCTAGGTACCTACCACCAGCTACTACTACCTTACCTTACTCATACTATCTTATCGCTTAAATTAGCTACACACCGCCCCTCTCCTCTAGCGTTTGCGCATTCCTCTCACTGGTCCATCACTCTCACTCCCTATCACACACTTCACACCATCTGGCCTCCTGGGGACACAATCTCAATTTCAATTGCAATTCTTGGACTCTCTATATATCCTCCAAAATCTTCACTTCTCAAATCCAGTCCTAATCCCACTCTTTAATCCTCCCCTCCCCTCCCAATCGCAATGGCAAACAAGCACGCATCAAATGGAGCTCCTCCTAGTAAGTGGGATTTTTTATTACCCCACGCATACTTTAATTTATTCCACACTTGCTGACTCGATATCTTCTTTGCAGCTCCAGCAGACTCAAATACCGGGGCAAACAAATTCTTCGAGGACTTTGGGGTGTGGAAAGATGCGCCTGTCTTGACGGGAAGCACCAAGTACGAGCCATTGCCAGATGTCAAGAACATTATGATCACAGGAGGCGCGGGATTTATGTAAGGATCCGTACCCAACAGCTCGGTCGGTACTCCCTACACGGCATTTTTCTAACAATCACAGCGCATGCTGGCTGGTACGACATCTCACCTTGACCTACCCCAACGCATACAATATCGTCTCTTTCGACAAGCTCGACTATTGCGCGTCCTTAAACAACACGCGCGTCCTCCAGGACAAGCGCAATTTCACCTTCTACCATGGCGACATTACAAACCCCTCCGAGGTCATGGACTGCTTGGAGCGCCACAACATTGATACTGTCTTCCATTTCGCCGCACAATCCCACGTCGATCTGAGTTTTGGTAACTCGTACGCTTTCACCCACACCAATGTGTACGGTACTCACGTACTTTTGGAGAGTGCCAAGAAAGTCGGAATCAAGAAGTTCATCCACATCTCCACCGACGAGGTCTACGGAGAGGTCAGAGATGATGCCGATGATCTGCTAGAGACCAGCATTTTGGCTCCTACGAACCCTTACGCCGCCAGTAAGGCCGCCGCAGAGATGTTGGTACACTCGTACCAAAAGTCTTTCAAGCTGCCAGTGATCATTGTGCGAAGCAACAATGTCTACGGACCTCATCAATATCCAGAGAGTATGTAGTGAATACTGTGACTGGAGGAAAAGCAATTGCTAACCAAAGTTCAGAGATTATTCCTAAATTCAGCTTGCTGCTCCACAGACGCCAGCCAGTCGTTCTCCACGGAGATGGAACACCCACCAGACGCTACCTCTTTGCTGGAGATGCCGCAGATGCCTTTGACACAATTCTGCACAAGGGCCAAATGGACCAAATCTACAATGTCGGTTCCTATGACGAAATCTCCAACTTGACCCTCTGCTCAAAACTCCTCACCTACCTCGACCTCCCCCACGAGACGCAAGAGGAGCTCCACAAATGGGTCAAGCACACCGTTGACCGTCCCTTCAACGACCACCGCTACGCCGTCGACGGCACCAAGCTGCGCCAGCTCGGGTGGGAGCAGAAGACCAGCTTCTCCGACGGCATGGCCATCACCGTAGACTGGTACAAGCGCTTCGGCGAGAAGTGGTGGGGTGATATCACCAAGGTCCTCACGCCCTTCCCTACCGTCACTGGTACCGAAGTTGTCGCCAGCACGGAACCCGTCGAGGATATCAGCGAGGCCATGGTTGTCGATTCGGACGACAAGATGACCTTGGGTAAGAAGCGGAAGATTGATGGCAATGAAAACGCTCAAGCTGTGCAAGCCTAAGTCATATTCTGTATACATGGGAACTCGGGAATTTGGATAGTGTGCATTTTGGATAAGGAGGGTTTGGCTAGAGATTTGTCGGCATCATTTATTTGTGGGGAGTTTTTCAGACAAATAGAGAGCTCAAAAAGGAGATTTACCATTTTTTGTTAAGCATCTTGGATATTAAGAGAAAGTTTTCATACATACTTTTTCTACCATCAAGTGCCATTTTCGTTCATAAAAAGATACTGCGAGGCTCAATATCTGCAGCTACCTAGGTAGGTACCTCCCTCATTTATTCTGCCATCCTCCGCCCGACGGTTACCATATTATCCAAGCCTGCGAGGTTGAAGGTCATGCGAAACCATAAAGCTCATAGACATTAAAGTAGCAAGCAAGTCCATAGATAAACCAGCCGTTCAGCCAGCCAGCTGCTCGAAACCCCCCATCTACAACATATGTACACCTTTCATCCCATCCCATCTTCTCCTTGCCCTTGCCCTTGCCCTTACCTCGCGCCAGGAAAAAAAAACATCTCAGATTCGGACCCGAAGACTACACTTGCTGTCATGTCATATCATATCATGACCATAGCATAGTATACTTTCTATCCACATACGTCACATCATTCATTCATTCATCCTCCTAGTACCTACAGTAGAAATCTAGTCAGTTAATCAGTACGTACCGTCTCACACTTATGCAAAACCGTCCGGATCCGTCTATCCTGAAAGGTTGGATGCGATACTGTAGATGCTAGCTAGGCTAGGTACGTTAGAATGTGAGCTTGTGAAGGTAGGATCCTAGGCGAAGTCAGTGTCATGTTCTTTCCCAACGCTTTGTCATTACGCAAGCGTGTGTGTAGTAATTGTACTGATTGGAAGAGAAGAGTGATTGGACTATGTCGCTTGGTCAAGATGGCAAGGAATATGGTCGGGGAGGTGTGACAATATTGCATGCATGCATGCAATTCTCCATGGTAGATTTACTCTTCCAATACTCATACTTATTCATTTCCGAGTTGGAATACTGCACTGCCTGGCGGCCCCATAAAAGAACATACAGTATTCCCCAAGGTTGCAAGTTTCTCGCGCCCCTTTTAGAGCTACAAGCTATGATGTTCCTAGTAATACCACCCACCCACAAATTAAAACCAGGGAACAATTTATTTCCCAGACTCTTACAACTTTACATCCGTCCAAAGACTTGCATCATCAAACCCTCCAAGGCCGTAATCCGCATTCAGTAGATTGTCTAAATCTTCCTGCCCTTGATATTGGGTATCCCAGTTCTCCTGTAAGAGGTGTTAGTTAGTATCATCTCATAATCAGCTAGGAGGGGGAAACGCACCCAGATCACATCATCTGTGGCATTGTTGAAGTTTTCGACAAGCGGTGCAGTGTACTCTGGGACTTGGTTATATATGGCTGGAAAAGTGCCAAAGTCATCCGGGTAGCTTGCTTGAGGTAGTAGTGCGAAGCTGGAAGGAGCAGATGCTGCGTTGACGGTTAGTTGATGCCAATAACATTGAGCGACAAGATGTACGTGCCCGTTTGAGAACTGGAAGATCCTTTAGAAGGGACCTCTTCGGTATTTCCAGCTACTGCTTCCGATGCAGTCGTATTATCTCGTTCCGATTTCCCATTACTATCCTGATGGCTTCACACGCCTTTTGAGCCTCGCGCGACTCGTCGCACTTCGTCAACCAAACATTGTAGGATCCGAGCAACGCTCTCTCTACAGATTGTCTGGTAATCTTTTCTTCGTTACTTTCTACGTTCTTGGTTTCTATGCCATAGTCAAGATCCAAACACAGGATAGTTGAAGCAAGTAGGAAGTCGTGATTGAGGATTGCAGAAATTTTCCATCGGTCCGCACTTAGATACCCACCAGGCTGCGTCTCTTCATGGAGCAGAAGCTGGTAGTTCAAAAGCTCAACGGCGGAGTCTATACATGCCTGGCGGGAATCTTTGTATCGAGAGTCCGTTCTTGCAGGTATGAGGTACTTCCGATGTAGGGTGCAGTGAGCACTGTCGCCGATGATTGCTAGATACATGCGCTGCATTATTACGTCGGTTGAGACGTTGATTGAGTTTTTTAATGGCCGCATTTGTAACGCTGTTGGTATGCTAGCCTGTGTGTCGTGTAAAAGTTTGTCAAGGCGCATGACTTCCACGTATGATACTGTTCTAGTGGAGTTGCTTTGGTCTCCGATCTGGGATTGAGCAAAGAGTAGTCTACCTTTGATGTTCATATACAGTATTGGCGTTGTTTCTGTTTCAGGTCGAGAGGGAGGTAGTTCTACCATGTACTTGTCGAGGTCTTCGTCGAACAAGCTGCGGGCTTCCATGGTGTCTGCTTCCCCATCGCGAATCATGCGCGGTAAACCACTAGATCACTGGGAGTTAGCTATTTCCTATTCAAGACGGTTTTAGGGGTAGAGGGAGCCTCTGTTTCCAGTTCAGGAAATTTGTAGGAGTTAGAGCACATGAGACGGAACAGAACAGAAGGGGACAAGGTAAAATCAAAGAGCTATTTCTCCTTACACTGCTAATGATGTAGCCATATCAAGCTGAGCAATCAATGTCCATGCTCTGCGTCGCATTTCTCCATGGAAAGGTGAAATTCTAGGGAAATTTGTTGCATCGCGGTGGTAGCCTGGCAGAGTCAATATAGGCTTTGAGAAAAGTTCCCGTAGTTGAAGAAGAGCTCTTGGATACTCAAGAGAAATTTGACAGCCCGGCTTTTACATAAAGGCGAGCTCAAGGAGAAAATATGACGTACCCATACGCATTGCTATGCGAGTAATGATACCCATTAGAACCCACTGCAAATTGTTAAAGTCAGAATTGCCTAATCAATAAACTTTTGCAGTTCGGGAGTATTTAGTATCTCAGACCCCTGTAGGACCTTTGAACTCCCGCATCTGTTCACGCAAGGGAACGATAAAGTTGGGCATTTTACATACACACCCGGCTTGCATGTCCTTGTTTTGGAAATGCTCGATAGTGAAATAAAGGAGAAGGGCCTCGACGCTATAAGGTACCGACTTGGTATACTTCCCGAGAACAAGACATTGTACTACTTTCTCTCGATAAATATTCATCAGGTATTGAGGATCTTGTGGCCAAGCCAGTGATTGATACATGACTCCTGGGTCCTTTTGAGATAGATATTGAAACTGGATTGCTAGACACATCATGCTAAACTAGTAAACAGTCTCGGATTAGTATGGAATATTTAGAAAAGGAAGAGTGAAAGAAAGTATAGAGATATAGTCCCAGAGGACGCTTCAAGAGCTCGGGGTGCCGCAATCAACCTACCAGAATACCCAGCCATATCACTGGTGCTGTAGAGGGACTTTCCCAGAATCTCTCGTACTATCTTAATCAGTTCCCCGTCGTTGAACATGGTAATCCAAAGAAGCGCTTACCTCTTTCAGGAACGTTGGACTATGGATAATAGCTAAAGATTGATTCAGACCATTGATCCATCATATTTGTTGACAAGTATGCTTACCAGGCGCCATATCCATTGCATTGAAGTATTTGGATATCAGTCGATCTACAACAGTCCTTGGAGGAATAGCAGCAAGTATTTCCTCTCTACTTGCATGGTTCTTGGCCCCGAAAAGCAATTCCGGTCCGTCAGGGCCCGTGACGTTTGTATCAGTAAAGGCACATTGTATTTGGCTTTTATCATCGTCGAAATGGTCCTTGAGCTCAGAAATCTAAATCCATTAACCAGCAGTCCCACATCAAGAGCATAGAAGTATACCCACACCGTCGAGGATGGCTGTCCAGTGAGCGCTATTAACAAAGTTGGTCTCAGCATTCTCCAGAGCTATCCTTCCAAATGTCTCTGAAAGATTGCTCTCATCGTCAGCATCCGATTTAGAACATGAGATGGGCTCTTGGGTTTCGAAAGGGGAGGTGTTCCCTGACGATGTTGTCACAACAGAAGCTGCTCGCTGTTGACCAGCTTGCTTAGTCTCCAAGGTCTTCATGAGTGAGACAACCAGTTGCTCCAACTGATTAATCTTGGTTGAAATGCCAGCATCAGAGTTTGGCATGTTCCGTTGTGCATGTGTCGATGGTAGAACATAAGTGCACGAGCTTGCTAAGCCACGACCAGAACACGAGCGGCATGGCTGATTACGATCACATTTCAACCTGAACAATCAATCAGAACGAGGTTGAGTACTTAGGGAGGGACAAATAACTTCTTTTGTCGGCATAGAGTACAGGAGAGCTGAATCTTTTCTCTTCGTCGAACGGGCTTGGGCACTAGCTTCGAAGAGGGTGGATGCCACTCAGGGGTATTTACTTGGGCAGAGACGGACAACAGATCAGACATTTTGCAAGGATGGAGGAGAAAGCCACAAAGTTGATAATTCGAATACCGAAGGGAGGACGGGCGTAAGGCGCAAGTGTCGACTGGACTGCAGGAGCATTTGATGGGTGGACAGTCACGTGATGACTCCTTCCCACGGGCTTAAGCTCGCTCCTCCGTCTTTATCGGACGAAACGAAACGATGCACTCATCATTGGCAGCCGCTTCTGGGGAAAAGGAGCAATGCAATGCGGGCCGAACCCCGGTCCAAATGTATTCCCGAATGCCCACCAATAGGATTGTCGTATGTTGGTAGTAACACGGGATCGCCAGAAAATGGTAACCTACGGGTATAAGTCGTATGAAAAGTTGCATAGTAGAGTGACTCTCAGGGGAGGGAGGGGAAGTGGGTTTGTAAGGAAATATCTCTAACCTTTAAGAAGAAGACTCTCCCCTGTTTCAATTCTCCCCACTTCCAGTGCTTCGACTACCGGTACTAACATTACAATTCTTGTGAACTTCCCTGGGTCTGTTTACTTTTAGGTGTAAGAGTAGTTTTGGTTGCATTTTGAGATACAATAAGCCTAGCTTTTGTTGCTCATAGTCTCGAACAAAATGTCACAAGGCCGTGCAGAGGCTTCTCACCAGACTCCAGAATCGATAATCTCAACAATAGACAAGGAAGAGCATTGCGTTGATATAGCAAATCATCCTGAAGAAGAAGAAGAAGGTCTTCAAAAGGCCATGAGGAGCATAACCCGTTTGCACTCAGAAAAGGACAATGGAAGCGGTCAAAAACCCTTGGATCCAAATATAGTTGATTGGGATGGCCCAGATGATCCAGCGAACCCGATGAACTGGTCGAAATTCAAAGGACTAGGCCATGTAGCCTTCATCAGTATCTTCACCCTCGTCGTGTTAGTATCAACCATCTACGTTGCTACTGGCCCAACTAACGGACTTTCTGTAGAAACCTTGCAGCGTAGGCAGTGATTTCCCCTTATTACCTACTCTGCTCAGGTATCTTCCAAGAGAGTAAAGCTAACTTCTCCATTCTCCGTAGCACGATGTACGCCCCCGGAGTGGGTGAACTGACGAAAGATTTCCACGTAACGGACTCAACAATCGGCACTTTGTCCGTGTCGTTGTTCCTTCTTGGCTTCGCAATTGGCCCTCTATTTGTGGCTCCACTGTCCGAATTGTACGGCAGATTGCCTCTCTACCATACATGCAACGCCATCTTCATTGTTTTCTGCATTGCCGCGGCTGTGAGTACAGACATCGGTATGTTTCTGGCCTTTCGATTCATCGCTGGTTGTGGTGGCTCCGCGCCACTCACAATAGGAGGCGGTACGATTGCAGATGTTATTCCGCAAGAGAAGAGAGGCGCGGCCATGGCATTGTATGCAATGGGCCCGCTATTAGGGCCGGTGATAGGTCCAGTGGCTGGGGGTTTTGTTGCTCAGAGTATTGGTTGGCGATGGACTTTTTGGATCCTGTCTATCGCTGTAAGTGCTGTCCTCTCTTCACCCATTGATCGGCTACTAAACCTTATTAGGGCGGCAGCATTGCTATAGGGGCTCTGATCTTTATGCGCGAGACTTATGGAAGTGTCCTCTTGAGGAGAAAGGCAGCTCGGCTTCGCAAACAAACAGGAAACCTTGACCTAATATCCATAGGCGATTTGGGACTTTCGCCGAGAGCGCTTTTCCTACACTCGATAGTACGCCCATTAAAGCTTCTCCTGTTTTCGCCAATAGTCTTGCTTCTTTCGCTTTTCGCAGCTGTCGTCTTCGGTCAGACGTTCCTTCTTTTCACAACATTTCCCACTGTCTTTGAAGAGCAATATGGCTTCACAACCGGCACTTCGGGTCTGTCGTACCTCGGCATGGGAATTGGAATGATCTTAGGAATCATAACTTTCCGGCTCTTGAGTGACAAGATCCTGAAAAAGGCTGCCCTCGACGGTGATGGAACAATGAAGCCCGAGTACAGACTACCATTGATGGTGTATTTGACGCCAGTAATGCCTATAGGATTCTTCTGGTATGGATGGAGTGCGCATGCCCAAGTTCATGTAAGTACTCACGAATTCAAGAATCATTAAAGGTTTGCAAAGACTTACCGAATACAGTGGATCGTCCCGATCATCGGTACATCCTTCATAGGAATCGGTTCTCTATTTGTCATTGTAAGTCGAAGGACTCTTCTAATCCATCAAACCAAAATTGTAAAACAGGCGGCTAACAGGGCATTTCTCAGATGCCAATTCAAATCTACCTGGTCGATGCATTCGGCGAGTATGCTGCCAGCGCACTTGCAGCCAATACAATGTTACGCTCCCTTGCTGGAACCTTTTTACCTCTGGCGGGGCCACCAATGTACAAGGCACTTGGGCTGGGTTGGGGGAACAGCTTGCTTGGGTTTCTATCGCTCGGATTTGCAGTCGTGCCAATATTCTTCTGGAAGTACGGAGAACAAATGAGGAAGAGATGGGTCGTAAAATTGTGAGTAGTGAAAAGAGGTAGAGTAAAAGGCTTTGCATAGTGTTTCGGAGCTGAACATTGTTATACTATCTTAATTTGAGAAGAGACCATAGAATAGACTGGCTGGAAGGTTTTATATAGCAATAATTATAGATTATATTCAGACCTCGCATCTATCCTCAAAGTTGGGCAATCGAGGTCTTTCCTCTCCACAAATTCAAAAGATACCATGAAATGAAATGAAATGAGACTGGACATATGAAAGGCTATTCCACGGTTCTGAGAGAGAAAAAAAGCTCTTCAACTAGAAGGATTACAAACAATAAACACGACGCTAATACACCCAAGACCACACAACGTGGGTCTCATTATTCTTGTCTAATCATCCATCCATGTCATCGTATCGCCAGTACATCTTGAAAACGATGTTAATCATCCGTAACCATTGCAATCGAAGAAAAATCATTTGAACTCATCAACTCGTTCCCTTATCCAATATCCTAATGTATGGAGCTGGGAAGAGACCCCTCTTTCCCATATATGTGCCATGGAACCAGTCTCCATTCACATCCTTGACTTCTCTGATCTCGGCACCTTTTGGAAACAGCAACTCATCGTTGGCAGTTTCTGAAGGGTACCAGCTCCAGAGTGCAATACCAGTCATGCCGATGCCTCCATCTGGTGGAAACCCACTCGCAATGCTAATGCCTGGCGCATTGATTGGTGGAATTTGCATCACATCCAAAGTGACGAGCTTGACGCGTGCTCCGTCTGCCCAACTCCACAGCTGAAGATCTAAAAGATCCGTGGACGTAAAGGGCTCCTCATGTAATCCGTGTCCACCTACGAGATCCTGCACAACCACTCTGCGCTGCCCGCCTCGGTTGTCTTCGAAGCCGGCGATAATCATACGATGCCCTTTTAGGCATCGGCGCCAGCCACTATTGCCATTTTCGGCACTGATACGGCGAGATGCGACTAGTTTCGGATAGCAAATCGTACAGATATCATAGTCCCCAGGTTGAGTATTAGGCACTTTACTGGTACAAGAGAAGCAGTGATATCGTGTTGAAAATGGCTGAATTGGATAATGGCAGACGTCGCATTTGGTGGAGAAGGTAAGCGGTTTGAAACGCCCAATATCCATAACGCCGGGCCCCGTAAGAATGGTTGCTGATGGCGGCAGTTGCTGTTCATGTGTTGGCGTCAGTGGTTGAGCGTCAGATTCCGACGCTTTAAATGTCAGAGGCAGTAGAGCGTGCGTGCAAGAGCGACCTTGGTTTACACAGAGATTGCAGAAACCCCAGTCAGCCTCATTGCAGAAGTCACAACGCCAGTAACATTCATTTGCCCAGGCCAGGCAACTTGCACAAAACGTACCACTCTGCAGCCTCTTCTGAGGATCATCAGTAGTAAGTGTCCTTCGACCATCTGCTCCTCCGGGAGCTATCCTTGGCGGGACATAGCGGTTTGCTGTAAGCATATGCGGCCTTTCTGAATCCGCAGGCAACTCTCCAGACTGGGTCAATCTGTCCCATTTCGCCCATGCTGCATAGCCAAACCCAAACCAATGTAGACATCCTTGCCCAGATCGGTAGCATGAAAGACAGAGGTTATAATTTCCACCATAACAGAAAGCACAATTGTAGTGGAGATCATACTCAATGTGAGGTTTTGCACATTTAGCACAGGTAAGAGAAGGCTCGGGAAAGAGCTGTGTGCGGGTCCTAGAGCTATGGGATGATGAGGACGTTGGTCTTGTGCCACTCGATAGAGCATTGGCTCTGTCCGAAAGAGTGGCCAGTCCATGATCTCTCGGAGACAACGGTGCAGGCAACATTGCTCGGTCGCTACCGGAGTTTGCTGTAGCGGAGGGGGTCGAAGATGGCACGAATATCTCAGTAGGAGGTTCTGCGCGGGTTCGCGGTTCTGTTGTTGCCGCAGATCCTGAGAACCCATCTGATCGAGCAAATGTTCGCATTCTGGGGCTAGAACTGGGTAGTTTTGGCGATTCTCGAGCTAGTTGTTCAGCGGGCAACTCGGAGGGTCGTTGGACAGTAGGATCTGTTGAACTTCTGGAGTTTGCTGTGACTAAAGGACGGGCGGAAGCTAGGTGGAGTGATTGAGGTCTATCACTCAGATCAATCTGGGATCGGGCCGCTGGTCTTGCTTCAGCTGCTGCTAAAGGTACAGGAGTGGTCGAACTTCGACTCCCGCTGGTAGTTCTCCTTCTGCGCCTGCCCTCGTCGCCAGAATTGACTTCTAGATGGGCAGCATGAGCCGCACTTAAAGATGTGGGCGGCCTGCTTGGCTCATCGCTCTGGCTAACAGCACTGGTAGTCCGAGAGTGAGTTCTTCGCCTTCTAGAAGACCGGCCACCATCATCAGCAGACGCTTCCCTTGACTGAGGGGCAGAGACTCGCTCCTCCCTCCTTCGGCCACTCTCGTCGTGCCTCCTCTCTCTTTCTTGCCTCGCCTTTTCGCTCTGTCGCCTTCGGAATGCCTCAGCTATCCTCTCACTGATTTGATCCTCCTGGCTCACATCAATGTTTTCCAAGTCTATACCATCTAGAAGTCCTTCTTCTCTAATTTGACGCAGGATCTCCTCTTCCATTTCGTGAGAATCAACATCGGAAGAACTGATTAAAGACCGTAAAGAAGACTGATGTTCAATTTGGCGTACTGCCGTCCGACTGGTCTCCTCGTGCCTTCTCCTGCCCTCCTCATTACTACGCCGTCGTCTCCGCTCGTCCCCACTTTCTGTTCCAGGCCGTAGAGAAACATCATCCCTAGCCCGTCTACGCTCAGAATCTGCTTCCCGCCGGCGCCTTCTCTCCCGCTCATCCCCACTCCTACCATCTCTGCTGACATCCCGACTTGAGTGTGGCCTCGAAGAACGCACCCTGCTATCGTCTCTCCTCCTACGCTCACGTCTTGCTTCTGGTGTTTCTACACCGACTTCTCTGAGGCTGAGATCCCTGACCTCGTTCAGCAACCTCTGGTCCTCATCTTCCTCTCTCCTCTCCCTGCGTGTTTTTTCTCTGGCTTCCACTTTCGGCAGAATTTCATCTCCCGGGTTATATTTCTTCTTCACATCCTCCTTCTCCTCGGCCGTTCTGCTTTTCGTTGGGTTCGCGGCCAGGAACATCTCTAATAGGGTAGTAACTTTCGCATCGTGCCGCGAATTTCGCACCGGCGCACGACATGATGGACAGGTATATGGAGATGTGCCAGCAGGCAGGGGGGTTGGAGAGTTGCGCTTCGCAGTGAGCTGCCAGCTGAACCACTCTTTCAGACAAGAGCCGCAGAAGGTATGGAGGCAGTCGAGGAGAGTGAGGGGTTGGTAGAGAACTTCCGTGCAGATCTAGACGTGGAAACTTGTGTTAGTATAATCCCATACTGGCAATGACTGGCGCCAAACTCCTCATTAAGACCTATCATGTTGCGCAAGGCATACTTCATCGCAACATGCGTTGGCATGTATTGTCTCGGCCGCGAAGGTTCTCGGGGAAAAGGTTAGATTGGGGGCCAGCTTACAGAACATGTCAACTCTCTCTCCAGATCCAGCCCTTGATTCTCCGGTTCCATAGCGTTGAACCTTAAACGTGAGATGGTTTTGAATAGAGAATATCAACCTTTGAGGCGGGGTATCCCCAGGTTTGGGCTTTTCATATTCTTGTACACAGGACAGGCAAGTTGGCTGTGGCGCTTTGTAGATCTTTCTGCAGGTGATTGGGGCTAAGTGAGGCTGGCTGACAACACAGTAGTAGATTCATGAATGGGGCAAATAATACGAAGGCGCAAAAAGTTCTTCGTTCAACAAGTTCCTCTCGTATTCACGTCCAGAAATAGATGTGAGTTCACAAGATAACACCTTATTAATATTTCGGATTGGCTGACTTATACAGATAAGCATCTAAATGGATAATACTTGACTACTCCAGGTACTTCATCCTCAAAGTGTTATAAGATGGATATCCGGATGTCCAAACACTATAAAGTATACTGTTTCACTATTTGTCAAAGCCAGCTGAAGAACAGATGAAGTGCCGCGGCTATGAACTTACGGAGGTAGCGTATTATTCAGTGTATGCCAATGTGTTCCAAAGACTTCTTCCATTATTGAAGTCTCCATTTCACGCGTATAGCCAGCCATTGTCCTAATTACCCTACTTCTTCGAGTGTCATCTGAATGCTTGTTATGTGGACTACTTTAGGGTAGCGAGATGTGTACGCCGTTCCATTTGTGGGCAAGCGAGCGAGAAAAGGGGAGGGCGGCCCTTTCCCTTCTTTCGTGAGTAGATTCCATTGAAGTTCAGAAAATTTGAGATTCGTTATATACCAGAATATTAGTGATTCGGATAATTACTGGTGCCGCCTTGCACCTCCACACAAGTCAAGACCTTCTCAGTTGAGTAGGGTATGGTATCTACTGTACAAGTCTTTTCATAGCTGGTCATCATCATATAGCAACAGCAGATAGATTTTCGCCATTAGTATGCCGCCTGAATTCCAAACGCCAAGCTTAGATCGTTAGTAGCTTCCAAAACAATGCTATGCAGGAACCATTAGGTACCAGATACAGTCTCATCATTCATGTTCGTCACAGTCTTTGTGGAGGAGTCATCTGCTTCCGTGCCGTCAGGTTTTCTCCCCACCAGTATCTTGGCCTTGAACCCAATCCCTCGACTATTCTCCGAATCTAAAGCGACACGTCTTGTAGCGTTGACCGCTTCTTCAACTAATTTCACCGCATCGTCCAGATCCCACCCCATAGTCTCCACAAGAAGTCTCAAAGAAACTGCCTCAATTCCACTGAGCTGTGTCACCAAGAATTGCTTCCCAATTTGCTGAGCAAGTGGATCATCCGGCCATATTCCTATAGGTATGATCTTGCTTGTGCTTTTGGCATCCACGAACCCGAGTTCGGTCAAGCGCTCCGGCTCTAGATGCAACGCTGTCCTCGGCCTTCCTGACAATATCGAAGCTTCGAGTACCGTGTGTAACCATTCAATGACCACTGGGTCATCTTTGAAGTACGATAAAAGAGCTTCATGGTCGTCAAAATCAATGATTTCGAGCCAACCTCCCGGTTTTAGATGATGAAAAGCTTCCGTATATATGTGTTTCCAATCCTTGAAAGCACCTTGCATAGAACGACAATGTATAAAGTCGAACTCATCCTCGTCCCACATCCAGCCGCCTTCTTCTTCTGCGTCATCGATTTCAAAGAAGACATTCAGTGGTGCGGCAGTAGGTTGTATCTTGGCTATATCCGTTCCTATGATTTCTGTATCAGGATATTCATCCCCCATTGCCATTGCCCATTCGCCTGTGCCCGTACCGATATCGAGGATCTTTTGAGGGTTGTCGAGAGGAACAGTTGTAAGTTTTTGATCCAGCATAAAGAGGAAAACATTGTGCAAGATTTGTGTGCGTGTCTGCTCTTCTTCGTCGTTTGGCATGTAATAATCCTTGACGTATCGTCGGTGATAAAGCGTGGTGTAAGAAATATCAGAATCGTAAAGGGAGCGTGTGGAGTTCCTGTAATAACAACCAATTAGTTATTGGTTCCTCACATAAATTCAGGAAAACATACAATGTATCGCTATCATCCCGCGGGGTATGGAAAAGTGTCCTGGAGGCACTGTCCAGGAATGGGCGTTCATAGTTTGACTCGTACTCCTCTCTGGCATCCTCCATTGGAACGTCGTCGTCAACAGTAAGAGCAATGTCTCCAGGCAGCGAGTCTTCCTCCAAAAGGTATTCTCTGAGTCGGTCTCCAACCATGACAGGCCCGACTGCAGTTAACAAGTTCCTTGGGGCAGATGATGAAATTGCTATATCGGTATCACCGAGACTGGCCTCGGCCTCGATTGTCCACCTGTATTTAGTGGGCTAGAGCGGGGATTATCATGACAAGAAAGGGTAAAACGAGAGCGTCTTGCAAAGAACACAGTGAACGACGAGTATTAACTCGTATCGAACTGCAAGGATTTGGAGCATTCAGACCTTGCTGGAGGTGCGCTGGATAAGAGGTAAAAGAAAGAAAACAAGTTTGACCCAATGCGCGACAGAAATCGACGCCATACTTAGAGGAGATAGAAAGGGAGGGCGGCAGACGACCGAGTCCATGCGCCTGGGAAAGGCTAACGGAGGCTCCACCGTGGAGATTTAAAGAATGGCACGGCACTCCACTGCAGGGAGCGGAGGAATAGATTAGCAGGCGGATGCTGGAGAGATCAGGAGCAGGAGCCGGAGTAGGGCAGGTGCACCGAGACAGTACTGGTAGGTAGGTAGGGTAGGTACCAGTACATCGAAGCTTCGAAGTGTACCTACGTACGGTACTTCGGTATTTTGGCAGGGATGAATGCATCCAGAGTCCTGAATGCGGGCGCTGGAAGTACGATACGGTACTAGAGAGAAAAGAACAGACGAGGAAAAGGAAGGAAATACTGTACTGTACTGTAGTGGAACTGGAGTTCATGATCATTGGCGAGGCAGCGAATCAACACCCATCCCAACCTTCGAGAACGTTTCTTTCCTTTCGCAGCGCGCAAAAGCGCTCTCCGCGAAATCCAGCACCCCTATTCTCGGAAATATAGGGGGCCCGTTGAACGCATCCATCTTCGAATCAGACCTGCAGCTTGCAACCCACAAGCTGCAATGCGGTGAAGCCTCGCCTGTTCGGTCAGCGAATTGGCTTGCAGCCTACATACAAAGCAACTCCCAAGAGCAAAAGTGGCACAGAAATGAGGCCGATGACAACGCATCAATCATGGCTGCAATGCTTGTCTTATCCTGCTGACCCGACAAATCCCCTCGGGTTTCATTTCCACGGCGCTGGGTCAGATTACGGGAGATCTTAGCTTAATAATACTGGATGTGTGGAGAGACAGGACAGGCCTCATTATCAGGTGGCTCGAGTATTCGGTACCAAAGGAATGTAAGGCTAGTGCTTATGCCCTGTCTTTATCCTCTCCGAGCGGTCAAATGTCCCAATGGGGAACAAACACATCTCACTACGGAAGAATTTGATCAGGCACGGATGTACTCCTTTTCATCCTAGTGGATGGAGAGGAGGATGAATTTCCCTGTCATTGTCAGGCGAAGACCGACTTTTGGTATATAAGCAACGACCTGATGATTAATTAGACTATTTCCAATGCAAAAAGGACTGTCTGCATTAACTGAATTTGGGCGGTATACTACACTACACATGGCTGCCGAAAGCATTTACGAGATATTGTTTTCTGCCATAACCCTCCAAGTTGTTCCAAACACCATGCTCTTGCTCGGCACTTAATACGAAGTATTGCGGTCTCTGATATGGCAATCGATTCGACACAAGGATTAATTCGAAGCAAGCTTCCGCAGAATGGTTCCCCAAGACACATGATTACTAGTTGCGTGGCTGTTTCCAATCCGGCAGTTCCGTATCAAAGGCCATACCTATGTGCGTCTTTCTGTTAAGTCTGTTTTGCTGTTCTGAACCAAATCCTTCATTCTTCCTCGCCGCATAGCTCACCGAGCTGCATGCTGCATTCCGTGCCGTGGTAATGGGTAGGCTTTATAAAGCCGAAAACGAAAGATCTACCGCCAATGGACTCATAATGAGTCGGAGATTGATGCCGTGCTATCAGTCAAGTGAAAATAACAGCCAAAACCATCAATCTATCTCGGATTTTTGTCATGGTAAGAATAAGCTAATTGGCTTGATGGGAAAGAGATATCTGAAGAAGTAATTTAGCAAGCTTGGTTGTCAATCCCTTAAAACGAACTAGTTTGATCGACTTCTGCCAAATATCTCTTCTTTCAGACATGACTATCCTCTTCATCGCTGTGATCAGGTCTCTATGTATAGAGTCGCATAGCACCAAAGAAATGTTTTTACAGTATGTCAAGGCTTCATTTTCATGGCAAAGGACATGGAGAGCTAATAGCAGAATGGAAAGGGAACAGAGAAATGAGGAAGTGGTGTTGGCAGAACGAAGAAGAGAAACGTCATCTTGGATATTATTGCTATGGAGCCTGGGAAGAGTGAAAATATTATTCATGCAAGCCGAAAAGTTCAACAGCTGCATGAGATGAAGATGAGGCCAGGATAATTCCTTATCGCTTTATCAAGCTGCATTAGCGGTGAGAAATGACAAAAAAAAAAACCGATTTTTAGAAAATTGTGACCCCGCCTCGCCCGCATCCACCTACACTACTACCTTCACCACCATACTTCTAGCTGACTGGCCCTACCCTACCTACATCACCAAATCAGCAGATAATTTCCCACCACTTCTTCCTTCACAATAATATTGACCCAATCTCAATCTCTCAATCAGCAAATCAGACATCATGGCCAAAGACAAGGTGAGTTCCAGACAGAGCTGGGCAATCGATTGTGCGAGTTCGCTCGTGTTGAGTCAGAGCTCTAGCTGATAGGGAATCCAGGTCTGTCTCGCATACTCGGGTGGTCTCGACACATCCTGTATCCTTCAGTGGTTGATTGAAGCTGGATATGATGGTATGTACCTCTTTCGCACATCATCCCCAAGTTTTGAGAGCTAATTGATTTCTAGTTGTCTGCTATATGGCCGATGTCGGCCAAGAAGGTACGCGAATCGACCCATTGACGAACCACGAAACATAGCTTCAGACTGACGTTGGAATAATATAGAGGACTTCGAGGCTGCCAAGGCAAAGGCATTGAAGATTGGTGCCGTCGCATGCTACATCGAAGACTTGAGGAAGGAGTTTATCGAGGAGCTCTGCTACCCCGCTGTTCAGTGCAACGCTATCTACGAGAATGTCTACCTCCTGGGTACCTCTCTGGCTCGCCCAGTCATTGCGAGATCTCAGATTGCTGTTGCCCAGAAGGAGGGCTGCTTTGCGGTATCTCACGGCTGCACTGGAAAGGGAAACGACCAAGTGCGTTTCGAGCTCGCATTCTATGCTCTGCAACCCAAGATTAAGGTCATTGCACCATGGAGAATGCCAGAATTCTACGAGCGTTTCCCTGGCCGTGATGCCCTTCTGGACTACGCCGCCGCAACTGGCATCCCAGTCAGCAGCACCAAGAGCAAGCCATGGTCCATGGACGAGAACTTGGCCCATTGCTCTTACGAGGCTGGTACGTTGCAACCGTCTGTCTCCGGGGGACAATGCTAAAATATAAACTTCCAGGCATTCTCGAAGACCCCGACACCACCCCACCAGCTGATATGTGGAAGCTCGTAAGCAACCCCACACAATACCCCCCATTTTTCGCGATCTGTTGTGGAGTGCAGATGCGATTCAGGTGTTATGCCACCCACTAGCACCCACGACAGACCTAGCGCCCACATATTCGAAAGAATAAAGCTGATGTAGCGTTGAACAGACCGTAGATCCATTGAACGCCCCAGATAAGCCAGAAGACTTCACCCTCTTCTTCGAGAAGGGACTTCCAGTTAAGTTGATCACGCAAGGCAAGACCGTCACCGGCTCCGTTGAGCTGTTCTTGGAGGTTAACGCTATCGCACGCCGACACGGTGTTGGACGTATCGATATCGTTGAGAACCGATTCAGTAAGTCCTTCCTTGCTCTGCTAATCGGTCTGAATACTCGCTGACGCAACGACAGTCGGTCTCAAATCCCGCGGATGCTACGAGACCCCAGGTCTCACCTGTCTCCGCAGCGCGCACATTGATCTCGAGGGTCTTGTCCTAGACCGTGAGGTCCGTGCTCTCCGTGATCAATTCTTGACCTTCAACTACGCCAAGATCTTGTACAGTAAGTTTGCCAATCTACCAATCTAGTAGAATGACTTTACTAACATTGGTCCTCAGACGGTCTCTACTTCTCCCCAGAGCGTGAGTTCCTTGAACAAAGCATCGTTGCCTCTCAGAAGGACGTCAACGGCCAAGTTCGATGCCGTGTCTACAAAGGATCTTTCTCCGCTCTCGGCCGTAGCTCAGAGACCTCGAAGCTCTATGATGCTTCCGAGAGCTCTATGGATGAGATTGGCGACTTTGCCCCTTCGGAGACCGGCGGATTCATTACCGTAAGTTATGCCCTCGCAGTATTATTTTTCGTTCGAACCCCCCTCTCCGATCTTGTGGAGGGAATACATTCAACTGTAGCTGTACTGACAATTCAAATAGGTCCAAGCGATCCGACTCAAGAAGTATGGCCAGGCTAAGGCTGACGCTGGTGAACGTCTATAGAAAGTAGACTAAAAATGGTCATGGTTAGATCTTCCGGAGTTCATGTCGGAGCATTTCAAGAAGACTTCAGTTACCAAAAGGGGACATTTTTGGAGGCGGCGTATCTAGTTATTGTCGGGGTTTTCTATAGAATGCAAAAAGTAATGAGCACTATGAAGGCTAGTCGTTATACCCTTATCTGCTATATGTTTAACGGCCGTCTCCACTCAAAGCCTCTGATTTGAGGCACCGATAAAGAGCCGCGTCTGTGCTCGTACGAAGTAGTAAGTAGTTACGTAGCGTAGTTAGTCTTGCTCGGTACGAAGTAAGCCTTCAATGGCCCCATAAAAAACAGGTGACGAATCGAATCCTACTGTACGAAGTACTGTACCTATAGGACAAGCATCCCTTGAATCTACTTCGTAATTTACTGATGGCTGATATCGGTATCACCGAAGACAGTTCCAATACTGTAATGTCCAAGTTGAGCTTCTCCTTCCAAATCTTCAACGAAATCTCCAACATCTCGTTAGTTAGACAAAAGTACTTTGTACTTCTAAATTTAGAAAGCCATAACGTGGATGTACGGAAACTATGGGTTTCACTGGTGGGGAAGGACGCGAAGCTTCTTTATGTGGCGTGGGATCCACTCACTCCGTACTGCACGTAAGCGAGAACCATCATTCTAACCCTTACCTTACTGTTAAAATAGGATAGGGGTACTGTATTAGAGTTAACCATCTGCTGCGATTTTCCTTCTTATTTTAGATAGCGTATTATTTACCGTATAGGCGTAGGCCATTCGCCTTTATCTTTCTAGGGAGGAGAACTGAAGATAAGACCGTCTGATATCTTGAATTATAAGGCAAAAGAATAAGTGGTTAGTGTGAAAAATCGACGCGTATCGGCCTTCTCGCTAAAGTGGGCCATGCGTGGCGTGGCCCCCTACCCTTTACCTGGATTCCAGTTTGGAAGTTGTATCATCATCGTAAGTATCGATTCTTTCTAAATGTTGCTCATTATCTCTGACGACAATGGCAATTCTGGTGTTGACCCCGTTGCGATGTTTTGAAGTCGTTTTCGCTCTCTTAATCATATACTCACTTTATTCTATGGATATATTTGCTGTGGCATCTGTAGCTGTGAGTTTATAACAAACCTTCGTTCCTGACCTCGAGAGAATCAAAGCTGATTATAGTTACGTACTATAGAAGAAGACTTTCTACGACGACGTGGCGAAACCCCAAAGCCATGGCGCAGGTACGGACAGCGGAATTGCTGTAGAAGCAGACCCTTCTCTACCTCAAGATACACCATCAATCTCGAGCGCTCCTCAAGCCGTCTCTAGTGCGGCGGTTGAAGTTCCAGTCACAACTCCTTCCGGAAGTTCCGCAAACTCTCACCTCGTCTCCGACACTCCTCTTATCCTATACGCCTACTCTGAATCAGATACAGCACGAGTCAACATGAAGTTCTTCATCCGGCACGGGCTACACGCCGCTGCCGACTTCGTCTTCATCTTAAACGGGGAGACTAATGTTTCAGCTATAATTCCAGAGGAGGGGAATATTCGGGTTGTGCAGAGAGAGAATAAGTGCTATGATATTGGGGCGTATGCGGAGGTGCTCACGCAGGATGATTTGTATAAGGGATATAAACGCTTCATTTTTCTTAACGCCAGTATCCGCGGTCCGTTTCTTCCACGTTGGGCTTGGGGATGTTGGAGTGATATATATTTGGGGAGACTTACAGACGAAGTCAAGGTAAGACCCATCTAGTCCGTTTCTTTCTTTCAAATCGAGTCGGGACACCACACTCGGAGGTCCAAAAATGATCACCATATCCCGTAGAAGATGCAGCTGCAGAAACAAAGAACGACAGGATCTAACATTGTGATTTTCATCTAGCTTGTTGGTATGACAGCAAACTGCGTACCAAGCTTCCACATCCAATCCATGATCTGGGCCACCGACATCCTCGGCCTATCAACGCTCCTCTTCCCCAGCGAAGCGACCCTAAACGAGTACGCGGTCAACCCGCCTAAACCCTTCAACGCAGCCAAAGCCTTACTCGAAGAGACCCAGCCGCAAAGACCCGGTATGAACTACTGCTTCCCCGACATGACGTCGGCCGTCACAGCGGAGATCGGGGCCTCCACGCTGATTAGGGCAGCGGGGTACAAGGTGGATGCCATGATGAGTGCGTATGGTGATATGGAGAGGTATGTGGAGATGTGTAAGGGGGAGGAGAAGAAAGAGAAGAAGAAGGGGGATGTGTTGTATGATAAAAAGTATTTCGGAACGAATGTGCATCCGTTTGAGACGCTGTTTATGAAGAGTAATCGGGATATTGATCCGGTGGGCTTGGCGAGACATTCGGAGTGGGTGGAATTTGGAGCGGGGTATAGCAGTTATGATTTTTGTAAGGTGCCGGAGAAACTATGAACTTCAAAAGTGCTTGGTGGAGTTGTACAAAGAGAGGTCTTTTGGAAATATCTTTCGGAAAAGACAGGCGTTTGGAAATCTGGTTTTAGTGTGTACATAACATGATACCAAGGGCATAGTAGAGAGGATAGCGAAGACACTGGCAGGCTTACAGACCTCTGTACAATAATCTTTTGTTCGTATTTTGCTTGGGTATAAACAAGACTAGAGATTGAACCTTGTTCTCTCCTTCTCCATATGCGCCTTCCATTGCCATTGAACAGCATCTTCACCTTCACTTCCTGCTCTGCCAATTCCTTTATCGACTCTCCTCAGCTTGAGCGTAAATCTTGGGCCTAGCTCCTGTAACCCAGCCCGGATCTCCTCGACACCCTCCACCTTCTTGCCATCAGGTCCAACGACACTCTTCTCCGTCTCTCGCTTGTCTCTGAACACATACCTGTGTCTTCTAACAAAGATATAATCTCGCTGGTTGTGTAACGTGACGACTTGTCTTCCCTGCAACTCTGGCTGGGGCGGGAAGAGATTGAGGAATAACTTGGCAGTCAACAGACCCAGTGGAGTCTTGAAGTTATTCAGTATCAGCTCTGGATAGTGGTTTGTGGGATTTCCGTGTCCCGGCAATTTCTTTCCTTCAACCCAATTGGCAATGGAGAAATGGCAGGTAGGTCCGGAGGGTAGGTGGACGATTGTTAGGCCTGTGGGCTTTTTGGAATCTTCTTTGAGAAGAATTACAGAGGTGTAGTTGCGATTTGTAGCGAACTTTGATATTTCTCGCAGGGAGAATTTATGTCCATATCTGTGGGAGGAGCGGGGTACGTAGGTGCTGTGTGGAAAGAGAGTGCAGAGGAGTTCGGCTTCATGATGGAGAGTCGTGTTAAGGGATGTCGTAAGGAGTATCTTGGGGATTGGAGGGGGTTCGTCGGAGAACAAGGTAGGGAATTTGAGAGCTAAAGAGTCGGGTGTAAGGTCGAGGTTGGTGCTGGTTGTAGATGGAGCATTGGAGGGGGCATTTGAGGATGCTCGTTGCCTCTGCCGGGATGATTTTGTGTTTCCTTCGTCGTCGTCGTCGTCGTCTTCTGATTCCGAATCCAGCATACTATCCACATCATCTTCTTCTACATCTTCCAAAGGTTCTTGCTCAGCAGCTTCTGCTGCCTCAATGCGCCTGCGCTTCAATTGCGCCACATCGACACTGACACCAAGTCCGTCATCATCCACCTCATCCCAAACACGCTTGGCATCGATCGTGTGTGGAATGTTCCTTGCCAGTCGTTCCCTCCTCAGTTCCGGATCTTTATCCTCTTCTCGTTTCCTCTTGAAGCGCTCATCTCGTCGAAGGCTGTCGCGGGCTTTCTTTTGCTTAACGTGTAAATCTTGTCTCTTGAATTTATTGCCTGTTTTGAAAGGCAATGAAGCCTTTGAAGACAAAGGTTTGACTCTTTTGGATCCCATGTTGCATTGAGTTGTTGTGTATTGGATGTGGGGTTGTTTAAACCTCGCGTGACTTTTTTTCCAAAAAATTCCTGGAGCTGGCTGGAGATCCTTGCCGGATCAATTTGTTTTTCCGTTTTTCCGTGGTTGAATTGGGTGCGTACGAAGCACGTCCCACCCAAGGCTGAAAAGGCGAGCGAAAGAGTCATCTTCAAAGCAACAAAAGAAAGGCACAACGCTGCCCCAAACCACTTTCAATTGAGTCACTCGGGCTTCAATTGGCTCCCCTTGTTGTGTATGCGCTACCTTCGCAGTTTCAGTCTTTCTACTTCTACTTCTACATTACAAAAACTTTTACCACGATTCGCAGGTCGACAATTTACTACAACAAGCCCGCACAATAAATACGTACCGCCGAATTTTAAGAACAAACAGGAGCCCATCATGGCAACAACTACTCTGAAGGGCCAGCCCTTTGACCGGCCAATTCTCGACTCCATGCTTAGGCGGCGCATGTTCTATACTCCCTCCTTTGAAATTTATGGTGGCACTGCCGGCCTTTACGATTACGGCGTAAGGATAACTGGCTCTTTGATTCCACCCTGCCCACTTCTCTTATATGTTTCGTCTCATGCACTCTTATTCCCTCATGAACTTTTTAAATTGGAAATATATTTGGAAATATAGGCTCCTTTATTCCCCAAACCGTCTTGAAAGAACAACTAACACCCCCCTTTATTTAGCCACCGGGCTGCGCTCTGCAAGCAAACATCGTCGATTTATGGCGCAAGCACTTCGTCTTGGAGGAGGATATGCTGGAGGTTGATTGCACATCTTTGACTCCTGCTGAGATCCTCAAAACGAGTGGCCACGTGGACAAGTTTGCCGACTGGATGTGCAAAGATCCAAAGAACGGCGAGATCATTAGAGCGGATCATTTCGTCGAGGAGGTCCTTGAGGCTAGGCTGAAGGGCGATAAGGAGGCTAGAGGTGTGGTTGTTGAGGAGAAAGAGGCAGACCCAAAGAAGAAGAAGAAGAAGGGCAAGGCTGCAGAGGCACTCAAGCTGGATGATGCTGTGGTGAAGGAGTACGAGGAAATATTGGCAAAGGTAGGGTTATATTCAGAGATGTTAAGCGACACACAACTGACAATTGTAGATTGACAACTACAATGGTGAGGAGCTGGGTCAACTCATTAAGAAATTTGAGCTCAAGAACCCCACCACGGGTGTTGAGCCTCTTCCTCCTGTAGCATTCAACCTGATGTTCCAGACTAGCATTGGTCCGAGCAGCAAGGCCCTTGGTTACCTTCGACCGGAGACTGCACAAGGCCAATTTCTCAATTTTGCAAAGCTTCTTGAGTTCAATCAGCAACAAATGCCCTTCGCCTCTGCCTCCATTGGCAAGTCTTTCAGGAACGAGATTTCGCCCCGCGCTGGTCTTTTGCGTGTCCGCGAATTTTTAATGGCGGAGATTGAGCACTATGTGGACCCCGAGGGTGGTAAGAAACACTCGCGCTTCCACGAAGTACAGGACGTTGAGCTTGTTCTTTTGAATCGTCACACTCAACTGGCCGGTCAAACAAACGTCGAAAAGGTTGCAATTGGCAAGGCTGTGGCTGATGGCATTGTCGACAACGAGACTCTTGGCTACTTTTTAGCCCGTATCCAATTGTTCTTGAAAAAGATTGGTGTGGACCAGTCGAAGATCAGATTCAGACAGCACATGGCGAATGAGATGGCACATTATGCTGCTGACTGCTGGGATGCTGAACTGCAAACCAGCTATGGCTGGATTGAGTGTGTTGGCTGCGCAGACAGAAGCGCCTACGATCTGACAGTGCACGCGCAGAAGACTGGTGCACCCTTAATGGTCCGCCAAAAACTAGAGACGCCTATCAGTATTACAGAATGGGTAGCTGAGCTGAACAAAAAGCTGTTCGGCCCGCAATTCAAAAAGGATGGCAAGGCGGTTGAAGCTGCTATTGAGGCATTATCGCAAGAACAGCGCGAGACCCTAGCCCCCATCCTAAGTCAGGACGGTAAGATTACTGTTGAGGTTGAAGGTGTTAGTAACGGCAAAGTTGAGGTTAGCAAAGACCTGCTTGTCATTGAGAAGCGAACTCGGGTTGAGAACACTCGCGAGTATACGCCAAATGTCATCGAGCCATCGTTCGGTATCGGTAGGATTCTTTACTGTCTTTTCGAGCACAATTACTGGACTCGAGCAAGTGATGGCGGTGATGAAGCACGCTGTGTAGGTTTCTACTATCCAACTTAAACGAATAATCACTAATATAACCAGGTACTCTCATTCCCTCCTACAATAGCACCTACGAAGGTTTTACTCGTTCCTCTGTCTAGCCATGAGAGCTTCAAGCCTCTTCTGAAGTACATGTCACTTAAGCTCCGCTCTTTGGGCGTTTCAAGTCGAATCGACGACTCTTCGGCGTCTATTGGCAAGCGATATAGTCGGAACGACGAGTTGGGTACACCCCTTGGTATCACTATTGACTTCCAGAGTGTGAACGACAAAACCTACACCCTCAGAGACCGAGATTCGACGAAACAGGTCCGAGCAGACGAGGAGACTATTCTTGCAGCTATCAAGTCATTAGTCGAGGGTGCGAAGGTCTGGGCGGATATCGAGAAAGAATTACCCGCATTTGAGGGTCAAGAGGCCGATCTTCCAGTCCGCTGAGGTATTGTATGCATGTTTTAAATGTGTCAGGATTTGAAGGATCTGTAGATCAGCCTAAAGGGTAGAACAGCGATTTGCAGATAGGTTTTGACTTCCCTTTTTATTGTTGACACCTCTGCTGGATTCCACGTGGATAAACAATTAGAGAAGTCTTTACTTGGTAATACCTAGCATCTAAATAAAGGAAGAAGTTCAGTATCGCACAAAATGCATGGATCTCGCACGATGACAACATGGAGCATTGTGAACGATTAGCCGTGCAACAAGAGCAACTCACATGATGTCCATGTGCAATCGAAAGTCATTGAACAAGAAACATTCAGGGGGTTATGCATTTCTGCGACAATTCCGCTCATTAGAAACATCGGAATGCTCCTACAGCTCTGTTTCAAAGTCTTCTGCATGAGTCAGTGACGTTTACAAAGTATCATCGGATATGTTTCTTTCCAGAAATCGAGTCTTCCATCGGCGCATGTCAGGCTGTGGGACTGGAATCCGAGTGGTGATCGTAGCAGTAAGAGGCCGATGAAGGATTCGTTGGTTCTAAGCCTCGGTGTACATGGAAAAATAGGGGTTGGTTCCTGAAACTGTGCTTGCTTGGACATGAAATTGCTGCCACGAATAGATGAGGGGAAGCCTAGAGGACAAAAGGGTTCTTTAGGTACCATAGTTGTTTCTCGCAAGGTAATCATAATAAGTTAGCCATCACGCATTGAAGATATACCCAAAACCAAAAACATCCCCTCGATATTCATCTTATCGAGTGCGTGCATGCTCCTGTTAGAGAAGGCCATTTGCCCCTCTTGCCCCATCATTTCCCCTGGAGTCTATATTGCCCGTGCCGGACCTTAGGCCTTTCTTGTCCTCCTTGTCTCTAGCGCTTGGGTGCTTCAGACAAGCGAGCCGATTCAACTGCAGGCGCCTCGACTCCGTGCAATCTTTCCAGCTCCTCGACACGACACGATCCATCAACACCACGATACTTTCCACGCCCGCCTCCACTACCGTACACGGGGCCGATGCAGTGCACAATCTCCTAGCCCGCCGAGAGTTTCCCCGACGACGTTGGACGCTGGACGCAGTGCGACTCAGGACCTGCGCCTTCGGTCGAGGCACGGCGAGAGAGAGGCCCCTCCCGCGACGGATCGAGCCTCACGATACAACAGACCATCTACCCATAACGAGCCTGAGGGCGACCTGTATGTCCTCAACATCCGCTATCTACCAATTGTGCATGCCGCCTTGCGCCAGAAGCTAATTGGGTCATCTTATGCAGGACGAGCAACGATTTCTTTTACGATACCCCGCCACGACCTTTACTCCTCGAGTCCCGAATACTAGGATCACGATTCTAGCATAATTTAGTACATCTATAAAAATGGCTTCACAAAACAGGTGCGTTCATTTGTCAGCTTTGCATTCACTTTGATATGTCTCAGCCAGTGGAAATGCGAGGGGTCTAGAGTGGGCCAGTATCGATATTGCATGTCCGGGCTGAAGTCACTTTTATTCAATGCCACCTGATACTCGGTCCACCAATAGTCATCTGCTTTTTGTTGTCGTTCAGTATTAATGGTGGCTAACAAGTACCTACAGCATCTACACTCCGGGCCAGTTCATGAACCCCGGACCCGCACCACGACCTCCTACTGATCGCCCCAAACTTAACCTCACTCCCTCTACAGCGAATCTTCCGGGCAATATGTCTCAGATGAGCATGGCCTCTCCCATATCAAGAAGCGGATCATCTACATACAACGGATCAACAGTGTCCCTGCCTGGAGGGGCAACCTCAACCTACTCAGGATCCACGGTTTCCCTACCTCTTATGAGACAACAGACCAATATGACCGGCCAAGGCGGGGTGGCTATTATCAAGGAAGGGTGGGCGACTGTCAAAGAAGGCAAAAACTTCATCAGCCCTTGGAAGCAGAAGTGGCTCATATTGCGAAAAGAGGCGCTCGATTTCCATAAGACTGAGGGCGGCAAACTGTCATATCAGATTATTTTGAAGGACGTATTAGGTGTTTCCCGCGTAGAGGCCGCTGGTACTATTTTCGAGATCAAGCGAGCCTTGAATGGCTCATCCAATAATCCAGGCGACGATGACGGATATTCACGGACTCTTCAGATCAAGGTCAAGGGCGACGAAGACTTGTACGAATGGATTGATTTCATATATGCGCGTTGTCCTGGCATGGGTGGTGTCAGCAACCCAACTAATTTCAACCACTCCGTGCATGTAGGCTTCGATCCTCAGACAGGTGAATTCGTTGGCCTTCCCCCAGAGTGGTCGAAGCTACTCAACTCGTCGGCCATCACGAAGGAGGATTATGAGCGCAACCCACAGGCGGTCTTCGAGGTATTGGAGTTCTACTCAGATATCACCAAGCGAAACCAAAACCCGGGCCAGTTCCCCAGCTTGACCCCGACCCCCCCAATTACTTCGGGTCAAAATAAGCAACTTGGTTACGGAATGAGTGGAACTAATGTTGCTCCACCACGGCCCGCTCCCGCACAGCGCAACAATAGCTATGGCACTCCCCAGCAACAATCTGTGAATGCGCCTCGGCGACCAACGCCACCTGAGACTCAACAGCAGCGTCAGCAAATGCAGCAAATGGCATCAAACTATGTTGATCCTCAAACACGTGACGACCAGCGTCAGAAGCAACTGGAGGCTCAGCGCCAGCGTGATCGAGAAATGGAGGAGCAGAATAGACGGGATATGGAAGCGTACAACGCATCTCTTCCAAAGACTCGTGTGCCATTGGCTAAACAGGAGATCGGTGGCGGATATGGCAGTGGCAGCTCTGCTTCTGAACGATACAACCCATCCCGGGCTGCACCCCCTGCACCAGGTACTCGCCAACCCCAGCAAGCACAAGCACAAGCACCGCAATCACTTCGGACGCAGAGACAAGCTCCGAGTGCCCCGACACCTAGTAGCCAGAACCGACCTCCATTGGGGAGCCAGCAAAATTCCTCTTCTCGTGATCCAAATGGCTCACCTGCGAGAGCCGAGCAAGGCGCACAGCGCGCTCAAGACCCCCGCTACCAAAATGGCAATACGCAGCAGACTCAAGCTCGTGCGCCTCCCAGTAATCAAAACCCTCCTCCGTCTCGCCTACCTGCGCCCGTTAATCAAGTCAAACCCCTCAATGTTGGTAATAAGCAGCAACCTGGAGCTGGTGCCAATGGTATTCAGCAGACGGACGCCGTGAAGGCTGCTGAAGCTGCCCTTACATCTAAGCCAGCAGTGACTGAGCGGAAGCAGGATGTTCGCATGTCTACGATGAGTGAAAATGAAGTAATGGTTAAATTGAAGGAGGCCGTGTCTAAGGACGATCCTAATATGTCTTACTCTAAGCAAAAGAAGATTGGGCAGGGTGCATCTGGTTCGGTGTATGTTGCAAAGGTCAAGGAAAATCCGTTGTCACCGGTCGCCCAGATGGTCATTAAACAGCAGGGTAGCAAAGCTCAAGTTGCTATTAAGCAGATGGACTTAGCGCACCAACCAAGGAAGGAGTTGATTGTCAACGAAATCATGGTCATGAAAGACAGCAAGCACAAAAACATTGTCAACTTCCTCGATGCTTTCTTGCGCAACAACTTCTCCGAATTGTGGGTTGTTATGGAGTATATGGAGGGAGGTGCTCTAACTGATGTCATTGACAACAACCCAACTATCACCGAGGACCAAATCGCCACTATCTGTCTTGAGGTAAGCTACTGAATGTCCAAGTAGAACATAAGCTGACCCAATCACAGACTTGCCAAGGTCTTGAACACTTGCATCAACAGAGCATTATCCATCGTGATATCAAGAGTGACAATGTCCTTCTTGATGCACGTGGCAATGTCAAAATCAGTGAGTAACCTCAATTCCTGCTCCTTGTATATATTACTAATATAGTTCAGCCGATTTTGGTTTCTGCGCCAAGCTTACGGAATCCAAGTCAAAGCGTGCTACCATGGTTGGCACACCGTACTGGATGGCTCCCGAGGTTGTCAAACAGAAAGAATACGGTCCCAAGGTCGACATCTGGTCATTGGGAATCATGGCGATCGAAATGATCGAATCTGAGCCACCATATCTCAACGAAGAACCACTGAAAGCGTTGTATCTCATTGCAACCAACGGTACACCACGCCTAAAGAAGCCAGAGAAACTTAGCAAGGAGCTCAAGGCATTCTTGTCGGTTTGTCTCTGTGTCGACATTCGAAGCAGAGCTTCGGCAGCAGAACTTCTTCAGCATGACTTCTTGAAGCACGGATGTACTCTATCCAGTTTAGCGGACCTGCTTGCTTTCCGAAAACAGGGAAAGTAAATGAGACAAGATACAATTTTAAGAGCTGCGAATGACGATATTGAAGTTTTGCTATAGCCTGGCAGCGGGAGAACGGAGAGACCCGATTTATAATTCTTTTCGCTCCTTACAGGCTAAAGGCATTATTTAAGGTGGTCATAAGATCTGATCAGCATGAATTCCCGGCGTTCAGGTTGGCTTGGCTATACTTTTATGCTACATAACAACGCATCTTTTGCATAATCGTTTGTTCCACAGACTTTGTCTCTGTGCCAAATAAATGAGGATATGGGATAATGAATTGAGGACGAAAATGGCGCCAGTAGGTAGAAGAATGGAAAGAATATAGAACAGAACTTCTCGCTTCTTATGATATTACATTGGTGGGTGATTTATTTATCAGTTCAAGTAAAGACTTGTTAGTATAGACAATGAATTATATGTTTGATGAGATAAATTCACGTTAGCTCTATCATATACAGTGCAAGCATTCTAATGTATTTACATAGTTGAATAGCTTCAGAAGCGGTCTTGGTCTTGGTCTTGGTGTAACATGATACTAATTATAATTGTGTGATGTTTCCAGTTTAGCGTCGGATGTCGGCGTTTCTTTCTTCTGCTGTCTATGCTATGACCTCCTAATAGGAGGCTCCCATTGGTCTAGAACTATGTTCGTTGACGAAGTCTAGATCCCAATCAGGCTTCCTGCCCTCCTGGTACTACTATACAGTAGCTTGACTTGATATCTGTCAACACCATTTTGCGCCCACAACTTGCGATTATTCGAGGTGCAAACCTGCAGACTCTGCACAAGGTCTCTGCAAGCAAGGAAACAATGGCGCCCCTAATTCCTTCAGCGAAAGCGACGCTCTCTTATCCGCTTTACGCTTGCGATTTCGACCCTCTCGACTCCACGCGACTACTGGTAGGAGGTGGAGGAGGGGCAGGAAGAAGTGGTGTGGGGAACAAGATCGTGAGTAATGCTAAGTTTTTGGGTCTTGTCAGACTTGGTCGCATGCTAATCAATGGTCAATCTATAGACGCTACTAGACACCTCAAAAGCCAGCGAAATCGAAGAGGCTGCCGAAATCGACCTGAGCAGAGACGAGGACAATGTTACCAGTCTTGCTGTTGGCCAGCAGCAGGGCAAAACGACTCTGGTGTTTGCTGGAGTAAATTCCAGTCCACAAGATGTGGCAGCGGGGAAGAATCTACATTTCCGCGTCTTCGGGATAGAGGATACCGCGCCGAAAGCGAAAGGAAAGGGCAAAGCGAAGAAGGCTGGGACAGAGTCGGAGAAGCCTGCTGCGAACAATATCACGGAGATTTCAAGGTCATCGCTATTTCAAGGGAAGGATAAGAACGCATACCAAAGATTATTGCGACTATCGAAACCATTCCCGAATCAACCCCAGGTGGGAGCTGTTGCGACTGGGCTAGAAAAAGAATGGGAAATAGTTCTATTCAGTACTTCGACAAAGTCACCACCAACTAAAATAGGGAGCATCTTACCCCGTAAGGAAGCTGTAGATGTGGATTTCATACATTCTGGGCAGGGCGAACTACTGTTTGCCTATTGCGATGCTCATGACGTATACGTCAAGAGAATCAGCAAAAGCGATAATGCGGAGCCGAGCATTGTCTATATTACACCAGGCTCAAGAAGCACGGAAAAGGTGACTGTACCTGCTTTCCGGGCAATGAGATGGTTGACAAAAGATCTCCTTCTCATGCTCACGAATATTCACGGCAACGCTGGGGTGGTTCTTCAAATCCTTCGAATACCTCCAGACGGCACAGGCCAATCTAGAATAGCACAGTCTGTCAAGCTGCCATCGCATCTGTCGAAAGCTACCGGCCTAGCGGTTGCAAACCTGACGCCTCCTGTTGAACCTTCTGCGCCGCAAGATTACACACAGTTTGTTATTGCGGTCGCAGGGCAAGACTTCTCCGTCTCGCTCTTCAAGGTTGACCTCCAAGTTGAAGGTGGCCTCTCTTTGCCCTCGGCGATCAAGCCTTTCCGAACTTTGAGCGCTGTTCATCCCTTTACGATCACCAGCCTTAACTTTTCCAATTTTACCCCACCAACACATCCCATTACAGCAAGCACACCACCTCAATACCTGAAATTAGCAAGTGTGAGTGTCAACAATACGGTCGTTGTTCATACACTCCCGCTGTTCCCCGTACCTCTATCCATGAAACTTGGCCAATCGAGGACTCCACGCTATGTTGTTGCTCTTCCCTCCACCGCGGCAGCTTGGGGAATGGCCATCGTAGTATCAACACTTGCTATCCTCCTCGGTGCCGTCTTCATCCAAGGACTCCTCGAGGTTAGAGGCGGGGTACCTATCTGGATGAATGCCAGGAACCACGTCCCTCTCAGTCTACAAGAACTAGTCGGAAGACCGTACGAGTTTCCGTCAGGCTATAACAGCAAACCTACATCAGTATCATCAGGGTACAATCACCATCTCGGTGTCCCCACCGATTCATCTGAGAGCGGATCTGCTTTGCGACTCCCCGAATTCTTCGAGCAGATGAAAAGCGGTGCCCCAGAAGACGTCTACGTTGTCACGCATTACGATAGTCCTGATGGCCAAGACAACGGCGTAAAGGCACATGTACACGACGAGGAAATGCATGGACCTCACGGCGGGAAGACATGGGATGACCTGCAGCATGAACAGAGAGAAGGCTGGAAGCAGAAACTCAAAGACGCGGGATATTGGGCGGAGGATATGGGAGAGACTATCTTGAAAGGCGTTGTGTTTGGGGAGTTGGCTGGGGTGGTTGGGCAGGCTGTTGGTGGATGAGGGAGGGCTTCGTTAATGAATGATATGGAGAATGAATGACTGTATACTATGAGTAACTCAAATAAGCAAATAGCAATACCATTTGTACAATTGAGCTTCACTCCACCGTGAAACTCGAGTCACATAATGCAGTCATCAAGGTAAATACGGGGCCAAGTATCTATCCGAGTCAGAAGTCACACCAGCCGATACATGAGCTCTTACTTGGTACCTACCTACCTATGTATGTACCTAGCATAGACATCCAAGTCAAAAAGACAGCAAAAAGTGACCTGACTCGACGTTCGCCTGACCATTAGTCGTACGGGGTAGGCAAGAGGGGAAGGGAAGGTAATCTTACAAGAAGCGGGGTCTGCCGTAACCCCTGGATTCCTCTCTCCTCTCTCCTCTTCCCCAGATCAACATTTATTCATCCCTTATATCCTTGAATATATTCTAGAATATCATCGCATCACTTAATTGGTACCATTTCTTGCCATTGGCTTCAAGAATAAGTAATCGATCAATCAATCAATCTATCCATTTACTTGAGTAAGATATCGGTAGGGTAGGGTAGGTAGGCCCGAGATATATACCAAGGGTAGCAGCGCAGCTACCTTGCAGAATGCGGGGCAGGCCAAGCTCTCCTCACCGCAAATACTCCGGAGTACAACCTTCTTCCTAGCATGCAAGCCAGGGCAGGGCAAGGCAAGTCCGGAACCCCCCCCCCCCGTTGAAGTCTTGGTACGGGCTACTGTGCCTTGTTAGGATGGAAATTTGCACAGGAAGTATAATAGAGTGAGTGCATGATGTCAATTAATAGCGGGGTACTATATTTTTATATATTAAAGGGTTACATCAAGCAGCTCCCCCCGAATTCTACGGATTGTGATATAACAATTCCAAACAACCATCAGAAGTAAAGACGAAAACTGAGCCTCAAAATGAGGGTATTCAGAACTTCCATCTTGGCGGCGAGTGCCTTGTTTGCCTTGGCTGTCCATGCTGTGGATAATGGATTGGCCATTACGCCTCAGATGGGCTGTAAGCTCACTCTTCTCCAACATACATACATACATATAGATCATCTAAACTGACGTGCGTCTTAGGGGACAATTGGAACGCCTTCGGGTGCTCCGTCTCGGAAGACCTGCTTCTCCAAACCGCATCACTCATCGTCGATTACGGCCTCAAGGATCTAGGATACCACTACGTGATCCTCGACGACTGCTGGTCCGTCGGCCGCAACGCCAGTGCCAACAATTCCCTCGTCGCCGACCCGGAGAAATTCCCCAACGGCATGGCGGCTGTGGCGGACCATCTGCATAGCCTGGGTCTGGGCTTCGGTATGTATTCTGATGCCGGCAAGTATACGTGTGGGATGTATGCAGGGAGTCTGGGGTATGAGACGGTGGATGCGCAGACGTGGGCGGATTGGGGAGTGGATTATTTGAAGTATGATAATTGTTATAATGAGGGATACGCGGGGAATCAGCAGCTTAGTTCAGCGAGGTATGTGTGTGTGCGTGATGGACTTCACGGAACTTTTCTTTTTGGAGCGTCAGATGAAGTGTGTGTGTGTGTGTATGTGGCTGACCTGAACTTGTTCAATACAGATATAGGACTATGGGCGATGCGCTCAATGCTACTGGACGTCCGATCCTGTACTCGCTATGCAATTGGGGCGAGGATTATCCTTGGAATTGGGGCTCTACTGTTGCGAATAGCTGGAGGATCTCGGGGGATGTGTATGATAATTGGGATACATATGATGCGAGATGTCCTTGGTGAGATTTCTGACTTTCTTTTCTGGCAGCTCAGTTTCTTGAAACGCTGAACTAACATGGGGTACCTTAGTGATGGACCTGATGCTTGGAACTGCGAACTTCCGGGCTTTCATTGCTCGATTACGAATATCATGAACAAGGCATCTTTCATTGTGTCCAAAGCTCAACCTGGCGCGTGGAACGACCTCGATATGCTAGAGGTCGGGAACGGAGCAATGACTGATGCAGAATACGTTGCTCATTTCAGCATGTGTATGTATCGCTTTTCATGTTGCCAATTAACCACAGCTTCTCGTAGCTTACTTGAATTACAGGGGCCGTGGCAAAGAGTCCTCTGATCATGGGAAACGACATCCGAAGCATCGCGCCCAAAGACCTCTCAATCCTGTCCAACGCCGCCGTGATAGCCATCAACCAAGACCCCAGCGGTAGCAGTGCAGCCAGACGCTGGATGTACGAAACGAACGATGACAGCAACGGCAAAGCCGCTCTGCAAATGTGGTCTGGGAGTCTAAAGTCCACAACCGGTGGAGACTATTCAGACATGGTAGTTCTGCTCGTAAACGGCGCCAACGCCCCAACAGTAATGAACGCATCACTAGCAGATATATTCATCGACAGCGGACCTTCCGGTACAGCCAAGCAAGTGAAGATGTCCTGGGAGGTGTATGACTTATGGGCAAACCGCATGTCGGATGACGAGGCTTCTGCCATAATCTCCTCTTCTTCGGCTACAGGCAATGCAACGACCGGGTATAACGCTACGACTGTCGGTGCAGGGAGATATAATGCTACGAGAACCAGTTACGCGGAGGGCTTGGCGCAGAATAGCTCGCTGTTGTTGGGGAATCTGACGACGACGGTTCAGCCTTCAGGCACTATTGTCGCGACGGTGGACCCACACGGGGCTGCGTTGTTTAGAATCAGAGCTCTTCCCACAGCGGTGCGGAAGAGAGACGAGCTGTAGTTATTGATGGTGTTTACCAAGAAAGAATTGGAAAATAGATAGACTTAGAATCATCTCAGTGAAAAGCTTCAAATGAATGGTATGCAACTCTGCGAGGGCACACGTGTTCCGGTCGAATGCTTAGATTCACGAATCAACCGGAACATATATAAGAAAGTCCTGTTTCGTCGAGGTGCATACACAGCTTTCAGTACGAATAAATACCCCACATCCCAACACCAGAGCGTCTGTATTTGAAGCCTTATTCATACATCCATCTCCCCATCCCGAGACACCGCTCGAGCAGAAAAAGCATACAGCTACAGTAAACAACAGAATGGCAGGTGCTCCTTCATCCTGCTCCCGGACAGCATGCTGATAAATTCGTTATAGTCATCGGAGTCTTTTCCTAGCGAGTTCCATCCTTGCTTCGTGTGCAAACGGATGCGAAAAAATAAACCCTCGTGGAATTAAACAGGAATGTCTTAGTACTGCCTACTATGCGATCGCCCATACTGCGAAGACCACAAAGGAACAGAAAAGGAAGTCTGCGAGATCAACCACGAAACCTACTATCGGAACCATATATCTGGTCCTGGTGCAGAAGATCTCGACATTTTTCGAAGCTTGCAACATCGAGAGGAAGAGCTTGCGAAAGACGCGGCGAATAATCTGGATCAGGCTGGAGGATGAGTATCTAGCCGGTGAGGGGAACAGCGCAGTTGGAGAGAGTGGTATGAGTAGGGAAATGTAGTGTGGACTTTTGGATGATTGAACTAATGTGTTCGATAGCTTACGGACCTGGGAAAGGGGGTTGGGAAAGACGAAGACAAGAATCAGAACAAGGGAAACGAGGACGTTATTCCCTCACTCTAGGTAAACGAGTGCAAGTCTTACCTGAGCAATTTGCTGGTTGAAGGAAAGAAGGGAAATGCGTGTCACAAAGATAGATCAATGAGTCTCCACCATTACGTGTATCTCTGCCATCTCGATTTCTGGACTCTTCATGTCAGAACTAAATATGCTTTCTCGCTCGAGTTTCTTCTTCTTTTGGTTTCACAGGGTGCGAAAAAATTAATCCCAGCGCATCAATGCCAGTTTTCTATTCTATTCTGGGCGACTAGCCCCGGTATACCATAATGGTGTACGAGTACGAAGTACTGTAGTTTCAAATCACTCAACACGCCCCCAAGTGGATTATTGCCGTCAGCCATCCATGAATTTTCAATGCAAAGTTTCGCCCTCCCTGGGTTATTGGCGTATGTCTAGACCACAGGGATGCTTTACGACGCTTTAGAATCACGTACCTGCACCTTGCTCCTTCGTTCGCTCCTTCTTGCATTCAGGGGCTGTAAGCGAATGAGCGAGCGAGCCAGCGCAAAGAAAAGCGCAACGCATCTCGGGAGGACCGAAGCGCCGCTTCCCATTTCTTGGGACGGTAGGAAGTCGGTAATGCCGTATGACTGACATCAAGTAGGATCAAAAAGAATCTTTCCGAGGATCGATATCATGCTAGGAGGGAAATGCCAATTCTGACGTGGTGGAAGTGGTCAAATCCTGGGGATATATACCGCAATCCGGGATCTTGGTTTACTGCTTTGGTGGTCTATGACGAATTTGCAGTGCCACTACCAGAAAAGAAATTGATTCATAGGGAACTGTTGAAGTCAAGCTCTCGCTTTGAGTCTAGGTTTCAATAGGAGTAGTAAGTACCTTTTGCAAACTTTAGAGTTGTTTGAGAGGTTTGAGGTTAGTCCTAAAGCAGCTAGCTGAACCACTCTACCCACCTCACCTCACCCCCTTTCCGTTCTCGCTACAATCGTGACGCTCCCACATTCACAGTATAATATGTACTTCGGAAGGAATCTTGTACAGCCTTTCTCTTAATTTATTGAAGAGCAGCATGCATCTTGTGGTAGATTGCTGTGGTTTGGAACTTCTCTGCCCAAGTCATCGGTCTCTCTCTATACGAGTAGTGACTAGCTTATACCGGTACTTCATATTGCGTCTATGCTTGCGGAGAGTCTTTCCACCGACGCAATACCGCCTTTTCAACTGCTGGGTAGATCCTTCAGTACACACCGGAGAGGCCGCATTGGGGAGATGCGTCGTACTGCTTGAGGAGTTCGAGGTCTTAGCTTCCTATACTCAAATTCCAAAACTTCTACTTGGTTACACCCTGCAGTCATCGTATGATGTCCGTGTATACTGTACTAAGCTTAGCACAGGCTCAGCAGACCTGCTGCTTTGAGGTTACCGCAATATGCCACCAGCATGATTTGATTTGCTGCTACTGAACCTCCTTTTTTCAACCTCATGAACTTCTCTCGACGATCTCAATTCTCCTTGACTTAACATGGAAGTCCAATGTCCATGCATAATCAGATGTCTACATTTGGAACAGCATGAATTATTATTTCCTTCTGTGCTCTTCTCCCTATCTATATCTCTCTATTTCTCCGCCGTACGAATACTTTTATATTGAAAGGAAATGCTACCTTGCCTGCTTTGCATTGACGTTACCTTCATTATTCTCTTCTGTACAACCATTTTCTCGTGGCGACAGTCGGGCTTCTACGGGTTCCTATGCTTCGGGATATCTTAGCATTCTATGCCACTTTATCATCTTTCTCAATGCACTTATTCGCGAGTAAGTGCCCTTTTAGATCATGGGGTCCCAGCGTCCCGACAAAGCGGATAGCCCGTGAGGTGATCACCAAAACTCCAAAACAATAGACCCCACTACCAAGATCCAAATACGCTAGTGCCGGCATCGAAGGATTTTACGAGCTCGCGCTACTACCGGCAGGTGTTCCTGTTCCTTCCCTGATCCGTAAGTGCTCTTTCCACTAGCTGCTTTTCACAAACCCTCACTGGCCGTAAGGTACGAGCTAGTTACGAGATAACTACGTGAGTTAAGTAATCACCAAATTTATACCGCATAATGCCATAAGCATGGCAAATTCTCAAATCTAGGAAAAGAGAATCCAAATAAAAATTCCCGCATATCGGGCGTCTGCATTCGGAACATTAATATTTCCCCCTTCCTAAATCCTGCGGGCAAACACGGTTTTGTGGCAATCTTTCGTTTGAATCTTACAAGATGTGCTTCCATAATGGGGTCTTTCTGCGAGGAAGATGTTCTGATTGGCGCGTTTTACGAACCCCTGAAAAAGACTCAAGTTATCGTTATAGTGCCACGCGCCTGACACGGCGCCGCACGCACGGGGAACTAGGGGCAATTAGCTGTTTTGTCCGAGCTGGACTTGTACTTGCTGGGTCTGAGGTGGGTGGGATCGGGATGCATCAGCCAGCGGTGATGGGTGTTGCGAGAAATACTTTACTTTATAATGATATATGTGAGAGACAGTCACTTAATTTTCTGCTGTCAAATGTTGATGTCAAGAACAAGAATATACTTCCAGTACTGCCGAGATCATGTCAAAGCCAATCTTTCTCTGTATTCCGGGGGCCTCTCACTCTCCTCGAATTTATGAACCCCTCAAAGCAGCTCTTGTATGCTATGGCTATACGATTGTACCTCTAGCACTCCCGTCTGTGGGAGGAAATCCGCCTACTTATGACTTTACGGAAGATGTTGTAGCTATTAGGCACATGGCTACACATCTAGTCGAATCAGGAAACGATGTCATCGTAGTGATGCATGGTTATGGCGGGCTACCGGGAGGGGAAGCACTTCAAGGCCTGGGGAAGAGGGAGCGGGAGCAAAGAGGTCAGAGAGGTGGTATTGTGAGGCTGGTATTCATCATGTCTTGGATGGCAAAAGAAGGCTTCCAATCGAGTCCCAGAGGAGACGTCTCGGCATTATTTCCATACATGCGACCGAATCTCCACGTGAGCAATTGCATCCTTGGAGTCCCCTCCCCCATACAACCCGCACCTCCTAACCGTAAAATAGACCGGGACCATCACCATAAACCCCAAAGAAGCCGCCTCAGTCTTCTACAACGACATGTCAGCCCGCGAAGCAGAATACTGGGCATCCCAGATCCTCCCCCAGAGCATCGGCGTATTCTGGAGCCAGACCACATTCGCGGCGTGGCGCTACATCCCTTCAACATACGTGCTGTGCGGGAGGGATAACTGCATGAGCCTTGCATACGGCGAGATGATATTAAAAGACGCGCAGGAGTCGAAACCTAACATGATTGACTCTGTGGAGCGGTGCGACGAGGCTGGACATACGGTATTTCTGAGTCAGGTTTCGGTATGTAGACGGCTCTTTCCCCCGTTTGTTATTTTTGGTGCCATTGATTGCATCACTGATCAATACTGCTTTTGCCTCGAGGGCCAGAGCAAGGCTCCATCCACACACACTGCTTGCTGAATGGAGGGAATCACCACCCCAAACCACAGCTCGATGGAATGCATCATCTTCCAACAAGGGAATACTAACAATCTTCAGTGGACGGTAAACATGCTTAGAAGAGCGGCAGGTGAAAGAACATGACAACTACACTTTGCCTAAATGGACCACGAAATTATGGACTACGAAATCAAAATCAGGAATCAAAAATCAGGAATCAAAAATCAGGAATCAAAAATCAAGAATCAAAAATCAAAAACTCAAAATCCAATATACCTAATAATCAGTAATTAGTAATCAGTAATGGCTGAGAATGACTGAGGATGCGCAAAATGTTAAAAATACGATGTAGAGTAACGAACGAAGCTGTACGAGTATAATTAGTGTAGATTTACGCCGGGGTTGTTCACAGCTGCCAGTCAGTCAGCATAAGCAACCAATATAATCAGATTTTTTGCTTACTAATTGGGTATTTGCCGTCGCCCTGAAAGGGTCTAGTTTCCTGCTTGTACACTCGTAACTTACATATTCAGTCAGCTGACTCAGGCTACATCAGTGCCAGGGAATCAACGTCAGTATAGTAAGTCTTATATGTCAGCGGCCATAGCAGCGACGGTACTGACTCACTCACTCAGAACGAACCTGGCGTATAGTTACATATCAATTTCTGAAAGGGGACTGACTTTATAATCAAAAAAGCGCCGACCTTTACGCCAAATGCTGTAAATACATGATACCAAGCACACAAGACCGGCCCTGTCTATTCATCGTCAACCAGCCGCCCTGCATCCCAAGCTTTCTTCGCGGTCTTTTGCAGTCCTTCAAAATCACCGCTTGTCTCGCACATGCCCCTGAAGATGGCCTCCTTACCCTCTTTCTTCAGTAGCTCGTATGGATGACCGTATTCCATTACTTGACCCTTATCTAATACAAGGACTTTGTCGTAGTCGACGATTGTTTGCAAGCGATGTGCAATGGTGATGATGGTACTCTTGAGCTCGTGGATCGTTTCTTGGATCTTGGAGTCTGTGCTGTAGTCGATGGAGGCGGTAGCCTCGTCCATCATCAAAACCTTGGGATTTTTGAGCAGCGCGCGGGCTAGGCACAGGAGCTGGCGTTGGCCTTGGGAAAGGTTGTTGCCGGATTCTGTGACGGTGGAGGAGAGGTTTAAGAATATGTTCTTGTTTGCTGGCGTTGATGCACCAGTGGGGGTATCGGGGCTATCGAGATCGGATGAACCTGGTCGAGATGTTGTAATTGGGGTAGAGGGGTTAGTGGTTGACAGTGGGGCGCCTATCAGGTGAACTCTTCGCAAAGCTGCGAAGATATCTTCGTCAGTGAAGAGGTTGAATGGGTCCAGATTGCTTCGAATGGTGCCTGTGAAAAGTGTCGGGTCCTGGGGGACGATTGTGATAGATTCTCGAAGATCTTGGAGGCCGATGAGTCCAATATCAACGTCGTCAATCAATATTTTGCCTGCGTCTGCTTCAAGTCCACGGAAAAGAGCAAGGGCCAATGAGCTCTTGCCAGCGCCGGTTCGGCCCACTATTCCAACCTTCTCAAGTGGATTGATCTTGAATGTGACATCTTTCAATACCGGATCTAAATCATCCCGATATCTAGTTGTATAATTAATGAACTCGACCGAGCCATTGCTAGGCCAATTTGCAGCAGGTCTAGTCTTCTCTATTACTGCCTCTGCTTCCTGTTCGACGTCTAAATATTCCTTGATACGTTCGACCGAGTTCATGTTTTGCTCGTTCACAGCGTAAAGTCGGACGAGCCAGAGTACGTTCTCGGTGAATGCGAGTGCATAACTCAAGGATAGACCAGCAGAACCGGCATCAATTTTCCCGATGCTAAGGACGACGAATGCGCCAGCGAAGAAAGCAACAAGGTCACCGATGGCGTCCATTCGAAAGGCGAGCCATCTGTTGGCAGCCCAGAGATAGATGAATGGCCGCGAGTGTGTGTTAATCCTCGACATGTTATCGCGAATAAAGCGTCTCTCTTCCCCATATGCACGAATCGTCGTGATTCCGCTCAAAGTCTCTCCAAATTGCTGGAACAGGGGGCTCCTTTGCACAGACTCAAGTCTCTTCAGATCTCTCGAAGATCTGAGGTAAAACTTCCCAACGAAGAAATACAAAGCACTAATGAATATACCAGCAATCAGGAAGCCTGGGGTAATGACAGTGATTAATATGACTGTGACAAGGATAGCAAGAGCGCAAGACATGACGCCAATGGCGATTGGAGCCACTTCTTGGTCAACAGCCTCTAGATCTTTGCTGAAGCGATTCATCAATTGACCCAAAGGTGTCACATCGAAAAACTTGAATTTTGCTCGAGTTACTGACTCCATCAAGCGTCTATGGATTGCCCAGCTTGCAGTCAAGGAGCCGAAGAATAACCAGAAATCTCTGAAAAGTGCTATTAGCATACCAGCAATTCCGATCAACGCATAGACTCCAAGATAATAAGAAACATCGACGTTCGGGGCAAGCTGCGCTATGAGTGATGTCTTGTTGGGGTCAAAGTATGGTTGGACTTGGGATATTCGAGAGCTTGCTACCTGGATAGTAGATATCGAATTTCCAACGTAGTTGTTTGGCGACAAGCTGTGATATTTGTTGATAGATTCCGTGTCGTACTGGTTCGCCCATTGTCGAATCCAGACGTTTGCAGCAAGACTGCCAATCTGCTGAACACCGAAGACCAGCACTGCCAAAACCCAGAACCACCTGCACTTCTATTAGTAACTGCTATGATGGTGAATCAAAAATAAATGAAGATTTCCAGGTTAGAATATGACTTCCATGGGCCTGGTCTACAACATGTTGAAAAAATTTGGCTTGGGTGAAAAGAAAGTGGCAGAGGATGACATACCAAGGTCCCATCGAATTCAGATACAGGACTACAACATTCCATTTGACCCCGCCTTCGGCCTTGGTTTCTTTCATGGCATCTTGCTTTGCTCCTTTGTCGGCGTTCTTCGACTTTGCAGTTTTACTACTGCCATTTCCATTGGAATGGCCTCCATCATCAACGAGAGTAGTATCTTCACTTTCGTTACCAAGGCTGGAAGGTACTCGTGAAGGCATCTGAGATGCTATAGCCGATCCAGGTCTTGACATATTGACATCATCACCGAGTTTTCCAGAAGCAATTACTTTGGCCGCCGAGCCCTGGATATCAACGACGCCGTTGTCAAGATAAACCACATAGCTAGATTGAGGTACACAAAGAGCCAAATTGTGGGTAACGAGTATGCAAGTCCGACCTTGCATTAGTGGCCCTCGAATGCAATTATTAAATATCCACTTTGCTGTATGCGAATCCACAGCACTAAGGCAGTCGTCCAGGAGTACGTGTTTAGAGTTGGAATACAATGCTCTTGCAAGCGAGATGCGTTGTTTTTGGCCTCCAGAGAGTGTGATGCCTTTCTCCCCCACGAGTGTTTCGTCTCCATTATCTAGAATCTCTAGGTCCCGCTCCAGAGCACATGCTACAATAACTTGATTGTACCTCTTCTCGTCTAAAGGTGCAGCGAAGATGATGTTCTCTTTGATGTCAGCGTTGACGAGCCACGCCTGCTGAGCACAATAGGCAACGCTATCAGTGAGACCTGTTTCGGGGTCCGGCCTTACATCCTCGCGGCTGCATCCACCACCTGGGAGAAAGACTTTGCCTTCAATAAGCGTCATCTCACCCAGGAGGGCCATCAGGAGAGAAGTCTTGCCTGATCCGGTGGGACCGGCAATAATGTTTAATTCGCCAATCTCGAAGTTGATATTTAACTTCATGAGCCGAAACGCGCTTGAAACTTCCTCTGTGGATGTTTCTTTACCACCCCATGAGAAAGTAGCAGATTTGAAACCTATCATTTGGTTGCCATCTTCATCCAGGCTATCATGACCTAGCTGCTCGTACTTCTCCGTTTCATCTTCATTTAAAAATTCCTCTACACGATCGACAGAGACCTTGGACTCTTGAACGTGTGCGATCATGTCGCCCAGTTGATCAAGAGGAACTCGGAGAATACTAAAGAGGGAGATGGCTGTGAAGGCAATAGAAGGATACAGTGGCTTTTTCTCTATGACCGTGTAGACGAGGAAGGAGAAGAAAGTTATAATAACTGGGACCGTATTCCAGACCGCTACCGCGCAGGCCCAGAGGATGTATTTTGATCGCAAGGCTTTCAACTCAGCAGACCGCTTTTCATTGACAATATTGCTGAAACGATGCTCCCAAGCAAAGAACTTGACAATACGGATATTTTGGAGTACCTGCAAATCGGAGTCAGTATTTCTTGGTTGATGAGTAGTTGGGATATTAATGTCTCAGAACTCCCGGGCTATGAAAACCCCGGACTTGTCAATATCAAGGGAGTTTCTTACCTCGTTAGTTGTATGAATTCGCTTGTCTGTGGCTGCCATGATCTTCTTCTGTAAACGTCCAAATCCTCGCGCAAGTCCAATATTAAGTGGCAAAAGGATAACCATTACGATTAGACCAGGAATACTACTCAGACCCAGTATCCGGTAGAGAAGATAGACGGCAACTATTAATTGGGTGGGTGCCGCGGCAAAAAGAAAGTGAAGATATGCAGTTATCTCACTGACTTTGAAAGAATCAACCGACATAAGATTGATGATAGTCCCAACATTAACCTGCTCATCCGATCCCTTTGCCGCAGTAGGATCTGTAGTTTCCACAGTGCTTGAATCCGAGTCGGGTTTCTTGTCGTCCTTTTTCTTGCTGCCAAGTCCAACCAGACTCTTCAGCTTGCTCACTTTCGTAGCGTCTTCTTTGTCTTTCTTGTCTCCGAGCACTGTATCACTTCCGGCTGCTGCTTTTCTACGCAGAGCCTTGGCGTAGATTTCTCCAATGATAATTGCTCGGAGCTGAATGCAGATCTTTCGACCAATCCATAGTGCTTGGCCGTTCGCTAGTGATTGCAGTACATCCGTGAGGGATATCAAGATAACATAAAGCCAGACCACGTTCCGCGGCGCAATATCAGGGTCCTCGATGTATTCCAGGATGACCTTTAACAACAAGGTCGGAGCAAATGTGAAAAGGCTCGAGAATATGGCATAAGAGCATTGGATGATAAGACTCCAGCGAAAGTAGTGCATCAGGTGCCATGTGAGAGCGGTCGTCTTTCTGAGTTGTCGATAATCCGCTAGAACTGCAGCTGCTTTGTCTTTGGGCAAGAGGTTCCATACGTCAGTCATCTCAAATGTCTTCATGTAACCTTGCCACACGATTGCGTCCACCCATCCAAAAGTAGCAATGGAGAATAAACTCGCCAGAGGCTCTCTAGATGGTTCAATGTCTCCCTCCCATTCTAACACGACTGTTTTGTTGCCCTTCCGGGTAGTAATTGCAATCCCAAACAGAAGTGTTGTCAATGCAAACTCGGAGATGACCAGGGCTTGGGCGACATCGGAGCGGGGATGGATGATAGCTGATCGGAAAATGATAATCGAAAAGAGCCACAGGAGGGAGTATAAAGCCGCTGTATGATTCCATAACCTCGGTATCCTATACCGCGTGTTGGACAATGCCAGTCTCAGGATGACCAGTATGAGGATATAGGTCCATGTTGTGATTCCCGCCACTGTCGCCACTGTCCCTTTCGAACCGTACGCATGGAGAACCAATGCCACGACGTTAATGACCAGCACGGCAACTACCGATAGAAGCTCCACGGTCAACAGAGTGTATTGCCCTCGGGGCTTATCAACAGCAGCAATGGATCCTTTGGTGGTTGTTTTCGCCAGTGCTAGTCGACCTCCACCCATAGTCAAGACTTCGTCCTCATCTTCTGATCCGTCTGCGGCGGTTCTTGTGTCTGGCACATGTCCATTTCCATTTGTGTGCCCATTGTGACCCCCGGAACTCCCGTGAACGCCTGAGCCGTTTGGAACAAGTTTGTACTTCGAAGATGATGATTTGGCGTATCGATGGATATTTTGTGAGAGGAGGAACAATAAAGATATGGCGATGGATACTATTGGGAGAAGAACCTTTAGATAATCGCGCTGAAAGCAGTTTGTTAAATCATCAATCTGCCACAGCGGGCCGGGACATTGGCCTAGCATGCTGTTGCCCATATGATGCTGGTGATATGCGATACCGGCAGGGAGAAGAGAAGAGGATGGAGGCGTCGAGGGATAAAAGATGCTCTGGCCAACTGAATGAACGGAACATTGATTGATATGCTCGGCCCTAGTAGAATGTCAAGAATAGGTCAGGCCGGTGATTGCTGGTGTAAAAGTAAAGCCTCATGATTTTTTAGTACAGTATGAATGAACTAAGTGAAAAAGCTCGAAGCCACAACCCGGCGTGCAAGCAACCCAACCGTAGGTATTGTGGAAAGTGGGGTGGGGTAGATTGATGCCAAGACCATCGCCATCACAAATCCAACGGGGTGCAGCTTCCACATGTAGAACAGACAGCCAGCCAATTGACTGTCCGCTGGCTTGTGCAAGGTATAAGTCACGACAGCTTCATGTAAATCCATACAGCTAGTAAAGCGAGTCGTTTCTTGTATTTCATTTTCTTGCTTGCAGACTTTTATGCTTGTTTCATCGTACATTGTCTCTCCAGAGTGTGTATCGTAAGCCGATCTTTTATGTCGTCCGCTTGTCTGAAATTGTCTGCATGAAGACTGCTTAGAGTTTACTATCTATCACGAATAGCTGTTCAAGTTCTGGACGTTTGCATATGCAAATCAATATGCTATTATTCAAGGACAATCCCTCATTGAATATCCAGATCCATCCATCCATCCATCCTCTAGAACCTCACTTATACCTACCTATCTACTGACACAAACACCAGCCAGGCAGAAGAAGGAAAGAAAGATCCGCCGGCATCGGACTGAGTACGAGTATCTTTGATATCGATTCAACCTGAATACAGCAGGAGCTCCTGCTTGCATGATTCATCACGATATCTCTCGTTTGCATTGCACACCGCTCTGCGATAATCTTTTGGCCCCTCCTCTCCTCCGAGCGCTTCAGTTTGAACCCTGAATGAACCCCTGATGCTGATTGGACAATTCCCTTTGCACGCCGGATGATTCACCATGCTTTCCGGTTGGTAGAAGAACTGTAGAGGAGAGGAGCACGGAGTAATGGTCAAGCTGCATATCCAAATTCGCATCTAGGTCCCCCGCAAGCTTCAAATTACTATTTTCAATCTGCCGGATACCTTTGGTCTGATGAAAAAGCTAAAATAAAAACCTCCAATATGAACTTGACGCACTTTCGATACCAAGGTTCATACGGAACTTCTTGGAAACATATCAAAGCCAGAAGACCCAATACCAATACAATAAGACCAGGCTTAGAGCATTCGCACCCTACATAACTAAACTAGTTTCTCATAAGAAACTGATCTAGAAACTGATCTAGTCAGACATTTGGAAATTCTATTTCTCTCTGGAGTACTGCTTCATGAATGTCCCACCCCACCTCACTGATACACATGATATAGATTACGAATCATATGCATTTCCCTCGCTAAAACATGCACAAGGAGTTTCCAATCCTTGTTCTAATCCTCACACAGTATTGTTTACAAAGGCGATAGATACAAACAAGCGAAAACGTTTTGTCTACCTGTGTATGATACCATAGATAGACTTCCAAATACCACCCACGCAATGCATTTTTTAACATTTTCCATTCTCCCACCCGCTCGCCCTATTGATTTACACAAGGTCGCCTCTTCGACCTCTGGGAAAATATTACCTTCCACCCCTTTTCACGACTTTTGTATGTAGCCTAGACCAAACATGAAGCAGTGAAAAGATCATATGGAGCTTGTGAGGTGTTAGCCCAGCACCATACCCTTAACAGCTGCCATGTCTCCTTCTTTAGCAGCGATTTCGAAGTAGCTGTAGATGATACTGAAGAGAGGTTAGTGCCCAAACACGGAATAGTGAGAAGGAATTGCTTACGTGACGGCCATCAAAATACCAGTTCCAGATCCAAGAGCGCCTAATAAGTCGCTGGCAACAGAGAGCCCACCAATGCAAGCCCCTCCAAAAGCAGCAGCAGTAGGAATGATACGCTTCAGTTCCTTGTACATGCTCTGCTCTCGATGACCAGCCATAACAAGTCCCTGGTCCTTGAGCTGTTTGGCGACATCTCTTGGGCTGGAGCCGGAAACTTCAATCCAGGTCTTAGAGAAGATGGCACACGCAACGAGCATGTAGACGATGTAGATAGCGGTGTGAATGGGATCCAGGAGAGCCTCGGTGAAGTTCAATGGTGGAGACATGTAGTATGCGAGACCAGAGACAGCAAAGAGTTGGGCGGAGCCTTCTTTGGGTTCCCAGATACCGAAGAGCTGGACGAGCAGGTTCTCTGAGAAGCGGGAGTAGAGCATTTGACTAATCAAGAAGACGTTGGACGACAGGGCGGATTGCAGCATGATGGGCATGTTGGAGGTGTAGAACAGGCGGATCGGGTAGGAACCGCGAGCGCCACGCTGGCGAGAAGACTTGACTGGGATCTCGACGCGGAATCCTTGAAGGTAGATGACGGCGCCGAAGACGATGAGAGTCGCAAGCAAGTTCATGATGTTGGGGAGGTTTTGTCTATAGAAAGCCTCCTGCAGAGCGCGCTGCTTGTTTGGCCATGTCAAGAGAAGGTGGAAGAGCGCAATGACGGCGCCCTCGAATTCTGGGCCACGACCAGTGTTGATGGTTGTGGGGGAGAAAGCCTTCCAGACAATGGACTCGCAGATGTTGGTGGCAATGAAAAGGGAGATACCGCTTCCAAGACCGTATCCCTTCTGGAGGAGTTCGTCAAGGAGAATGACAATCAGACCAGCAACTACCAATTGGAGGATCAGGAGGAAGACAACACCGGCGCCGAGGTCAGATGGTTGACCGTATAGGCCAGTGAAAACGTAAACAGTAGCCTGACCCATTGACAAGATGATGGCGAATAGTTTTTGCGCAGTCTGGTACAACTCGCGATCCGACTTCAGGTCAAGGTTGACATCGATCAAGTGTGTACCAGCGAGAAGCTGGAAGACCATTCCAGATGAGATAATTGGTGAAATACCCAACTCCATCAGCGTTCCTCTGTTACTCGCCAGCATCATTCGCAGCCAGTATAAAGGATCCGAGGTGTCTGAAGACACAATACCATATAATGGCATCTGGCTCATGATCAAAAATATTACAAGCGTCAGACCGGTCCACATCAGCTTTTGGTTGAATGGGACCTTCGTTTCGGGCTGCTGAACCTCAGGGAGGATCGGCGAAAAGGGCTTGATGAGATCGAGGAATCGGACTGTGAAAAGCGACCAAGCGCGGAGTCAGCCATTACATTCTCGAGATGCGCAATTGCTTGAGTTTAGGGGGGTTTGAATAGGAGAGGGAGAGAGGGAGGACTCACGGCCACTCATCTTGGCGGTGTTGTCTCTAACAACCTCACAGACGTGGAAAAGAAGAAAGGAAGCAGCTTAAGGAGCGACGATGAAAGGCAGGCACGACTCTTCTGCTTTTGTAGGCAGAATGCGCGTGGGCGTGGTGATGTGTTCGAAAGGAAATATCGAACAGATCTCAAAACTTAAGCTGGGGATACTCGCTTGCAGTAGTTTGAAGACACATATCTAATGATCACGTGGACAAACTTTAATTGCAGTCAAAGCAGGCGCTAGGGGATGCCAAGCGTCTGCGGAAAGGTGTCGTAGTTGTATACGATGCTGATTGATTTGCGCTGTAACTACACAAAATATTGAAAGATTCATTCAAAGTATCGTAGTATTTAGCGTATATAATATTGTATTGTTCGACTGTAAAATGTAGGGTAAATATCTAAGAGTTTGTCAATCAGAGACAAAGGGGGGAACTCTTGGTTGTCATAAACTGGCTCGCCTGGCCTGAATGTGCGGCAAAGTGGCTTGTTTTGTCTGGTAATCTGGTAATAATACGATATACTAGTACTTATTGCCTGCTCTAAGTAGGATATTGAAGAATACTATATGCCAGTTCATCCAGTGAAATACCCTAAACACTCACTGACTTGAACTATTCACTATGGCATTGAAGTCTTTGGAAACTCTGTGTAAATTGATTGTTCATGAAAATCCCATCTTCGAGTAATATTGCTAGCTGAGATGTATACACCTGCTAATTGGTCCACAAGTTGCCAGATCGTTGATGAACTTGACTTTGTGGCTAGTTCCATGGGGCGAACGTCTGCCTGGTCTACTTGGATCTTCATGTAGATTATGAAATGGCTCTGGAATTGTCGCACTCCGTTAGCAGCTTCAGTACTGTTAAGCTGTGTCATGTGGTAGTACTTGAAGGCTCTGGTTGCTTCCATTGAGTCCATTGCCATTGGTATTGGTTTGCAGTTCGATCTGGGAAGGCTGTAGTAACGCGAGGTAACTTTGGGTAGATCGTCATATAAATTAGACGGCACTCAGGTAATTTCTGTTACTGGTACGTCCTCAGTCTTTCGGTGAAACCTACCGCTCCCAGCGTTCCTAAGCTGCCTCTTCTCCTGGGCGCGATGGCGGCGGCTTTGGAGATGACGGATCCACTGCTCCTCGATGACTGCTGTAACATTGCATATCTCGCATTCGCGACGGAAGTCGAGATCTTTTGAATCCCCAACAGGAGTAAGAAACTGTCTATTTGATTCTGAAAGTTCTGGTGGGGGAGGCAGAACGTCGCCTTTCAAGAAACTTGCAGTGGCATCAATCGCAGAACCAGATACAGCAGAATCAAATTGTGAGACGTCACTGCTATCGAGAATGTAGAGTTTATCGAGGGCATCCTCATCTGATAGAGCCGAGGCCAACTTTATACGTATCCAGCGAACCTGTCGCTTTGCATACTGGCGATGAGCAGCTTTCATTTGCTCGACTGATAGCTCATAGAGCTTGTTTAGGTCTTCGATAGATGTAGTCCCAGATTTCAGTGCATTTAGATATGGTACGAATTCCTTCCAGCCGATGGAAACCCAGATGCCCCTGGTAAGGTCAACGTTGGTGCCAGCTTCGGCCTGGCTGTCGAGAAAATCGTTCATCGATTTTACTTCGTCCAGTAGACCTGCTTTAAGCATTTTGTCGATACGTGAATCTAATCGCTGTTTGAGTACTTGGGACTCAGAGTGAACCCAGAAGAGTAGCGTTGAGCCACTTGCGACTGGAGAAATTGGGAGGCCATGATCTTCCAAAGTACATTCCTTATTCAAAACCTTGCGTTGTTTCTGTTCGGCATAGATTTCGGATGCTCTCTTGCCTGTTGTGAGGAATATTTCGAGGGATCGTTGAATCTTCCTTCTATCGTTTTGATGCCATCGTTTGGCCATGACTGGGTCCACCTCCCTCAAACGCTCAACCATTGCTTCTGTAGTTCCAGCAAGTATAGGGAATTTCTCCAAAGCGTCTTGTCCCTCGCGATCTGGTTGCGCCTGTTCTTCTCCGTCCTGACTGGAAACCAACGAATCTGCGAATAGAAGCGACTGGGTGTAATAATGCGTGCCTCCTACAAGAATCGGCAGTCGTCCTCTTGAGCGGATCTCCCGTATGATCTGGCTAGCCTTCGTTTTGAAAATGCCTACTCTCCATGGTTCCTCGTCGAGTGCGACGAATCCAAGCAGATGATGCGGTACGCCCTTTTGCTCTTCGTGCGTAATCCTGTTTGTGACGATAGGAAGCCCATCGTACATTTGCATCGCATCACCATTAATGATTTCGCCATTTAATCGTGTCGCTAGGTCCACTGCGAGCTGCAACTTGTTAGTTGGGCGGGGGCATTAAAGAGAGATGGAGCTGACTACCTGCGATTTCCCAGTACCAGTAGCGCCCAAAATTACAACCAGTGGATCCTTGGGCGGTTTTTTGGCCATGGTAGAATGTTTATTAAAGAACCTCAAATTTTGGCGCAACATTCGGCCATTGGGTGGTTGTGGAAGATTTTGGAGAATTATCTTTTAAAAGAGGTGTGAAACATTTTTAAGGCTTCACATACCGAGGGCACGTGGATAATCTTAGACTAATTTCACAATCGTCGAATTGAGATGTTTAATTCATTTCTGTCATTTGCTATGTCTCTAATCCTAATATACAACCCCAGCGCCGAGCTTATGCTGTTTTTTACAGATGCCTGTCCCGTTTTGAGACAAAGATGTCCAAGATGCAACGCTTAAGACATGATATCTTCTAATATAGTTTCCAGTTCTTCTTTCCGGAACGGGACCGAGAGCATCTCAGTGCCCATTCCATCTTTTCGGCTCTGAATCATTTGATGGTCGTGGAATCTGCAGCAAATTAGACCAATCGTTTCTCAAAATTATATTTAGACTTACTCTTTCAGCAACGTTCTGAAATTCATTTCGTTGCTGCAGATGAATTCCTCTACGGCTTTTTGATATAGAGTTCGATATTCGACCCCAGGCTCCGTCTTCCTTGAGTTTCCGGATCGTCGTTCGTTATCTTCATGGTCATCATCATCCTCCCCTCCAAGTGTATCCCCGTAACCTCCATCCATTGCCACGAGTTGCTCCCCTATCAAAACCCGGAATAGATTTTTCGCATTTTCAGGAAGACTTTTCAGCACAAAACTGATGCCTTCCTTCCCACCCACCCGCCTTCCACTTCTTCCCAGGAGCTCATGCACTTCATCAACGACATCCACCTCAGCAACATACGGCTGGAAGGTGGTACAGTCATGAAATAAGAAGTTGTAGGTTGAACGGAGAGAGCTGTCCCAGAGAAGTGGAAACGATGGATGGTCGGCGGACGCCACAAGACGGATTTGTGGGTGAGCACTGAGACGTGAGAGTATGGCTTGGGTGGTAGGCCGACGAAGAGGCGCCCGATCAATGGAGTGAACAATGACGGTTATATTTTGCGACTTGTCTTCTTCTAGTAAAGCCACCAGGTTCTCAAGCATCTCGGCTGGCTGGGATCCCATTTTCTGACTAGATAATGAAATAGCTGTTGCTATTGTGTTCAAAACATCTCTAATGGTGAGGTTATGGACATAGCCATTGATCACTACTATTTTGGGGTTTGCAACAGTCTGCGAATTATAAATGTGGTCGGCAAAACTCATGAGAAGTGATCGCTTAGATCCCCAACCGTAAATGCATAAATTGAAGTCCTGGCTAAGCTCAAATCCCCACTGGTTGAATGATTTGGCATGCAAATCCTGCAATGCTTTTATATCATCCGTCTGTGGATCTTTGAAGTTTCGGACAAGACTGAAATATTCTTCGTGGTCGAGCAATGCAAGAGAAGAGAGATTATTATCTGATGTTTTGGGCCGGCCACCACGATTCTGGAAAAAATACTTCTCGTGAGGTGGTAGGTCTTGAGGAGGTGGAGTTGGGGATCGTCGTCGAGTCTTCGCGCCTTTCGGCCGCCCTCGTTTGGAAGGTGTCTCCGGGGCATTGACAGCCTCTGCAACCTCTATTCCACCCTCTTCTTCAGACTCGTAAATATGCTGCGCAATATCCTCTTCTTCCTCGTCATTATCACTGGTATTGCCTAGTACGGTACGCTCTATGAGAGTCCTAGTACTCTTTCTTCTGGCCGATCGATCTGCATTTCTTGCCAATATCGGCGTCCCGTTGGCTTCAGAGGTGCCATTGACCTTGACAGGTGTTGAGAAGAGCTTCTTCCCATGTAACGTCTTGTTGGGTGTCGTGCCAATCGTCTCATCCTCCGGGAAAGTATGGTTCGGAGATACCCGAGACCTTTTTCTGGGAGTGACAATAGGTTTTCCATCCATGGATGCGTCTTCTCCTACACTTTTCGCGGGCTCATCTTCTGGAGCTTCGCCGACTGGTTGGTCTCTTAAATGCGCAGATTGATCGTGTCCTGCAATACTTTCTTCCCCCTTACGAGACGCCCTTCTGTTCGTGGTACCCTTTTTCAATTCGCTTGGAAGTATGTCTTCTGGGGCAGCCAAATCCACTGTACTTCGCAGGCGGGACTTTTTCTGGTCAGGTTGGTGCTCTTGCGTGTCTGGTGTTTCGTCTGCTTGTTTCTTACGCTTCATCTTTTCAGAACTAAGCAGAATATGTTAGATTTGTTGAATAGAAGAAGCAACGCATTGTACACAGACCTACAGATTAAAGACAGCCAAATATTGTCATCCTCATTATGACTTCAACTTTCTCTGTTGCAATTGACAAGCATGCGCGCGTCTGCAAGCCAGTCGCGGTCCAATTTAAGGTTAATTCCGCATAGCGCTAAGATCGGAATGATCCCCGCTCCGCCCCTGCTTGCTCGTGGCTGCCCAGCCAAGACTACAGGGTTGCTGTTACCGCGTCCGCGTCTCTTTTGTTTACTTTACTTGGGATTTCAAGACCTGAGAAAAAGCTCGAGAGTTCCTTCCACACAACACAGGATACGCCCCAAAGTCGCCATTCGGTGGGCAAATTGTCAGTTTTGGAGAGCGCTCTTCGCGAAGATGCTGAATTGGTGGCTAGGTCGGAGTGCGGAAGAGAATTATGGTCAAGGTGAGTAAAATAGCGCAAACCGGGTGCCTACTTCAACGTACTGATATCACTAGACGAATACCACGAGCAGGATGCGCCAGAGACCCCTGCGCCAGTCTTCGCAGCTCGTGCATTGAAAAGTGCAATTTTTGGAACTCCAGCCTTCGTATCAGATGACACTATCTACAAAATCGAGCACGATGAGGGGATGCAGGGTGAAGGGAAGCAGGCAGGGAAGGATATCACCGCATCACGGTCCGACAATATATCTCCTACAAAACCACCAGGCATTCTGTTAACACCGGGTACGGCAACTACGAGAAGAAAAACCGTATCATTTGGCAACGAGGTCGTAGACAAGGGAATCAACCCAGAGGAAGGTGGGGAAACCCTCCAAAATCAGTGGTCTTCGAAACGCCGCACATCGAGGAAGACGTCGCTCACAAAACAATTGGAAGAGGCTCGGGAGAGCAAATCCTCCAAGACAGCAAACAGCAAAACCTCGAATGAATCGAATCCTCAAGTTAATGTTGAGACGCACGGGTCCAATGCTGCACCAGAGAAGATACGATCCGCACCTGTTAGGGGTTATAATTCAGAAAGGAGCAACCAGGAACTGCTCCAGGAAATGGCTACAGGGGTTGGACACAACGCTGATGTGACGGTAGACTTGAGTGAACCCCGTTCACAGTCGGGCAGATACTGGAAGGAGCAATTTCAGACCTATCATGATGAGGCAAAGGCTGAGCTGCAGAACCTCCTGAAATATAAGCACATGGCGAGAACTTATGCTAAGGCGAGGGATAGCGATGCTCTGGATCTTCATGAGAAATTAAAGGAGGAACAACGGAAGGTTATCCGAATGGAGGACAAAATATCGCAATTGTCGGCACGAATTGCCTCGGCAGGCTTCGAAGGGCTTGATGATGAGTCTCCTGAGTTGATAAAAGAACTTGCTAGACAGACTGCGTTGTCCTTGCAATACAAATCTCAAGTGGAAGAGTTTCGAGCAGCCCTGGAAGAAAACAGAGGCAGTCCCCTAAAGCAAAATAGTCAGGATGGGAGGATCCTCACACTGCCAGGAACGAAACAGACTTTTCTGGAAACGACTCGCGAGCTCAAGGAAGCAAGGGAGCAACTACGTGAGATGTCCTTACTTCGCAATGAGCTGGACAACGTTCGGCAGACGTTGTCTACTGCAGAGAAGACCAGTCGGAAGCTCCAGGATGAGAACACAAAGTTAACGCAAGAACTGCTTCACGCGGATTTGCGACTTGAAAAGCATGTTGACAAAGGCGAGAGGCGTCGACAATCTTCAGAAGAGCAACGCCAGAGAAAGGAGGAGGCTATGAGAACACTCCAAATGGATTATAACACTTTGAAAGAGAATGCGAAAGCGCAACGCCGTGAAGCCGAATATCAGTTAAAGAAGCGACATGATCAAGTTGTGGAGCTAAAGAAGGAGATTGCTTCTCTGCGAGGTGCAAATTCAACAGTCCAGGATTTCCAGCAGGCCCTGCAAAAGAAAACTCAGGACCATGACAAAATTGTGAGAAGTTTACAGACGGAAATCGCGAGTCTAAGAGCCAAAGCCCGAGAACGAGAGGCTATCGCGGGCTCGAAGACAGATAGCATGCCGCCACCACTCCAGAGAGTAGCTGTTTACGGCGATGCTTCTCACGCTCGTGAGAACCATTTTGCAGTGTCGAACCAGCCAATTTCTCGGCCTCTCAAGACTGTTGCTTCAGCAAGGCAATTGCGCTCTGACACACCTGCTGAATCTCCTTTGTCACGATCTGCCCATCCTGCGCTGTCCGAAATTGTCAACCAAGCAAATGTTGATTCGGTGCCTCCGAGAACACATGGACCGGTCCAATATACCCCTTTAGCGAGACGATTCTCAGATCTCTCCCTTCATTCTACAAGACCAAAGCTGCCATCAGAAGAGCCATCGACAAGCCGAGAATTCCACGAGCGGTACTGTAAGCCAAAGCCAAGTCCTATGCCGTCAATGTTCAATATTCCATCATCTCCTCCAAAGCCAGTCATGACGCGGTCTCATGCTACCGAAGAGCTTGCGCGCAAGAGATCAAGTAATAATCTCCAAAGCCGACGACAAGGGAATGCGAATTCGAGCCGTTTGTCCGCTGTTGAGGGCTCAAGGATGAGAGGCAATCTTCCACCTGAAAGAGCTGCAGCCGCAAGAGCCAGACTTGAACAGAAGAATGCAGAGAAGAAGAAGGTGAAGTCAGAAGGAGAAAAAGAGAACATCCAAGTGTGAGAGCTACATGGAAGCGTTTTGCATTATATGAGTATTATGGAGTTTAAGAATGGTTTGGCGTTTGTTATTTGTGGTGCATTCCCAAGGGAAGTGGCGCATCAGTTGTACGAAGATACCATTATCATTAGTTGCACCCTGTTGGGGGAGTTTGGGTGTCATTTGGAGTATCATTCCTTAATGATAGAAGTGCCATGAGCATTGTGGTATGAATCGTTCATCCATTTATTCTTGGTTCCATACACGGCCTGATCGGCCTCATTGAAAATAGATGTTTGCAAGCCCGCAATGCTCCTTTAGATCCCCTGTCATTCTCTTTCCTCGAGTAGTATGAATTTTGTGAGGTACACTTACTGGAATATTTAGGGGAAATCATACTCTCACATAAATCTTGTCCAAAGAGGTTCTCACTTATAATGTCAGCCTCGCTCATCACTTGACGCTACACCGACTTTCTACACGGTGCCACGGCATCGTTCTTAAAATGCTTGCTAAAGCAGCACCTAATAATATAAGGAATGAACCTGATTATTACTGATATACGGCTTGACTATTTAATCGTTTATGCAGGAATGAGCTGACGAGTTTCATTTTGCTTACAAGTCGCATGAAATATCGACGGCCGCAGCGGCATTCCTAGGACTAGTGCTATGTTTCAAAATAATGCTATGCTCCAGCGCATTAACAATTCTTTTCTTAATGTGGCAAGAGTGAACAATATTGAAATCAGATGGAATAATATATTTTTGAAGTGAAAGTAAAAGTAGTGGGCCCTGTTATCTTAAATCCGCCGCTTTACATCCATCTTATCAGCCTTGCTTCAGTCACCGTCACCCTTTCACGATCACCCCTTCTCTTGTCAACTGACTGCTTCCGACCATTATATATAATCCGCAGCCTCTTCCTCTTCTCCTTCCGCTGACTCACCAAGGAATATTCGCCAATACTCGATCACAAGAGGAATCAAATCGGAATCCCGCATTCACCATTCATACGCCCCCTCCGGACCTTTAAATAAACTCCGACTTTGCCTGAGCTGGCCACGTCCCCCCCATCATCGAGAACACGCCGCACGCACGAGTCATTTTCTTCTCACCACTCCACGTCGCAAGATCAGAATTGTCCGCGTGCGTTCATCACTCAACCTTCGACTTTGAATACAGATTCGACATTAAACTAATCCCTCAGCCTGTCGTACGAACTTTAAGATGTCTGCAGGAGCGAAACAGAGGCTCATGAGCGAGTACAAGGCCCTTGAGAGAGAGAAGTGGCTTAAAATTGAGGTAAATAACTCTCCCTAACGTTGCTTTTTGTTCTTCCAGTATGCTAACGATCGACAGCTCTGCGATGGTGGTTCCCTCTTCAGATGGAACATTGGGTTGATCGTCGTCAATTCTGAAAGTGCATTCAATGGTGGTTACTTCAAGGTGAACATCCTTCTATGCATCCTCATTCTATTGTGCTAATAATCTATTTCAGGCCGAGATGACCTTCACCGACAAATACCCCTTCTTGCCACCGACCTTCAAATTTGTGAACCCAATATACCACCCAAATATCTACTCCGATGGGAAGCTGTGCATCTCCATTCTGCACCCACCGGGTGAAGATGAACAATCCGGAGAGCTGGCTAGTGAGCGTTGGTCCCCTCTCCAAGGGGTGGAGTCTGTTCTACGTTCTGTCCTCCTACTTCTCGACGATCCCGAAATTTCCTCCCCAGCCAACGTCGACGCAGGAGTCATGTACCGGGATAGCCGGGCCAACTACAACCAGAAAGCGAAGGAGGCGGTTGAGTCCTCTAGGAAGGATATCCCGGAAGGTTTCATTATGCCAACCACTCTCGAGTCGGCTCCTCCGAAGGACATCCCTGATGACGACACCTTCTGGAACGAGTCCGAGGCGGAAGAGGATGACTTTGGGGCTAGTGATAGTTCAGGGGACGATTTCGACGAAATGGACGAGGATGAAGAGGGGGAGGAAGAAGAGGAGAGCGAGGAGGGACAGGAAATGGAAGAATAAATCGCATATCTTGGCGTCGAAGGTCTAGAGAAAGACTTCTCGGGCAGCACTCGTGTTTAGGCAATATTTACTAGCATAGCATAGCGGGGACTCTGGTTTCTCAGCGGCGTACGGATAAGGCAGGCATAGCATTCATCTGCGGCGTATTCTAGTTCTACTTCGGAGGGCTTTTTTTCTGCTTTTACATTGGGCGCACATGGCTGAATCATAAGAAGTTCATGGAGTAGGAATAAAGGAGTACATAGAACAGGCACTGCACACACACCACTTGTCACTTATTTTTCTTAGACGAATACAAATCTTGTATTCCTTCAAATGCTATGGCGTCGTCAAAGTACCGGTTGAAATTCCCCGATCTTAGTAATACCTTTTCCAGACCTCGATGGCACTGCGCTAAGTCAAGGGGGAAGTATTTAGTAAAACTAATTGGGATTTTGTAAACATCTTAAAATGATTAGACAAAGACTCTGAGTACACCACCAATGATCTCATATAGGAACTTTCACTGTGACACGGGTCTATCCGAAATTCGTGCGTTGATAGTATCTCACGTGCTAATCTCTACTGTTTCAACACCTAACCCAACGAACAGGGATCCGGATGAGAGCCGCTAAGAAGCTCTCTCTCGTCACAAGTAAGCAACTGTTGCAAGCACAAGCACAAGCAGAAGCACAAGCTTCAAGCTACTTCCAGCATCAGCACTCAAAATTCTTTCAACAGCTTCGCTCTTCAGTGAATATTTCTCATGAGCTTTGCCACCTTCCTAAATGTACCGCAAAACTCCGACCGTTGATTCCTGACTATCGCCGCGCACCGCCTCGCGCACTTCAAAACTACCGTCAACATGGCAGCGCAGCCGTCTGATGATGAAATCAGGAATTTTTATGACTTTACAGGCTCTAATATTCCCAAGAAGGAGGTGATTGCGCGGTATCAGGTGCGTCTGCCGATTCCTTCTCAAGTCGACCTTGGATGGCAGCTTATTACTGAAATAGGGCAACAACAGCGACATCTCACAAGCTGTCGCAGAGTGGTTCGATGATCCTACTAGCCAAAAGGTATCCCTTCGACCAGAGACCACACAAAATACATGTGCTAAAGGGCCATCTAGTACACATACAGGTGGGACGAAGACCAGTTCAACAGTGATCGGGATGGTGGACCGAGAGAGCAAAACACTCACGGTGTCGGTCGGTCACCTTTGCGGCTTATAATGCTGTGCAACTATGACTGATAATTTGCAGCGTTTGATATTCAAGGCCCCGATGTCACCGCTCCCTCCTACAATCATTACGATGGCAATGGCCTGGCTTCCAGGCCGCCTTCTCGAACGAGCCATAATAAATCACCACTGGGTAAGATAATAGACCTAACTGCCGAGCACGCACTTGGTTTGTATAACATATGCGAGGCGCAGTACAACAGACTGACTTGCTCTGCCTAGCCGATCCGCGAAACTCCTTGCCCTTTGCCCAACATGAGGATAGTGATTTGGAGCAGGCTCTCCGTGCCTCCAGAGCGGAAGCCGGCCTGGAACCACAAGAAAGCGGAATTGCCAATGCCAGCGAACCTATTTTCGGTCCTGCCACTCGCAGCCAATATGAAACTGGCAAATGGGACATGGTGATCGCAGGCAAAACCTCTGTTACTGAAATAGTGGCAGACCCTGAGCCAGCGGAGCGAAAACGCGATCTCGACGTCCCAGCCTTCCTCAAGCCAAGCGTCGAAGACCATCGTCTGAATGCCCTCTTGACAATCTACCATGAGATTCCCCTCATCCGACAAATTTTCCTACCCCACGATGGTCACGACCAGGCTCCAAATTATGGTTACGATAAAGAGTGGTGGGCTGGCAAGGCAATCGATATTCGTTCGGTCTTTGAAGAAGGCATAACACCACCCAGTGAGGTGAATATGGAGCTCCAACGTCTTATGGCTTTTTTGAACAAGACAGACCGAAGTTACGGCTCCACAGAAGCCCTTGCAAACCTGAAGGATGTGAAAAAGGAACTGCGGAAGGACCCAAATAAGCCAAAGGCAGCGGTGCTGAGGGCCTGGAAAAATGGTATGCCAGATGGTCAGTACAAAGATGAAAAGGTGCGTAATGTTGGTTCCTGCCCAAACTCTACTCCGAAAATGCCCCCAATGGTTGAGCTTTTGTTCTTGAGTATCGCGCAACATTCCCATACCGCTTCTCTGGTCTACTGTTGAATGCTAACTCAAAATTCTACAGGTTAGCAAACTTTTCAGCGTGGGTGTACTTTCTGAGGCAGAAGAGAGCAACCCACAGGAGTTCGGCATTTTGGAGCTAGCCTTGCCAGATACAGACTCCTATCAGGAGACGCTCTACGATATTGCAGATGAGGCCTTGTGGCATTCTCTTGAACCATTGAACTTGGATAAAAGCCCTTACCTCTCTCATGTGGCTGACGTCATTGCATTTCAAATCGAGGGAGACGAAACCAAAAAGAACATCGAGGTTCCTATCACATGGTACCCAGATCGTTATCTGAAACCAGCAAGACAGGCTGCACTGGATATGCGATTGGAGAAGAAGGAGATGGCCGAAAGACTAGAGCAGAACTTGCGTCTGCAAGAGTCTCTTACGAATCATCACGGGTCCAACGGGAAAACTATCAAAGTGAAAGATCTCCTTAATGCAGCTCTTCAGCACGAGCAGGTTGAGAACTCTGATGGTGAAATCGAGGCGCAAATCCAAGTTGTAGAGGATGAAGAAGGGGATCTTGCTGCTCGGGAGTCTGCTAAGAAAACTGCTTATCTTTCAGCGCAGCTTCGAAACCTGGTGACAAATATCGACAACAAACTAAAATGTACTGCAATCTATCCCACTTCTTCGTACCATCGCTAATATTCACTAGCTCTGAATGAAGAAAAGGAGAAGTCTATCGATGCATTACGCAAGCTATCAACGTTGTATACCGATCCTTCCTCGGAGGTAGATCCAGCTGCGCCCAAACTCCACAAGTACACACTCAGAGGTGTCAGCACAACGAAGAGCACGATGTACGTCTGTAGGCGCGCCGAGCCTGATCTAATAGATATAGATCTTGACGGTGAAGAGCCAAAGTCGAATGGTGACCAGTGGTGGCGGATTCATTATGCGTCTTTTGGCTCCAATCCAGTAACCATAGAGGTAAACTAATCCTTTTTGTTTATTCTGTGCATATTCTGCCAGATCTCATAGTCCGAATGCTAAACCCCCAGATAGAAAACTACGGAAGAAAAGGTTCTCGAAGCTACAAAGAGCGAGAGCAAGACCATGATGCTAGTTTATGCCAGTGAAGAGGCTATGAACTTTGAAGCGAAGCCCCTTCCTGCTAATCTTGAGGTTTGTGGTGCGCTGTCTGATTCGTATGTCTCGTGACTGATATTCTATTAGGCCTTCGTTCACATGGACAACCGAGCATTCAAGGCTGAGCTGATCGAGGGTGGTAGTTCACAAACTCAAGTTTCATCTCCAGGGAAGCGCAAATTTGACCAAAGCGAAGCAGAGGTATCGTCAGAAGCAACTCCGTCACGATGGGATAGTGGTGCAAGTCCAAAGGGAAATCAGAGTGCGATGAGTGGCGAGATGAGCAATCACGTTGATTATCTACAAGACCCTGAAATCATTATCGGCGTTGACCCAAACGGCATTGAGAGCAATGAACAGCCCGTGGGTCAGGAAATGCAGGAGCGCAGCAGCATGATGATGATGGCGGGCATGAGCCAGGAAAAGTCTACGATCGACAGTATGGATCTGGATGAGGTTATTGAGGATGAGCACCCGGCGGGAGAGAGTGCAGCTGTGAAACGTGTTGGATTTTCGGAATGAATGGCGAATAGAAGAATGTTTCAGGCCAGGTCTGAACATGGAAACCTACAATGTCACAGGCCGCTTTCAATGTCCAGCGCGAGGATGTGTATGTGTATGATAGCGCCCAGCAGCAAAATACCAAACCAACAGAGTTGAAATAGTTGTGTGTCGTTGGTGGTGGATGTGAAGAGATGAATGCGTATGTAATTAAGGGGCTCGCTAACCCTTCATTCAGGACCTATACTACCTCTGCCTCAACAATTACTTCTTTGGGATGTTTACTTATGGAGGTAATGACTAGCTGAACCGTGGGAATTAGATTAACATAGCTCTTGAGAATATAATATGTCCGAGGAATGAAGCTGCCATAACATATGCCCTTTTAGCTGTTTCTTGCAATGGAATGTCTCGTTGCACTTGGGTGGGAGAGGTTGTGGTTCCAGCTAAAGCCCAGCCAAGAGTAAAGTAACTTCTACTCGTACCATTAATACAAGTCATTGATTGCATTCAAGTGTTCTTTTACAATACTAGGTCGGTCTAACACATGGTTATCATTTTTGGGGGGGGTGGATTCATGATTCAGGATTCAGTCTTGCAAGGAAGGTTCTCGAAGCTTCTTTTCTCCCTCTCTGTTTTGGAAGGATCCCCGCCAGCCCGCATCGCCAATCGCAACTTTTTATCCTGGGCCTGGCTAGAAGAACCACGACCACCCCCACCCACAACGCACCCCGGCCATTTCAACGTCACCGCCTCGAGAAGTTGAAATACCGGCCGCACCGCACCGCGACTCTCAATTGCATTAAACATCAGTTCAGAAAGCAAAACATTCCAAAGACTCTTTGTTATTGGTCAATTGATTCTACATCGTATCCCTTGGGGGGTAAAGAAAGGGGTGACCAACATCCAAACATTGAACGTTCACGTCAGTCACTCAGTCAGTCCGCAAACAATCAGCTGTTCGCCCCGCAGATACAGGGCAGGGTAGGGCAGGGCAGGGTACAACATTCGAGTGCCTTCCAACATCCTCCGTGATAGCCTCGTTCATTCTTCCTCCCATAATCCCGCTCCTGTCTTTCGCGACTTCACTTCTCTCTCTACGGAGTACAAAATTCTCTCCTAAAGGCGCTTGCTTCGCTGCTACATTTTACGAATCCGCACTCAAACACATAGAACACACAATACTTACTCTCGTACCACCACAACCATGGTAGCAGAAACGAAACTCTACGATGTCCTGGGCATTAAGGCGGATGCCACCCAGGACCAGATCAAGAAGGCGTACCAGTAAGCTCGCTCAATCACTTCCACTCCCTGGCTCCGCGCAATGCTTGCTAATTATTCTCACAGTAAATCGGCCCTTAAATACCACCCCGATAAAAACGCAGACAAACCAGATGCTAGCGAGAAGTTCAAGGAAGTCAGTCAAGCCTACGAAGTTCTCCAAGACCCCTCGAAGCGGAAAATATACGATCAATACGGCCTAGAATACCTGCTCCGGGGCGGCCCACCACCGCCCGAGCCGGGTGCGGGGGGTAACCCATACGCAGGTGCTACGGGTGGAGGGGGTGGAATGCCAGCGGGATTCAACTTCGGATCAGCAGGCGGTATGCCATCGGGCGGCGGACCACAAGGCTTCCACTATGAGTTCAGCCCGAGCGGCGGCGGCAGCGGAGGTGGATTCAGCTTCAGCAACCCGGACTCGATATTCTCGGAGTTCTTGCGGGGCCAAGGGGGGATGGGGGGATCGTCGGGCTTCGAGGATATTTTTTCGGATATACCCAGATCCCGCGCTTCGGGTGGACGGTCACGGGCTTCTAACTTTGGTGCGGCGGAGGCTGCGTCGGCGAGACCCAGAACACCGACTATGGAGGTCACGACGGTGGAGAGGCCGCTGCCGTTGACGCTCGAGGAGTTGTATAAGGGGGCGCATAAGAAGATGAAGATTAAGCGGAAGGCGTTTGACGAGGTAACGGGGAAGCGAACTACGCAGGATAAGGTGTTGGAGATGGATATCAAGCCTGGATTGAAGAAAGGCAGCAAGATTAAGTTTAAAGGTGTGGGTGATCAAGAAGAAGGCGGGCAGCAGGATTTGCATTTCCTGATTGAAGAGGTAAGCCAGCCATCAATCCTCTTTCACGGCGTCTCGTCTTTGAAATTTTACTAATATCACTACAGAAAAAACATCCTCTCTACACACGTGAAGGCGACGACTTGCACTTCAAGGTCGATTTAGACCTAAAGGAAGCTCTGACCGGCTGGAAGCGAACAGTCACCACTATTGACGGCCGGCAAATCAACATCGAAAAGGGCGGCCCGACGCAACCGGGAAGTAGTGACACGTATCCTAACCTGGGTATGCCGCTCAGCAAGAAGCCAGATCAGAGGGGTAACTTTGTTGTCACGTATAATGTCAAGTTCCCTACCTTCCTGAGTCAGGAGCAGAAGAAGAAGTTGAAGGAGATTTTGTGATTAGAGCTGGGAGTATAGTATACGTTCGAGATGAAAGCGAGCGCAGGTGGTGTAACATGCATGCAAGGATTTGTGTGAATGAATGCATTGGAAAGGTATCATTGCGAGGAACCCATTTGGGCAAACGGTGTTACGGCGAAGGGTAGGTGGACGACTTGATGAATGATGGTACGACAAGATGGGGATTATGATCGTCGACTTTTCCGGCTTCTTTTTCATGGTACATATCATAGTAGCTTTTGTCATGGTGTTGTAGGACTTATTCAGCTATTCAGCCAGGCATAAAGCGCGCCTCTTCTTACTATCTCATTACTATATCTAGTGAACATTAATAATCCTACAAGTGAATACGGTACTCGTTACCCCTTATCCGCTCTACTCCTTTTTTTGAATCTTTTTTCTTTACAAAGCTCCCCCAACCATCTTAACAATCCACATCGCAACTCTAACCCTTATCCCAACCCTCCTCTCCACCCCCAAAAAATCATCTATCCCCACCTTCCCGGCAAACTCCTGCAACCCGTCCCTCTCCTCCCTCAACCTGCCCTTCAACCCCTCATCACTCGTAACAATACACGTCCCGGCCTCCAAATCCAGCCCATAGCTGCGCTTCGTATAATTGCTACTACCCACAATCGTCAGACTCGGCTCCTTCTCCCCATTAAGCGAGATCCAGAGGCCTTTGGCGTGGTACGTCCAGCCGCCGTTCTCCCCGACGGTCCCCCTCCGCCATTCCTTAAGCGCAATGTCGTGTTCGCGGCCGGATTTCTGCGCGCTTTCGAGGAAGCGCCGCGAGAGCAATGTGTAGGCTGCCGGGAGCAGGCCGGAGACGCCTTTACTACCGTAGAAGCCGTTGGCGTAGGGAGAGGCGGTTATGACGGTGTTGTTGGTGGAGGCGGCGGAGAGGAGGAGGGAGGTCAGGGACGGGTCGGGGTTGAAGTAACCGGCGGTGAAGGTCCAGGAGGAGGTGCCGAAGGAGGGGGATGAGAGGGTGCGGAGGATGTGGGTTATTGAAGGTAACTCGGTGGAGGTGTCCGGGTCTAGGAGTTGGGTGAGTTGGGAAAGTGGGTAGACTGTTGTGTTTGTTTTTGTGGAAGGGGAAGATGGGGCGGCGGTGGTGGTGGAGGGCTTGATCAGGGGATGGAGGATGCTGGTTGATGCTGAAATGTACTTCTTGGGATCGATGAGTGGTGAGGGGGGCGAGGTTGGAGGAAGGCCAGTCTAGAGTGTAACCCGCGGGGTATTGCTGATCCGGGGTGACTAGGAAGCTGAGTTTCGATACCGCGCTATGTATCTTGTAGAAGTAAGAGGTGATCTCTTTTGAAGAGAATATGTGATACCGGTCTTGTCTGTCAGTGAAGTAATTATTGGAAAGATTTGCCCTTTTTCAATTAGCTTTTGAATATCCCAAGTTCTAGGAGTGTGCTTACCCTGAAATGATTATCTCGTCATCCACTCCGTAAAGTTTCATATGTTGCAATCCCCAGCCCTCATTGATTCGTTTTGGGATATACTTCTTCCGCAAGCCTGTCAAATTTGGCGTATGGTACATTCGAATCTCAACCCTGTCCGAGCCAAACTCGTCTACCAATGGAGCAAGTAGGGAAGCACATGATGGTTCCGGAGACTCCCGAGTACCTCTCAGTGCATCAGTAAGAATACTGAGCTTCAAATTGGGTTTGCTTTTAAGAGCTTGATGGAGGGTGAAAATCTAATAGAAATCAACAAATATTCATTGCCAGTAACCAGGAACAAATTACAAGCTCATGTTCTGTTTTGCCTATGTACAATGTAGACAGAAAGATCTGCTTCTCTGCACCAAGAATCTTGGACTACCTTCCATCAGCCATAGACCTTGCCTTGTACTGGGTAATGCTTGGGCGGACCTTCAGTGTCTCGTAGAAATCCGACGGCGTACGCAATATCTGAATCTGTGACCCTTGAATCTCGAACTTTGGTGCTATCCTGTCCAACTCATTCGTAAAGGCGCCTAGCATTGAAGCTGTCGAGGAGCTATTGGCATTCGCAACGGGCGTAGATGTCGAGAATTTGCGCGGCTTAGCCAGGACCATTCGCGGCCGGCCTAAATGAAGCCTTCGGGTGGCAGAGCATCTTAGGACGCTCCTAGCTATCATAGCCAGTTCTCGAGATATCTGATATCTGTAGACCGCCGAAATTGGAAGCTTGGTTGGGGATCTTGGATTTCCGGAGAGCTTTTGAAGGTCGGCTCAGGCTAGACCGGAATTGGACCAACCGAAGCCCGCCTTCAACTCGACATCAGACCTCTTCTCAACTCCAGAAGCCATTGAACATCAGCCAAGATGTCTACGACCACGAGAACGTTGCGCAACCTGCGTAGAGTTGGTATCAAGGTATGGAAATGAATCCGATGCATTGCAGGAATTTGCTAATTGTTGTTCGTGCAGGATGCCCTCCATCAAATGCAAGTATGTTGAACGCCCCCCTCTTGCACACGATAATGCGAATACTGAACGACGATATTCTCTTCTAGCACATAGGTATGAACGGATATATTTCTCAGCGCAGCATTGAAAACTGATCAATGGCGCAGGTGATACCAAAGCGGGCGCGTTGATTGGGACGGACCGATATGGAAACAAGTTCTTTGAGAATCTGGAGGAGGAGTTGCCATGTGAGCCCTTCTCGAACCAAAATCCAACATCCAGAAGCTTATAGAAGCACAGTGCGAACGAGATGGGTAGACTACAAGGACTATGAGACCGATGCGTAAGGACCCCAGATATTTGTATCGGGGCCCTATTCTGATGGTATTGCTTTTACAGATCACACATCGAGCCTGGATGGCATGCCTGGATTTCATACATGGTAGACAAGCCGCCGACCCAAGATCCGATCCTTAAAACCCAAGTACGGCCTTGGGAATTGCCCACTCACAGGCCAAATTTGACGTTCAGCCGTGCTGCTTTCAAGACCTACTCTACGTGAGCCTCAAGATCCCGTCTCCTCATGATTATCTAGTTCTAATTTCATTCCAGTACTAAGCCGAAGCTTACCGCCTGGACACCTACGGTGGCTTCAAGAACATAGAATGGTTGCTAGTCCTAGTGCTTTTCGGCGAGTTGTACATAGCCTATGAGAAATGGAATTAGTTGAATTGTGTATCAGAACCTTGTTACCAAATGATTCTACATTAAACACTTATTGGATGTGCGAAATACAGGTGAGAAGAGTTACTGGGCTCTGGTCATTAGACTCGTTGTAGCATTTCACCCCTGTCCAGTTTAAATGAGGCTAATAAAGAAGCTACCGACCGTTTCTAAGACTTGAAACTCCCAAAACGCTTCTCTAATCAGGAAGATTAGGAGCCATGGCGAACAGAATAACTAAGGGGGAGTCCGAAGGCTCTCAATTCAAGCCATTTCCACGCCTCCCTAAATAACTGCGGTTGCGGCTCAAGGTATGGGAATTCGCAGCCCAAGTACCTTGTACCGTGGAGATGTTGTGAAGGAGCTGGATGCGTACGGGTATGGGTGTTGTCATGAGTGGGATAGGCTGGAGAGGGGGGACGTGGAATTCCAAGTTAATAATGAGGCGGAGGGGGAGCCGAAGGAGAGATGCCAAGTGAAAGAAGTTAATAGGGAGAAGAAGCAGCCTTCGTTTTCTAATCAGGTAGCGAGGGGTGTGCTTGCTGTGTTTTAAGGGGATCAAGGAGGAGGACGAGGCATGGCACCCCCGTGAGATTAAATGGGTAAGGTTGGAAAGGGATGGGTTCGTTATACAAAGCTTGCCCTAATTATGGAAATGGAAGAAACTCTCAGAGTTCTTTCGTTATTTGTCTAAGATATCACTTTAATATGCGTACCTGAAGAGCTCATGGCAGTGACGTAACGTGTGTATTGTGAGTCTCAAATCCAGTGGTTAACTCGCACAACGTCCACCCTTATTCCTTTGACCGAAGAAACCCAACAACACGCCTCAGATCTTTCAACACCCATTTATCCATATCTTTTACTCAAGCTCGGTTCGGCCAAATGGCCATTCCCCCCACAAGAGACCTAAGGTACGGTACCCACCCCACCCCACACACTACAGTAGTAGCCTACCAGTTCCGAGAACGGCAAAAAATTGACCCTGTTTTCCTCCGTATTGGTTTTTCATTCACTCGGCAACTTTAATTGAAATGGTTTCTATAAATTCTGAGCTCTCCATTGCCATCATTGGCGGAGGCATTGGTGGGCTGGTTCTTGCTCTACAACTCGAAGCTGACGGATTCCGCAACATTACCATCTTCGAAGCCTCCCGCTCACTGAAAGCCATTGGCTCCGGGATCAACTTGCAGCCCTCAGCCGTGCTGGTTCTGCGCAACTTGGGGCTGTTAGCAGCGCTTGAAGATACGGGGATTAAAACTGCTGAATTGAGGTATTACAATCGGCATGGGCACTATGTTGTTTCTGAAAAGAGGGGGGAGGAAGCTGGGTATTTAGTGCCACAGTTCTCGGTGCATAGAGGCATGTTGCATGAGTTGCTATTTAAAACGGTTCGGGAAAGGTTGGGCGAGAATTGCGTGCAATCCGATCATGTGTTTACTTCCTACTCGCAAGATGAGGGAGGCATTACTGCCCACTTCACGAGAAGGTCAGATCCATCTCGACCTGCTGAAATCCAGTCGAAAACCACGGATATACTTGTAGCTGCCGATGGCATCAACTCCACTGCACGCCGCCTCCTGTATCCGGATGAAGGCCCGCCGAATTTCTCCGGACGTATGCTATGGCGTGGCGTCTCGCTCAGAGAGCCCTTCCTCACGGGACGCAGTATGGTATGGGCTGGTCACGCGGACCAGAAGTTCATCGCATATCCTGTGGGACGAGAAGCAGAACGGGAAGGGAAGTCTCTGGTGAATTGGATTGCTGAGCTGAGAGTTAGAGACAAGGACGATCCTGACCTGACGCCACCAGTGGCTGATTGGGGCAAGGTAGTCCCGAAATCGAGGTTTGCGAGCAAGTTTGACAGTTGGACTTTTGGATTCTTAAGTATACCGGAACTTATTGCTGAGACAGCTGAAGTGTCCGAATTTCCTATGTGTGATAGGACGCCGGTGGATAGGTGGAGCTTTGGGAGAATAACACTTTTGGGCGATGCTGCTCATCCGCTATATCCAAGTGAGGAAACCAGAAAAGGAAACTGAGAATGTACTGACTGGCCTAGTTGGATCAAATGGCGCGAGTCAAGCCGTCCTTGACGCCGTGGCTCTGTCTTCTGCTCTGCAAAACGAGCAAGATGTACCAAAGGCTCTGGCGAATTATCAAGATGTACGTTTACCGCCAACTGCGAAGATCTGCCTTGCCAATAGAGCAAACGGGCCGGATCATGTACTTCAATTGGCACATGAGCGTGCTCCGGACGGATTTGAGAACATCGATGATATTATTGGAAGTTTGGAGCTCGAAGACGTTGGTCGGGCGTACAAGCTCTTGGCTGGGTTTGATATGGAATCTGTCAACAGAAAGGCAGAAGAGACGGAGGGCTTGTGGGACACAAAAAGCAAAGGAAAAGGGACGAAGAATTAATTTAAGAATTTCCGGAATAAGCAATGGCTCCATAACCCCTCCAGGCTCCTGTTCAAGGCTCTTGTGTCTGCGTTATGGACCTACATCTTCTATTTGCCAGTGTTCTGATCACTCCACATAATTATTATCGTTCCTTAGGCTCGTATCTAATGGCGTTTGTCACATGTATGGACTTGTGCGAGGCTGCAAGGTTCAGTTGCTGGCCAAGTCTATATCTTCCTTTGAAATAGCCTGTATTGATCAAGCTAAGTTCTGTAATCGCCGTTGATCGTGATATACTCGTGACTAAAGACTTTTAGCTAAATCACATAGATAGTGAAATGTTTGGACTTACCTGTAATCACAGGTCCAGTATACTGCCTCCTCTTTTCCACCCCCTAGCCTGACTAGAATCTCTAGATCTTCATGTTCTAGAATCTCTGCCGCCCGAGCCTCATCCACAGATTCAGGCTCACCATTGACAAGCAGCTTCAGCTCTGGAGACCCATCTGTAGGGATAAACGAAACGCTTGTCTTTTCAGGGACAATCTCCGGAACATCATTAATTGGCATGCCAGGCTCCGAAATCTGTGAGTAACCGGTTGCACAGAGTATACGGCCCCAGTTTGCATCTTTCCCATATAGTGCAGTTTTGACCAAAGGCGACCTTGCAATAGTGCTTGCAATTTTTCGAGCACCAACCTCGGATGGAGCTTCTGTCACACGAATTGTGACAAATTTGGTTGCTCCTTCACCATCTCGGACTACAAGCTTAGCAAGGTCTGTAGCAAATTCGGTCAATGTCGTCTGAAAAGCGGCATAATCTTCTGAAGATTCCGAGGTGATCTCTTTGCCTCCCGCAGCACCATTAGCTAGGACTGCTACTGTATCATTTGTTGAAGTGTCTCCATCAATGGAGATGCTGTTGAAGGATTTATTGACAGCGTTGGTAAGGAGAGATGGTAGAAGTGCCGGTGCGATTGGAGCGTCGGTAGCGATTATGCCTAGCAAAGTTGCCATATTTGGGTGAATCATGCCAGCTCCCTTGGTCATACCTGCTATCCGATATTCGCTTGAAGGGGAGGATGGCAAGGAGAAAGTTCGGGAGATAAGCTTAGGGAACGTGTCAGTTGTGCAGATTGCTTGAGCCGTAGCCAACCAGTGATCGTGCGATGTTCCCAGGGCATCATAGGCAGACGGGATCCTGTGCAAGATCTTTTGGATTGGCAGTCTATAAAATTGATTGGTTAGTCAAGGCCCAAGGCAAGTAAGCATGGAGTAGAATACCAACCTCTGGCCAATGACCCCCGTACTCATGACTATGGTACTTGATCCCTTGCCATCACTTGGCTCTTCAAAACACCTATCGGCCTCCAAGCCCATCTTTTCCGCATCCTCCATGCCACCCTTTCCAGTGACAGCATTGGCGCATCCCGAGTTGATGATAACAGCTCGGACCCCAGCATTGTTCCTTCTTTTCAGCATTTCTCTGCTGACTGTAACAGGAGCGGCCTGGAACTTGTTCTTTGTGAAGACGGCGGCAGCAGCACATGGTGTTTCCGAAGCTATGAAGGCGAGATCGGGGGTGCTTTTGTTGGTAGGTTTGACTCCCACATGTGTTCCGGACACTAGGAAGCCTTTGGGATATCTACCACCTGTAGGGACATATTTTTGCTTTGCGGCTGGGATTGTGCCATCAATAGGTGCGCTGTAATGACGAACACTGGTTGCAGGCGATTGAGAAGGTGACCGTCCTAGTATCAGTTTTGTCAAAGCAGACGATGGGGTGGGTTTGGGAGCCATTGAGGGCGATTGAAAAGGCAGAACGCTCTCAAAGAATTCAATAGGGTATGAAAGGTATTCCGGATGTCACTCAACAAATTCAAAAATATCCTACTTCCATCCCAAAGGTTTCTTATAGATTTGAAAGACTGAGTCACCTCGTGCTTCCAGTGTTTTCTTTCGGTGTTTTTTCAAGGATTACAGTAGCGCAAGGCAATGCGGCCGCTTCAGCCTCGTTTTATTGTGGGGTACGGGTGGGGTTCTGGTGCGGTGTCATAGAGAGGCTGAGCTGACTCTTACCGTAATCGGCTCTCTCCAACTCTCAAGTGATCGATATCGATACGGTGTTAATATCAATAATAAACATAGATTCTTACTCAACCCTCACAAAGAATATGTCCAACCCCAGCGCGTAGAGGTCTTGTAGCTACGGCTGCGAGAAACGTCGACCAGTTTTCCTTTCTCTTCTCTGAGACCATACCTCCATAGCAATATGCCGCCAACTAGTCCATGGGGAAAGAAGCCACAACAAGTCAATACATCCTCGTCTGGCTTTCCCGGACTGAAGCCAAATAAACCAGATGATCCTGTAACCAGATCTCAATATGAGGAAATCCAAGAGGACGAGCTCATTGCGTTGGCGTCCATCTACGGTGACGATTTCCACAGAATCGAAACAAGACTGGAGCTTGGAAGGTAAAGGTTGCCCCTGAGATCTACGAGGTACCATTCTCATTTGATGTTCTAGAAAGCCGAGCCTAGCTTTGAGATCCGTATCAAAACCTCGGACGACGATATAGCTGTCGTTCTATGCGTGGTCCTCACCGCCACCTACCCAAAAACTGCCCCCTTGTTGAGCATCAAGGGCGATTTCAACCTCCGAGAAGGGACACGTTTCAAGATTCAGAAAATCATTGAAACTAAGCCAAAAGAATTGGTTGCAGAAGAGCAAGCTATGATCATGGAAATTGTCAACGCTTGTCAGGAAACCCTTGATGAAGCTGCTGAAGCTAAAGCCGCGGGATTGGACTTACCAAGCTTGGTAGAAGAACGAGCTGCGCATGAAGCCGCAGCAGCAAGGCTTGCCGAATGGCAAAAGGGGGAGGATGAAAAGAAGAAGCAATTGGAACATTTGGAAGAGGAGCGAATGCTTGGATCCCTGGTGGAAGACGAACTCAAGCGTCAAAAAGCAAAAACTCAGGAGACTAAACGGAAGAGCCGTCCACCTCCAACGGTACTTCCTCACTCCTCACTGGATAATGGAAGTTTCGTAGGAAAGGACGATAGTCTTGCATTCGATCAGCCGGTCAACCTTGTCGATGCTAGTGGCAACCCGTTCCGCTTTCAAGTTGTTACAGGCAAGGTCTGCATCAGACAGGGTCCTGCATCTAAATGCTTTACCGTAAGACCAGTGGCTGATCTAGCTGATGCTCCAACTCTTGTATTGAAACAAATTGATGTAGACTCGGGCGCAAAAGACCAAAATACATTCAAGCGACAATTACAAGCTCTCGAGACAGAGTTAAAGTCACTAAAAGAGATCAGACATCAAAACATTCTGGATCTTTATGAGTTCAAAGTCCATAGAACAACCGACGAGGACCCAGATTTCGACTCACCTTGGACAGTGAGTGTTCTCATCGAGTATGCCGAAAAGGGGTCTTTAGAGGAATTCCTCGACATTGCAGGTTGTCTAGGCGTTGGCAAAGTTCGCGCCTGGACCATCGAGCTTCTCGATGCCCTTCGCTTCTTACATGATCATGGAATCGTCCACGAGGACATACATACCGGCAATGTATTGCTGGTCCGAGAACCAGGCGGAGAGGTCAGACCAAAGCTTGCAGATGCAGCGTTTCAGAAGAAGTTGCAAAATCTTAGTGGAAAGACGCAATCAAAAAATATGCTTGCTGTTGCAAAATCAGCTTATTGGTTCCCGCCTGAGATAGCAAACATAAACCATCCTCAATATACGCAGAAAACTGATATCTGGGATTTTGGAATTATATTCCTTCAGATGGCGTTCGGTTTATCAGTCATCAAGACGTATTCTTCGCCCACAGCATTAGCCAATTCCTTAGCTTTGTCGGATTCATTCAATGAATTCATCGTCAAATTATTCAAAGCAGATCCCAGGAAGCGGCCTCGAGCTTTCGAGTTAGGCTCATCGGAATTTCTTGCAACGGATGCGGAGCTACTAGACCACCAAGACATGTCTGCTTCTACATCAAGACTTGGCTCAGTATCCTCACTGCTACCTGTAACTCCTCGACGGCAGCGACACGACTCTGCAAACGCTTATTCGGGCCCATTCTCTAGATACAGGGAGGACTTTGTTGAAGAGGGTCGTCTTGGCAAAGGTGGGTTCGGGGAGGTAGTGAAAGCACGAAAAAAGCTCGATGGCCAGATCTACGCGATCAAAAAGATAATTCAAAAGTCATCCGCGTCTCTGACTGAGGTATTGAAAGAAGTTCGCCTCCTTTCCCAATTGAGCCATCCGTCAGTAGTCCGTAAGTCAGCATTTTACTTCCGAATCTCGTGCTGTCTGGTTCTCTGGAATGCAAGCTTTTATTACTTTTGCATTTACCGTAGACAGAAGCGGCCGATATCGAGCTGCGTCTCTACTTCCATTAGATTTCCTTTGGTGACCATGTTATTATCTCCAACTCTCAGGAATTCTCGAGGTTATCAGGCCTCTCAGGATGAAACCACGAGGATTTCATACAAATTGGCTGTTGCAAGGCATACTCTAGTGTAATTCCACGTAACAATCAAGACTAATCACTTCTTGCGATAGGTTACTACAATACGTGGACTGAAGAAGTCGTAGATACTTCCGAGGCCGATGAGGATACTACAACGACCGAGGCTGCGACGACAGAAGATTCTGTTAGCGCGATGTCCCCCGGTACTGGTCCTAACATTGAATTTGGGGTGAGCACTGGAGGCCTTGACTTTATGTCATCGAGCGGATATCCACAAATCGAATTTGGATACGACGATGGCTCGGACGCCGTCGAGGATTCTGAAGAAGAGGACGACGATTCCACAAATCCGTCTAACCAAGATATCCAAAATGGCGCGAAGCATCACAACAATTTGAGGAAAACAAGATCTAATTCGCGCTATCAGCGGCCTTTCAAAACGATCTTGTATATCTCCATGGAATACTGTGAGAAGCGTACACTCAGAGATTTAATCAAAAGAGGACTGCATAAGGACAGCGACGAGATATGGCGCCTCTTCCGACAAATTTTAGAGGGTCTTGTTCATATCCACGGCATCAATGTTGTGCACCGGGACTTAAAGCCGGAGAACATCTTCATCGACAGTACTTCCAGCGTCAAAATAGGTGACTTTGGGCTTGCCACAAGTGGTCAGCATGCGACGATAGACAGGAACTCTACAGCATTGCAAACAATGAGTGGAGGGGATATGACAAGGAGTATTGGAACTGCTTTCTATGTCGCCCCGGAAATCTCATCCAGTGTTGGGGGCGGTTCATATACCAGTAAGGTAGACATGTACTCGCTTGGTATCATCTTCTTTGAGATGTGTTATAGGCCATTGATTCCGGGAATGGATCGAACCAAGGTTGGTGCAGAATTGAAGATGAAGCAGCCTCTTTTGCCAAAAGATTTTGACCCCGCGCAAAATACCGTGCAAACGGACATTATACTATCACTCCTGAACCATAACCCGAAAGAACGACCTTCCGGTTCGGAGCTTCTCCATGGTGGCAAGCTACCAATGCAAATGGAGTCTGAAACCATTCGGCGGGCTTTGGAAGGCCTTTCGGACTCGGGATCTCCTTATTACCACAAGATGATGAGTACATTGTTTTCAATGCCGAACAAACAAGCCAAGGACTTTGCTTGGGACATGAGCACTGTCAACCATACTGCCAGCGATCTTTTGCTTCAGGGTCTCGTGAAACAAAAGCTCATTTCCATATTTCGCAATCACGGAGCTATCGAAACCCCGCGAAGCGTTCTCTTTCCTCGTTCGCGTCATTATGGGACAAATGCCGTTCAGTTGCTTGATGCAAATGGAACATTGTTGCAATTGCCCTACGATCTTACTCTCCCGCATGCCCGGTCCATCGCAAAACATGAGCCACCTGTACACCGGTCATTTGCTTTCGGCCCTGTATTTCGAGATAGACAATCTGGTGGCCAGCCTCAGACCTTTGGCGAAGTAGATTTTGATATCGTTTCCCCCGACACTCTAGACCTGGCATTGAAAGAGGCCGAAGTGATCAAAGTTCTGGATGAGATAGTGACAGGTTTTCCAGCTCTAGCTTCGACGCATATGTGCTTTCATATCAATCACTCGGATCTCCTCAACCTCATCTTTGACTATTGTCGCATAGAGTCTAGCATTCGGGATGCCGTTGCGGATACTCTTAGCAAGCTTAACATTCGGGAGTGGACCTGGCAAAAGATCGGGGCCGAGCTAAGGTCTCCTCTTATTGGGGCATCCGTGACAAGTGTTGATGATTTGCAGAATTTTGATTTTCGAGGTAGGAGTTGCTCTATTTTGCTCATTGTTAGTCTTTGCTAATTACCCTAGACACGCCCAATAAAGCTTTTCAGAAACTGAAGACAATATTTGAGGGTACAAGTACATTCGAGAAGGCATCCTCAGCTATTGCTCACTTACGAGACGTCATCGATTATACGAAACGTTTTCAAGTCGGTAGCAAGATCTACATTAGCCCTCTCGGAAGTCTGAAAGAAAAGTTTTGCAAAGGCGGCGTCACATTCTCTTGTCTATACGACAAGAAAATAAAGGATGTCTTTGCAGCTGGAGGCCGTTACGACTCTCTGATCCAAGAGAATACACATCGTGCAGGTACAAATCTTACAGATTACCATGCTGTTGGGTTCAATCTAGCATGGGAAAAGCTTGCTAGGCTTCCTAAGCCCGGACCGAAGGGTTTTTTGAGAAAGGCAGAGGAGGAGATCCATGGTATTTGGACTACAAAGAGGGTACGTAGAGCCCCACTATACTAAGTTTCTTTGCATCGACTAATAACTTTATAGTGTGACGTGCTCGTTGCTAGCCATGATGCGGCTATTCTACGAACGGCAGGTGTTGATATTCTGCAAAACTTGTGGACGAATGAGATATCTGCAGAGCTTGCTCAAGATTCTCGGTCTTCAGAAGACCTCTTGTCCAAATACCGCGACGAACAGCATTCATGGATTGTCATTATAAAGCAGGATTCCATCCTCAAGGTGAAGAGCATGGCGAGAAAAGAAACACCCGATATCGATATTCCCACTACTCAGCTTCTAGCATGGCTGAAGGGAGAAATCCGTGAACGAGACCAGAGAGACGGGACACAGCATCGGTCCAAGCTACAACGCCATAGCAGCCATCAAGATTCGTCCGGTGGCGTCGATCGTGAGCAGGAAGTCCGGGTGCTTACAGCAGCGCAAAAGAGCAAGAAATCGAACAGACGTAATATTGTCGAGCAGGCCCAATCTCGCTCGGCAAACCTGGTTCATTCCTTCTTAGATGGACCAATTGCGGCCGTTGAGACGACCGACCATGTTATGGACCTCATTCGAGAGACTAGGCTCTCTGATCCAGAAAGCTGGAGGAGGGTCACGCATGCGGTCCCGTCAGCTGAGAGGAGGTATATCGGAGAGATTCATGATATGATGAGTACGATGGCGCACCAGAACAAGGAGGTTACTCGGAATGCGTTTGTCTATAACTTCAGGACTGGTATGTGTATATATTATGACCTTGGAACATGAGTTTACGAGGTAGTGGTGTCAAGCGTTTTATGGTTCGGCTTTGAGGAATTGTTTTGGGAGTCAGGACTTTTCAGTAAGTGGGTAGTACATAGAAATTATAAATAAGATACCACCAGTACTACTTGGAATATAACTCCGCTCCCGCATCTTCCACAGAACTGAGTATCTTCATAGTTCAAAGATGAATGAACTTATGGATATTTAGGTCAAGAGGAACCAGGAAATGATTAAACCCCGTAAGTTTTGTGCAGGTACCCGCGAGAAATATCAGGAAAATATGTATATGTTTCGTTTTCTTTTTACCTGGAATGCGGGGCGGGGCTTGAATGGCGGGGTCATCCGCCGATAGTCGGAACAGTGGAAAATAATTTGTTGTTAGGACATCCATGTACTTCATTGATTGACTGTAGATATGACGCTCGAATCCTAGATATTCAATTGATATGGCTTGATTCTATACATTATTGATATCATCATCTCCCCCGATCTTGTGTCTACCCCTCTCCTTCCTCCCCTCTTTACCACTTGTAGGTACCCGGCTGAGCATCGACTTACCTCATGGCTTCTCAACCCGAGCTGGGCACTAAAGACCCCGAGACAGCTACTGCCACTCCCATTGTGTCTTTCTTGGGCCCGGTTTCTTCTTATACCCATCAGGTGAGGGCCCATTAAAGTTCCAGTCTCCCCTGGTCTATTGAACTAACAGATTATGGTCTCAGGCTGCGCTTTCATGCTTCGAAGCCGCCAAGTACAGTTATAACCCCGCAGCAGCAATCACTGGTAACAGAGCTATGATAATCTGCTTCGGTTCTATCTGATTGTGGCAATTTAGAAGTCTTCGAGAGGGTCCAATCTGGAGAAGCGGCCTTTGGCGTTGTACCCTTCGAGAACTCAACCAACGGAGCCGTTATCTTTACCCTCGAGCTCCTGGCGGATCGGCACAATATATACCCAGATATCAATGTCTGCGGGGAGGCATATCTGGATGTCAGTCACTACCTGCTCGGCCACAAAGCTCCTCGAAACGCTCCGACGGACTCTCCCGATGTCTCCGGCAATTGCACACCAACGACCTCGATCCCCAGTCCTCTCAAGCCACGAACAAAACCTCTAAGCAGTCTCAAGCACATCGATCGAATATACACGCACCCACAAGCATGGGGACAGTGCGAGACGTTCCTCGGTGCATACCTAAAGGGCATTGAGCGGATCGATCTCAGTTCCACAAGCCGAGCAGCAGAGATGGTGAAAGAAGACACAAGTGGCAGAAGCGCAGCGATTGCCAGTAGCCTCGCAGCAGAAATACACGGCCTAGACGTTCTCGCCCGGGGAATTGAGGACCGCGAGGACAACAAGACGAGATTCTTCATACTGCGGAAGGGGGTGGATGAGAAGTCAAACGCCAGCACGGCGAAAACTAAGAGTCTGATTTCATTCACAGTTGATCATCGGTCACCGGGAGCACTGGCACAGGTCTTGGATTGCTTCCGTGCGTATACACTTAATTTGACGAGCATAAATAGTAGGCCGACCAACGATGTACCTTTTCAGTATATCTTCTTTGTGGAGTTTGAGGGAAGTAAGTTGAATGACCCGGATGGGAGGGTTGAGGGGGCTTTGGAATCTGTGGCCAAATTTGTGCAGAGTTGGAGATGGCTTGGGAGCTGGGATGATAAACTCTTGAGGTAGGATGGGATAGGATATGGTTGATCCATTATTAGAGTTATTGAGAATACCCTCATTCATGAAAAAGGAAAGAGGGTTTGACTCCGTAGGCGTCGCGTCGCGTCTTATCGATAAAAGCTACGAATACTCCGTATTTAGCCGAGTAACAGGGATACAAGAGCTTTACCTATGCAACAGACATGTTATTATGGGATCAAATGACAGCTCAAAACCCCCTCTGAGATGTGAAATCGTCCTCTGTAAAACCATTCTTCTTTCCTCTTTCCCCACTCAATGCTTGCTTTATAATTCGATATGAGATCCTTCCGAGTGAAGAGCCTGCAGCGCAGCCTCCGCATATCCTCCTCGAATCTAAGTCTAAAGAGCCTCACTCGTTGTTCATCAACACAAGCTTTTCTTTACAAAAAGCTCACAAGCCGCCCTCCCAACAGGATCTTTGACGACCTGTCGCCCATGCTCTCTCATCGTCTCAATGTAACACTCGCTAATTTCTTACCGCCATCCTGTTACCCTCCTGGGTTTGACAGAAACGACCCCAACCCTAGCATTGAGCGTAGACACGCGCGGTACAGGACTCTACCCCCCGGGCACCACCTAGTCTACTTTCCAACTCAGGTTCCTGACAGTGAGCTTCTTCCAGATGGCACTGACTCGGTTCAGTCACCGGGGGAACCATTTGTTCGCCGCATGTGGGCTGGGGGCTCCCTTAAGTTTTCATGTGGCGGTGGGATGAGTTTCGATTTCGGTTCCGATTCCCACTCCGAAGGGTATTGGTGCGAGGAACAAGTGACAAATGTTGCAATGAAGGGGGAGGGAGACAATGAGAAGGCATTTGTGACTATTGTGAGGCGGATCAGAGAAGACAATAGTAAGAAGGACGGAGTTCCCTCACACGATGCAGTGATAGAAACGAGGGATCTGGTGTTTATGAAAAAGAAAAGTGCAGCCGCCGCCAAAGAAGCTGCTAATAGGCCAGACAGAGTCGTAAAACGTATAGTTTCCCTTGTCACATCTATTAAATGCAAACTAACCAACTGCATAGCTGCTCAAGAGCCAGATTTCAGTGTATCAATGACTCCTACAAAAACCCTTCTTGCCCGATTTTCTGGTCTCAGCTTCAACGCTCACTTCATACACCTTGATCCTCAGTATGCTCGCGAGGTAGAAGGGCATCGGGACCTTCTAGTACATGGACCTCTCTCATTGATCATGATGCTCTCAGTGCTCAATTCTCAGTTGAAAGAGCATGAACGTATTAGTAGTTTTGATTACAGGAATTTGGCTCCGCTCTATGCGAATGAAGAAATGAGGATCTGTGTTCGAAGGGATCGGGAAAAGAAAAGCAGGTTGAATGTCTGGATTGAGGGATGTGGTGGGGGGTATGCCGTCAAAGGTTCTGCCGTCGTAATAGATCAGGGGGAAGTGGGGAAAGGTTGAATATAGCTATGTAAGTTAACTCTTTTTGGCTCTATCAAAAGACCCGATATTAATATTGCAGTTGTTTATAGTCTAGGATGGTTGATACGAAACAGGTCTTGAGGATAAGGATATACGAGCAGCGAAATTCCTAGTCTCTATTTGATGTTAGACAGTTCGTATCTGTGGGGGTTCGGCTCGTACAGCATACTTTATCTACTGTAGATCATTTCAGTACTCTGAGGAGGTCAGCAGGACAAGGATGCTATTTTGAAAACTACGATTAGCCCACCTTCTTCTAGCAACTCGAATTAATGTAATGAACCAAGTAACAAAAGAAGAATGGCTTCTAGTGGCGGCAGTAGGTAGTGACTAACAAGCATTTACAACTAACGCCTACCTTTGTAGGTGCTTCCGCGCGGCTTTCTTAGCTTCATCCAATCCACTCACATTTTTCACTTCTGCCATTTCGGCACTCGTTTAATGTTGTGAATTGCTTCAATTCATTTTCTCGGATCTGTGGAAGAGTATTGGAGCTGTTCCTTGCAATTTCGATTCATGATTACAGCCACTCAGCCCCATCGACACCAGCCCGACTAGTCGCCGATCCCGCCTACAGTAGTTAGAGTAGGTACGCTCCTCCAACGGCGTCATAACCCTTGACTAACCATTTAGCTTACTAGACCTAGACCTAAACCTAGGCTAGACCTTCACCTGGATCTCGAAAACATGTGGTAGCTTGTTTCATGGAATAATTGCATTGCTTCCTTTCCGACTTTTATCAATCGCCTCCATTCCGTTGAACGTATTCTCTTCTGTTCTGTCCTGTTGTCTTCTCCTCTTCCCTTTCCTTCCCTTCCCTTCCCTTCTGGCGTCCATAGTCTTTTCGGTCCACCGACCTACGACCAGTCAGTTCTCTGGACAGCAACAAGCCGTTTCGTGTCTCGCTGAGCTTTGTCTACGTCCTGGCCTTCTGGACACACCCATACATACGAAGTGAATTCTGCGGCGTTAGTTCTGGGTCTGGTGGGCGACAGAGCTGCTGCGATCGCTATCAGGCCACGCGGAGCAGTTTCCGCATGATCTCTCTCTGCGATTGAGACCTTCTGTTTGGTCTTACAGATTGTACTTGCAAATCGTAAATATACAGGAGGCCTCGAATACACAAGGACAATGGCGCCCTTGATGAAGGAGAGCGGGGGAAGTGGTGGTCGGCGCAAAAGTATGAATCTGTTCTCAAGGTCGTCACTCGGGAGTCTAACGCCGATCAACACGGATGTCGCAAACGACGATGGAGGGAAACATGATAAGAAGAAGAATGGAAAGAGGGCATCTTTGTTTGGTTTAGGACCGTCTTCGAGTTCGGATCTCGGTCTTGATGGGACGATGAGCCCCATAGGCAGCGAGAGATCGAATTCCCCCAAGTTCCGACCTCGAACCCTCCAGAAGAACCGACCCGTCTCGATATTTGGCTCCTTGGGCAGACGATCGATGAACAACGTAGATGAGGGGCTGGTGGAGGACTTGGCTACCTCTGTACCCGATTCCCCCATCGATGTGCTTTGGGAAGGTCCTGCATTGGAGCCGGGTGTCTCGCCCAACAACAACACAGTGCGGCACCATGGCGAGGTTCAGACAACTATTGGATTATTCAGAAAGAAAAAAGAATACTTGGTATTGACAGATACGCACTTAATACGGTATAAAAGCCAGTCTCGAGCCGCCGAAATCTTTCCTAAAATTCCCCCTGTTTTCGGACGTGCAAACCAGACTCGACATCCTTCTACAGCGTCTCTTGGCTCTTTGCATGAAGGTCAATCTGGGCATTCACATACGTCCGCCGAGAGTGAGAGTCGAATACCTCTGGAACAAATCGTGTCGGCATATCGGGTTGAAGATGGACGACCTTTTTTCACGGCTGAGGTGGTCTATCTAGATGAAAAGTACGCTGGAGCGGGATCCATTCAGCTTATGCTCCATGACCCAGAAGAAGCAGATCTTTGGCTTTCGTCCATCCGAGGAGCTGCTCAGAAAGCAAGGCTTCTCCAGAAGGAGCCATATTCGCATCGAGTTATTCAGTATCTAGTCAACATCGTGAGCTCACTTAATGATTACGATGTAAACCACTTTCAAGTTTTTCGAGTCGTTCGGAGGCAGACTGCTACTAAATCAACTCGGTCCTCTTCCGATGATTTCCATAAAGTAGGATCTTCGGTTTACTACATGGTCATCGGTCTTCACTCTCTCCATATGATACCAGTACCGGATTTCAGTGATTCATCTGGGCGGCTTCTTGTTCCTAAGGCAAGAAAAAAGGCATATGGGATTGTGACGCTCTTCTCGATGACGATCAACACTAAGGGGGAGGATGATAGATTTGAATTAGCTTTCCGGTATGTATCACGTCTTGACAAGCGCAAGCCCGTATTTCTCTTAGCTACTTGATGCAACGTCATATAGACTGCTAATCCCATATATAGTATACCACTTCAAGAAGTTGCAAAAGTAGAACTCGCCGCATTCGCAAACCCAGATATTGTCCTTGCGCTGTATAGAGCTTGGCAGTATTTAAAACCATTATGGGCTGACCATACCTTCTTATATAACGGACTAGAAGCCCATTTAAGCAATGGTGAAGACATTATGGATTATGAGGGTGATGATTGGTTTGAACGAACTCTCGTGGCTTACTGTATAGCCTATGGTGTATGTAGCCCTTCAAGCTCTGTATTGCCTCCCAACTAACTAAATATAAAGTGTAATGCGAGCAACATCATATACGCAATTGACTTGGAATGCGAAGACGCCCCTCAATTCAAGCTGTATCCGCCGGCATCTGCAGCCGCGTATTCTGTCTACGAACTGTTGGCGATTATGCGAGCTTTACGATACAATGAAGAGTTCCGGTCAATATCCTTTAGAGATGTTAACTTGCATAGCCTACATGGTGTTCATGACCTTAAAACAGATCACATGTGTCACAAGACATGGGATGGTAAGTAATGTGTCGACATTCGTTAGAAGGACACTAACAGAGTAGGACGTGATATCTCTAAATTCTCCATCAATCCCTATCCACGATCCCTGCTGTATCGAGAGGTCCAGGCTTTAGCACTGAAGTCCAAAACTCTACGGAGGATGGATTTTGGAAACACCTTACCTCAACGAAGACCCAAAGATACCTACGATCTAGAAACTGGCGATTCGGACAAAGATCCAGGGTGTGAGGTTATAGGTGCAATTTTGGCTCTATGCAAAGAACAGCTTACCAACGTTACTTGGATTGTGCTGAATGGTATAGAGTTGGGAGAGACTGATTTGGAAGAAATGCGTAAGTTCTCAATCATGTCCTTTGATTCATACGGGTTGTGTTAACCTCAGGTAGTTCCCGCTCTCAACAGGAGAAGATCGGCCGTCAGAGCTATAGAATGCTCACGATGTGGTCTCACTGACCGAGGAATTGTGCAGTTGTTGAGTCACATGGAAAAACAAAATGCCACAATTGAGTGTGTCAACATATCTGATAATTCTGGTCGGATCGACCTTGATCGGTTCTCAGCATCTATGACCCGTTTTTCAAGGATCCGGAGACTGGATATCTCAAGGATCACTCGAACATCCGGAGATAAACCTCTTATTGCGGCCGAAGTCTTGCTGTCCTGGAAGCTGGAAGAGCTAACCATGAATGGGGTACCTGTAAGTATTTAGATCCCATGAAAATTGTGTACTAACAGCAATAGGTCAATGATGAAACCCTCGATGCAATCGCATCCTATCTGAAAAGTCCCATGTCAGATGGACTGCGGATTTTGCAGATGGATCAATGCAATTTGAATGGTTCGCAAGTCGCTATTCTAATGAGAGCAATGACAAGAGTTCCTGGAGAAGCCCGTGAATTACAGCTTCACGTAAGCGCTAACAGGTTTGAGAGGGGTGTAGGCGATATTGCCGCAGCTATTAAGGATAATTGTACCCCGTCGACTTTTGTTGCACGTATGATTGAATTCGAGAAAGAGGATCATTTCAGGGAGCTACTAGTGGCTCTTCGGACAAACAAAACTATCCGGAATCTGGATATCTCGAAAGCATCGCTCCCATATGACGCTAATCCTGAGACGTGTGACGCTCTTAGGTTAGTGTTTGCCGAAAACACGACGTTGCAAGATCTGGATATCTCAGGCGAACAGGCGCACTTGGAAGTAACTCGGTTTGGAATTGGTTTGAATCTTGCTCTCACAGGTCTCAAAGAGAACACAACTTTGAAAGTATTACGGATCGAATATCAAAACCTGGGCTTGGAAGGAGCGAATACCCTTGCTTCGGTGCTAGAAACAAATACGGGTCTGGTCAACATTCATTGCGAGCACAACGATATCAACCTTCAAGGCTTCACTACTCTGGTAAATGCTCTTGCCAAGAACTACACTGTTCTAGAGCTACCATCCATGCAAGATGATCAATCTGCGTCCATGAAGCGATTGAGTGTCAGCTTGAGGGAAACTCGAAATACCCCCCATTCCTTGACGCGCGAGAAACAAGTAAAGAATTCTATGGGCCGCACATTGACTAAACTCGGGGTGTCATCGAAGACTAAGCCGCCACGGCCAGATATGACACCTCAGGATCTCGAATCCGTCGTTCGAGTCCTCGGAGAGCGATGGGTCACCGAGATACAACGAATGTTGATGTTCCTAAATCGAAACAACCGGATAGCGTCTGGGGAAGACAGCATCGATGATCAAAAATCTCTGGACGAGTATCACTTGCGGCCTACAACAGCTCTGAGTGATGGGGGGATCTTGGAGCAAGTTATGAACAACACAACGCCGAAAGCAGACCTGCCAAATCCTGTGGACGAGCATGTCATCAGTAAAATGGGTGGCTTGAGCGTTACAGACGCCGAAGTGACGAAAGGCGAGCTGGATTCGATTCGATCGATCGAGTCGGAGAATGATCCTATGCGATCTCTTGGAACCGAACTAGGCGAGAATAGAAGTGAGTCGGACAAGGAGGCTTATAGGAAGTCGATCGAGGCCGGAAATCTCCCGCCTTTGCCCAGTATCACTCTCGGGGGTAGGATGTTTGAGCTAGACGGGCCGGACCTCTTTAATATGGAGGACTGAGTGATGCATTTTATATGGAGCACGGATCGCGTAGCGTGGAGGAATGTGGAGTTGGATTGTGCATTTGGGAATCTTTTGACTCCCATTGGAGTATTGCATGGCATGGACGGCGTTCCAGATGGTCTGCTTTCTAACAGGCGATCAATGGTTGATGGATAGGTCAATAGCGGTGATGAAAGGATCATACATGAGTGAACTTGGTTGCTAGTTGATGTATAGGATACCAGCATGTTTAGATTAATGCCCAGCGTTTAAAAACAGCTATAGAGATAGCCTTTGCTTATCCTCCGAGTCTAGTGACGTTTTGATCCCCCATAAGTTTATAACTGGACCGACTTGCTGAGAACTGTCTGCTCACTTTGATCTCACACGGGTAGCTGCCTCTAAAATTACCCTCCCTTCCACATTCACCTCAACAAGGAATGCCGCTCTCTCTGCCGCTCCCCATGTCGCATCATAACAGTTCCCTTCCGTGTTATAGATGATAAATAATCCCATGTTAAAGTTGGCATGTACCTCAACAACCACAGCCTTTAACCACAGGTTACTAACGATAGTAATAAAAAATAATAAAATGTTTCGACTGGGGTAGAACATAAGGTCCAAAAAGAAATGCGAGAGGAATGGAATGGTAAAGCAAATGCAAATATATAAAAAAGATAAAAGAAAAAAGTTGGTCAGGACACCCCCGAACAAGTTCGACGATTCATTTTTACAGAGACCGAGACCAGTACACCATTACACATTTGATGTATTTTGTATAACGTTTATTCAATGATATATACCCACTACCGTACCTTCGGCCCGGTGACTTGGTAAATGTGAACAGATACCGTACAACAAAACGCTTGGGTTTCCTATTTAGGGATATTTTGCTATAAGTAATTCACTTTTCGGTAGATACTGTATCATAGAATAGCTGCCGCGATGTGCGTGGCTGCTCATTCATGTGAAGAGCTCTGTACTTAGTTGGGTCTCGCCAGTCCTCTTCGCATCAACCCCCTCCCCCCTTCTTTCACCATTCGCACCCACCATAATAACACACTTCTTAACGAGCGCCGCAAAAATGACAGGCCCAGCACCAGCAAAGATACTCTATTTCGCCTACGGCTCCAACCTCTCCTTAACCCAAATGGCATCCCGCTGTCCAACATCCACGTACCACGCCCTGGGCGCACTGCGCGGCTGGAAATGGATTATCGGGGAGAGGGGTTACGCGAACATTGTTGTTTCGCCTGCCGAACCCGCGACTGCGACTGCGACTGCGAAGGCGGCCTCGACTGCGAGATCTGTTTTTGGGTTGAGGGGCAAGTCGTTGCCGCCTGCTGACGAGGAAGAGGAAGAGGAGGAAAAGGGCGCGGATTATGTGATAGGCATGCTTTACCATCTAGGAGCGGCGGATGAGACGGTCCTGGATCAGGCAGAGGGCGTACCCTATGCATACGAGAAGCAAAAGCTTGAGGTTTCTGTACTTGACGCGCGAGGGCAGGAGACGGGACAGCGGGTCCAGGCTTTGGTTTATGTTGATGTGGCGAGGACCGGGACGGGAGTGTGTAGGGAGGAGTATGTGGGTAGGATGAACCGAGGCGTTCGAGATGCGGAAGCGAAGGGGATGAGTGCGAGGTATGGTGAGTAAGCTACTTTGTTTCGGTTTGATTTTGAACAAAGGTGGAGAGAGAGAGAGAGAGGCTGATTATTTTTGTAGTGGAGAAGTATTTGAGGCCTTTTGTGAGGAAGGAGGTCTTAGGGTGAGGTGGTGCATCCGTTTCACCCGGAGAAGAATGGGTGAGCTTCTGTGGTGGAAAGCTGAATTCTTTGGCGCTCTAAGTGTATTGGATAGAACTGGACAATTACAGTCTCTTCTATAAGTCAAAGCATTTTTAATTCCAAGACAAAAAAGAACACGGCAGCTTAAAAAAGGGGCAAGGTATAATCTATATTTTAGCTCGCAAGCGGAAACAAGTGAATGTGCTACATACACAATTCGGCCAAGCAATCACTTTTGCGTGTAAAACAAGGCCAAGTATAATGTGAAAATTGGCTTCATATACTCGTTCGTGTCGGTCTATATAATTGATATATGTCTATCCACCCATCCGTCCAATTATTACCGGAAGAACCCCAGCTCCGAGAGCCCTCCCCCCTTTTACCATGCCCCTAAAATCCGAACCATCCCTACAGCCAATTCATGCGTCTATCTCCCCAAAAGCCCCATGACAAGGTAAAAAGTGAGAATCATTTTCGTGGTAACGTCAGAAGCGAAGTATTTGTACAACTATAAAGTTCGTGAACTGAAAGTGATATCCTCCATGCTATGCAATGACCAGCTTTTGCAATGTTGATATATATATATGAAGGAAGAAATGCAAAATGCGTTGCTATATGGCAGCTGATATGTTCATGTAATGGCATTGAGGAAGGGACTGAAGAGCAACTCTTCAGCACTTGGCCGCTTCACATGCTCGACCTCAAAGGCTTGTTGCAAGAAAGTCTTCGCGTCAGAACTGGCATGATCTGGAATGGTGGGGCTGATCTTAGCACCACCGATCTTGAAGATTGCTTGCAGTTGCGAGCAGTCGGGGAATGGATGCGTTCCAGTCATCATCTCAACCACGAGGCATCCAAGTGACCAGATATCGGCTTTCCTGGTATAAGATGTCTGCTTTACCACCTCGGGAGCCATCCAGAAGACAGATCCTTGAAGGGATGGTCGATTCTTGTTTTGAGAAGCACCAGTAAGGATGTTGGAGGCCTCCATCTTCTTCGAGATACCAAAATCAGAAATTTTAATGCCACCTTTGTTGTCGACCAAAATGTTGGCGCCCTTGATGTCTCGATGGATAATATCCCGTCCGTGTAGATAGGCGAGCCCAGTGACGATTTGACGGACAAAGTTGCGAATAAGGGGTTCCCGAAGAGCTCCATAGGAGTTGAGCATAGTCTGGACTGATCCACCAGGAACGTACTCGAGGAAAATGTTGAGGGTCTCTGAGGAAGAGCTAGCACCGAGATATTGTACAATATTTGGGTGCTGAAGGTCCCGCAAAAGACTGATCTCACGCTTTAGGGCATCAATCATACTCTTCTTTCTCGCATCGTTGGCGCTGTTTGAGCCAGGTGAGAGTGCCTCCACCTGTTTGACGGCTAGAAGCTCTCCAGTGACAGCATGTAGAGCCAGGTACACACTACCGAATGAACCTTGTCCAATAAGAGCACCTTTCATCCACTTGCTATCGTCCCAAGAATCTCCAGCCAGGAAGCTTTGTAACTCTTCATCAGCATCTTCTCCGTCTTCAGTCAGAGCCTGGCTTATGTCTCGCAATGAGCCACTGGCTTCAGTACTGGCTTCATCAAAATAGCTCTGAGTGTTGCCGTCTGGATCTGTGACATTCACATTTGTAGTATCAGACCCGCTGTCGAAGGAGACATATGACTTCCGATTGGGCTCGATAGGAGACTCTTCCTGTACGCGCTCAAGTAACGATGATGCTGTCGAATCTCTATAGCGGTTGCTATTGCCCCGAGATAAGTCCAAGGGTTTGACCTTTGCAAGGTGGCCATTACCATTTAACCAGGTGTCGGCAATGGTCGGCATTGGTGGGGCATCTGCGACACTTGATGCAAAGCTCAAGTTGCTTGCAACACTAAGTCGGCTGTTGACCTTGCTTAGACGCGTTGATCTCCGCAACGAAAGCCGGGCAGTACGGTCAATCTCTTCTCGAGGATGGTCCGGGAAGTAGGTTGTCAAGTCGGAAGTAATCAGCTCACTGGGGGGCCTTTGACCAAAGAATTGACGGAGGACTTTCTTTCCAGCAGTTGGCCTGTGTCTGGTAGTATCCCGTGGCTGCTCCATGGAAGGGGGGCGTTCTAGATCTTTGACAGTGTTCCATATGTTGTGCTCTCGCTCCCCAGCGGAAACAGCTGAGCCAGTTGACTGAAATGATGCAGGTGAGAGGGGATGTTGCAGACCACTATTCCAGCTCTCACCAAGAACCTGTTGTAATTTTGGTACACTTCGTTTGTTGTCGGCGCTCTCAAGAGCCCGAGTGTGATTAACAGTGACCTCTTCCATCGCGATAGCAGCTGCCCGTTTAATCTCGGCATCACCCGGGGGTCCTTCGTGAATCTTTCGAAGCATCAGACGGTTTCTTTCATTTCTTTTTGGATCCTTGATAATACGCCAGAGTTCCGTTTCAGATAGGCGTCGACATTGAGTGGGGTCAGCTTCCAGCCCGGACAGCACATAGAAACAGTAGCTTCGAATACGATCCTCACGGAACTCGTGTTTCCTCAATGTCAATCGCATAACTTCGTCAACCGACTGGCAATCCGTAACCTTGAAAACCTTTGTCCGGTCTCCCGCTGAAATGACTCTGACCAATCCTTGATCTGGTGGTAACAGGGCCACCAGATTTGTGTCGACACTACCGTTGCCCCTATGGTGGACGATACGTGCTGTCTGTGGTTGTCCATCCGCGGGTGTAGTAGGTCTTCTACCACTGATAGTCGCTGCACTCGAAGGAATACTTGAGCCATTGAAGTAGCCTTGTGCATTCTCTCGCCTTGCCGTTTCGGCTGGGCTCATCACTCCATACCGCTGCTGTCTGACTACTCTAACCTCTGATCCGGTGAGGGGAGAATTGGGTCTTGAAGGAGCCTTGGTGACATTTTCAGGTATGGCAGTTGCCGGGTTAAAGCTTTCGAATTGTCTCGAATACCTTTTATTAGCCGGGGGTGTTGGCATAGCTCGACTTCCGGAATTGGGAGGTCGTGGAGACCCAGATGATGATGGTGTATAGGCATCGAGGCCGGCAAAAGAATCCTAAAAGAATCAGCCCTGAATCACAACATTTGGTATGTAGAGACCTACCCTATTCCTTTTCTTCTGGTTGGCGTACGCCTTTGTTCTAAGCTTCTTAATTCCCAGAAATAGACGGACGCGATCCCCAATCTTTTCGATCCCCATCTCTTGGAGCACTGCTTTGTCCATTTCCAAGAGATTCTCCCCATTAATATTATTCTTCTTGAACAACTTCTCATAGTCTCCGCAGTTGATACTCCTTAGCCAATCACAGACTCTTTCTTCATCCCAATTCTTCGCGGATTCTGGCCCTTCGACATCGGAAAATTCGGACTCTGTCGGGCTAGCAAACGATTGATGTGAAGTCATCATGGCCGGGGCCCTTCGACTTGATTGGATGGCAGAGCTCTGCGCGGAAGAGAGGTTGGAAGTCGAGAGCAGGGCCGCTGGGAAGGGCGTCTTGGAAGCTAACATGGCCATCGTGAAGAATGCTAGCTATGCATAGAGCTGCTTTGCGGTAGACGACTGAAGTTTTATTAGTTTTGCCGTGTTGATGAGAGCCCGTAGTGTGTAGGAAGATCTGATGTACATGTACAAGTACTGGACGGGCAGATTAATTGTCTTGCAGCACGATCGGCTGACGTGAGAGATCTGCCAAGATTCGCGTCGTCGATGATGCTTTTCCTGGGTTTTGTGGAGTGATCGCTGCGAGAGTATTTCTTTTCGAGACAACCGGCGACGCGGTGTTTCGGATGGTTTGGCGTGGTTCGTGAGTGGATCTCAAAGAGCGACAGTCGCGGGAGTCTTAAGTGAAGTAGCTGAGAACAATGAATCTCCGGGATCCAGGCCAACAAGGAACAAAGGCAGAGGCGGAAGGAGGAGGAGGGCGTTGGAGAGGAGTTGAGAGGAGAGATCTAGAGAGAGGAGGGAATTCTAAGAATCGGAATTATGGACGATGGATGGGGTTGGATAATCAACAAGCGTATGCTGTGGTGGTGCTGGACGGGGCGCTTCGCACTTGAAACAAGCTGGTGGCCGTGCCCGTGCGTAGAGATGCTCTAAAAATTCGCTAAAAAGGCGGCGTGCCCCTTCCCTTCCCCTGTCGTTGGTCGTCTGGGGGGAGATGAGACGATAATATGATAAGACCCGAATTAAGACTTTATGTTCGGACTTAGATATGAACTCTTCGCTTTGCAATGTTTTACAAACAATGCAGTCAGAGTTAAAGTTAGATCTCTGCGTGCGGATGCTTTGCACCAGTCCCCTTCCCTACCCCCCAGTCGTCTCGTATGGAAGAAGTCAGCCTGGGCCTGGCTGGCCTGCCTTGGAAGATTTGGATTAGGAAAGGAAGCCAGGTATGTTTACTGGACGGAACCTCAGCTACAGTGTAGTGTGTGAGTGGTACGGAGTCCGTATACTAGGTACGTCCTCAGCACACCGCAGAAAGTCCAGGAGTCCTGTCAGCCTGTAAATCTATAAACAACTGTACTCGCCAGTGAAGTGTGGTTTCGTTACGAGCACTTGCTAGCCTTCCAATAATCATCATCCTTCGCGGGAGTCTGGAGGATGGTCAGTCAGGATAGGCAGGGCTGACAAACAATGCAGCCAATGAATCCTTGCCTCTTTTCCAGCTCACTCCTCAGTCGTTAAAGGCTGCTGTATTCGCTCCTCGGCCCCCCCCCCCCCCCCATTTCGGCGCCCGTTCAACTCGAAACAACATCAGGGCTCATATGATACCTAAATTAGGTTAGCGCCCGTAGATGTGGCACATCCAGCGTTTTGGAATCTGACATCGACAACCACATCTCTCGAATCCGAACTCCAGATCAACCGCTCACAGGACATCCACACATCGATGGCCATCGCGAACCGCGCGGTCCTATCTAAGCTTCCCAGTAATCTGGATTCATGCAATACTAAGCCCAGAAATGCCAAATACGGACGTATGATCTTCATTGTTGTACTCAACCTAAAGACTGGGACCTGTCTATCTTCGTCTGAAAGTCGCTCCCTTTCATCAGCGGCGTCATGGAAGGCCGGGAGATGTCTATCAATTGAGACATTCCCAGGGCCAGCATTCCGCTTAACAACACTTGTGTGTCTTGAAGTCGTAAGGCTAAATAGCTTCAGTGAAACGGCACCTACTCAATATGCTTCAACTCGTGATGACTCCATTAAAGCAAGAATCAGCTAAGTCCTTGGCAAATACTTCGTATTTACTTGGTATTTACCTTCGTTATCAACCCATGGCGAAGCACGCCGGGCAACCTATCAGGACTGATGGAAGGGCAAGCGGTCAACTGGTGAAACAAAACAACGTCAATATGAGTGTAACTGAGCTTTGCGGCATACCGATGACGCCGATATTGATTACAAATGCCGTAAAAAATGTCACCCGGACGCCATATCAGCGTCAGCCTCGCACGCTTCGCACGGCCTGGGGGCGAAAGTGGCGGTGGGGTGGGACACATTTGCATCGCTTCTTCTGAAGACTGCATTTCCATTTCGGGACACCAGCGCCCTTCTAGGGGCGAGTCTGATATAAGGTTGTCCAGTATAGTAGTAGGTCTGAGATGCATCCATCCTTTCTAGGTACAGTACTAGTACAGTATATCTATCGGTCCACCAAATATCAGATTCACGCTTGACTGCAGAAACGTCAAAATGAGCTTCAGCCCTCATGCTGCTATCATTCGGCGAATGTTCCTCTGATGAGGCAGCTATGCATGAACTGCATCCTATACAGTGCTGTACTCCTGAAATTGGGCGGCGGCTGCAAGTGCTCACGGGTATTTCGAGACTCGTCCCCGCCAAAACCCAAAAATAGAACTTCTTATCATTCATCGGTGTATGAAACATGAAACATTGAAAGCCCTTGTGCACCTGAACCCTGAATGAAGCCTTCCATTCCCAATGGTGCCTGTGATATATTTGTGAAATGATCAGGTGATCAAAACTCTGGCGCCTCGGTATCACTATCGTCCGCCCAATAAGCTACCTGCTGCAGCCTTGGACCTCAAACGTCGCAGCCTCGAGGAAGGCGAGGAACATGAGCGAACCTCCCTCACTTTGACGGATGGCTCTCGACCCGTCAAACGGCTATGTAGCCGCTCGAGACCTTCAAGACCTCAATGAGAATGCCCTCCCAATCTTCAATGTCGAACCAGTCCAGCTTCAGTTCTCCATAGCCTCCGACTTTGTTGCCTCGCAAGTCGCAAACAACGTGCTTGTCCTAGCTCTCGCAAATGGCAGGATTCTTCGGATAGATCTGGATAATCCTGCGGATATAGATGGTAATAAGCTTGGGTTGTATAGATTTTGGTCCATTGCTGAAAGGTCACAGATATCGACCTGCCCAAGAGAACATCCGAAGTTGGTGTCATACGGCGCATGTTCCTCGACCCCACCGCCTCCCATCTGATTATATGCACCGCCCTGGGAGAGAACTATTACCTTCATACACAATCGCGGCAACCGAGACCTCTATCACGGCTTCGAGGTGTCTCGATTGAGTCAATAGCCTGGAATCCGTCATTACCAACCGCCTCAACAAGAGAGATTCTTATAGGGGCATCAGACGGGCATATCTACGAGGGATATATCGAAACTTCGACCGAGTTCTACAGGAAGGAAGACAAATATCTGAAAACTCTACAGAGACTTCAAGATGGTCCAATTACTGGATTATGGGTTGACCTGGTGGCTGGGAAGCCGGATGTGCGCAGGGTCATGATAACTACACAAAGCAGGATCTTACACCTGGTTGGGAAAATAGGAAAGGTGGCTCACGAGGGAGGAGCATCTATCTTTACGCGTCTTTTTGAGACCGAGCAGCCCACAGCTCATGAAATTTCGAGAGTTTCTACGACATCATCCTCATCACTAGTCGTATCACCAGATCCTCCAGACTCCAACTCATTCGAAAGCTTGAGCCCTGACCGAATCTTTGCCTGGCTTTCATCTCAAGGTGTTTATTATGGCCGACTAGTGACCGCACCATCATCAAATGATCTTGGAAGTAAGGTTTTTGCGGAATCAAAACTGCTGCCTAGATCACAATTACCAGCTTCCGAAACACCTAACGGCCGAAAGAAAGCTGTACAAGAACCTATTGACTCCATTGCTTTGACACAATGGCACATCTTGCACTTAATAGGTGGACGCGTTATCGCTGTCAATCGACTAGACGACAGAGTGATATTTGACCAGGTTGTCCTAGACCCAGGCCAGAAAGCTCTCGGCTTATATGCGGATCAGCAGAAGAATACTTTCTGGCTCTTTACCACGCAAGAGATCTTTGAAATCGTGGTCAAGGACGAGGATAGGGACGTATGGAAAGTAATGTTGGCAACAGAGCATTTCGATGCAGCTTTGAGATATGCCCGAAACCCGGCCCAAAAGGATGCTGTAGCAACAGCATCTGGTGACTATCTAATAACTAAAGGTTCATTCATTGAAGCTGCCGGCGTCTATGGAAAGAGCAGCAAACCCTTCGAGCAAGTCGCACTGATATTTGTGGACAATGACCAACAAGATGCTTTAAGAAAGTATCTCTTGACAAAGGTCACCACATATAAAAAGTCATATATCATGCAGCGGATCATGATTGCAAGCTGGCTTGTGGAGATATTCATGTCAAAATTGAATTCGCTCGATGATACCATTATTACCAAGGCTGAATTATCCGAGTCTCTCACTCCAGCAAAGACCAAAGATCAACTTCAAGCCATCCGCTCAGAATTCCACGAATTTGTGAAGAAGCACAAGTCAGACCTCGACAGGAAGACTGCATATGATATCATCAGCAGTCACGGGCGAGAGGAGGAGCTCCTCTACTTTGCCAGTGCGGTGGGCGACCACAATTTTGTCTTGGGCTATTGGATGCAGAGAGAACGGTGGAACGAAGTGCTAGATGTTCTTAAGAGACAGACTGCGGCCGAAGTTTTTTACCGCTATAGCAGTGGGCTCATTACACATGTCGCGACAGATCTTGTGGATATTCTGATGAGACAAGCAGACCTGAAACCACGCAACCTGATTCCAGCTTTACTTACATATGATCAAACCTTCCGGGGGCCATTATCACAAAATCAGGCTGTTCGATACCTTCTCTACGTCATCAATCACCTAAGTTCGACCGATGCCGCCGTTCATAACACCTTAATATCTATCTATGCAGCTCATCCTTCCAAAGACGAATCAGCCCTTCTTAGTTACCTTGAATCCCAAGGTGATGAGCCAAGCTTCGATGCAGACTTCGCCCTTCGACTCTGTATACAACATTCCCGAGTCCAGTCATGTGTACATATCTACAGTACTATGGGCCAGTACCTCCAAGCCGTCGAGCTAGCCCTTGCTCATTCCGAAATCGATCTCGCCTCCCTCATCGCCGACCGCCCAGTCTCCAACCCCGCCCTGCGAAAGAAGCTCTGGCTTGCAGTAGCCAAAAAGGTAATTTCCCAATCCAACGGCATCAAAACAGCAATCGAATTCCTGAAGCGCTGCGATCTCCTCAAGATAGAAGACCTTATACCTTTCTTCCCGGACTTCGTCGTGATCGATGATTTCAAAGAAGAGATTTGCTCTGCGCTCGAAGATTACAGTCACAACATTGATGCCTTGAAGAAGGAAATGGATGAATCCGCGCAGACGGCGACGAATATCAAGATTGATATCGCGGCTCTGGATCATAGATATGCTATTGTTGAACCCGGGGAGAAGTGCTATGTTTGTAGCCTGCCACTGCTCAGTAGACAATTTTTTGTGTTCCCGTGCCAGCATGCGTTTCACAGCGATTGCTTAGGTAGGAAAGTTATGGAACAAGTAGGTGTTACGAAAGGAAGGAGGATTAGGGAGGTACAGATGCTGGTTAGTAAGGGCATGGTCACGGGTGCGAAGAGAGATTCTGCTATTGCGGAGTTAGATGCCTTAGTGGCTTCTGCTTGGTAAGTATTTTCCTGTTCTTGCATTTCATGGGAACGTAAGCTAATGCTTCCGGATAGTATTTTGTGCAGCGACTTCGCGATCAATCACATTGATGATCCATTCGTACTGCCGGCGGACGATGTGAGTGAGTGGGCGTTATAGAGAATGTGCGTGTAATATAAACATAGGATGAGATATTCATGCGAAGTAATCATTCAAAAAGCTGCAGCCTCATTACCGAGATTGACCTGCTGGCGATGGGGTGTCTATGAAATCGACACAACGTGTTGGAAAAGAGAATTATCCGTCTATCGTTGGTTTCACTCCATCCATATCATAAATCTTCGTATCATCTTTAGTATTCACGTCACGCGACAGCTTCTAGCATTGTTTCGACGAGAACATCCCGGTAGTTCCGGACCTACTTCCTTTGCCTTGCACGTTCTACGAATTACATATTTATTGAAGTTTCAATTGAAGCACGTGGTCGCCAATGGACCGCCTACTACAGGGATATGGTGAGCCCATTCCTTGTGGATTGATATTTGTAACGATCTGGTTTGCTCAAGTTTTCTAAAGAACGGAGACAGTCCTTCGATAGCGCTTTCGGAACTTCGTTGTCAATATTTCTTTCGCAATAAGCGAGTTACTTGTTGATTGATTTTGACTGGCACTTCAAGTGTTTTGAGGTTTTGGAGATCAACAGGCGGCATTTTGAGTTTCCCATCATAAGATTCGTCCATCAGACAGTCGTAAATTTCTCGTAGAAAGCCAACCGAGTTCTCCTTGCCCTTTTTCCTCTTCCCCTTTTCTTTCACTTCGTGGCTCTCGCTTCGTACATAGCTGGCAGACATCACCAACACAAACCACTTCTTCACCTTTAGTTTCTGGGTATAAGTCGTTCATTTCCAGGCATTAATTCCTGTGGATAATGCGCCGTTCTAATGTGTCATTACTTACAATGCCTCCATTTCCACTTCTAACGCAAATATACTTACGTGGTACTGAATTCATATTATTCTCGCACGGCTTACCATTTTGGTATCTGTAATCGTCGAAGGCTGGGAGAATAATTGCAAAGTAGTCACTGCTCTTTCTAGACCGGACGTAAGCAGGAGATAGGGCCTTAATCGGCTTCCTCAAACTCCATCTCCACTTCACGAGCTGCTTGATGATCCGTGCGGCATAAAAATAGGGTTCTTCAACAGCCCATGGAGTTAACGGCGACAAGAAGTTCAATGGATCATGCAAACGATACATCAAAGACCATATAAAACTTTGACTTCCAGTCATCAAAACAATTCTAATTATCCAAAACTTTTCCAACCACTTCCCAAGATTTCAAACCCCTCTAAAAGTCATAATAATCACAATGGCCGCCACACCATTCGAGCCTAAGAAGACAGCACTTCTTCTGCTCGACCTCCAAGTCGGCTTCCTATCCCACCTTCCCTCAGAGACTAGTGCCTCGGTTTTGGATAACGCAGCATCAGCCATCTCCACTGCCCGCCAGAATGGAGCCCAAGTAGCCTACATCAGAGCCGCACTCGACGCCGCCGAAGTGGCCGCTATCCCCGACCATGCGCCCGCCTTCTCGGCCTTCAAATCCAGCGAAGAAGTTGGCGCCGCAATTCACCCCGATGCAGCAACCACCCAAATCCACGCCAAGGTCGCTCCCAGGGACGGCGATATGTTTTACCGGAAAATCAGATTCGGCACCTTTATGAGAGATCCTTCGAAGGCCCTGCTGGATGAGTTCAGGGCCAAGGGCATTGATACTATTGTTATCGGGGGAGTTATTACTTCGGGAGCGGTGCTGAGTGCGGTGAGGCAGCTTGCGGATTTGGATTTCAGGCTGGTGCTGTTGGAGGATTGCTGTGCGGATTATGATGTTGAGGTGCATAAGATGCTTTGTGAGAAGGTGTTTCCGAAACAGGCTAAGGTTATTAAGAGCTCGGAATTGGGGGGCTTGTTCTGAGTGAGTGACTGAGTGAGTGGGGTGGACGGACAAGTGCTATTTCACGGTTGGGGGACGCCTGGTTTGACAACGCAGTTCACAACAATCTGATCTAATACAGCGGTCACCCCTCATTCCATTCTATCTCAATAAACACGTTCCGCGTAGTTCCGCAACTTACAACGGCTCCGTTCAAGTGATGAAGCCCCCTAGCATACACGAATGAAGAACTCAGATCAGACTGGCTTGCTTGTGATCCAACACTTGTTTGCGTCGCGGAACACTTACGCTTTCGCATCGTGCGCTACTCAGGATTGATTTGCAAAGCTTGTGACACTTGCCAAACGGAGATTTGATCCAGAACACTCCACAGGTGCTCCGTTTGGAAGTTCATCTTAGGTTTCGTATTGCTACGCAGAGCAATTCATATGACTACAATGGGGAGTAGCGGGTACATGTTCAGGAAGCGGCTGCACAAGATGGTGGAGAAGTTCATTTTCGTTGTGTGACTCAAGTTCGAATGTTCAACTTGGCCGGAGTAATGGCACTACTTTTGAAATGCTTGCTACAGAGACATGTAGCTAAATGGGATAGCAAAGGTATTTCCACTAACTGGTTCCTCCCAAACGCCATGTTACTCCTTCATCCTTTTCCCAAACGCCTCATGCTAACGTGAAGCCATGGGAATTATTAATATATCTTACAAGAATACCAGATGGTATAATATAACATAAAAGGTATGTCTGTACCTTAGTATCCATTGGTTGGCGGTCGGTAGACTGGTGGCATCGGGGTATGACCGCTGGTTTGTTGTCGTTTTGGTTGTGGTCGTGCTAATGGTTCATCGTCTTCATCGCCGCTTGAGGTCAAGTCAATGACTGCTGAGATTGATCGCTTTGTACTACTGCTAGATGATGTAGTTTTCGGCGGCCCAGATGGAGGGGCAGATCCATTCGTGACTGATCCTAATGGGGTTCCATATGCACGAGGTGTTCCCATCTTCACACTGTCGCCAGATTTGGTGATCTCCACAAGGTCGTCATCATCGTCGCTCGCGCTCGCTACGCCGCTGTTCCTTGAGTTGGGTTCCTTTCTCGTGTTCAGCTCCCACTTGCCATCTGGCTGAATGGTTACTTGATCAACTGATCTGGATGTGCTTTTCAGGATGCTCTTGACATATCTGTCGGAATGGTCAGTGTAGTTCAAATGCGCTAGTATCGGGTCACACTTACTCGTCAACGGCTAAGGTGTCAAACGGAGCGGAGTTGTTACAAATAGGGCAGAGCCAAGTTGGACCTTGTTCTTGAAGCTGCAAATATGACGTTGCATCGAAACACTGGTTGTGCCTGCAAGAAATAGATCGACATGGCAAATCAATCTTCAATGTCGACAATGGGCATTTCAACGACAGAACAGAGGCCGTTGCTACGATATCCGCATCACGTGCCTTGCTGACCACTGTGTTTGCTTTAGTTCGAGCCCCAGCTCCAGAGAGGGGAACATACTATCATCCAAAACAGACTTTTCTGTTATCCTCTTTCCGTTTTTGAGTACTTCTACTAGCTCCGTTACTGGCACCACCTTGACGACGTATATCGCAAGATGGAATTTCTAAAGTACAATTAGTATCCGACTTTATCAACTGCGGCGCCAAAGGGTAAAGCAAGTGGGAAAAATAGGCAAGGAGCTGGGGATGAGAATCTAACTGATGAAGTTCCACCTGCCTTAGATGTCAGGGCATATGTCATCTCAACAAGATTGCCATAAGCAGGTAAATTGAGACGCAGCTCCTTAGTAATGTCTACAGGTCTTGTGGAGCCTGGTTTGCTTTTGAGACCCCTTAAATTGGCCTTGATGTCTCCTCCATTGACTTTTACTTCCGATTGGTGAGGAAAGGCAATATTTTGTCCAGGCTTGTCCTCCGCCGCGCAAAATACCATAACCCGTAGATTGGGCTCCTTACTAACTCGATGTAAAATGGCATGGTCCTGAACTTTGATGGTCGTCTTGACTGTATGTCTATGGTGGGGCATAACTGGGGACTGTTAGTGAATCCGGCGCAACCAGAACGTATTCCCCTCACCTTCACATTGAAGCGTGTCGCCCAACTGCTGCTCTATCTTGTAGAACGGACTTGTCTTGAACCCAAGTTCTGCCATCGTTAGATTAGCAGTTGAAAGAGTGAAGTCAGATGCGCTCCTACTCTGCGAGACAAAGCCCCGATAAGCAACAGCCCCTCCCATGTTGTATCCGTTGTTGAGATACGCGCCTGGAGCGGCGGTTGGAGTACTTCGCGCAGCAGGTGAAGACGAGCTTGCCATCCCCCCGTAGTTGGTACCCATTTGACCGATCGATTGAGGGTTGTAAATCATGTTTTTGAGGCGGTCGAATTTTTGGGCGTCCTTGTGCGTGAAGTAATGACGGATCTCTGGTGGGGGAGAGCAGTGTTAGCATCAATAGGCTGCAGTAGCTAAGTGAACAGGGAGTGAAACAGAAGGGGGAATGGTGATGTTGATTTGGCTTAAGTATAACATATGTTATAGAACCAAACTGACATGACTTACTCTCGATGATACGGGCCTGAAGTTCGCTTTTGACGCCGTTCTTGCCCACTCCCTCTGCTGCACAGATTGCCGAGAGGGTTTTATTAAGATGTCCCCCGTCTTTCACATATCGGATGAGGGCGTCTGCGTCCAGATATCCCCCAGAGGCCATTGCCAGATGTTGGACTGGCTGCGGCAGGCGTTAGGAAGCGTGGAGAGATCGCAGGTGGGGTGAATGCATGAAGGATATTCGAATGCTTTCTGGTATGGAAAGGAAAGGAAATGGAAGTTTAGCAGACATATAATAGCGCGGTACGACCTTTGTTCAGGTTCGTATTTGCGTAGCATCAAATGCAAATGAGAGGCGAATGTATAGAACAAGTTGCCGGCGGCTCTATCACAGTCATTGTGAATCGAGGCTGCGTCTTGCCTCAAACAGAAAACATGAATACGGTGACCGGCGGCTGGATTGCGGCAATATTGCTGTAAGCTGCCCCGCCCCACTGAAATTTGATATTTTACTACAGTACAACCACATCTGCAACTGCAACTCAATTACGAAAACTCCAATATTTGCGCATCTGCTATAACACCCAGCCCCTCCGAATTACTCAAGATGGCGAAAGGAGCACGAGCGAGCACCAACAAGGCGAACAATGTAAAGCTCAAGGCCAATGTGTTTGGACCCGTCGAGAATGCCAGGACCGAGCGACTGTCAGCAAAGCTTCTTGAATTGGCCTCCCAGCCAAAACCAAAGCCTGCCAAAGCAGAGATAGATATGGATGTAGAAGGTAATAATCGATTCTTGATTTTTTGCTCCTTACATAGATCTAATATTCTCACAGCCACTGCGAAAAACGCCAATACCGACCCCGCTACGGCAAAGCAGACCGAGGGTATGTCTTTTTATTTTACACTGTGCGATGCTTATTCGATTAAAATCTAACATACTGTCAGACATGGAAATCGATCAAGGCACCTCAAGGCCCTCCAAAGGCCGGATAGCCAAGAAGGTCAGGCACAAGTCCAGTCGCACAGCATCGATCGTCTTCCCAAAGTACAAGAACGGCGCAAGAGTTGGGAAGTCTAAAGGGAAGAAATAGATTTTACAGGATACTGTCGACGAGGTCAATGAGCTTATAAACAGGCGTTTGTTGTGGGAATATTTGGAATTTGGGTGGAGTTTTGGTCTGGAAAGTCATTTAAGCGGCTTGTATGCAGCGGTTCCCTCGAAGAATGAAGACAGTTCTGGCGTGTAAACATGATAGTCAGTAACTGCAAATATTGAAATACCACACAGTTTTCAATAGACGTTTTCCATACAAACCCCCCCTCCCCCCCCCCCCAGAAAAAAACAGCCAAAAAAATCATGAATTACTTCCGATAAGCTTTTCTTATCGTACTCCGTACATGTAGCACTACGGACGAACAGTACAGTAAACGCGTTCGCCAAGCCAGATTTGCTGACGCGCGACCTTGACGTCCGTCCTTTAAACAATCTGTCGGGGCAGAAATGGCTATCCCTTCATCGTTCCAGCTCCAAGACTCAGTGCTATCGACTCTGATATTCTCTGGGCCTTGAGGTTTTAATTGAGATAAAATCTAGAAAATGGCGCCTGGAATCCGGACCCTTTTCCTCGTTGCTGCGAACGTGCTTATCCCCATCGCCATACTAACCTTTGCAAGCGGATTCTTTCCTTATAAACCATTTCTTTCTGGTTTAGCACAATATGAAATCCTGGACTATGGCTCTCCACCAGAAGCCCCGTTCGACAAGGTGGTATTCATGGTGGTTGATGCTCTGCGAAGGTACCAATGCCAATAATGCTCAGGGAACGGGCTAACATTGGCAGTGACTTCGTCTATTCAGGACTTTCGGGGTTCACTTCTACTCAAAGGTATGATTGACCCTTACATAATCGTATTCCAGACAGCTAATATAAGCTCGCAGCTTGATTGCATCCGGAGCCGCCATTCCCTTTACTGCCCATGCAACCTCTCCAACCATTACCATGCCCAGAATCAAAGCCATCACCACAGGATCAATACCATCTTTCCTCGATGTGATCCTCAACTTCGCTGAATCAGACACTAGCTCAAGTCTAGCAACACAAGATACATGGCTTGCACAAATGAAGGCAAAACAAGCCGGGAAAATGGTCATGTACGGAGATGATACCTGGCTCAAGCTCTTCCCGGACTTCTTTGATCGGGTGGATGGGACATCAAGCTTTTTTGTTTCGGTCAGTCAAGATGTTGCAGGTGTACATAGACATGTAGCTGAATATATTCTATTAGGATTTCACCGAAGTGGACAATAATGTTACGAGGCATGTCCCAGGTGAACTTGGGAATGATGATTGGAATACTATGGTGCTTCATTACCTGGGACTTGATCATATTGGACATAAGGCTGGTCCTCGAAGGTAACAGTTTTCTTGGTCTACAAGGAGTTTAGCTGACCAAAGAAGTCCAAATATGATTCCGAAGCAACGTGAAATGGATGGAATTGTCAGCCAAATTTATGAAGCCATGGCCACCAAAAAGTCTCTCCAATCAACTCTCTTGGTACTATGTGGAGACCACGGCATGAATGATGCTGGTAATCATGGTGGTTCTGCTCCAGGAGAAACTTCGCCGGCTCTTGTCTTCATATCTCCAAAGCTTACGGAGATCAGCCGAGGCTTCATGTCCCCTGCTCTCTTCGAAGAGAACTTTCAGTACTACTCCACAGTTGAGCAGTCAGATATTGCTCCTACGCTAGGTGCACTTCTTGGATTTCCTGTCCCCCGAAATAATCTTGGGGTTTTTATTTCGGAATTCCTTTCGTTCTGGCCGAACAGTAAGATGGGTTTCATTCAATTGGGAATGAAAACGCTGACTTGAACTAGAGAATGACAGAACACAGATTCTGTTACGAAATGCAAGGCAGATCTTAAGTGTTGTCACTGCCACCTTTTCATCATTTGAAGGCGATGGACCGTCACAGAACTGCGGGGAACTATCAAATAGTATTGATGAACTTGCTTGTGATTGGAGAGGCATTGTCAGAAGCGTCCCAGCGTCTGGAGAAGACCCGGACTTTGAGAGGTGGATTGGGGCAATTACCAAGGTCAGATACACTCTAGAAATTGTTCGCAGAGAACTAAATCTCCTCAGTGGCTGAAGCAGATCCAAGAATTAATGAGCAGTACGGCTAGTAACTATGATGTGTCGAAACTCGTAATTGGACAAGCTGTTGCTGCTGTTGCTCTTTTTTCTACCAGTATTGCAGCAGGTCCAACTGTTTTCAATGCCTTGCGAACTAGCTCTCCTTTCATTGCGATATCTCTTTCATACGGAATCATGATGTTCGCCAGCAGTTACGTCGAAGAAGAGCAACACTTCTGGTATTGGGCCACTACAGCGTGGCTAATGCTCCTTTGGATCAAATGGTAACTGAACATTTCACAATTCAAACTCATTACTTACGCATCTTCAGTAACCGCAAACAGGCTCTAAGCTCTCGACTACTTGCTCTAAGCTCCATTACTATTCTTATCGTAATGCGGTTTGCAAGACGTTGGAACCAAACTGGCCAAAAATTCGCCGGCGAGCCCGACATAGCTCGAACCTTTTTCTTCGAGCACAAAACATTCCTCTGGACAATGGTAACACTCACCTACTTATGGAACCTGCAATCACTCGCCACCAAAGGCTTCCAGCGCTTCAACCAAACAGCATCAACCGCAATCGCAACACTGCTAGCAACAGCAGCAGTAACATTCAAGCTCGCCTTCACCAACGAAGACTCCCCCGAGCTCATGGCCGGCATCGCGAAACTAATGATCGGCGAAGAAATGGGCGTATCCCTTGTTACTCGCGCGCGAATTGTTTTCATTGCTCTGGGTCTTGCCCTAACATATACAGTTGCCTCAAGCTTCAGCCATAAACGACCAAACCGTATATATACCCCCCTCCCTTTGCCCTCTAATACCTCTCTAACAACTTGTTGCAGCAACAATGCGTACCATCCATGACCTCCTAACGCTCCTTTTGATAACCCAATCCCGCGCCACAAACATCCCGCTCCTCCTACTCTTCGAAATCCAGTTCTTCCTCATAGCCGACCTGGACCTATCGCTCATCGAGATAAGCACCACCTCCCTGCTCCTCCAGTACAGCTCATTTTTTGCCTTTGGCGGCTCGAACGCTATTTCATCCGTCGATCTATCATCTGCCTATAATGGCGTCTCGGGATATAACGTTGTCGCCGTGGGAGTTTTGACGTTTGTATCAAATTGGACGGGTCCGATTTTTTGGACATCTGCTACCAATTTGCTGCTTTTGAAGTTGAAGAATAAGACAGGGGGGAAAGAGAAGGGCATATTTGTCCAGCATTTAGCATTATTGACGATGTTTGTTACTTGTGCCTTGTTTGGGGTGATGGCTGCTTGTACGGTGCTGAGGACGCATCTTTTTATCTGGACGGTGTTCAGTCCGAAGTATTTGTATAGCATGGCGTGGAGTCTGGGACAGCATTTGGTGGTCAATGTTGGGCTGGGAAGTATGCTGTTTTGGTTGGGGGGGTTGTATTTATAGGTGAATAGGGTGGTAGGAAGGGGTGAAGGGAAGAGAGGAAAGGAGGAAAGAGGGGCGTATGGGTTGTGAGCAGATAGTAACTCAGAGGGACGAAGTCAGGATCTGTGAGATAAACCCAGGTCCTCCTAGCCGTTGGGAGCAACGCGTACCTATCTATATACCGGGGTTATCATTTTTGCTCAATTTTCAATGAACACAAATCTCTGAGTTTTGTTTTACATAGTGATGGAGATCACAAAATTCATGACGAGATCCAAGAGTCCTTAAACTTGAAGAAAAGAAATATCCAAGCCATCGTAACGAGACTTTCCCACTCCATAGGCAGAGATGCTTCGTGTCGTTTACGGGATTTTGCTTGCGTAGCTACCAAGGCTTGACCACCAACAAAGAAAGCAGCTGTCGCATTCTTCCTTCTCATCTCTCCCCATAAAGTAAGCAAACAATCTAGCGTCAGCTTAGCATAGGAATGAATGAATACCAATGATTCCAAGGAACGAGGTAAATGAATGAAGCGCCGCGCGAGTTTCTGAGTTCTTATGACTCCTGTCTACTGCCATTTCCAAAGTTCTGAAATCAGCAGATGGATCTCTCGTTTCATTGCCATGCCTTCTTGGTCCGGTGCAAGGGGAAGGGGTTCTTTGCCGTTTATTAAGATACAGGTGGTGCATGGCTATAGTAACTAGGTAGATATCTAAGCATACAAGGGTGGGAGAATCCGGAGGGAATTCGGAGGGTTTTGCGGGAACGTGTAGGATGATGCCATGGCAGCGTGAGAAATGATCTGATTTGATTTGATTTGATTAGAGCTATCTAATCAAATCAAATCAGAGTAGAGAGAACCGAATCAAATCAAATCAAATCAAACCTAATCAGATTAAATCAGATGATATTTAATTAGTTTGATTATTTTTCATCACGCTGGATGATGCGGTTATCCTTGGGATCATATGATGCTTTTATTAAGTGTTGTTCACTAGTTTCTGAATGTAAAGTGTTTGTTTATGCAAATATTTAGAAAATGATAATCTCAACATCATCAATCATATCATGACTTTACTACAATATTCCTTTGGAAGGCTTCCGGAAGTGCGTATAGCCGTTAATCTAATATCTTGTGCAAGAAGCTAAGGAATTCGACATAAGGATACCGTGAAGTCACGACCATCACATCACATCCCCCCCTTTTCCCCTGCCCTGCCCTTCCCTAAGTCCGTGCTTTTAGGGGTCCTCGCTAAGCCTTTACCGAACTTACCCGCCCGACATTCGGGGGCGCTGGCGCTGGACACTAAGTGATCGGTGCATTTTAGTGCGATCTAGCGGCTAGCTTCCGAAAATTCTACATACCTAGGTAGGTATTCCAACTCCTCCATACAGGTCTCGTTGAAACCATAGTTGGAATACCAGGAGGGCTAGTAGAGGAGTAAGAATACTTATAACTAAGAAATAGAATGCTTTGAAAGTAGTAACTCAAAAGTTTAAATTTTGATCGAATCGAAAGTTGATACATCATGCCTCTTGCGCTAGTTCGTCTACTAGTGCACCCACCTATACTGATCTTACGGTGTACGAAGTAGACGACATGAAAAGATTGTGGATCATAGAGCTTATAACTTCTGAATGAGGAAAGTATAGCCCATATAGGAAAAGATCTCCGACTCTTAGCACCAAGGTAAATGTCAGGAACTTACTAAGTAAGCGGTGTAGTCGGTACTCGCCTCTATTTACTAAGTCTGTCACTCCCTCCCACTCCCCACTACTTAGCGTGAGCGTGGCTTGACGACCCCGCGTATATAATTGGCTCTTGACCCTAGTATACCGTCGAGCCAAGGGAATTTTGCAGTAAAACTTCTTAACTGGAACCTGGAAAGCTCCGCATTATATTAAACTTAAGCGGTATAAGAGGCGCGGAATATTTATTTACAGGGCAGGATATGCTCATACGGAGAGTATCAGATTCGAAAAAGTGCGAGGAGTTGCGGTGTGTATACGGAATACTTCCCTCCGTAGTTCCAATAATGCTTTAAGCCTTCACGGAAAGGTGGGAATAGAGTTTGTAAAGGAAACAATACGAGCATATCAATATAAAACCAGTGTGGAAGTTTAGTTGACTTGACTCCTCTAAGCATACTCCCTCTTCTGAAACGATTCATAGAGTTACATCTCACTTGAGATTTTCATTCCCAAACTCCGTAATTCAACATACGCACTCTTTAAACCAAAAGCGGAATTCAGGTGTGGAACATAAAGTACTAGGTAGAAATCCTTCAACAATTGACTTACAATAGCCCTTTGGGAACAATCACGTTCTTTGTCGACATTAGTCACTAAGATGCCAAATCACAGGCGGTTAATCGCGGTAAAGCACATATCCAGAGGTAGTTGGGAAGTACCTTGTACCTTACATATCTGGCTATTCTCCAACTTCATCTCTCGGCTGGTCTGGTTTCCAGGGGGGAAAGAAAAGAGCCTGCGCGTGGACAGGCCTTGAAAGATTGTTCAGAGAACAGGCCTTGAGTTTTGATTAGCAAAGACTGGATAGGAGCCCCCCACACTGCGGTAGGCAGTGTTGCTGCCCAACGGGAGGCAAGCGGGAATAAGACACAGCCTTGAAACTCTTGAGTATCTGGTATCCGCTGGCCGTTCTATCAAATGCGCCTATGTTTCCTATTGAGCGGTATTACGCGTACGTACTCAAGGTAGGTAGTGAGGGAAATATCTGGACTACCGCGGTTATGCATTGAGGATGGGGAAAGGGAAGTACAGGCTCGCATATATACAGTATCAGAGAAAATGTAGTAAAAGACGTAAGAATGTACGACCCCAGCTAATGATATTCAGGGCCTTGCCTTATATACAAAGAGGGAGGTAAGGAAAGCCCGACATGAAGATCTGAGGCTATCGAATAACCAATGACCGACATGACGGAGAGCTACGTCTATTGTCATATAGTGATCGTAGGGTTTCGACAACAAGGTGGGCCCGAGTTTCATGTACAGCCGAATATGAGAATAGTCGGCGACCTCACGAATTGACCCCGCAGCCCTATGTCGGGACTCTGAATATCTTGGAATTCTAGAATCTAGACTCATCACATACGAAGGAAAAAAGGGCTGCGTCCACTTCAAAGATGCATTGAATCAAGATCAGCCGCTGGGGGGGGAGGTTGGATAGAGTTTGACATAATAAATGGCCTTGCAATCCGATCCGATCCGATCTAGAAACCCCTTCGATCTGTAGACCCCGGCCACATTTCTTCGGATCGCGAACAAACCCCTGTAGGGCCGCACATTCAATGAAACCCTTCAAGTTCTCGGAGGAAAGCGAAATATTGAAATGAATTTTGCAAGGAAAAATAAGGGCGGGCTGTGTGGTCTTCGATTTCTAAACCCCAGCTGCATAATATTCTCATATCAAGAGATAACCCATGTCCGCCCGGATTGCTTGCAGAGAACAATGTGACATATCCTAGGAATGAATTCTAGATCTCGAGGCTTTCAAGGAGCCATCTCCGTTCGTGGGGGGTTGGCCATAGGAGTAGTACCAGGGAGATTTTGAGAGCAGGAAGAGAAATCCTTACGCATCTTGGCAGTCTACTTGATATGAGACTAAGAAGCGGCTTTATTATACGCTTTAGAACCAATGAAAAGGAATAGAAATATATACATGTAGACGACTAGCTAATGAGTACGCGAAGACTGCTCTATGATTGGAACTCTGAAAACTCCGAGTATTAACAAGGACATCTTATGTCTACTGCTAAAGCAAGCGAAAATTTGATGCATTGTTCTTGAATATGGTGACTTGGAGACGTAGGTCAGTTGAAGTTATTCCCGATTCAAATGCATCAACAGTGTCAATTGCATTGCGCAACGCAATGCATTGTTGGGGTGGTCGCGCCTGCGCACCAGGAAAAAGGTCCCGAATCTGGAAAATCTTGCGAGACTGATTCAGCAGCAACGTTACTGATCTGATGAAAAAAAAAAAAAAAAAAAGGCAGGCGCGATGAATTGCTCGTCCATGGAGCCGCCGTTTGAGCGCGAAGCGCCATACTCCCAACACACTTGATGCAAGGTCCACCGACATGTCCCCTCTTATCCAGTTCATCTGATTCTCTCATATCTGCGGTCATTTCCTCAAGCAAGGTGCATGCAGATGACTACCGGTCCGGCAGCCCTAAATGCAGCCTTCTGGCGGGAAGAACCGCACGCTGTCTCTCCCCTTACTGATTGCTAGTCGTGAATAGATTGCAGCGTTCGTACAGAAGATTCCTTTTAGAGAATAAACAAAGTTCTCGATGTGCGCAGCCTGCAGTGTAAACCGATGCGGCAGATCCTACTCGTTGGTTTGGAGCTGTCAAACTTGGATGATCTGAAGACCCCAGGACCCCGGACGGCACACTGCAGCATCCCGCCTTTAATCCAGGTAACCGGGTTATCCGTATGGTCAGTGCGCTGATGCTATTCGGAACCTTGTAGTGGCCGTTAATCCCAGATCCTGACATGCAGGTGGTTACTGTATGTACCTATGCAATGTTACAGAGTATTGTCATAAATACTGCACTTGTCCACTTGAACCCAGGATGTGACTAGGGTAATAGACGGTTTAAATTGGTTAAAAAGGCCCCATGGATCGATCATGTATGCCTTATTTAGTGATCAAACTGCTAAAAAAAACCCACTTTCTACTAGAATAAGGTTGTTCCCGGCTGCTAGAATCCATATAAGCCCTGTAAAGGCATACTCATGTTGTGGAAAGTTGCAGTATTTATGATAACACCCTTTAACATACGAAGGTAAGGTGATAAACTAGTGTGTTCGTAGCGTAATATCAAAAGGTGGATTTAACGGCAAGTCCCTTCTCATTGTTCTGATCTATTGTCAGAGTTTTGTAATGCAATAACACATCTAGATTGAAACTCGGGGATAGGATGAGGGGCTGTGTCTACTATAGATTTTTAGATCATGTCACATGACGCTGGTTAACCATATTTCTCTTTATTCGTTATGCGCAGAACACGCACATATATGCATCTATGAGTAGTGCATGCATATCTTATTAGCCCACTGGTACTGCCCAGTGTCAAAGAAAATGGTTGAGGGTGTTTGAATCGATTTCTATCTTGATTCGATTTCAATAACAGGTAAACCTCTCGTTCCCTTTATATTTGGACTGTCTACCACCGCAACGTGCCAACGAGAATATCTAGGGTCATCAGCGTCTATTCTTGTCCAAGTGTCAGGATGAAGCCCTTGCCCTTTTCGCCTTTCCGCTACTTTACACCAAAGACAGTCTGGGGTCTGATCGTCAACCACGGCTCTGGGTGCATCTGCAGGGGGCCCATGAACCGGAATAATGGCCCGGGGATGCAACCAGTACAAGGCCCCCCAGCATCGTTCAAGACTGTCTTATGAGAAAGTTCACGCGGCCCGAACGATGGATCATGACCAGATTCTACCCCTCAGTCGGGACCCAATAATGGTCCGTACTGTAGAGAAGCTCTCGGTCCGAAATCGTATGCGTTCTGTTCCTGCAGCATGTCTTACTCCTAATCGCGGGAGCTATTAATCCCCGCCAATTTGAAGGCGAAATAAGCGCCTAGGTCATCTCAAGCGCTAGGCGTTGCAATATATGGTTGTTGGAGAAGATCTCCAAGGAAACTTTCTGCTCCCAAACCCGCCGCGCGCTCCTGTAGGACTAAGTACATACGCTGTGTACCTGGGTAGTCGTCCAGTACGCCGTATCACGAACCCATGAACCATTGCCTTGGGATCAAGCCGCAACCCGCAAGCTGAACATCAATCCAGCAAACTTCCCGATTCCATTCCCATTTTGGTTGTTACACATTCGAGAAATCTGTCAACATGTCGGCGATCTGGCGTCCTGGAGTTGGGAGACGCTTGCAGATACCTTCCTCTTTTGGAAGCTAGACACGCCTACCGGTAGAGCTTTGCGCGTGCTGCAAAACATACGTAGGTGTTTCCGCGGATCATGATGAGTTGTTGCAGCAGCATGGCTGCTACCTCCATACACGAAAACACATTGGTCGAGAAGCCTCCGTTATATGCCATTTTCGCGTGTGCGGAGTACAGTAAGTACCATCATACCCATTGTACCAAGTACTGAAGTAACCTAAGAACGGGAGTGGGAGTGTCTGTCTACTCCGTACCTTAATGACTGTATATTGACATCTCGCGCGCGATCCGTACAGTAGAGCGGTCCGAATAAGAATTAGGTCTAGTGCTAGTTATTCATGTCAGCCACCGGTCTTATTGGACGACGAACGGTTGGGCCTCGATGGACAGGCAATACTAGTTTTAGGTCCAGGCTCTGCGCCGCCCGCAGCCATGGCCCATGGGACCCTTCCCTTCCCTTCCCTTCCTTCTCCCATCCTCATCCCCATCCCCATCCCCATCCCATCCCATCCACCGATTCCCAGCGCTACTAATCATGATCGCTGCCATAGTCGTATATTACTAACCTCTTGCCAAGGGAGGCTTGGTGCAGCCCGCGACCGCATCGGGCCGTGTCCACCCCCACGCATAGTTTGCAAGCTTAATCTTTTCCCGCGCCCAGCTGGCAGTAGCATGGCATGGGTTGCAATGCACACCTGCAACACACGCGCCCACCATTGGTAGACTTGAAGTCGAGTTTACGAAAGCTACTCCGTAGGTAGGGGTGCTGCAGCCTCAGAGTTACGAGTACCAGTTTTCACTTGTTCCCCATCTCAGATCGTGCGTCTGGTGCGTCTGGTGCATCTAAACATCCCTGACCCCCGTTGGAAAAGCAGCTTGCCTCTCTCTCTATGGCCTCTTTTCCCTCTTTTTACAGTACAGATGCTAGACGCACATCCCTGTGTCGCATCACTTGCCCCTAATTGGACCTAGATTTGCTAGATTCGCCATCCCTCCCGTCACCAGCCGCAGCGCCTCTTCCTTGTACTTGTAAGTAGCTCAATGGGCTCAGTAGGTCCAGTGCGTTGCAGGTTCGATCGATACTAGTAGGCTGCAACAAAGCCACATCCCCCCCCCCCTACGATGGTGAGGTCTCGATTCTGACGTGCCGAACAGATTCGCCTGCTGACTGGCGCCGTCCATTTTTGGTTTGGTCTTCTCATCTTTTCCACTTGTCTTCAAATCCATGCATACCCCCGTCGAGACCCCCTTGTCACCTTTAAGAAAATATGGCACTCCAGTTTTAGTCTCCTTTCTCAACTTCGTTGAAAGCTTTTGCTATATGATTTTGTGTGGGAGAGTCTACATTCAACAGTGTCACAATGAGGATATTACAGCTCATCGAGCAGCCTTGCCCTGTTTCAAAGCCAGGCGGGCAGCGGGAGACTTCCTATTGGTGTAGTGTCATTTCTCTCAACGTGGGATCATGGGCTGGCTCTCCGCGGCGAATATTGCTCCTAGCGGAGGTGGGGGAGTAGTATCGCCAATCTGTATATGAATCCATCGTCTCTCCATCTTAAGCTTGTGAGATCTCGGACTGACATAGCGAACGATTGGCAAACCCTCCTACTTCCTTCTATCTTGGTTGCACATCTGGTCCATTCAACTGCTGCATTCATCCAAGTTACACAACAAACAGCCTTCCCAACTCGCTCTTGCATTTACGCAACCCGGCTTTCCTTCACAGGTTCTATCACACCTCATCAGTCTCTTCCCTTTGATTTCGGCGGACACTTACTTTCATTTCTGCATCAACTCCTTCCCGGCTGTTCTCAGTTGGTTGAGCCATACAGTCTCTTGCGAAAATACTGTAAATAACATAAAGATCGAGGTCTTGCAGCGAGCAAGGCACTACCGCAACACTGGCAGTGACCGCTCTAGCGCCAGGCCAGGCCTGGGGACGTTGGCCTGAACAGCAGACACAGCATTCTCTCGACACATATTATACGATGGACAATTCTGGACTAATTCAGACATATAATCCTCGAACAACTTCTTCTACTGTGCTCACGCGTTCCAATGTGGCATCTCAATACGTTCCCGCCTTCTCTTATAGCGGAGCAACTGCCAGTCAAATGGCGACTTGCAACCAGCACCCCCAGCAACACAATCCATTCATATTTGGTACTTTTACGGGAGGGCATTCAACGGGATCAGTTCCACCATTTGGTGTAAACTACATACGCCAACGGCCCCATCTAGCCCAGCCCCCTACCAACGATGGTCAAGGAAATCTCTATACCCGCAACCCCCGTCAAGGCTATGTTGAGGAGCGCCACGGTCAAAGCCCACAGAGCTATGTTGAGGAGCATCATAGCCAAAGTCCACAGATTAAGACGGAGCCTCAGTGGAACGTGCCAGTCCCAGCCAAGCCATCCGACACTGCAGCATTTGTTTCCACCATCACCAAGACCATTACTCCAACGAGTCCCATTGATAGTGCAGATGAAGTCGTTTTCGGTACTGAAGTCGACACGCTAATGAAAGCCATTCAAGCTAAATCTCAGGCGACAATGCCACAGACTCCTTCTCTCGAACAGACAAGACCTGTGGTAGGTGCTTCTATGACCCCTCCCCTCGTGCGAGGTCCCCAGCCAAGTGGAGGACACTCCCATTCACGAGAGACAAGTAAGATCAACAAGCTCATGCATGGGGAACCCCAGGAAGAAGAATCGATCATGAATCACCCACAGGGTAGTAAGAAACGCTATCACTGTACCATTGATAATTGTGGCAAAAGCTTCCCCCAGAAAACGCATCTCGATATCCATGAGCGAAAACACACTGGCGAGAGGCCATATGTAAGTAACATGGCCCAATCTACAATTTATAGAGCTGACATTTCTTAACTAGGCGTGCAAAAGGCCAAATTGTGGACAATTCTTCTCGCAAGTTGGAAATTTGAAGGTAAACCAACCAGCGTTTACGCATTCAAGTATTATATAAAGCTAATTCTTTGCTCAGACCCATGAGAGAAGACACACCGGCGAAAGACCATACCCATGCCCCGTTTGTGGAAAACGATTCCCTCAAAGAAGCAACGTCCGAACTCATATACTCGTCCATAATCAAAAGAGACCTTTCCTCTGCCGACTGGACGAGTGTGGCAAGCAGTTCACCCAGCTTGGAAACCTCAAGGTATGTCCTATTTCTCATCTTGAGTCTTGGCCAATGTTTCAACTCAGCCGAGGCCCATGGGTTTCCAGATATCGGTTTTTGCTTTTTCTGTATATTTCCAACTGCCGCTCTTCTTCCTCTTGCTTTCAATGATCTACACATGATACAAGACTACACCATCAAGTAATATTTCAAAACTAACAAGAGTGCATACTTAGACACACCAGAATAGATTCCACATCGCCACCATCCGGGCTCTGACCAACAAGTTTGCATCAATCAAAGATGGCGACATCGTCCATTCAGCGGACAAGGAGCTCTGGGAGTACTTTGCCAATCTGTACAAGAACAGCAACAAGGGCATCAAGGGCCGCGGCAAGAACCGCAAGGTCGGCACGATCTCCCACTCCAACAGCAAGGTCACGAAGCTGAACTCTGGGATGCGGAACTTGGGTGTCGATGCCAGCAGCTACACCGGTGCCGGACGCGGTAACATTACCATGAGTGTGCCGAATGATAGCATGACCAGTTCGGGCAGGGGACATATGCATGGCAGTCCGTACGAAATGTTCGATACCGATGATGGGAGCCAGTCGAGCCACAGTGGCAGCGGCAGTGGTGGCAGTTCTGTGGGAACCTGCTACGAAGATGCCCACCCCGACGGTTTCCAAGACCATAGTCGAAGCCACCAGCTCGTTTTCGGCGACAGGCTCTACTGATCGGATGTGTGGGAGCGACGAGTGTGCATGAGGTGGGGGGATGTGGAAGAACAAACAGCACGCAGACGCCCGCGATTTACGATGGTTGACGACACATGAGACTACGATGGTGTTCAAGTCCGGAGTTGTATTATTACTAGATAATCTCCCAACCCGGCCAGAAAAGAAGAGGAGGAGCGCGAAAAAGGGGAGAGTATATATAGACTTAGTCTGGGAATTGGATGTGGATATATCTGTATGGGACTGGGAATCTGATTTATGGGCGAGCTTGTTGGGAGTAAGTCGATGCATTTTGTGGTTGCATGGAGGGGCTGTCTATCTGTTATCATTGTTACTGCCATCGTTTTTTATTCCCCTGTTTCCCTGTTGCACGTTCTACTGTCATTCCTTTGGAGATGAGATCAAGCCGGCATAGGGGGCTCGCATTATATATTCCTTCTCGTCATTGTCATTGTCATTTTCTTTTACACACCAACCGAAAAGGGAGGATAAATATTTTGTACTAAAGATGGGAGGGAATTTTGTCCAAGAATTCTGGCTACTGTCTGGAAAGATGTTGCATCGCAGGTACCTTGCTTGTCTGAGTTGTGGGGAGAGAGGAGGGGGAAGGAGAGGGAGAGGGGCTATGGATTCCTTATAACGGCATCTTATATAATTATCGAAAATCATACATATGTCTGGACACATCGGTTACATAGTTTATAGATATTGTTATTCAAAGGGATTTACATAGGGTTCGAAGTGTGCATTTCAGTTTATCATGGATGTTCAATCAAGTGATTTCAAGAGTTTCGCTAACCGCCGTGGGCCCCTCAGCCTAGGTAGGTACCGTACCCACTCAATAAAGATGGCAGGTCTTGAATCTTCTCGCTTATTGAGTTCTAGGTCTGCAATGGTAGGTACAGTATGGAGGCGTACCTCTGTAAATGCGCGCGACAAATACGACCCATCGGGCTTCGATTCGCCCTTGCAGAAAACCTGGCACAGTTCTAAGACCAGGCCAGAGGACTTGTCAATGCAACCATTACAATAATACATTCAGCTTCGAAAGGCCTAAAGCCGCGGAGGATGACGAGTTTATCTTCACTCATGATTAGGACACGTAACGGGGTCTGGCCTCAATGCACTTATCAACCCATGCGGTATCCCACGCCTTCACGGAAGTTTCCTTGGTGTAGGTTCTTGCCCCTCCCACCCAGTACGACTTAACAGTTCGTTCGTTGTCGGTGCCTCTGCTGAAGAAAGGCCTCGTGTAACCAGCGGTTGACTTACCGAAGCAAGGGACGGCGTCTCCGGGCGTGACCTCACCACACTACTCGGGCTACACCGCTTGGGCGCCGTTGCAATCGCAGAGAAAGATTGACTTCCAGTAATGCATTCTGTTGCAGTAGTTCTATTGATTTGACTCAGGCGTGATGTAGAATGCCGTGTAACCTATGATGCTAGATACGGTACCTCCGTATTGAATTGAGTGATGATATATAGTGTGTTCGTCATGACTATCAGTCTGTAAAAAGAGCAGACTTCCGTAGCGACATGAAGCCCACTCACCATAGCGGGATCAGTATACATATTGAGAGCTTTGATTAGAACTTGGTTCTAAAGAGGATGCGAAATCAGATGGTGGACGTGCGGGTGGTGGTGGTGTTGGCGCCAGGGTGGAGAGGGCTCGGCGAGATTCTTGAGCCAGGGAAATGGGTGAGGCAAGCGTGCGGGGCGACATCCCTGTGGCAGATCATTACAGGGCATCTCCCTGCTCACCACCATAGCCATCCCGCTGCATCGTATAAGTGTTGTAAATTAAGTCCGTAGACGCGGTTGGTAAAGATATGCCATGTCACGCCATGCTATACCAACTGTTGTCGCACGAGGCCAGAGCGAGAATTGCGAGTTCTGATGAGGGCGTCGTGGCTTCGTATTTGGAATCGAAAAATAGATCCGTACTACTCGAGTACTTGAGAAACAATTGGGCTGCAGTAAAGTATTGCATTGAAGCGAGTTCTGATCGACAGGTCCTCATGATCACCCCCCGTGCAGAGTTGATACGAACAAGATGTTGTCGTTAGGTTGCAGCGCGTAGGAGGACTCTCCCTCAAGTTCCCAATCGGCATCGTTGATCAGTACTAGTATTCCTGGACGGCTGCAATGTACATTAACGCCGTTAGTAAAATGTAGCTGTTTGTATTTGTACGAGTAAACGGTGATGAGTGCTTAAACATCCGTGGCAAGCTGAAGCTGATAATGCGATGGCATAGAACCGAAGGCGTCCAAGCAGTAATATTGATATGTAGGATGGATTGATTTGGCAACGAAAGTGATAAAGAAGTAGCGAATGGAGATGATGGCTTACACGTGCCCATCTAGAACAAACATCTCCTTTCTTGAGTCCTTCATCACTTCTTCACAAAGATAGTCAACGAGCCAGCCAACTGTGACAGCCTTGCCCTGATTGTCTCTGGGCGGCACGGATAGCTTGTGCTTGCGTTCATCTGAGAAGAGCATCTCCAATCCACCACTAGCCTTGTTAGCACTTCCTCCGAGGGCGTCCGAGACTCCAGAGACTTACGTGAACTCCACCAGAATCAAAATGTTCTCCTCGGATGCCATAGCGAGCTATTTGTGTGATGTTATCAGGACCCGAAGAGTTGTTGAGGTTGGTGGGGGAATATTGTGGAAAGAAAGACCTGGAGAATCTTCGTTTGAGAATTTTGGGTGAAGCCTCGCTTACGAGGTGGCACCACTAAGGGATTGCATTGCTTCTGGAGCAGCATTTATATCGCAAAAGACGTCGCGGGCCATTCTTTTCTTTAGAAGAATCGAAATTAAAGAGACTCCCTAATGACTTAGCTTAATGAATGAGAACTTTGAAAGCCAAAATGTATTTGCTGTCCAAGATTCGCAGAAATATCAAGAAACATCGTGACAGTTTAGCGCAAAATTCCCGAAAAAAAACCAAAACCATCGACTCTAGATACCCAGTCACTCACTCCACGATTCATTTCAAGCACGGAACAACCGTAGCTGTATTTACCCCTGAGTTTACGAGTACTGGTTCTTGTTACTTTGATAGTATCTTTACGCCCTGAAATATTCGTTCGTCGATGCTTCTGCCTCACCCGATGCCTTGACAATGCTCCAGATCACCGCCGATTACCAAGCAGCAGGTGCCAACAGACACCCATCTGCTGCTGATTGGGACAAGTCTGGCATTTTGGCTTTTGGTGCTGATAGAAACATTGCATTATGGCAGCCACAAGTAGGTCTCTCAGTTTTCAGTCACGAGACCAGCAATGACTCTGGGACTCCGGCGTTGGAATTTGGAATCTTCATATCGAGTCTTATACTAACAATGTACAGGGCTCCGACTCGCGAGGCATCTTTGAGATTCTTAAGGGCCATGAAGATGTCGTGAATGCCGTCAAGTTCCTCCCCGGATCCCAGGGCATCTTGCTCAGCGGATCCGTAGACAAGAATTTGAGTATTTGGAGACAAAATGCATCGACTAGGCATTATCACTGCATACAGACTCTTCATCACCAAGAGAACAGAAATCACCAGAGTTCCATCAACTGCATAGCTGTAGCTGCAGGCTCTAAGATCTTCGCATCGGGTTCCGCGGATGCCATCGTCAAGATATGGTCTCTGGACGAGCAGAATGTGGCGTCGCTGCAGCAAACAATCACTATTGCTCCAAGGTTCTTCCCTCTAGCTTTGGCGCTGAGCCCTTTGGCGGGTGCTCCTGATTCTTATGTGCTGGCAGTGGCTGGGACGAAAGACATCATTCAATTGTACGTATTGGATGGGCAGAAGGGATCGGATTTCAAAATTCAAGCTACTCTCGCAGGCCATGAGGGCTGGATTAGATCTCTAGAATTTATTCGAGAAAATGATAAGCCGGATAGTGACCTACTTTTGTCATCTGCTAGTCAGGACAAGTACATTCGATTATGGCGAATCCATCAAGGAAAAGAGCTACCGGCGGCGGCAGCAACTCCGGATCCATCTCTAGGTGCTTTCATGCCTGGAAAGTCTCTTTCTAACAAAGCTCATCGCTTCAAAGCTCAAGATCTCGATTTCTCGGCGACCTTTGAAGCACTGTTGCTTGGCCATGACGATTGGATCTACAGCACGAAATGGAGGTATGGCGACAACAAATTACAGTTGCTCTCTGCATCAGCAGACAACTCCCTAGCAATATGGGAGTCAGATGCTGCGACCGGCGTCTGGGTAACGACTACGAGACTAGGCGAAATCAGTGCAGAGAAAGGCTCTACGTCAGCTACAGGAAGCACGGGAGGATTCTGGACAGGTCTCTGGTCACCATCAGGAGAGACAGTTACCTGTCTTGGACGGACAGGTAGCTGGAGGCTATGGAATTTTGAAAGTCAACAGGATAGATGGATCCAAGGAGTTGGAATCAGCGGACATACGCAGTCGATTACGGGCATCGCGTGGTCAAAGGATGGGGATTACCTACTCTCGACTAGCTCTGATCAAACGACGAGACTGCACGCAAAATGGAAGCGGGGGAATCAAGAATCCTGGCACGAGATGGCGAGACCTCAAATCCATGGCTACGATCTCAACTGTATAGACTCGCTAGGAACATCACAATTTGTATCTGGAGCGGACGAGAAGTTACTCCGGGTATTCAGTGAGCCCAAGGCGGTTGCAAATCTCCTGAGCAAGCTATGTGGAATTGGAGGATCAAATATCGAAGAGATGCCAGATGCTGCGAATATGCCAGTATTGGGTCTTTCGAACAAAGCCATCGAAGCTGTCGCCGACGACGTAGAGGTGGTGAATGGAAATAGCCATGGAAGGGATGCTGTGGACCCAGCATCTATCGTGCACAAGTCTACACTGAACCTTGACCATCCCCCTTCAGAAGAGCATCTTTCTCGACATACCCTCTGGCCCGAAATCGAGAAGCTGTACGGACACGGTTATGAAATATCTTGTCTAGCTGCCAGTCATGACGGCACACTTATAGCCACGGCATGTAAAGCCAGCTCCATCGATCACGCGGTTATCAGGCTATTCGAGACCAAGGGCTGGCTTGAAATAAGGCCACCTCTTACAGCACACTCCCTGACCGTAACGAGGTTGAGATTTTCCGCAGACGACAAATTCCTGCTCAGTGTTGGTCGAGATCGACAATGGGCCGTTTTCGAGCGCGATGCAGATGAGAAAGCCACATACAAGCTTGCAGATTCAAATCCCAAGGGCCATACTCGGATGATACTGGACGCTGCATGGGCACCTGCGACCACGAGCGTTTTTGCCACGGCTGGAAGAGATAAGAAGGTCAATATATGGGCGAAAGATGAGAGCTCCAAAGCCTTCATTTGTCGGTCAACGATTTCTGAGACTCATCCGGTCACTGCCATAGATTTCCTGGATTCTATGGTGGGTGATGTAGCCTATCTTGCTGTGGGGAGCGAGACTGGTTTCTTTGCTATCCACTCCGTGGACTTCAAGAACGGATTTTCCATTCAGATGCTTGCTGTGAAATTCCCAAGGTTAGCACCCATCTTCCTTCCCCTATATGAAGTCCCATCTGATCCTTCCTAGCACATATCCAACCAGTTCAAAGGCCATCACACAATTAGCTTGGAAGCCTGCAAAATCACAAAACGAAGAAGAGGGACCAGATATGCAGCTCGCAATCGCGAGTGAGGACAGCTCTTTGCGTGTCTATTCTTATAAGTATCTTGAAAAACAGCCCGGGGTATGTTAAATGCAGCGCCGACAATGCAATCCTAAACCGAGGCGTTGAGGCCTTGTGCAAATCAAATCTAAAATGAAAAAGAACAGTTCCAGCCAAATCATGACCTTGACTCTATCTCCATCTCCATGTCATCAAAAGGTTCTCTTCTCCAACCCATACCCACCAACACCAGGACTAGTATACGCCTTGCCCTCACTCCCTTCCGTCCTATTCCTCGGCCCGCGTTCCTCCAAATCCTCTTTCAACCAGCCCAACACCAATTCACCCAGTTTTGAATTGCCAGTCTTACTATCACCCTCCAACTGCAGCTCTTCAACCTTCCCCCACTGCTTCACCTTCCCCAAGCCCATATGCACAAGATGACTGGGCCAATCGGCCAAATTATCCAAAATATGCGTCGCATAGACAATGGTACACTCCCTCGTCTCCGTCTCCTTCTTCAAGAACGCCAGAAAATTAGACCTGCTCAAAAGATCCAAATCAACCGTGATCTCGTCCAGCAACAGAATCCTCCACGGCCGTATAAGCCCCATAGCAAGCTGCACGCGTCTCCGCTCGCCATCCGAAACAGCATGCATGCGCCAATCCAGATCGATATCCAGCACCTGCACCAGCTCCTCTTTCCGCTCGACGTAGAATTCTCCCCCGACGGATTTCAGCAGCTCCCGCACCCCGATATCAGTCCGCACGATAGGGTTCAGCACCCATTCTAGGCCGAGGTATGTTACGCCTTCGAGGCCATCTTTGAAGGGGTCCAGGCCGCCGACGGAGATCGTGTTGGAGGGCGCGAGACGCTTGCCAGAGAGGAGGCGGAGGAGGGTGGTCTTGCCGGCGCCATTCGCGCCTATCAGGAGGGTGCGGGAGCGTGGGGGGAGAGAGAGGTGGATATTGTAGAGGCCAGTTGTGCGATCCTGGAAGGTGTAGGAGAGGTCTGTTACGGAGATGCTGGGGGCTTTGGTTTGGTCGATGAAGGGGGCCATCGTGAGGAATGGTGGGGGTGAGGAAGTGAGGGATTGAAGGTGAAGTGAAGTGAAGTGAAGTGAAGTGGGGGTGGTGGGATGATATTTATACGATATATTTGTGGAGTCAGTCAATGACGGCATCTTATCATGAATAAGGAGTCTGTATCAAGCCTTTGGGTATGCAGATCCAGAGAAGGAACCAACTCAACCTCTTTTGTAGAAGGTTCTTAGGTCAATTGTCTATCCTGCTCTCTGTAAAGTCACCAATGCCATAATGTTTATTCATTTAGAAAAGATTCCGAGTCTAAGATCCCGACTTTGATAAAAATTAGGGGTCCTTATCGTCACGCGCTAGACCCACAAAAACCTTTTATACCTCAACTCCAACTTTCATCACTTGCATCGTCCCGATGAACAGGCAACGATTTGCAAAATGACCTTAATCACAGCCTAATCATATAAAGACAAAAAGCGAAGTCGCCAAAATGCCCATCAATGCCAAAACCGAACTCACCAACCTTTCCACAATCCTAACCCTCTTCCACCACCGCAACAAAAACCAACACCGCCTGGCAAAATGGTACAAATCCCTTAGCATCCTACATCGGCAAATCCCCAAACTCCTCTCTTCTCTAGAAACATACCACGCAGCGAGAGAATTAAAGGAAAAGAGTAAATACACGACGGAGGCACGTGAGAAGCTGGTGGAGCGAGTGGAGTTTATGGGGAGGTGGGTGCTAGGGAGATGTTATTTGTAAGTATATTTGGTGATGGGTAGGAGAAGGAGCAATGGGCTAATCTGGGATTATATAGGGCTTTTTCCACATTGGTTGCTGATAACCAGTATGCGGCGTTAGGACTTTTGTTGGTTGGGGTTTTGGCGCGGTTACGGACGGTGGTGAAAATGCTTGGGAAGGAGCTAGGGGTTGAGATTGAGATGGGGGAGATTGAGAAATCGGTTTCAGAAGGGATAGAAGAGGTTCTCGAGATGAAGGAAGGGGGAGATGATTTTGGGGAAGTGATTTCGAGGGGTGCAATTGAAGTGGGTGTGGGTGGAAATGTCGTTGAGGCATTGGATGAGGACCAAGTCGAAGAACCTGCATTACGGATGTCGAAGAAGGAAAAGAAACGGCGGAAGCAGGTGGAGGAAGTGAAAGTAGGTAACGAGGTGGTCGATTCGACATCCAGTAAACGTCCTAAGAAGAAGAGGAAAAAGGGTGATGCATTTGATGATTTATTTTCTAGTTTAGTTTGATTTCAGATACCCATTTTGCGACCATTATCTCCTCGCTCGTCTACTTGGTGCTTCTTCCTGAGACCGTCTGTCCAAAAAAAAAGGAAACAAAACATCTCTTTCCACAATTTATATCCAAGGCCGTAGACATGATTCACAAGAGGCTAGAATTATAGATCCAACCGAAAGAGTATCTATTAGGCTGCAATAATGTGGAAAGGCCAGAAACCTTCGCCGTGAAATTGAGCAGTTACCTAGTAGACCACACATACGTTAGGAAAGACACTCCGGATAATATACAAACCTAGTGGATTTTGTTAGGTAGAACTGTGATTGTAATGGATTGTAATACCACATTCGCGGAGCAAAGGACCCCCCAGAGAAAGAAGTATGGTTTCAAAGGACGATCGAGCTGAGAATGCTGTACAGGAGATCAAATTACAGCTAGTATACAAATGATGTACATGATCTATGGTTCTCTCAACTCCGACATATATGCATTTCTTAATCCACCAACTTTCCCTTGAAGGGAACACCCATTGCGCTCAAGAGTAGCCTCGCGTGCCTGTCTGAAGTGGCGGTGGTATGGATTATAACGTGGAAACCGGGAATCAACCTTGGTGGGTACATCTATTTGCACATTAGTACCCGCCCAACTGAAAGGACATGAATAAGGCTTACATCGTAATTGATTTCCACCTCTGGAAATAGAATCGCACCCTCTCTGCTGAAACCAAAAGCGATATTCCCACTGCTATCACCAGTCGTACCCTCGATACCCTCCCAATCCTTCAATCTCGGGAAGACGATATTGATGCACTTATCCACAAACTCAATTGCCTGATTCCCACGCAGCCCACAAGTCAAAGAAATAGGCGTCCTCTCCCGAATCCCAAACTGCGCAACACTATGCTTTGCCCTATGAACCTTTGGACGTACCCCACTCACCGATTGCAGCACCATCCCAGCTACATGCAGATGGGTTGAGTCTTCCATCGCACCTTTGACCATAGAGTGTATTGTCACTCCTTCGATCTTAGGGATGTTGCGGAAGTTGATGTCTTTCTCAATCAGTCTGAGCACACCTTCTGGACCTCGAGGCCCACGCTTGGGCCTGTTCTTGTGGTATGGAGAGGAGTCATCCCAGCTTCTCAATCGGTCTGATTTGGGGGCGTCAATGGTTCCGGGGGGTTTGTGAACGTATCCCAAGGTCATTAGATCAGGAGCGATGGTGGATTGCCATGTTTGTTCGAGACGGGTGCGGGCGAAGGGACCGGGTACGAATTGTCGCGAGGCAGGGTCAGAGGTTGGAGGAGGTTGATGAGGATGTAGAGGTCCTCTGTAGTATCTTGGTGATCGATATTGGTATCTGTGAGGCTGTTTAGCATGTAGCCCCATCTTTCAAGTGGCATTGGCATCATACCGACTGGCTGGAAGCTCTCTTTTGCGGCCCTGAGATCTCTTTATAGGGTCGTATGCATCTATTGTCTCATGGGAGATTTCAGTCGAAGTCAATGCTGATTGCGATTCGAGATCCTTGAGATCCTCCGATGCCTCCTGGATTGCAGCAGCTTGCCCAGAAGCATATCGCCGCGCGATAAATGCTGCCGATATCGACGTGGGCCGTAAGTCCCTTGTAACCAGCTGCCGCAAAGCAGATGGCAGCTCTCGTAACGCCATGGTGAGGATATAAACGTCGACTAAGAATTTCGGGATGTTTTACTTGTGAGGCATCAGATAAAATGTAAGGCAGAAGGTAAATAAATGGGTCTGTCCAATATGAACCAATCATGTTATACTATGCACCGTGAATCTTTTCGCCGGGGACCGCGTATGACACCAACCCTGCCCTGCCCTGCCCTCGCCTGCCACAGGCGGGCTCAATCCATCAATGCTAGGAACCAACACTTCACTTCTCTTCACTTCGTACAACTTCACTGGCAACCGCTTTACTTCTTGAGCTATATAGCCCTTACGTAGCACTCAAATCTACATCGGCATACGAAACGAAGGGCGCGAGACAATGATACTTTCTAGGCAACGCTGAAGGGAAAAAGGCGCTGGGAGCATCTGGGCAAACCCCCACCAAAGCAACCTTTTGCCCACGATTGCAAGCAAACCACGCCGGCATTGAACGCCACCATTCCAACTGTCGAACATACATACCTTCGACTTTCCTCCCTCGAATGCACCGATAACAACTATGAACCGTTTCCTCAGCAAGAAGGAGAAGCCTGGTGGCCCCGGGGCTCATAAGCGGGACAAGTCGAGAGACAAATCCGGGGAAAGAACAGTACCAGCAAAGGTAAAGTGCTTGCATGCAAATACCTTTATTACCTGTCCCCGCTCATGCTGAGGAAGAGGAAACCCTTCTCCAAATCTATGAGCTCAATCTCGGCAGCCTTTTCCAATCCCCATGGCAAGAGCTCGCCAATCCTTCAAACCACGCAATCTACCATATATACCTCAAGTGCTAATTCTCGACCTGGTTTGTTTCTACAGACTGCCGTTTCCAGCGATGGCCTTCGCTCAATATTCAAGACGGATCCTCAAAAAAAAGCCGACAAGGAGCTGAGTGCCAAGGTGAGATCCAATACTTCACTTGGTGAACTTGGCTAAGAAATCCTAGATCTCCAAGATTAAAGACCGACTGCAACAGCATGGATTTACAGGCATAGAAGACGAGCAAGTCAACTATGCGCTCTCATCTGAACAGGCAAATGGGGATGTGGACAAAGCATTTGGAATGGTGTTGTTGTTCCAAGAATCCGTGGAAGGGCAGATCAAAGTATACGACCCTAAAATACATATGGTGGGAGCAGTAAATCGCGAGTATGTTACATGCTATCTGGACTCGCTGCTCTTTGCCATGTTTGCAAGATTAGGCAGTTTCGAGCCAATTTTGCACAACACTTTCGAGGATGAACCCAGGCGACGACTGGCTACTCTGATTCGATTATGGGTGAACATGCTGAGATCTGGCAAGCTGATCACAACTGATATTGTGTGTCGAGACCTAACCATTTGTTCTGTGCGTTGCTAATTAAGTAATACAGACCCGCTATCTTCAAGAAGCATTGGCAGCATGTGGTTGGCCAGACGCTGCCAGACTTGAACAACAAGACACCTCGGAAGCTTTCAGTTTCATTACGGAACAGCTCCTACTACCACTGCTTACCCTGAAAATGGATATTTATCACACCGGTGCGGATGATGACCCTGATGACCACAAAGTCGTCCACGAGCGGCTACTTGAGGTTGGTATTCCCGAGCACCATGATTCTAATACTCCCATAAAATTTGAGGATTGTCTCGAAGGCTATTTCAACAATAACATCGAGGTTACACGTAACCTTCATCGTTCCAACACGATATCGTCTGTCCGTTCAGCTCGGTCTCATTCCACCGGAGCAGGGTCATCACCACGTCTTGAAACCCGGGAGATTTCTTGGTCGCAGACTACCGCATCATGGTCCGAAACCCCGACGACGGAGTCCCCAATAACGCCAGTTTCTCCTAGTGGTAGAAAACGTGGTGCTAGTGTTTTCCAACAAATTGTAAATAAAGATGAGGCTGGGGAACCTGTAACCCCGCGGGAAAGGGCTAATACACCTGGCTCCATGCGTAAAGCGTCGAAAGCGGTCATGATGCCAGCTTGGCAATTCTACAATTTATTACGTCCGTTACCATTTTCTAAATATATTATGCCACATCCTTACAGTTGCGAGCCCCTCCCTAGACATGTGCTAATTGGTAAAATAGCTTGGAATACGCAACACTCCGCCAGAACCGACGAAGATGTTGCTACACACTTCGAGATGGTGCGCCCGGTCCTGGGCATCTGTCTGAAGAGATACTCAATGACGGAGAACGGCGAGGCAAAGAAGAACAAAACTTTCGTCGATATCCCCCTAGACATTAGACTGCCACATTTCATCGAAGAAGACATGAGACCAGAAAATGATCCAATAATGGGGAATTTCAAGCTTTCGCTACAGTCTGTCATATGCCATCAGGGCGAGTCGGTCAACTCGGGACACTATATCTCGCTTGTTCGTGGGACGACAGAAGCACCCGACGGCGATATTCGATCAAACCGCAGACTCAGCAACATTGACCACCCACCTCACTACTCATCAGATCGATGGATCAAATTTGACGATCTCGCAAACCCACGAGTTTCCTATGTTGATATCGAGCAGGCCTTGCGAGATGAAACCCCATATCTTCTTTTCTACCAAGTTCAACCGACAGTAGAATATTCTTTACCGCCTTGTGAAGTTGATCCTCCCTCGTACGTCGATTCTGGGATCGGATTGAAGGTCTACAGCCCAGTCGACAAGACAGAGGAAAGCTATTTTGAAGGAGCGGCAAACGGGTCAGCAACAAACGACTCCGTACCAATCGAGAGCACACCACATGGGCCCGGCCCTTCCATTCGTTTTTCGAGCGAACTCGAAAGGCCAGATCCATCCAGAAGAAGTTTGAATATAGATGAGAGATCAGATGATCGCCGAGGAAGTACCGCAATGACGGAAATCAGTATGGCGAGTACCGCAAGCAGCGCTGCGTTTTCAGGCCCAGTCACTCCGAACGAAGATTCGACTGCGCAGAGAATGTCTCGAGCTGCGGCACGGTTCAAAAAGACAGGAACTAAGAGTCGACCTACAAGTGCATCGGGAGAGGGCAGACTAAGCTTGACACTCCAACGGTTGAACTGGAAAAATAGCCGGGAACTCTTGACGAAGAACGGAGCGGCGGTCGAAGCGGAACGAGGCGCTGAGATGTCAGATCAGCTTGATGGGTCGATGGGGTCTTCTCGAAACTCGGTAGCGATAGATGAGCATGCTCTGAAACCAGGCGAGAGAACACCCGAGCGGTCGAAGAGCAAGATGGGTAGAAAGCGGGACAAGAGTAAAGAGCCGACGGATTCTTCCGAGAAGCATCACAGTCACTTGCACAAGACGAAGGGCAAGGGGAACGAGGGTCCCGAAAGGGAATGTATTACGATGTAAATATGCATAGGCGTTCATGTATCATATGGGAGGGCGGTATTGGGAATTGCATAGGCAGGAGTATAGAGGAATACTTGATGGCCGGATAGACATCATTGGGCGTGGCGTTATTTTGGAGTTGGATTCCAGAATTGATCCCACGGGAGACAAGCTATTGATAGGAACTGCAAAACTAGAGGGCTATAAGAAGCATTATATCGTAGCAATCAGTACAGTATGCTAGAAGAATAGAAGATGTACAGCGGATTCGAAACGCGTCTACCTGTGGTCGCAACAAGGACTGTGGCTTGTCTCATATAACATGGAAAATTGAAGGCTTAGATCTGTCACACATTCTGTTTCTTTTCTCTCTCGTGTATTCTTAAAGATGCTATTGTCAAGTGATCTATAATGCTGTAGTTTTACCAAGTGGTCAGTTGAGAACAAACATGGAACCCGGCTAAAAATCTCCGCCAAAACCCATACTGAGAATTTAAGTACAATAATATTTCGACATTTTCCTTCTCCTCTTCATCATTGCGAATTGCGAATTTATATAAAGATTTGCTAGGGTTAAATACGTTCTTTCATCCAGCTTCAAAAAGCTTGATTACAGTGCTGACTAGAACTATGCGGGAATCCCCGCAAATATCCCGATCGAGACATATGATTCCAAATCCCGACACGGGAGCCTCACGAGTGAAGATGAACGTTAACGTCTCGTAAAAATCTCATACAGATTCCTTTACTTTCAAAGTCAATAAATACAAATATCTAACACACTCAATATAGCAACGGACGCTATTCTACGCCCGACAACTGCAAACACACTTTCCGGGCGGATGACAGGACACCGAGCGGCACAGTGGCTCGTCCTTCATCGACAGCTTCCTTAAGACCACCGATAAACCTTTCCACATGACCCCGGCTATTCTTCAAGCTTTAAAAACAAATACATATCTGTGGAACCACCAAGGCTTAAGATAGCCTTTTCTCAAGATGGCGGGAGAAGGGTCAAGTTCCAACCCTTTCAGCTCTTTCTGGCACAGATCAAAAGATCAGGGCTCGTCAACAAAAGTCAAGTTTATGCCCAATGTAACGAATCCTCAGAATGGTAATTAATATTTCCTCTTTTGTCTTACTGTTTTCATGAATTGAAGATCTTGCAAACCAATCTTTTTCTACTTAATAAAGTGGCACTAGCATTGCGGTAGGACGCAATGATTGCCCGTTTCAGAACACACACACTGTTTGGAACTTTACCCCACGCCTTTGCCCCGATATTCTTTACTACAATAGCTGATAAATGTGTAACAGATACACCAGTCGAAGATCCGGCAGCCGCTCAGGCGGCAGCAAAGAAACACCGAAGGGCTCAAGTCCGAAGAGCTCAATTGTTAGCCCCCCACCCCCCCTCTTCTTCTTTCTCTCTCTCTCATATACTAACAACCAGACCAGAGAACATCGTCAAAGAAAAGCCAACTACGTCAAGCATCTAGAGCAGGACGTAATAGACCTGCGGGAGTCGATAGCAAGCACAGAAAGCCAAGCCGGTCAGGTGAAGCACGAGAACGACGCCATCAAAAAAGCACTATCAAAAACCAATATTACCATCCCAGGTCCTGGTCAGCAACAAGATATGCTTGCGACCAACTTTCAACCCCGGCAAGAGCAGTATCAGGATCTCACCGACAGCTTGCTAGATCCAATGCAAGACTTGGCATGGCTATCAGATTCTTCTCCTACGTCGCTCATCAGTATAAATTTCGACGAAGATATCAACGCAAGCTGTCTACACATGGACCCGCTAAACACCTACGACCCCTCCCCAGAAATCCTCAACTCACCAGATATGTTTGGCCCATTCGCGCCCCACGCCCCTCTGGCCAATCTGTCGCAAACAAGAACAAAAACCAAAACCCCTGTAAGAGATGAGTACCAACTCCTCTCCACAATAGCCATAAACTTCATCCTCGCGTACGCACACTCCCCGTCCCTTTCCCCTCATCCACGGAATTCCACTAACACCCCCCCAGACTCGAACACCCCTGCCGCACGCACTTCCACGCCCCCGCGCCATTCAACCCCACCGGCTCACCCAGCGGACACGAGCTAATGGCTTCCACCCTTCTCTACTCCTCAGCCCCCCCGTCCATCTTCTCGAACTTCGATCCCACCTCCACCTCCACCACTACGTCCGGCTCCACGGCCTGGGAAAGCTCCACCCCAATAACCCTAGAGCACCTGCACGCGTTGAGCCAGAGTCTACCGAAAGGCGATTTCGAGATTACGCCGGTGCAGGCTTGGTTCCTGCTGGCTGAGAGGTACGGGGCGCGGAGGCTGGTGGCCGAGGGGGGCGTGGTGGAGGGGTTGAAGAGGGGGTTGGGGGCGTTGGTTAGGTGTTTTGAGTTTGGGGCTGTTATGGAGGAGGGGGCGTTTAGGGAGGTTATTGAGGGGGTTTTGGGGGATGCGGATGGGGATGGGGAAGTGGTTGTGGGTGTGAAGGTTGATGGAGAGACGGAAGGCGGCGCGAGATGGATTTGAGGTATGTTTGGGATGGAGTTAGGCATACCTAAGTCTGGGCATAGCGTGAGGAGGTTTAAAGCGACATTATGTGAAAAAAAGTAATGGATTTTATCTATGTAACCATCTCATCGACCACGCTTTGATAATCGCTAGTCATGTGCCTGTCCAAAAGACAGGAAAAGACCACCCCTGTATTTTTATATGCTTAGACGGAAAAATTCAAGCACCGATGGTCCATTGTAGTAACCAAGCTTGCGCTTCCATGCCTCATACTATTGAGGAATCTGCTCATCATAATGTACGAAAGTCGAGGGCTTGTCAACCTGGCCATTGTTGCGATAAACTCCTGCCATAATTCCCGTTCCATAAGCCGGAAACAACATAGCAGGTCGTCTATCCACCGAGATTTTGCGCAACTCTAGTATGGTCAAAGCATCAAGTCTATCTCCCAAGTCTTCCCAGAAGTTGTTTGAACAAGGCGCGTAAGTATAACGGTGCTGTAATACGCAAGCTGTGAAATCGCCAGCAAGAATGGAGTAGCACGGTCCACCCAGAAGATTGGTGCGGACGTTTTGATCGGGCGCAGTGTTTCTAAGACTGAAACAGGCGTACTCGATAACGTAGTCTGGGGTCGGAGATGTCTCAACACCATCGGTATTCAACGCAATCGTCCAGGTATGAGAATCGCCGACTCTCCGCTGTGTTCTATCTTGCAGGGAGTGTGACGGCTTCTTGTCCTCTTTCCATTGGGTCGCCAGTGTCATCCAGCCTCGCTCGCTGTATTTGACCAACTGAACTTCAAACCAGTCGTCGAGCTCCTGTAACATATATGTCTTGCGCTCCAAGAACGTGCAATCCGGAAACACGGAGTAAGCTTTATTCCAGGTAATGATGTTTACCACAGCAGTTGTGTAAAAGCCTCGGAGAATTGATTGTACGGGTAGGGTTCTAGTCCACACGAGTTGGATTTTGCTCTGCTTCTCTTGGATGCCATCATGGTAGGTGCGTATATATGTCTCAGTCTAATCCCCACGAGTGTTAATGAGCACCCCGCGAGGAAAAGAGCTGGAGATTTTACCGTCACCAGATCATGCATGCAATACTTCTCGTAGTCCACGGCTTGGACGAATTTGTATCTTTCTTCCGTTTCCAAATACTCAATCAATCTTGCTGCATTCTCACTGCACTCGACAAATATATCAAGTCGGATTCCTCCCAGACAACACCATCAAAGAACTGGATTGCAAAGCTTCCGGAAATCAGAGCGTCACAGGATCCCAATACGGAGCGGAACGTTTTCGGGTCCGTGACGAAGCGGCGTAGCTTTTTATTGATGTTCCATCGCTCTGTTAGATGTGCAGATAGGTTGTTGGACCAACGTTTTGTTACTTTCCTGAGGGTGTTGATTTCAACGATTTCCAGGTGAGAGCAAAGATTATTGAATACGGGGTAGTTTTCGAGGAGGTTGACTAGTTGTACTAGATGTTGGGGCTGCGGTAGTGATAGTGCTACTATTCGGGTATCACGAGGCATCTGTTGTGTGTCCATCGCAGACATGGCGCAGACTCACACTGTCTGGTGTGAAGGAGAGAGTGTGTCACCATTGTCGCTGATCGTTTACAGTACTCGTACAAAGCGAGTGAAGAAAGAAGGAGCGACTTTTACAAGTAGAGGCGGCAGCTTTAGTACCGTGCGCCTAAATCTCGACCGAGGATAATTACGCGCTAATTCATATAGATTATCTATAAAACATAAGTCAGTTTTAACAGCCAATGCTTCTTCTTTTAAGCCGAATGATATATTCAACGATGCTTTATAATCTAAAGTCTACCCGTGATATGTCTAGATCAGCTGTTAAGTCCTCGAAGCTGCAGGATGAGAAAACCTTACCGTTCACGATAGACGAATAAGAGATCTCGAAATAATCCCCTCATTACTCTTGATTCCTAGTTGAGTAAAAGATAGACATATCTTACCGTGGCCATGGTTTAAGCTAATCAGTAACAGGCAACTCAAACTCAAATTCAACCTCACCACCAACAACCCCTCCAACAACCCCGCGTTTGATATTAAACCTTCTACGTACTGCAGCCCTACCGTACCTAAACTTAGTACCGGTGTACCTGAGAGCTTCACGGAAAGTTCTCTACTATAAAACTTCAGTCACCTCTTCGTCCTTAAGTCAGATACAAACTTGGTGGACCTATTCACATTACAGAAGCGCGGCCAGGTTCCAGCATCTTGCGAAAGTCCACAAAAGCCCTTCGTATTCACCATTCAAATGGATGCTGGCTTAGCCAATTATTCCTCTCGCTCGCTAACTCTACCCCATCCTATTTTTATCTCGCCTTCTCTTTATGGTCATTTGTACCGCTATAGACAGGGGACATTGCTTCGCCGCATCACTAGGCCAGATTTACCCGAAGTGGCGCAAGAATGAGGTTATTCACACGGTGGCGTGACAGCATTCGAAGTAGACTGCGGGATTCTGTGGACTTCTCTTCCCCAGCGGAAAACGTGCTCCGTGTGAGCGAATAGCGACGACTGATACATGTTTACGTTTTCAGGGTGGTATTGATAGTACATGTAGTAGGCAAGTTCTTACTCAGACGGAGCTTATATGTTCTCTAGGCCGATTGAGCACCAATAAGTACTGCTTACCTGGCCTGGCATAGGTCAGATGTGCGAAGTTCTAAATAAGCTCTATTGCGGCGAAAGGTTCAGGTTACTTACTCCGTGCCTAGGTACGCAAGCTGGGGTTCCTCGTATGCGCTAGCCACTTTCTGTGCTATTACGCCGTACACGAGCAAATACTACCCCGTACTTTCCTCATCACGGTACTCTGACCCCAGCTCTAAAGTCACTAGATTGATTCTCAGAGCTCTCATTATGAGTCATTATCGCGGTAGACAGGCAGGAAACGTTGTTATTCCTGCACCGCATTGTACAGTACACGAGAAACTTTACAACAAGTGATTAATGTGTGAATATCGCTACATCTAGATTTTTGCTAGATCTGGATACTGCCAGATTTGGAAGTTAATCCGAAGGAGATCTGAATTCTGGAAGTTGCAAGGTGGGTTGAACAACGACAGGAGATATTCTGCTACGCCTCATCGTATTTGAAGATTATTATATTGAACACCTGATATATGAAGTTATATGTTCGAATACGAGGTGCTGCATATAGTCTCATACTGTTAATACGCTGCTCAGGTTGCATATATAAGTAAGTTGGAACCCCGTTGAGAATCACATCTATCAGTACAATAACAACACAACACAACAACATTCTATAATTACAACCAACCCAAAACACTCACCAACAATGTCTCCCATCTCAAAATTCCTCCTCTCCCTCCTCGCTCTCACCGCCGCCGCCTCAACCACAGTCGCAGCGCCCCTCAACCCCCGCGATACGCTGTTCACGCTGACCGATATCGTCTTCACCGAGACAGACACTTATTCCGCACCACCCCACATCTCCGGGTACTCCAACAGCGTTTCTTTCACCCTGACGAACACGGCTATTTCCCGTACCACAGCTTGTCATGGTACGTTCAATTTCTTTCCCTTTTTTCTCTCTTAAAGCCCTCCATCTCTACTTCTAGCCCCACGTCCTTGAGATATCCATATCTACTTATACTAATCAATCAACCTTGGCCAAACAGTGACCGTCACCGGTGGCCCAGCCGATATAGTTTTCAACGGCGAGACAGCATACATCTGCGACGGCGGCGTATCCTCCTTCCGTTTCACGGATGATGGAAGCGTGTTTACCGTAAACGACGATACGTAAGTATTGCCCCCGTTCCCCTTCCCTTACCTTCTCAAAACTCCCCATCGCATCATATTTCCGGTCATCATAAACCAGAGAATGAAAAAAAAAGGGGAAAAAAAGGAAAGGGCATCAGTGATACAGTAACTAATTGACATCCGAACAGCGGAGCATCAGGAACCGGCACCGCATCATTCACCACAACGTCCTCCTCGGATATAAACCCAGATTGGACAGCCACTAACGGCGAGGTGTATAAGACGGAGACGACGACCAGTACTGAGGCAGAGTTGGATATCGTTGCTGTTGTATCTTAACTTGATCAAGCAGTGCTTTACATCGATTGAGAACAGATTGAACAGAACAGAACTGAACTGAACTAGACTGGACTGGATTGGATTGAATTGCAACTAAGTAATAGTGTGAGGAAAATGTATGTACGTTGGTCGTATATTGCATGCTTTAATTTATTCTTAGAACCAACCAATTAATGTTTCGCACAATGAAATTCGAGATATAATGCATTCATTAACATGACGATGGAAATGGAACTTAATCAAAAGCTAGAGCCTATAGTAGCGAAAAGGATAGATGCGCGAGCTTAAAATATATACTTATATACGCAAAGAAAACAAAAGAATAATTGAATTAACGATCCATTTCCCTACCTACCTCTATGAAACAAGCCCTCCCTATTCCAAAATCATCGCAACGCAAATGTGGTTGGTGCAAGGATAAGCTATAAACTGGTTTGTTTTGATACTTTGGTCAATGGATTGATGGGCTGGATGCAAGCTTGATTGTCACTTTAAGCTGAGTCGGATAATACGATGGATTGCTTAATGCTCTTGGGAGGTAGAATGGGAGGCGAGTAAGGAATGGTGGAAAGACATAGGATGGAAAAGAGAAGAATAGGAAGGAAACATGTGCTACGCCTGACTAGACAGGAGGCAAACAAAAACGCTTCTGGACTTGACTTGAACGACTTGAAAATCAGTGCCATTGAAAACTCAAACTGGAGAATGACTCTGCGCATGAAGCAGGTTATTCTTGATATGTATATTTGTGCCATTGCACTTTCTATCTAGACGCCAGTCTGGCATCGTGAAGTCTAATTAGCGGTCAATATCTCAGCCGCGCCTCGAGGAGGCAAATCCTCAGTACTCTCGTCGAGTTTTAAGCCTGCCTCTTTCTTCTTCCTAACCTCCTCTTCGTGTGACTTATAACTGGCATACCGCAGCGAACTCAGCACCATGAATGCCATGAAGAGGATTCCCGTGACCGATCGTCTGGTCAGGACCCAGCGGAGACCCTCGACCTCGGATTTACTGTCGCTGTTGAGGCCAACGGTGATTTTGTAATTTAGCTCTTGTATCTAAAGCTTTAGTCAGCATCAGGTCTTGGTGGTAATTAAGGATGGGGATGTGAAAACATACAGCACTCTCCATAGCCCTCTGCTCCGTCCTAACCGCCATCTTCCGATCATCAAACATGCCCTTTAACTCATCCTTAAGCCTTAACACCTCCTGCGTAAGCTTCTGATTTAAAATATCAACCTCATGCTGCAACAGGCTGCGCTCCCTGCGCATCGTCTCCTCATTCGCCTTCCGCGTATTCTGAATCTCCGTCTTCAGCTCCGAGCAAGCGGCCCTGAACAGATACGACTCGTTCTCTACATCGCTCTTGCTGACCAGTCCTTCTTTCGCCACATCGAGATTTGTAGTGAGCAGACCGCGAACGGCTTTCATGGCCGTGATACTCTGGTTGTTTGTAAACCCTCCGCTTTCTACCCGCTGCACTAGTGTGTAGGTATCAAAATGGTGCACGTAAGGCGGGGTTTGTAGGTGTGGCGGCTTCGCGGCATTCCGTTGCTCTGCCGTCTCAGGAGGTGGCATATGCAGCACTGTTTCCAGAGGAGGCGCTGTCTTGTCTTCTGTATTCGCTGCTGCTTGTTGAAGTGGGGTTGACCCTCCTTCTTTTTCACTTCCGGTAGCCTGTACATCCTCGTCACCTGGTAGCCTCAAAGCTGCTTGTGTTTCTTCTGATAACGGCGCTGTGGATGAGGGGTTTTCGGTTTTCGGGGGCTTGGCTTCCTTCTCGGACGCTTCTTGCTTCACATCCTTCGTTTTCTCGCCTTCTTTTGAGTTTTCTTCTGGGGTGAAGACTTTGGTATCTTCTTCAGTTTCATCCTCGTGTAGAAAAGGCTCCACGGCTTTGCCATGTCGTGGTATGAATCTCTGAGCCCTCCTGCTCGGCGTTGCAAATCCTCTGCGTGAATTCGAGCATTGTCGGGGTGGCGTTGGCGTTTGTTGTCTGGTACGTATAGATTTTGTCGCAGGGTCGCCAACTCGAATTGAGCGGAATAGATGAGGATATAGAAAAGTAAGTCGTGTTGTTGACATTGCGCTGATGTTGTTGAAGCTACAGCTGAAAAAAAGCTGGGAAGTCCCGCTTTCGAATCGGTACCTAGGTACGGCCCCTCCTTTTATCAGCTAGCCTATTTGGGAAGTATAGGTGAGCTACTACGTAGACTAAATAGATCGGGGATTATTTTGGTTCATTAAATTCTTGATATCTAGTCTATGCTAAAAGCCCAAATAACAGACCCGTCCTCTTCCAATAATCCTTTGCAGCCTGCTGAATTCTCTTACGAGATGCAGATTCAAGATCCACTTGCTCCTCTAGCTTTCCTCCCAGCTTTTGTAGCTCATCATCCACAGCCACTGGCAGCTCAAAAGAGCTCTGAAGAAGTAGAACATCGAATAGAGACTGTATCAAGACTTCTTTCCGGTGGACTGGGTCAACGACCTCAACACCATTGCTTTCCTCCTTGGCCTCATGGGAATCCGCTTCGCCATCAGTTGTGGCTCCATTGGTCTGGCTTGCAGCCTTTTCTTCTTGATCTTTCAATGCCCTAAACCATGATCTACCAAGCTCTGTTCGCAGGTGCTTTTTCAGAACAGCAACAGCAGTTGGCCTCCATAGGTCATTACCTGCCTTTGCCATAGCTAAGGTTAAGCCGTTAAGCAGCTTGAAAGTCGCAGGTGATGGTTGGACCGGTATTTGGGGGTTGCCTTCCCACAGAGATCTCCCTACAACCTTCTTTCTAGCGAAGCTCTTTGAATATGATTTAATCAACTCTTCCGAAGTCGTAGATGCTAGTCTGTCGTATAGTTGAGGTACCAGTGCAAGACCGAAGGGTTGTAAAGACTTGTTCTTCGGCAGTTCTGTGCGGAAGTCGCGAATAATTCGAAGGATGTAGATAGATACAGAGCCTATTTCTTCACCTTCGTAGGAAGCCAGCATCGAAGCAATTTTCTCATGGAGATCCTTGTACGCTTTCTCCAAGCTGGTATCTAGATGGTCTTGCAGCATATTCGGATCATCTTTGCTCAACAAGGTATTCCTAGATTCCAGAGTAATATCGTCTTCGATATCTTCCAGATCATCATCCCATCTCTGCTTCTTCAGCTGCTCAATAAACGTCATAATCTCATCCACAAGCTGCCGCCATGCCTGGTATCCTTTGAGAGGTCTGGAAATAGCATCGTTCCGGCCGTGTGTCCGAGCGAGAACTTCTTGCTTGAAAAGTGTGGCGCCGTGAGTGAGCTCCATATCTAGCATAGTGGCATCCCAGAGACTCTCTTGCTTGTCTGTGATGCCCCCTCTCCAAGATGCCAATGTACCCTCGACATCCGTAGCGACAAGATGCAGCTTTTTTACTCTGGTCTCGAGAAGCTGAACTAGGCGGTCGTTGATCACTTTCCGTAAACCATCAAGAAGAATCGACGGATCAAAACCTCTAGCCTTCCCTCCATCCTTGATCCAAATCTCAAGAATCCTCGTTCTCAGCGCAACAACAGCTTTAAACTCATTCATCGTCTGCAGCGATTTAGAGAGTCCTTCCAGCAAAACTTCAGAAGCCTTCTTCGCCCAACCTTTCAATGTGTCAACAGCCAATGCGCCCTCAAGATCATCATGCCGAATATATGGAGTAAAAAACAAGATCTCGTCTCCAAACCACCTCTCACAAATATCCAATCTCAAGCCCTCCAACTCCCTAATCGCCTCATCGTTTAATAACGGTTTTGCCTTCAGCCCAGCCAACGCTCCCGAAAGACGTCTCGGTACAAGCGCCTGTACATCAAGCAGCGTCCTTGTATACAACTCCAACGCCCTCACAACCCCAGGCACCTCGTCCTCATCATCCTCAAACGCAAGAGTAAGAGCTTCAGCTCTGATCTGCAAGAAATGCCTCAGCACATCCTTAGCCCCCGAGCTCGTAGCAATCGCATACGCCTTCAACGCACCCAACAAATCCTCCCTATCGCCGCCTCCACTCTTCTGCACAATCTTCTCCACGCCCCTCAACAACCGCCTTCTCAACCCCCCAAGTTTCCTCTTCATCTCCTCCACCTCCCCCTCTCCCCCAACGCTTTTCAAAAGCAGTCTGCCGAGAACCAAGACTTTAGCCGCTAACACCAGATTCAGCGCTTTGTTTTCAGCCGGCGTATTCCTCTTCAACAATCGACTGGCAAGCACACCACACATGCCCAAACACTTCCCCCTCGCCGCCCTCCCCAACTGCATATCCCTCCCCGCACCGCCCTCATCCTGTAACTTCCCCAGGCCGCCAACCATATGCCCCACAACATTCCGCCCGCATCCCTTCCCCACGCGCCCCAGTTTCTCCTCGACCACCTCGATGTCTTCACGCATGCGCAAGATCGTCTCGGCGGTCCCGAGGAGCTCGCGGTAGGATCCGCCGACTAGGGTTCGTAGATGCGAGGACTTTTCGTCGAGGGAGGTTGTTAGGCTGCGGTGGAAGGTGCGGACTTGGGGCAGGGGGTGCGTGAATGCTTCCGAGGGGGTGAGCGTGTGCGTTGGGGAGAGGATGGTAGATGCCATGTTGTGTGGTGGGTGTGGGGATATGAGGTTTGGTGGTATCAGTTACCGAATTAGAAGAGAGGAGGCGCTGCAATTGGGATGTGTTATGAAGGCATGCTTTTTTGGAGAGCGGGGGTGGTAATTGGAGGGACGAGAGGATGGTGAGATGTGGTTTAAAGACTGATAAATTTGGGGCCCGTGCGAGCCTTGCTGGCGAGGCTGATGAATTTTACTTTTGTATTTGTTTTAGACCCATTGTCTGAAGTAAATCAATCACTGATACTCGGGTATGTGTGGCGATAAAGGATGAATTTTGACCCATAATAGTCAAATACGCCAAAGTGGAATATTTTTCGAAATTTAGTCCAAGTCTATTGTTACTACGAAGTGGTAGAGCACTTTTTGGGAATGTTGGGAGACTATCCACTAACAAAACATGTAATCATGATTCATCTTTCAGCCATGGTACTTCGTGATATCAGTTTATTTATTATGTCGTTGCCTCCAATTCCTTAGTTCCCTCCGCTTTCACTTCCCCCTTCTTCGCCTTTACCGCAACATCTAGCGCCTCTCCCAACGCTCTCACAAAAGCCCAACAATCCTCATACGTGTTATATAAAGGAGCTGGCGCTACACGTATCACATTTGGCTTCCTCTCATCCACAACGACACTCCTCTCTTCTAGCTCCTTCATGACCACATCCAGTAAGCCGTCTCGCAATTTCAAACTCAATTGCGCACCGCGTTCCGAGGATTGAACAGGCGTGATGATCTCAAACAGATTCCTATTAAAACTCTCGGATCCGCGAAGAAGTTTCTCAAGATAGGCAGTGATTTTCACACTCTTCTCACGGATCGACTTCATGCCACCAGCCAGAGCAAACACCTCAAGCGAAGCATTCAGCGCCGTGATATCCAAAATCGATGGATTTGAAAGCTGGAACCCTTTCGCGCCAGGTATTGGGCTGAAATGGTTATCCATTGCAAAACGTGTCTCTTTGCTACTACCCCACCATCCTGCTAATCGCCCAGGGAATTCTGCCTGGGCATGCCGTTCGTGGACGAAGAGCCCACCGATGGCACCTGGGCCTGCGTTGATGTATTTGTAGGAACACCAGGCTGCTGCGTCGACATCCCAGTCGTGGAGTTGAAGCAGGACGTTTCCGACTGCGTGGGCGAGATCCCAGATGACGAAGATCCCTAAGGAGCGGGCGTGAGCTGTGATGGTGGGGATATCGAAGAGTTGGCCGGTGTAGAATTGGATTCCTGGGAGGAGGAGGAGTGCTGTGTCGCTAGCGTGCTTGTCTATAACTGAGAGGATGTGGTCTGTGGTCAAAAGTGATGAGGTTTGAGATGGCGGGGATATTTCTATCATTGATACACTCGGATCTAGATTGTGATGTTTTATTTGAGTCTCTACAACAAACTGTTACATTATTAGCTCAGAATGGAACAAGATGGAAAGGGGTCTCACATGATCAGAAGGAAATGCTTTGCTTTCTAAGATGATCTTATGACGACCAGTTATATCCGGTTTGTAAAAGGCACCCATGAGGAGATGCAAGTTGGCAGTCAAGGTCTCCATGACTGCCACCTCTGCAGGCTGAGCACCCACAATAGGAGCCATCATTTCTGATGCCTTGGAGTCCGCATCTAACCATGTCGGCAATGGGGACCCGGTGAGAGGTTTGAAGTGTCCAAACACGCCCTGAGAAGACCACGTTGCAAAATGCTGTTGGAGACGTGTCGATACCAATCGCGGTGGCAAGCCTAGGGAATTCCCGCAAAGGTAGACGGAGGCATCATAAGATGGGTCATGAGATTCTGAGATTATTTAATACGTCATGAGGACATGTAAGCAAGAGATAGTTATACCTGCTTCCGTCAAGCTTTTCGCTTTGAGCTGAGCTTTGGACGGAATGAGGAACTCTTGCCGGATCCTGGAAAGGGGGTCCTGAGTGTCTAGTGTAACGGCACGTTCTCTGCTACCCACGTGTTGACTTTCATCGTCCATGGCCCTACTCCGTAAATGACAATGTGTCAAAAGAGGCAGCTGTTTGGTTTCTCTTTGGTAAGATGCCCTTGTCGTAGCGGTGAAGAAGTGATTAATTCTGGACGGGAATTGCGTTTCTAGCCAAAGTAGAAGGCGTAATACGTGTTTGGGACGAATCTCTGGGTCGCCTGCTCAAATCCGGGGTAGCTAGATGCCCATCTTCCCGTTCTCCAGACTTTCGGAAGCGGATGAGGGGTTATAGTGCATGGAACGATGTGTAATGAGAAATGCAGTGCTGTGTCATGCGATGGTGCAAATGGTGAGGAAATTTCGAATTTCAGCTTCTGGGCCGTGATGATGAGCTTTCATCTGAAGGTGTGCGGGAGTCGGTGATGGTTTTGATTACCCCTTCAAAACCTCATCTGGCATAGCATGAGGGGTACCTTAGTCATAGCCTTCCAGGGCAATCAAATGCCACCATCACATGACGCTTATCTGCAGTGCCACAGTACCAGCGCAGCAGGGTTTACTGTTACACCTTAAAATAGAACAGAGGTTTAGTCCCAAAAGGGTATGATCCTATCCAGGGAAGAAGAATACTCTGACACAGCTAGTACTTTTCTGGAATAGCTTCCCACCGGCTTTCATCTAATCGAGGGGATGAGCCTGGAATAGCCGGTGCCACCGTTGAATTATGCCCTCATAGGGCCCTGACACGAAGCATCACCAGCTAAGGTATAAAATAAAATAACGCGAGGATTATAGTTGCGTCAACCCAACAAACTATGGCGGGCACGCCGGCCAACTTAATTGAAGAGATTTCCCATTGATTCTATATTAAAGAGTCCCGTCCATTCTTGTTTGTTTGATACAAGTATACGAGTCTCAATTGCATTTCTTCCCCCTTTCCTTATCTCTCGACACTACAATACGTACCTTACCGTACTCGTACTCTCGTACTCCGTACCCCTGTGCACCAGCCTGACCGCGCCGCTCCTGTCAGTTGGGAGACGAGTCTCAAGTCCCAACGGCCCTGTCCCCCAAGCCTACCCTACTTATACCTAGTTGCTGATCTTGTGCCGCAAGATCTGTACGTAGTAGTATCACCAGCCCGCAGGCAGGTACCCGGATCGTCTATAACTGCTGCACAACACCAACTTTTTCCCAATTGACTTGTAAAGACGATTGTTTGACAGGAACCGGCAGCATCTGGCAGCACATACGGTCACGCTTACAGAGCAGGAACAATCTTCCGGTGTAGCACAGTCCTCCGTAAGTTTCCCTGGTGCATCTCCCGTCATTCCACCAAGATTGCTTATCGCTCCTATCAGATATCTAGAGCAAGGACCAACGCTCACCGTCTCCAGGACCAACGATCCTGGCTGGGCAGAGACCTCGTGTCAGTCCGTTATCCGCGAGATAGTATAGGGTAGCATTGAATACCGCCTTGTGTTCAATTGACGTTGTCTGTTGCCCGAATCCGATACGCCCACCGACGCCCATCGCTCATGGTTGCCGAGATAGTAGCAAAAGCAACATAGGCTAGACTTACCGGTGAGTACTGTACTTTTATCTTGGATCCTGTAGTGTGATAGATAGCATTGTGGGAGTCATGGTCATGCTCCTGGCATGAGGCCGGACCTCTTAAGCAAGCACGGATTCCCTGATTTCCCCAGTCTTTGTTCCTGCTTCTTTACTTCTTTGCTCCTGCCAGAAACCATTCACCTTTCTCTCTACCTTCTTTCTTTCTACCTACCTTCTTACATACCAGTCTTTGTCACAAGCATTCCATTATCCATGGTTACAGCCAAAATGTTAACCCTAAACACCGCTGACCTCCTGGGCTCTCCCAAACAGTTTCCCGAATACCACGAACCCGGAATCTTTGTACCCCCATCGCCCACCCAATTCCCTGAATACTGCGAACCTCCTGAGTTTGTAGCATCAACTTTCCAGTCCCCCCAATACTGCGAGCCAGAACCCCTCGACATCATGGCGAATCTCGAAGACGACGTCTCACCTGCCACTCCCACGGATCCTACCACGAATCCTACCAACAAATTGATCGAGCAGGTCGTGAGGACACCTGGTCGGCAACCATCCCCGCAGCCAACACATTTCAGTATACCCTATAGGAACGGCAATGGCAACGGCAATGGCAATCCTCATAGGATCTTACGCTCTGGTACCGTGGGGTATATTGCTCCTGAATTCAAGGGCAAGAAGGACCAAATGCTACAGGGTTTGTCTTCTATTATGGAGGTTATGGTGTAAATCTAATTTAAATGCAGTCAAGACAAAAATTGAGCAAGAGGGGTGGATACCAACCACTGTCGTTGACCAGCAAATAGCTTGGTTCTACCATGAACTTGGTATCGATGATGTCTACTTTCAACTCGAGAATGTTGATGCTATCGCGTCGCATATCACATCACTCTATGCTGCCAAGATTGCGGCATTTGCACGAGCTGATAAGAGACAAGAAATCAGATTGGATATGGAAGCATCGGATCACGCCATCTACATTGACACGAGTGAGCCTGGTGTCAGCAAAATTGATGGGCCGCGTTACGAACACAGACTCGAGTCAAAGTACCTCGATGCGTCTGGTGGAAAGTCCATTTACCGAGTGGAGACTTTCCGGTCTCCAAGCAACTTGGCCGGAGCTTCCCCGTCAAAGTCAACAATGCGTTGTTACTTTGTGTACCAATGCCAATTTGTGGACCCAAATCCTTCCCCGCAGGAGACGCGCCTTGAAGTGATTGGCGACCGCATGTTTCTCGCCAAGGCGACCAAGAACACCAAACAGCTGTACCAAGAGATCATTGAACTTGCGGTCCAGAGAACCGGCCCCGTGATTGAGACTTTTAATGTCGAAGGTTCAAAAGAGATCCGACTCGTGGTGGCCTTCCGCCGACGAACTGCATTGGGCATGTTTAGTGCGTTGTCTGACCTATACCATTACTACGGTAAGATATCTCTGCGGCCTGCTGTACTTTTGAAATGCCAAGACTAACAGCAATTCAGGAGTGACGAGCTCAAGAAAATATGTTGAACAATTCTCCAATGGCATCACTGTCATCTGTCTTTATCTTAAGCAGGCCGCGAACTTAGACACTAGCAAATTCCCTCCCCTAGCCCAGTCCAAGCATCAACTCACCAAGGAAATATCTTTGTTGTACTGCATTCCCCAGAACAAGTTCCAGGCTTTGTTTGCTAGTGGACGCTTGAGCTTGCAGGAGACAATTTATGGACATTCCGTTTGTGTTTTCGTTCAGCATTTCCTCAATCGCTTAGGTTTGTAAACTTCTGCATTGATCCGAAGCTCTCTCTAACATCCCATAGGCTCTGAATACTCTTCGCTCGTCTCTGCATTAGACTCAAACAACAGCGGACACGCAGAAATTCTTTCGAGGATCAAGCGCCGATTGAGAGCTGAGACGTTTACAGCCAGCTATATCGCTGAGATCATCAACTCTCGTCCCGATCTCATTCGATCACTTTATGCATCATTTGCCAGCACTCATCTTGCGATAGGACTGGACTCTGATGAAGAGCTTGTCGCACCAACTCCTTCAAAGGAGGTCTTATCCGACGTCCAGTTACAAGACCTGATCACAAAATCGATCATCGACGAAAATGAGCGTTTGGTTATGCAATCTTTTCGCATTTTCAACAACTCTGTCCTCAAAACCAACTTCTACACACCAACAAAGATTGCTCTCAGTTTCCGTCTTGACCCCTCATTCCTTCCGGCACTTGAATATCCTCAGACGTTATATGGTATGTTTATGGTAATCAGCTCAGAGTCGCGAGGTTTCCATCTTCGTTTCCGTGATATTGCCAGAGGCGGTATTCGAATTGTCAAATCACGAAATCGGGAGGCTTATTCCATTAATGCACGATCAATGTTTGATGAAAATTATGGACTTGCCAATACGCAACAGCGCAAGAACAAAGATATTCCGGAGGGAGGTTCCAAGGGCGTCGTCCTTCTTGATGCACAGCATCAAGACAAGGGTAGCGTGGCGTTTGAGAAGTACATTGACAGTATCATGGATCTCCTCCTACCGCCCGCTTCACCCGGTATCAAAAACCCAATCGTGGATCTTTATGGCAAGCAAGAAATTCTGTTCATGGGACCGGACGAGAACACTGCCGACCTTGTTGACTGGGCTACTGAGCACGCTCGGAAGCGGTCTGCTCCATGGTGGAAATCGTTCTTCACTGGCAAATCCCCTAAATTAGGTGGTATTCCTCACGATGCATATGGTATGACTACTCTATCAGTCCGAGAATATATCGAGGGCATCTATCGCAAGAAGGAGCTGGATCCCCGCAAGATTCGCAAAATGCAAACGGGTGGTCCCGATGGAGATTTGGGAAGCAATGAAATCTTGCTCAGCAACGAAACTTATACCTCCCTCGTTGACGGTTCTGGTGTACTGGCCGATCCAAATGGTCTTAACCATGCGGAATTGATCCGTCTTGCGAAAAAGCGCGCCATGATTTCGGAGTTCGACATCAAGCTTCTCTCAAAAGATGGGTACCGTGTCTTGTGCGAAGATGTCAATGTCAAACTTTCTACCGGAGAAGTCATTCCTAATGGCACAACCTTCCGCAACACCTTCCATCTCCGCAACAACGGATTCACAGACACGTTCATTCCATGTGGTGGACGACCAGAATCTATCGATTTATCCACTGTTGGCAAACTCATTAAGAATGGCAAATCGATCATTCCGTATATCGTCGAAGGAGCCAACCTCTTTATCACCCAAGATGCCAAACTTCGCCTTGAAGCTGCCGGATGTATTCTTTACAAGGATGCCAGTGCGAATAAGGGTGGAGTTACATCCTCATCGCTTGAGGTCCTGGCTAGTTTGAGCTTTGACGACAACGGATTTATTGAGAACATGTGTGTTGGCAGCAATGGCCAAACCCCCGAGTTCTACAAAGCATACGTCAAGTCCGTCCAAGAGGTCATCAAGCTGAACGCTCGTCTGGAATTCGAGGCTATCTGGAGAGAGCACAAGGCGACTAAGATTGCCCGCAGCACCCTTAGTGACACACTCAGTATCGCCATCACCAAGCTTGACGAAGAGTTGCAAAATACAGCTCTTTGGCACGACGAGAAACTCCGCCGATCGGTTTTGAAAGATGCGCTTCCTCAATTGTTGTTGGAGAAGATTGGTCTGGATTTGATTATTGAGAGGGTACCAGAAAACTACCTCCGTGCTATCTTTGGTAGTTATCTCGCCAGTCGTTTCGTATATGAATTCGGACCTTCGCCAAGCCAGTTTGCGTTCTTTGACTTGTAAGTTTTCCTCTCTTCCTTTCCAAGTGACCTTTCGCTAATAATTCATCTAGCATGTCGAAACGAATGGAAAAGATGCAATAGATGGTATTGGATGGATGGAGTACATTTTGCTTTACTTTGGGGTGGCTTTTTTGGGAAACAAGCGCTTTTTAGTGCATAGTTGGCGTTGATATCAAGAATGGCTTATTGATTTTGAAACGGAACGATAGATAAAAGTCATCCACAGTACACGTCTTGGAGATGTGGCTTGGTTTGCATGGATCGCTGGTTCATAGAGACTTTATTTCACAATAAATGATGGGAATCTCTGCATATCTGGATAATGTCGTTGGAAGTGAGACATTGGTATGATTGTACGTGAGACATTTATGTAATAGGATCTTGGTCTCGGGTGTCGGGTACGGGAACCCTCGGGTTGCACCTGGATTGATTCATCACGAGAAGCCATCCTGCAGGTTCTTTAGTCTTCATTAAAACTTACTAATAATAGAGCGCTATACTGTTGAATTTGGAGGCGTGGCGTTCCATAGCTTTAATAGCATGTGTTAGTTCCTTATCTTGTAAAACAATCAATCATCTTTTTGACAAATAGGACATTCTAGTTAAATTCCGTGAAATCACAAGAGCTAGCAGGACAGGATAGGATAGGATAGGATAGGATAGGATAGGATAAAGGAGGTGAGGTATAGTAGGATGGGATAGGGATAAAAGTTTAGCGAGACGAGACGCAAATACTCGTATCGTACTGTAGATGCCCCGGACCCGGATCTTGGCAGGGTGTGGGGGACCGACCCGACGTTTCCCCGCTCTAACTTCACCTCACCTCGAGCGAGCAGGGGCTTCTTTCTATAATTACCTAGGTACGGATATTGGTGGTCACGTTGTATCTGTTGACCTGACTTCTCTTTCCTTTGGTACAGACAGACATACGGACAGGATCCTGAAAATGCATCTCGCAAACCTCATCTTTTCGTTTCTATCTTTATGCTTCTCTCTGGTGGTCGATGCACGTTATGTTATGTATTTAACTGGGTATTTATCCCCCTCTTTTGAATGTTATGTTAAAGAGTTTACTGATTTGATTAATTGCTTATTTTGCTTATGTTTTGATTGATTGGTTGATTGGTTGATTTATTAATTGGTTGATTACAGACAACATCAAACAATCCCATCACCAGACTTGGTCGAGGAAATCACACATGTGGCTATTGCGTTTATGCCGTCGTCGTTTTTCAACCGAGGGCCAGACCAGAAGGATACGGGATTCCCCCTCTGGACTAGTGTGGATGAGGTGAGGAGGAAGTTTAGGGAGGGCACGAAGGTTATGGTTGCGATTGGCGGGTGGGGGGATACGGTGGGGTTCGAGGAGGCGGCGACGAGCGAGGAGGGGAGGGTGAGGTGGGCGGAGAATGTGAGGGTGATGGTTGAGGAGAGTGGTGCGGATGGTATGTCATGTTGTGTTTTGCGCTTGTCCATTCCTCTGTTTGTTCGGAAGTCATCCTTGGGGAAAGAAAGACTTGGATAACTACGTTAGGTATGTAGATAGCTGACGATGAAGAAATAGGCGTAGACATAGACTGGGAATACCCAGGGTATGTTCCCCCCCCTTTTTACCTTATCCACCCCCATCAAACTAACATCCCATCCCACGCAGCGGCAACGGCGAAGACTACAAACACATCCCCAACTCCTCGCGCGCCTGGGAAATCGACGCCTACCCTCTCCTCCTCTCAGCACTCAGAGCATCCCTCGGTCCCCACATCCTCATCTCAGCAGCCGTGCCGGGCCTCCCTCGCGACATGCTAGCCTTTACTTCCACCACCGTCCCGCTCATCGACGCCTCGCTTGATTTCTGGAACATCATGACCTACGACCTCATGAACCGGCGCGACAACGTCACGAAACACCATACGGGCATCGCCGCTTCGCTGGTGGGCATAGATGCGTATCTAGCTCGGGGCGTGCCGGCCCCAAAAGCGAACTTGGGGTTTGCGTTTTACGTCAAGTGGTTCCGGACGCGTGATTGTGGGACAGAGGAGGTGGGGTGCGAGACGGTGCTGCTTGAGGATCCGGAGACGGGTGCGGATCTGGGGGGTGCAGGGGCGTTTAGCTGGGATGATGAAGTTCCGGGGGACGTGGAGGATTCTTTTACCAGGGCATTGAAGGAGGGACGGTGGGATGAAGAGGGAGGAGGCTGGTATTATTGGGATGCGGGGGAGCGGTTGTGGTGGACGTGGGATACGGAGGGTGTGATTGGGAAGAAAGTTCCGGGGGTGCTGAGGGAGAAGAACTTGGGTGGTGTTTTTGCGTGGGGACTGGGCGAGGATGGGCCGAGGTGGGAGAGGTTGCAGGCGCTGACTAGGGGGTATAGAGAGTTGAAAGATGGGAATGGGAACGGGGATGGAAGGACGAAGGATGAGTTATGATTGTTGGTTCTCAATGATACCCTATCACAGAGAACAACGCCTCTCAGATACAAGAAACCCCAGCGAACGTGATCAACAGCGACGAAATGCTTGCTAGTAGTTCCACAAGCACATCTCCTCTATACTTCCCAGCTTCGGATAAGACATCCCTTCCCGAGAACGGAGAGGGCCCGTTTCGAGACCCGTGAGAAATTGTGGGTTGTTGGGCGGTTCTGGGGTTTTGATATTTTCTTTTCTACATTTTTACATTTTTGCCTCTTTTGTTTCTAGACAAATGGTTTTTTTGGGGGCGGTAAGCAAAAGAGAGTTGTACTGCTAGCAGTATGCTTATTTTGTTTTTGTTTTTGAGATATGGGGAATTAGATGTTGGGAAATGAATAGGTGATTGATGAAGTTGGGTATTTAAAAGGGTTTACACTTGATCTATCAAGGTATGGTATACAAATCCACATACTATAACAGGATATATGTTTGCAGATGGAGTTCTATTATGGTCGTCAAGGCTTGAGAAGATGATGAATATTATGTTGATAAGTACTTCACTGCAACTTCTGGGTTACGCTTCGCTTTCATTTTTATAAAAGTAGGTTTGGTGAATTATAATTTGACAGCAGTGGGGTTGTTGACTGCAGTGAAAGGATTGACAGCACGGTGTGATAATGAGCGTGTATTTTCATTCTGCTAGACCTCCTCCAGGGATAGCATGTAAGTTGATCGCGCCGCGTTTCTAATGTTGACATTCTAGCCACTTCCGAGCACCCGTCTTGGTACTTATTCTCCTGGTACGCTACTTCGGTGGTGATGAATGCTATATGTTTAGTCACCTGTCAATATATAGTTTATCTGCTTGAAGGTGAAGGCCATACAACCTCCCCAGCCCTCATCTCATCTCATCTATCCAAACCAAGCAACCGAATCGCATTCCCCCTCACAAGCCCTAACTTCTCTTCCGCAGACCAAGGCAGAGAATCCACCCACTCAGCTCCCTGCTGAATCGTCACAAACGGATAATCAACCGAATACAAAATCCGTTCTGGTCCTAGTATAACAAGGCATACTCAATAACTGCGTCGAATGAGTCGAGGAATGGGTTTAAGACTAGGTAGGTGTGTGCATCAAAAAATTATTACTCAAAGGACTCCGACTATCGTATTATGTGGAAAAAACAGAGGCTACCTAAGGTAGATAAGTGCAAAGCACTGTAACATGGGACCATCCCGGAGTCCGGACAGACGTGTTACCTTCTCGACTTTGTGCAATGTGCCATTTATTAAGCACGCTGCTGATCTCGAAACACTTAGACGTGGCTTAACTCAATCATAAGCAGACCGAGTCTCGAAAGATTTTATTCTCAAAGTAAACAAACATTCGCCCCTTTCTTTTCTCTAAGCGAGATTCTTTACTCGGTGGTCAATAGCGGATAAAAGACCTACAAGTAACAATGTCCCAAGTCATCGAGTCATCTAGTTCTATTCTACTGGAAAGAATAATATGATAAGCAAATATACAGGTGGTATTGGATGCTTTCTCAATACTAGGTCTGCAACAACTGTTTTGTGGAAATCCGTAGGAATGGCAGTCTAGGGAAAAGAAAGGTACTTCAATCATACATGCTCGTTTGACATCATGATGAGTAGGCAACTTTTGGAATTTTACTTTGATTTTCAATTACAGAGGCTCTTTATAAAATAATTACTTTCCAAGCTCAAAGGTAGAGCAGACCATGCTATATTCTGCAGTGTCACACCTATGTTATACCGCCTGCCCATACTTTTATGCATTAGTCAGTTCTCCTCTCACACGTGTGTTTGTGTAAACTCCATCCCGCAAGTTGATGTTCTCTGCAGCACCACCAAATCTTAGCCATCCTGCAACCCCTGCATCTCTTCAACTCCTTCCCTCCCTTTCCACAATGCTCACACCAACCCTCGGAATCCCTATTCTGCCACCTCTCCCAAACCCTCTTAGCGCATGTCTTCATCCTCGTTTCAGTCTCACCCCCCAATGCTGTGCAGCATGCATCCCAGGTGTTTACCCGTTCGGGATCCACACATACCCCCCTCATCGAATTCATGTAACCTTCCAGTGTTCCCAGAAAGTAGTTTTCGCCGTACGTGCCGCGTCCGACTTCCCCATACTCCATCCGAGTCATGTCAACGACAAATTGCTGTTTGTCTTTTCTTCCTGGGCATGGAAACGCGAGCACACCATGGTCTTCGCTGTCTTTGGAGCCGGTTGTCATTATGTGGGAATCTCCTGCGCCACCTGTAACCTTCGGGGTTGAGGTTACGACATGGAGGAAAGGACCATTAATTGAGAATTTGATGACGCTACGTGGCGACATGTCAATCAAAATCGGTCTCTGATATTCGAGGCGTCAGTATTATACTACTCATTCGGAAGGCTGAGAAGGGGAGGCGAGCAGGATGCAAGACTGTTATCGAAGAGCCGTTCTAAGAAGGAAATGACCTACCTCACTTGTCATTTGGACGCTGAGTCTCTGATCCGGGGGACACAATTCAAAAAAGACCCTATAAAGTCCAATAGCTTTGAACCACTGATCATGCGCACGTGTCTGATAGAAGACTACAGCGTATTAGTACTCTGTTTCGATTGTTCCATAAATCAAGAGCGTAAAAGATGAAACTCTCCTCCGAAATCCTAACACCGCAAAACCAAGCAGGGCAAACAAAAAAAAGGGCTAGTTACTGAGCTCACACTTGGCCAAGGTGAGTGCTTGGACTTCTTGACTTGCGTTTGGGTGAATCAGACATATCGGAGACGGTGAGCTGGAGGTTGAAATCTCATCATGGCGTTCAAAGATATTACAGTGTAGCTCCCTAGATACCCACCAAGTTAGCACAGGAAAGCCAATTGCAACTTCATAGATTGACAAGAATATCAGGAAGCTTTCCACGTACTCAATAGTATCGGGGCCACCTTTAAAATGCTCATGGATTCCGTCACTCTTGACGAGACGTCGCGGCAGGCTGGGATCTGCTTCTGTGCTCTCGAGCAATCTCATGCCTACGAAGCGCGGGTCTGAGACGGCTCTCTCGTAGTTGAGAAGAAGAGTCAGCGTTCGCAAAGGGATTGGTTCCATGTTGGCGATGTGGAGATAAATATTCTTGGGGTGATGGACGGATGAGAAACATTCTGTCCTGGAGCGAACAACAAGCACGCTTGAATAAGGGGAGTCTGTCGCGCCTTCCATATGGTGCCTATATCCCACAACCGATGAGGCGTTGCTGCTAATTCAGCACCATCGCGCCTTCCTTATTGGGACCAGGGAAACTGCGAAGAAAATGTCCTTAGATCTGCGGTGTTTAGAGGAGTTTCTTGAGAACTTGAGAAAGGCATATAGTACGATAGGAAAAGGGTTATTGTATCAAGTGTAAATACTCCGCTTGTTCTCACCGGAACACTGCAATCAGTGCCTTTGATAGGAGTTCATCATTATGTGACACCCCAGACGAGGTTCGCAGCTCCAAAATGAGCAGACTGAAATGTTTTCAAGTAGAGCCTTACACCAAATTTGCGCTACATTCATAATACCTGCAAGGTTTGAAAGATGCCTCGAGAACGCCAGTTGAAAGCTATAAACTGCATGATAGGTTCCCACTAGGGTAAATTCAACATCCAGCACCGGAAGTAACGCATATGAATTTTGGGGAGTTAAATATCACAATATCTTGGGCGATGCCGTTGCTTTATCAGCATCCCAAGGACTTCGTCTGAAGTGGCGTGTTAGACACATTTCCCTATCCTATCTACATGCTTTGTACACCCAATCCAAATACCCGTTATATAATACAAATATTCTTACATATCATCCACAAACAAATAAACGCTTTCTAACACTTTTGCTTCTTCTCATCTTCCCCCCAAAGCTCCGCATTACCCTTATTCAACATCATCACGCTCGTCCAACACCTTCTTCGGCATCATCTTCTCCTTCTTATCAACCGCTTTCCGATACAGCCTCCCCTGGTCACTCAACTTTCTGATATTGTCAATATACGCATTGTTCCATGCCTTCTCACTACCATCATCCTTCTGCTTCGTCAACGCTACCGCTTGTCTCCTCTGCGATGCTTCTAGCAATTTGCGCGCCTTTTCTGAATCGGATATTTCGGCAAGCGCGTATTCGACTTTCCATTCATCTTCTGGCTTGAGGTTGTTGGGGCGTGTAACGAATTCGCCGTTTACTTTGTTGCGAATCGTAAGGTACATGGCTAGAAGTGGCTTGCCGTCACCGCCGTTGGTGACAGCCATCATGTCTTCGACTAAGGCATCTTCTTCGGTATTTGGGGATGGGGATTTGGTAGCTGTGGTGATGTCCTCCTGTGTGGGCTCAGGCATAATGAGATCTTCATTTTCGACGAGTTCCGGCTCGAGAGTCTCGGTGGAGACTAATTCTTCTGATTCACTAGAGGCGTCCTCGTCGATGATATCATCTTCCTTGCCGCTCTCATCCTTTGACGTTTCTTCTTTTTGGCCTTTAATGACACTGAACTCTTCTTCCACCTTACTCTCCTGGTCTTGACTTGTTACGTCCTCGTCAATAATATTATCTTCCTTGCCGCTCTCCTCATCCAGCAACGTTTCTTCTTCTTGGCCTTTGATGACACTGAACTCTTCTTCCACATCACTCCCCTGCTCTTGACTTGTTACGTCCTCGTCAATGATCTCGTCCGACTCAACTCCTTCAAGCTCGGATTCCCTTTCTTCCAAGTCATCGTGCTGGGTCTCCTCGTCAAGCTCTTCAACTTCATCAACATCATTAGATTCGAGATCGGACGCCAATGGATCTACACCATCTTGTTCACTCCCATTACTCTCACCATTCACTTCTCCTGGGTTGATCTCGTCATTCTCTATACTCGCTTGCACCTTAGCTTGAAGACTTTCCCATTGTTCCTTCTTCTCCTCTTCGCTCTCTTCCCGATGCAACCCCAGAACCGTCTTCTCGAATTCTTCAATCTTTTCCTTGTTTGTAGATTGGATTTTCTCAATCTTCTCCTCTTCTATAGGTTCTGCAAAGATGTACATGTAAGGGACCGATTCTTCCGCAAGCGTCTTAGGCCTCGTTTCAAAGAAAAGCCGTATTGATTTTTCAGGGAAGCGAGCCGTGGCACGATCAAGAACGCGGTTCAGCAACGACAAGCTGAGCTTAAATTCTGCATCTCCGGTTGTCACGTCATCGGCGCCATGTAATGCGTAATCCATTTCGGGAAGACTGATGTATTGGAATCCAAAGATTCGCTGTATGTTATGGAAAGCAACGAAAATGCCGTCCATGCGACCCATTCTAACCTGCAATGAATATTTCAAGAAAGCAGATCTGATCATGTCGTAGTATTCTCGCTCGTAGGACTCATATTCGCCGTGACGGCCGCGAATCTCGTACCCACTGCCATGCTCATATTGTTGGACGTCCATCCGAATTGAGACTACTGCTCTGGTTTTGAGATCAAACATGCCAGTACCGGGAACCCTGGGATCATGGGCGTCCAGCTGGGATCTCATCAGGAAGTCACCCAATGTGGTATAATGATAAGCTTCGGATTTGCTGCGCTCCTCTTCGGATGGAGGATCAATGCTGTGCTTCCTGTATTGCTCGAACTCTTCGGTCGACAAAGTAAGAAGCTTCTCCATCGACTGTCCGAGCATACTGAGAACATTTGCGGTGTCGTACTGTTTGTCAGCGTCGATGGCGTAGACACCGTCCCTGTATCGCAGAAACATAGAGGTCGGTGCACGATGCAACCCTGTGAACGTGTCATATGGAACCGGAAAGCTCTTGGAAAGAACCCCGGTATGAATTGGCCGCCACTGCGACAGCAGGTAATGGAAATGTGAAAGCGTGGAGGTCATACTGGATGTCGAACCAGTGTACTTTTTCTTTTCCGCCGCCGCCGTTGATAATAGAGTTTTATCCCGTGAAGATGTGATAAACTTTTTTAGCAAAGTGAAATCGAATTCAGTGACTGGCATAATCGTCTCCAAGTAAGGATCAAAATTGAAGACACGGGACCGAGGGTCTTGTAGTTGGTATACGCCTGGGTTGAACAACACTCTTTCCAATCCGTAGGAAAGACTGGGAACTTGCAATTGCTCTTGCTGAATAGGTACAAGCTCCAGACTTGAAGCGTTTATAGTCTCGATTTCAGGGTCTGTCAACAATTTTCCAATTTGAGTAACTTTGTTCACACTGCCGACCTTTCTTATTGTTGGTTGTCCTAGTGGTCGTCTACTATTTTTCCGCCCCGATATTTTCGCCATAGCTTGACCAATGGATAGTGCTTGACGATTTTGAGGCAGTCCAGATGTCACCAACTTTCGAATTTTCAAGAGCTCGGCTTGGTCGCTTTTACGTACCGTCTGCACTTTACCCTGGATAGCTTGGACCAGTGCGTTTCTGGCCGCGCCTCCTCCATGTGCGCCGATATGAGTTTTGATCTGTGCAGCGGTATCAACTGTCGTTGTTTTCGCTGGTGCTGCCTTTACTTTCGGTTTTTGGACCTTCCCGACTGACCCTTTCTTCCGGTTTGCAACTGGGTTTTCTGGTTTTGTTGGTTTTGGGTTTGTTGGTTTTTCTGGTTTTGTTGGTTTCGCTGGTTTTGTTGGTTTCGCTGGTTTCGTTGGTTTCGCTGGTTTCGTTGGTTTCGCTGGTTTCGCTGGTTCCGTTGATTTTGTTGATTTCGTCGGTTCGAGCACTTTCGCAGCCATGATAGCTTTGGCTAATTCGATATCCTCTGCTTGCTTTGATCTCTTCTTCTTCAATCTCTCGCCCAAGGATTTGGGAGGCTTGGTAGCCTTCTTTGCAGAAGCTTTACTGGTACCCTCCGTTTTCGATCCTTCCGTAGTATCAGGAGCCTCATCTTTCGGAGTGGATTCCGAGCTCATCAACTTGGACTGCTTCTTAGAAAGGTTCTGCGCAGCCAACTCTAACTTTTTGTCCCTTTTCACCACCGCAGGCTCCTTGGATGCCTCACCCAACTGTTCTTTCTTTTTCGACTTGCCATGGTGCCTTGTCGAAGAGAATGATGCGGTTTGAATGACACAGGTCGCAGTGAGGTGTGCGAATTGGGGATCTGAGGGGGCGAGGAGGTTTGATAGGCAAGAGGAACATATGTATGGCTTGCCAATTCGTGTGCTCCCGCGAGACAGTGATGCGAACATGGAGAGAGTGATGGACGAAGTCGAGGAACAAATTCGGCTTGTCGTGTTGAAGCTCTTAAACTTTTTTGGGGCTTCGCGTTTTGGCTCATCTCTGCGGACAGGGGCTTTCCGCTAGCGTCCGCATATTTCAGATAGAGGTATAGGTAGTGATGGTACAACTTCGTATTCCTTTCAACAACCGTTTTGACACATGCTTCCCACTTACACGTAAAGTACAGTTCAGTCTCGATATAAAAGGTGGTAAACCACCCTAACCAACCATACTTTCTTTTTAACTCAACCAACCCAACGCCGACTCGTTCTTATTTACGCAGTAAGATAGAGAGCATAGCGTACGGCCCGCCGCATCCTTGATAAAGCCCTTTCTTCTATCTAGCAAACAAGGAATGCGAAAGATAGAAGGACGACGCGTCCCTGAGAAGTTCGAATTTTACTTGATTTCTATACTAGAATTATAGAAGTAAATCAACAATGCGCTTTCGTGAATCCAAAATCCAAACTCCAAACTATACCCTTCTAAACATTCTTCTTCTGCTGCCCACCACCTAATCCTTTCCCCCCAGAAAAACTCCTCCTAACCATGCCATGTGTCCCAACCCTTCCTCTCCCTCTTCCTCTCCCTCTCGCTTTTCCCTTCCCCACTTTCTTCTTCCCCTCCTCTCTCACCCTCCCCTCTTCCTTCTCAACCCCGACCTCCACATGTCCCATAATCTTCAACCCTCCACTCAACGCACTCAACCTTGCTGCCACCTCATTCAAAAACCATCTCCGGAAAAACCACAACGGCTCGCGATACCAGACCTCATAGTCCTTCTGCTGGATGCCGTAGAGGAGGCAAGCACGCACGATAGAGGTGTGGGAGAGCGTGTGGTAAGGAGCGACAAGGTTGGTGGGGTCGGCATAGATGAAACCGGCTTTGGAGTAGTGGAGGGAGTTGAATTGAGGGGGCCAGGTTTCTTGTGCTTGTTCTTGTTTGAATTTGGGTTCGGGTTTGGGCTCTTTGGTATGAGGGGAAGGGGATGGTGCTGGTGGAGAAGAAGGTGAAGGTACAGATGGAGGCTCTGCTGCTGGTGAGAGGTGCAAGGGGATGCGTCGAGAGCGATAGCGACGGCGAGAGGGTGGTGGGATACCTGCAACATCAGCCATCTCCATCTCCACATCCCCATCATCATCATCCACATGCTCAGCTTCAGCTTCATCTCCCGTCCCAACCACACCATCCTCATCATCTCCAGGCGGCGCATACGCATATCCCGTCTTATAATCCTCAATCCCCCGCGGCACATCGAACAGTCGATACTTAAACGGCTCCTCCCCAAACCCTTGCGCCATCAACTCAGCCGCCATGCGCGGCCTCTTCCCCCCATTCAAATCCCTCTGTCTATAACACATCAAGCGGTACCCAAACACCAAACACATCATATTCGTACACGTAAACACGCCACAATTATAGAAATCCCCCTGCTTCACGGCCGGCGGACTGTTATCCAACTTCCCTATCTCCCTTTCCGGCTTCGCTGTCCATTTCCCATACAGCGGCCAGGAGGAACTGGGTGGACAGATGTAAAGGGCTAGTGCGAGAAGGGCGTCGGCGGGGAATTGGTCGCGCTCGTGCGTGTCTTGTATGGAATCGATGATGAATACGAAGCCCTGTTGCGGGGCAAGCCCGAGCAGCACGTGGTGCGTTGAGTCGAATTGCGGGAAGAATATGTAGTCTAGGGTTAGAATTTGAGCGACGGTGAGATGCGCGTCGGAGAGGAGGGTGTGGATTGCTGTGTTGAATGTGGGGATGTCTTCGTCGTCGGGGAGGAAGGTTTGCTTGAAGACTTGGTTCCGTATATATGCGACTTTGAGGTACGGGCCGGTGGGCAATATTGGGGGTTCGGGCTCAGAGTCATCGGACGTTGGCTTGTCTCGGATTCTACTCTGCCGGGAAGACAACGTCCTTGGACTTGCGCTGCGAGCTCGAGATTTCAGTTGCGTCCTTTGCGGGCGTAGTCGTAGGCTCTTGGCCTCGTTATATAGCTTCAGATCCGCGTCGTACTTTAGTTGGATACTATTCGCATAAACCTCGTTCTTGTAGCGGATTACGCATTCGAAATATGCGTCGACGATGTTTTCCTCAATGCTTATGTACTTTTCGGATGTCCGCCAGAAGAAGGAACTGAAGTCTCCGAGGGTCAGTTGGACGTGTTCGCCTAGGCGGTAGGGTTCACCGTCACGGGCGGTGCGGATTTTGAAAAGGGGTTCTTCGTCACGGCGCGTTTCTTCACGATCTTCGTCACTGTCTTCCTCCTTCTCCTCCTCTTTTTCTTCCTCTTCGTCTTCCTCTGAAAGTGGTGGTGAAGATAGTGTTGAAGATAGTGTTGAAGATAGTGACGAGGACGAGTCCGAAGAACGTGTTCTATGATTATTATTCTTCTTCTTTGTCTTCTTCTTTGGAGACTCTTTCTTTGGCGCTGGTCCAGATTTCGCCTTGGCGCCGGCTCCCTTCTGAGTCTTGCTAGTCTCCTATTTAACAGTTACAGCCAGACGACAGATATATGTAGGATCGATAATGAACACTTACCTTGGGACACCCTATATCTATCATGAGCTGATCGATCCATTGCTGCTGTTCCGGGGGTAGAGGGTCAAATTGTTGTCTCTCGATGGCCTGCATTTCATCGCTTGTTAGCCCCTCTGTCGACATTTTGTAAACTTCGATTGTGAGTATAATTTATCCGAGTTAGGATTGTTTTGTTTGAGAGGGGAGAGAGGGATTCTGTAAAGGTAAAGAAAATGAATAAGTACAAGACAAAGGAAACGATTCATTCAACCCCACTAAACCGAAAACGGGGGACAAAAGAATGATGCATATGTGGGACAAAGAGAATTCATTCTGTTCTTGACATCGACAGACTCTACTTCCTAGCTCTTGCAAACGCCGCTTTGGGAAAACTGAGAGGAAGCTTCAGCTTGGCAATCCGTCTCTGAGCAGCAGCCGCTTTGTCCATCCCCAACTTTTTCCTCTCCGCCTCGGGGAAATTTGCGATCTTACAACCGATCTCGTTGAAATACTGTGCCATCGGCTTAATCTCCAACCTCAAATCCTCCTTCAAATCCCAGACATCGACTTCGTAGTTATCCACCAAACATGCCATGGCACACAAATGGGTAACCAGCAGATCGAACTTGAACTTGCCAATGGCTCCTGAGTCTGAGAACTTCCGCGTGAAGCTCTGAAGCACTGCTTCGGGCATATCGCCGATAAGTGTCTTCAGTTCGTCTCGACGCGGAAGGAGGAAGCTTCTATTGTCCCTTCCCTTTCCTGGTTTCGAGACTCGAAGGATTTCCAAGGCCAAGAGCATGTATCGGAGAATCTTTAGCTTCTCAACATTCGTAGCAACCTTTGCAACGCGATGCGACACAAATCTGGAATTCGTGACCACCTCCTTCTTTGCCTTTAGCGTAGTAGCCCATTCGCGAACAGGAATATGAGCCATGATGCTATCTCCGATGAGACTATCGGTAGTATAGACGTCCTTAATATCCTCGGCTGAAACATTAGGCTTGGGTCGCGGTTTCGCTGCATCTGCAGCGGCTGCAAGCTCGTCTCGGGATGCCATGCCTGATGTAGCGTCGGCGATGTTCGAGATCATGGCTTGGGCTGCTGAGTCGAGTTTACGGGGTTTGCCATTGGCTTCTCTTGCCGATTTTTCGGGGGAGATGGCGTTTTCGGTGAAGGAGGCAATTGCTTTCCTGGCCTTCTTGGTACCGAATGTTTGGCCAAGGGTGTTTCGGAGCTCTCTCATATCCTAGACATCATTAGTATTGAAAACGGGGAGTAAGTTTTAGCAGGTTTTACTGTAGAATGTTCATCGTCGGCTGTAGCTTTGTGTGCCCTCACCACCCCTCGTACAACCATTCTTCGCGCCTCCATAACCTCCATCTTGCCTGTCTCAGGATCGTAGACTCCCACATAGTGCTTCAGAAGCGTATCCGCACCTCCTGCCTCTTCTTCTCGCGCTGTGTAGTCGAGCTTTTGGTGTGCGGAGGAGTGTAGTAGAAGTTCGCTCTTGGATATCGCTGTACGGCCTGGGCCTGTTGGGGGGTTTTTGCGGGGCTTGGTATAGGGTTGGAGAGGAATAGAGGTAGGCATAGCAAGCCCAGGAGTTGAAGCTATAAATCATCAGCCTACTAGACAGATAGAAAGTACAGTTCCAGCAACATACCTATGACAGGAGCCCATTGATCTGCTTCTGGGAGCGAGATTCGGATCTCTTTATCCCCTTCAATTGCGACTCTTTTGCTGGGCTTCGAAGAGCCATCTGTGTTTCTTTTCCGCTTCTTTACCTTATCTACTTTTTCCGACATCTTGGAGGGGCTGGCGAGGAGCTTTGAGGTGTGGTTGAATATTTCTTGTCAGGAAATGCTGTCACCTAAACTTTTTTTTGCAGATCCCTGCTCACCAAAAACGGGTGCGGGGCGGGGAACCACCACACGCCAAGAGGAGTAGAATTTGCGAGCCGAAACCTCCAAGAAGAGCAAAACTGGAGGATTATTGAAGTATTGAGTTGAGTTGATTAGCTACACAAGGAGACTTGCCTTATGTAAGTATAAGAATAACTTTGCTATTCGAGAAAGGGGTTGCGACGGCGTGACCATGTACGTATGACATGGCATGAGGCTCCGTCAACACGTTCCTTCCCTTGGAGAAAAGCTTGGCGTATCACATCACATGAGGGCACACAATTCATCATTTAATTTAATTTATTCACATTCACGGAAACGATAATGATTTGGTTGATGAAGCAAGCTTCTTTTTCATATTCAGGTAATTGAAGTTCCCATGGTGTTTTGCATCTACGGCAGCATTCCTCCATCTAACTTCTGTTCATAAACCCTGACTGAACAATCCGACAAAGCTTTGACCGGTTCTGCTTCCTTCCAATTCATCCTCCAAAAGCCAAAGACTACGCATCATCAGACTGCTCTATCCTTGAACACCCAGCGGCCATTGTACTGCATGGTAGTCCCATACAGTGCTTGTGCTCTGAAATGCTGAAAAAGGCGTAGACGTTGATGCGGGAGATGGCGTAGACTCGGAGGTTATGTTGTCATGGTGGTGTTTCGCAAGGCAAGAGAGACCGAGATCGGGTTGTGGGCGAGGTGTCTATTTGCTATGAGGAGGTCAGTGATTGCCCCGCATTGACGAAGATCACCAGGATGATCGCGACAAGGTCGAAGATGAGGGGATCAAGAGGAGAATACTTACGATCTGGCACGAGTCTTGCGGCGCTTACGCTTGAGGCGGCGAACCCGCTTCTTTCTCCATTTCGCTCTCATTTTCGAGACTTGTGAGCTGTAGAAGGTCAGCGCGAGTTACAGGGAGTGGAGAATATGGTAGGGAAAGCTGCTCAGAGTGGTCTCGAAGGCATTGCCATGTCGAGAGCAGCAATGAGCATCAATTGAGATGGGTGTGGGAGCAACTTACTGTCGAAAATTGAGTTGATGAAAAGTTAAAGACGAGAGCTTTTTGCGATTGAAGCTTCGGTTTTGTTTGTGTGAAATTGACGAGCCGCTAACGAGCGACCTATCACATGACCTGACCTACTTTACCTTGGCTTACGTAAAGCAGTTGATGTCCATCATCCCTCCTTCCGGAATTCACCCACTCACTTGTGATCACTTGTGAGACTTTATGTTCAAGCTTCACTGCACCTTCCTTCCCCAGGACACAAGGGATATATCGTATATCGTATCTCATAACTCAATGCTACAACATTTTGCAACTTCACTAACACTCTTCCACTAACATTCTATTGAAGATACACAACATTCTCAAACATGGCGGAGGAGTATTCTTCGTCTTTCCAAGGCTTCCCCCAATCTGACACTTTTGATGAAGACAGTGATCTTGACAACTGCATCGCATACCTTCAATGTAAAGACAAGGAAGGCCGCGACAATCACCGTGAGTGACAACATATCCACCCCTTCCTCTTTTCATTAGCCTGAACTCTTTTTCCAGAGATATCCATATATCCTGGACGAGAAGTCCAAGTTGGCAGAGACAGCGCATGGTGGGTTCTCTTTTCATCCTCAAGGGTGGGTAATAATGAAGCGCAGCAATCATCTGATACCAGATAACCGCATTTCCAAGCGACATTTCCGCATATACTCAATTATCTACGAAGCAGGACGGACAGATCTACCCCCATTGGTGTATTGCGAGGACCTCGAATCTTCAAATGGAACCTATGTCAATGACAGTCTCATCGGTATCATTGGCCAAGAGAGGAAAGGGTTTCTCTTGAATGATGGCGACATTATCCAAATTCGTCCTGGTTGGAACTTTCAGTTCCATCAATCTGTGCATGGTATCGTTACTCGTGACTATACAGAGCTCAGTGATCTTCAGGTACTGCAGAATGTCGTTTCTTTAAGGGACTCCACTTATTCTCCTTTAGTGCTTCCAAGACAGATTTTCCGTGTCAGATCGAATTCTTGGCCAAGGTTCTTATGGAGCGGTGTATTTAGCCCTGGATCTGTCTCAAGATTTAGCTAGCAAGAAACAGGTAGCTTGCAAAATTATCAACCTGACAGCTTCCGGAGAGAAACACATGGAACAGCGACCCGATCTCAAAGCTGGCGACATGTGGCATAATCAACTTCGTCGTGCCAATGAGGGGAGGAATATTGCACTGCGCGAAATCAAAATACTGTCTAAACTCAGTCACGTAAGAAGACTTTCTCCCCTTTGATCTCATTCTCACAAACTATAGCCGCATATCATCAACCTTAAAAAGGCCTTTTGCACTACCACGTCTTTGTAAGTACCCAGAAAACTAACCTAGAAGGCACCACTGACAATCTTAGGTACATGATCACAGAGCTTGCCCCAGGCGGAGATTTGTTCTCTTACCTCGAAGCCTACCATGGCCACCTTGATGATTGGCATGGCCGTGTTGTTGCTCGCCAACTGGCTCTCGCGATCGACTATCTCCATTCCCAAGGAATCGCTCACCGAGATATAAAGCCAGAAAATGTCCTTGTCTCTCACACGGACTTTGGAGGACGAGTTATCTTGACAGACTTTGGATTTGCAAATGTCGCGGATGCTAGGACTGGCAGGCTACAATCCGTTGTAGGAACTCCGGGTTTTGCTGCGCCGTAGGAATTCCCGCTTCTTCACATTGACTTGTCCTGACGTGATTAGGGAGGTGGAAGCGAATGAGCACCGAAAGGGCGGATACACACTAGCTGCAGATTTATGGTCACTGGGTGTCTTGACTGCATGCGTACTGACAGGGAACTCCTTGATTCCTTATAAGGAGCTTTCTCAACTAAGTCAAACGGAGATTGCAAATCGTTTTCTCGAAATCTCCGACGACTACATAAGAGATCAATGGCTCAGTATGGGCCCTAGAGCTCAGCGATTTCTTCGAAGACTTTTGACAGCGGACCCGGCGAATCGAATGACCGTGAAAGACGCGCTCAACCATTCATGGTTCAAGAAGCCACATTCCGAAGCTACATTGTTGGAAGAACGTTATCATAAAATCATCAGATTCTGGAAGAAACGCGATAGCGATGACCAGGTTATTGAGTATCTACCAAGTTGGAACCAAACGCCTGAAGCTGAGCAGGAGAAGGGACCCAGGTTTCGCAGAAAGTTCCCTGATGCCACGTTATCACCATATTTCAACCTAGACAGGCACCTCACGCAGAAGAGACCTGCCACGAGAGGAGATGTCTTGGTGAGCTTGCTTGAATCGGGATCATCATTCGTACCCACCAAAGAATTTCGACACAAGCCTGCTGCACAGTTGGCGACTCGCAAACACCGAGATATGGATGTTATCGTGGTTGATGGAAAAGATATGTTCGGAACGTCACGCGAGACGGAAGCTTTGAATCCAATCGACGATTATAACGAAATGGTATTGGTCCCGACAGAATCTATGCCACCCCTCGAGAATCTGAATCTCCAGAGCCAAGCGAAGTCTACAGAAGTTCCTGATTCACAGGAGACCGTGGATGATGAAGAAGACCAAGGCCGAATGATCAAGCGAGCAAGAAAGGAGTCTTGGGATCCAGAGGACCGCAGGATTCACGAAGATGCTTCGCTTGTGATCCCAAGATATGCTTCGGCGAGGGTGTTCAGGGATACAATTCAACAGAGAAAGGAAGCCGAACGACTGGAGAATATGAGGCCATCGCTGTATGCGATGTGAACGTGAGTGTTTGTTTGAGCGATGGAGTTACGATTTGCATCTTGAGATACCCATTTGCAAGATTTTGCTAGACAGCAGGTTGTTATGTTGCTATGTGTTGCTAAACCTTGTTAGAAACTGCCTGAGGAACTGGCTTGGAGCTGGCTGGGCTTGAGGGGTAATGCATTTGTCCAGATTCAAAGATAATTATAAGATTTTCAGATGTTCGCTTTCTCTTTCGACAATGTGAAATGTTTAGAACCATGATGTCCGATCCCCTCAATTTTAAATATACCTAGGCCATGTCTAAGGATACTTTTCTCACAGCATTAACACACTCTTTAGAATCAATACCACCGATCTAAGAACAAAAGATCTTGATCCAACATGCATTCTCACCACCAGTCCGAATCACGAGTCTGACATCCTTCCTCGTTCACCCGGGCATGCATGCATGCACCCACCCATCTACCCATCCATCCGGTCATCTATCCGGCCATCCATCCGTCTACCCATCTATCCATCTATCCATAACAAAGAAACGAGAAACCAGGAAATCAACCTCCCCCCTTACACACTAGAACAACTAAGTACCTTAAGAGTCCCAGGAATCTCACATGCTATAATTAACTATAAATCTACTTTCATTTCATATAACGTTCTTTTGCCTCACCCCATCCATCATATCCTACCAACTAGGAAAAAGAAAAGAAATGAAAAATCTATGGAGTATGGAGAGCAATAAATAGAGTAAGTAAGAAAGGAAGGAAGGAAAAGTGCTGTATGCTTGATGCTTTGGTTATGGGGGTGTATCTTTATGGCTTATAAGGATTGCATAGGATAGAGTGTATAGTATGGTGTATCTTTAGTGTTTATGAACAAGGATTGGATTGTATTGGATTCGGTTGGATGGATCGAGATGCTGTGATGGGGAGGGCGTGTGCTGGAGCATTGGGGGGGTAAGGAGTGGGGAGTGGGAAGTGCAGTGCGGGATTGTATTGGGGTAGAGCGTTGCTGATTATATACATACAGATAAAAGAGTGAGGATTTTATACACATACGTTTTTTGTTTGGATGGTAAGTGTAGGTAGGTAGGTAGGGTTGATATGTATACGCTGAACGAAATGAATGAATTGAACGCCCGCCCGCTCGCCCTGTCTGTATTTCAATATCTTACAAGTTTATAACCTCCCTGCTCTAGTTTCTTGATTGAACTAAGAGTAGGCAGGGAGGCAGGCAGACAGGCAGGCAAAGAAAATAAATTAATGCATGTGCGTGTGCGTGTGCTTTTGGCCATCCAGTCTAAACCAAGTACGAGTTTTGTCCTCTTCCTTCGAATCGTCTCCCCCACCCCATTCTAGAATTTATCGCTTCATTCACGCCATCTACACCACCCACCGCATCATATTATATCGTATATCACATCACATCACAACTTAGCCGCCCCCAGCACCTCCAACACGCCCCCGCTACCACCCGCCGCCTTCTCGCGCTCCAACTCCACGAACCCGTTCTCGGCGCGCGGATCATACATACGGCTCTCGATCCAGCGATCCAGCGCCTCGTCATCCATGGCTCGTAGCGAGGGCACGGTATCCAGGTCCTCGGACTGGGCTTGGCGGATCACTTGGCGGGCTACGACGACAGAGACGGAGCGGATGCGCGGGAGGGAGGGGTAGAGCATGCCGGAGTCGAATTCGGTCGTTTGGAGGGTCGAGGAGAGAGCTACGGCTGAGGTGTAGATCTGTAGAGTGGTGGGTTAGAGGAGTGTGGAGTGAGGGGTGAGGATGGGAAAAGAGGGGAAGGGGGAAGTACCATTTCTTGGGATATGTGTTTTGCTTTGCAGAGGATGGAACCGAGGCCGATGCCGGGGAACACATACATGTTGCTGATGAATGGGTTAGAATAGAGTTTAAGGTATAGATATATTAGGGAGGGGAGGGGATTATGTGAGACTTACTTTCCCTGACTCGGATGCATGGTCTTCCCATTATGCACGTAATCCGGGAACGGGCTCCCACTTGCAAATATAGCCTTTCCGTTCGTACCCTTCATCGCCTCTTCATACGTGCACTCGGCGTTATCCGAAGGATTTGACAGCGGGAAGATAATGGGGTTCTCGTTCCAGACAGCCATTTTATTGAGGATGCACTCGTCGAATATGCCGCGGATGGTGGAGAGACCCATTAGGATAGTAGGCTTGACGAAATCGACGACTTCGGGCAGGGTTTTGAATTGCTTGCCTTCATTATCATCGCGGGAGAAGTAGATTTTGTGGGCGGCGAGCTTGTCACCTCTGTCGTTTGTGATGAGACCCTGGGACTGTTAGTAGATTAACTCTAGGCGGACATGGGTGAATGAGGACAGACCTTGGTATCTACGAACCAGAAGCATTTTCTGGCTTCCTCTTCTGTGAGGCCTTCCTTGATGAAGTATTCTACAATCTGCTTGGCTACACCAACGCCGGCACTTCCTGCACCCATGAATACTGCCCGTTGGTCCTTCACAGCGGCGCCGGTCTTTCGCATGGCACTAATAATACCAGCCAAGATGACTGCTCCGGTCCCTTGGATATCGTCGTTGAAGCAAGAGTACTTGTTCTGATATCTCTCTAATGCCGGGAAGGGGTTCTTGAAGTCCTCAAACTGTACCACAATCCTATCACTCATCAGTCTGAATCCACTAAAAGCATCCGGAGAACTCACCCAGGCCAGACCTCATTCAACGCAACCATCAGCTCGTCCAAGAACTCTGCCTCCTCCTGCTCAGAAACCCTCTTCATCCGGCTTCCCATATACAATGGGTCCGCCAACAAAGCCTCATTATTCGTGCCGAGATCTAAGGTGAGAGGTAACGTAAGATCTGGTCGGATTCCCGCACAGCCTGTATACAGCGCCAGCTTTCCAACGGGAATACCCATGCCGTTGATTCCTAGGTCTCCGAGTCCCAAGATACGAGACCCGTCTGTGACAACAGTCATTTCAACATTAGGTTGAGGCCAGTTACGGAGCATGTCAATCAGGTTGCCCCGGTCTTTGTAAGAAAGATATAGCCCTAGTTACGTTAGTTAAAGTGTTGTGAGTCTTTCAAGACATTGTTCTGGAGGGTACATGGAGTATGAAGCATGTAACTCTGCGGAATTGATATCTCCAACATACCTTCTGGCTGTCTATATATCTCAGACCATTTCTGGCATGCCTCTCCAACCACAGGAGTATAAATCAGAGGCGCAATCGTCTGCATGACATCAGCAAAACTGTCGCGTGCGCACGTGAAACTGGTGACCGTACCGTGAAATTGTCCAGGACAAGGCGGTAGAAGAGATGGACATTGGAATTGCGCAGATTACTTAGGTAGATATACCGCTCAATAGGCGTCGTCTTGGATTCCAGCTGTCTCATGCCTGCAGTCAGTCAGCATTTGGTCGAGGAAAGTTCCAAAAAAAAAAAAGAAAAAAAAAAAGGGCAGCGATATCGGAACACACATCGTTGAGCCTGCAGAGAATGGCTCTCGACATTAGGAGGCGCGAGGCCATAATTTCGTAGTGCTTTGCGAGCCTCGATCGAGTGCGATGTATCTGGATGTCTGGTTGCTATGGGTCAGTCACAGGGGCAGGTATAAAGTCTGGGGTTATACATGTGACTCACGAGACTTTGGTCTGGGAATGGAACAATCGCGGCGAGGAAGACATCTTGACGGAAGTTTGATGGAGAACTGGTCGTGAGAAGGAGAGAATTTGCAGTACTCTTATCGCATTGTTCAAAATGCGTTGGGCTTTCAGGGACAGCATTGAATGGACTGGATTTGCAGAAGAGGAAGTCTATGTATAGAAAGAAGCTGTGGCTGTTGGGGCCGAGGCCTGAGGTATGTATGGACGGGACGGTACGGGATGGATGGATGAGTGGAATCGCTGCGTTTTCGTAGCTGCGCAATTCGATTAATTGGGATTATTGCAAGCATCTACTCCATTGATTGAAGATGAGGACGACGTTTATATCACTTCTCGACTTGTTGAGACTTTCTGACATCGCATACGATATGTTGAGCTTATTGATCACGTGGTTCGTACTACCCCCACTTACTTTACTCTACTCGAGGCAGGTAGTCAGATTAACCAGCAATCTCGCATCTCCAGACGCGTAACACAGCGTGGACCTTGGAGGCCTCGAAATAATTATACACTTTTCCAGATTGACCCAGAATCCCAAAGGCACGTACGAAGTAGTCCGTCTCCTGTCTCCTGCCCAGTAAGTCTTACTCCGACGATGTCTGGCTCTGTACCGCGAGTTTGATCCTCCAATTGAGGAAGTCGTCTGGTATAATATCCCCATGGCCTGCCTCTTCAACCCTAAATACTTCAATGGCAGAAGAACGTTCCTTCCTCCGAATCCTCCATACACCATCCTCTGTTATCGTAGCTTTTAAGACTATCCAACGTCAGCCGGTCTCCTCAACCACCACGTGCATATGCTTACAATCCAACAATTGTGCCGCAAAATTTATACACATGTTCCCATCCCAAGTTCCATTTCCCTTTCGCTGCACGGTGCTGGGTATTGATGCGGTGCTGATATTTTCGAGACGTTTGAGAATGCCGTCAGGGCTCCGAAACCCAACAATGATCTTGGGAACTCCAAGTAGAAAAGATTGTATCCAGAACTTCATCAGTTTTCTCTCGAAATTTACCATATCTCTCTCGCCTCGAATCTCAGCGCTTGTTTTCAGTTCAACCCAATCATTCACCCCTCCTTCTACCTTTCTGTCCCAGACTTTTCATAAAGTTAGCTGTTGTTGGTATAAGAAGGAATCTTTTCTTTTCGACAGGAAGAGCGGCACTAATCTCAATGTTCCAAGCCAAGCAGGATATCGAGAAGACACAACCTTAGTGCCGCTTTCATGCCCACCATGGGGAGTCCGTACCTGCATCTACCTCACCACCAAGAATCATCACGGTACTGCCAATTCCAGTCTTGACCACAGAACAATACTGCGCATGATTATTCACAATCTCATTTTCCCGATTCTCAATGAAATCTCTTGGTGTCTCATCCCAGGTATTAGGCAATAAGCAAAGAGTCTCGAATTTATAACCTTGACGATGTCAGCACTTGTCCGCTTCTGTTGTATAGTATGAAGTCACCCCAAAAGCTCATCATGTCTTGTGACGGTCTGCCAGGTTGCGGTCTCTGCTGGCTTTGCCGTCTTTGCGAGTCCAATTTGTAGCCATGATTCTCTTCGATAAATCTATATCCCTTAGTAATGTCGTTTGAAGATATTGATCGAATTCCTACATAGTCCCCTGGACAAGTTTTGTCAGTTCCAGCCTGTAAAGTATTTCTGGCCAGGTATGCCCACCTGGAAAAGCGTGGCGTTCATTTCGAAGCTGTAGAGATCAGCGGCTGAAGATTGTGTATATATAGAATAGACATGCGTACCCATCTCTGTCCGTGAAAATGGCTGCCAGAAACTAGAGAATGTTATAATTTCAGCAGATAGAGATCAATGATCAAACCTACTTTGGTCATCATGCCTCGCCATGTAATTACATCTGCCTCTACCCGTTTCCCATCCTTCTGCTCAAGAGCCATAATCGTCTTGAGTAGACTGTCGAGATGATCATCCGCGGTGTCATCGAGCTTCTCAAAGGTATCGAAACCCTTGGATAGATCGGCGCCCAGGGTAGGTGGATAATAGTATCTGATGGATGAATCATCAAGACGAAATTTATGTTCATCATCGTATGAGAAGCATGCAATTTCCTATGTAAATGGTGAGTAAATGTTCTAAAATGTGTCCGCCACAGTATTGTATATTTCACGTGGCAAACGGGCTTGTAAAACATGGTCAATTGAACAAAGAGAAAGGTGCTATCAGAATGGGGGTCGCATGCTGTAGAATTGAGAGGAGCGTTATATTGAGAGTAAAATAAACTAAATGAGTTCAACTTTGAGTGCGTAGTAGAACTCTAAGGTGTACTAGACCTTTGAAGCAACAGGGTCTTGAGGGAGCTTAGAGAACAGGGCATGTCTAACCTTTGGACGTTTGATTACAGCGCTCTGGCCGTGGAATCGCCCGACAGGCTGGATATCGAAACTGCTACTCATCGTTTATTAGTTATGTCCAGCTCAGTCAAAATCATGATGATATATCTCTCAAAAAGTGATCCGAGCAGGAGGATGATGAAGGGAGGGGAGCGGAGGGGAAGCCAGCAAGAAGTTTCCCCACAATCAAGCGAGCCTTGTCTTAAAGCCTCGTCGCATCCACAAACATAACCCTGACCCCAACAAACAAAGCCTATCCTACAACCACAATACAATATAATATCTATTCCATTCCCTCCATTCCTGCAAGGCCCTTCCACTCCTTAGATACATAACTACCTATACTCATCTCCTTACCTAACCTACACCACGCCATGCCCGAGCGCCGGACCGCAGCCTCGAGCAGCACAAATCCCCGTGCCACAAACGTACGCCGTAACCTCTTCCACCAGCACCTCTCCCGCCGTCCCACCACCTCCTCGACGTCGACCTCCGCCGAGACCCTCAGACTAGACATCGAGCCCGAGTCGGACACCTCGGATATCGTTATTAGGGATAAGAACGGGGAGTTTGAGGTCGGGGATCCGCCCATGGGCTCTATTGATGAGCAGGAGGATGGAAATGGTGATGCGCTTGAGGATGAGAGTATGTATTACTTATTGCTTAGGATGGGGAAGGGAAGGGAGAGGATAGTTGGGATATGATTTGATATGATATGATATGATGCTGATTTAATTTGAGTAGGGGAACGACGGAGGTTGGCGGATGCTGTGAAGCATCATACAAGGGATAGAAACCGTCCTCCCAGTGAGCCGGCGGGTAAGTAGGTCTTTGTATTGATATATCTTGTTTGCTAACGGCTGGCAGAACTCCTCGAAGCTGTAAAGACCAGCCTACGCGCGAAAGTCGCGGCGTTAGCAGAAGATAATTGGATGTACGAGGCAGAGGAAGACACTGTGATGAGATAGCAGACACTGCGCGAGTGTTGGTTGCGAGTTTCTCAATGGCGTTACGATACCCTGGCGTTTTGGAAAACAATCAATCTGCTTCATCAATGCGCACGGCGTTATATTCAGTCTAAACCTTCTGCTACCGGTGCTGACGATCCCACACGTTTTGGCTGTGGTTTCGCTGGTGCACCTCCACCTCCAAACATGCTTCCCATCATATCGAACAGCGGATTACCCTGCCGTGGTCTCTGAATTCCAAAATACATTTCCCCCACTGAAGTCAAAGCCTCATCCCAAATCCCCACTTCCTTGATATGCGCCGCGTACTTCGTCTTCAGCTGCCTGAACAGATCTGCACTCCCCTTCTGCACAGCCAGTAACAGCAAGCCCAAGAAATTCAGCAGCGGCAAACTGGGATATATTCGCAGCTCCGCACTACTGCTGCTCACATCCTGCACCCCCAGATTCTTATTTGCCTCTGTCAGCCTGCTTGTAAACAACCGTAGTGACTTGTTCGCATCGCGCACATTGCCCGTAAGCAGATACGGGAAAACCGCCCGCGCAGCATAGAGCGCAGCCGTATGTGAGTCGTCCTGTGTGTACCACTCGTACTCCAAACTGGCAAACACATCCGGCGAATCCTTCGTTCCCAGCGCAAGGTGTCGTTCCGCCTCATACACATCGTGTTCGTCCGCATACAGCGATCCCGCTACATGGTGTAATTCCGGTTCGCCCGCTGGGTACTCGCCGCATTTCGCAGACCATCTACCAATCGCCAGCCTGAATTAGCATTTAATCCCCTCTTCTAATTGTTCTTGCACCGAAAACAAAAAAAAGGGCGACAGCTGAAAGGAAAGCACATACCCAATCATCTCAGTAACAAACCTCTTCCTCGTAGGCTCTTCGCTATCAAACGTTCGCAGCAGCGTCAACAGCTTCCCCTTGTTCCCCGCATCAGGCTTCAGCTCCGCCTGTTTATACACATCGATGAGGAAGAGCGCTAGGTCGCCACCGCTGCCGCCCTGGCCGGCTTTAAGCAGCGACGAGCAGACGTTGAAGAGGATATCTGTGGCTGCGGGCCAGTCCTTGGCTTTGATGTAACGGGCGGCGACGACACGGGTCTGTTGTTGCGCTTCGTAGAATTGGCCTTCGGTGATTCTGGGGTAATGGGGGTTAGCGAATGGAGGAAGAAGGGGTGAGAGGTGCTAGACTTACTTTCCTTGTAGGCGGACTATGATCTTTTCTATTTTGGCACTCATTTTGTTGGTTGGATGGTGATTTGCGAGGCCCAGATGTTTCGACAAGGTGGTGTTAAACAAGGCTGGCTGGCAGAAGTAAAGTCGGGTTAAAGTGGGTCAAGCTCGGCCCGGTAAAGGGGGGTTTGTGAATAGTATACTTCCGTAAGTACGTGATACGCGTATGTCATGTGAGACAAGGCCGCATTCGAGATTTGTATACTCTAGATTGTGGTTATTGCGTTGATCCCTAAATCTAGAGGATCGTACAGTACTATATACCAAAAGCGTGGCTATATGGCGAGGGCCACGTGATTTGAAAGTGACCGTTCCGTACGATGGTCAAATGGCCTACAGAATGATGCCACACTCCTAAGGAAATCCTCGATAGAAGATATTTTTCCTGATGTTAGAGGATTATAATAATACGAGTTATTTTGCAAATATGGAGTATATACCAGTCGACAAAAATTGCCTTGCATATAGTCAATCGCTATTTCCTTTCATCCGCGAAGTAGAGAGACGAGCATTTGGCTGCAACCTCCTACAGTGGCAGTGCGCCCCCTTTAGATGGGTGCGAGGAACTTGATGACACGATGCGTTCGACCATCCTAGTCCCAGCACCTCTATGGAGCTGATGAAAGCTAGGGTGTCATGATTGTGAAGCACTTGCTTCGGATTCATTCATGATCTTCACTTCTTTCCAGCTCGAATCCTTCGAATGCCTGTTAGGACGTAATAAGGCAATGAACCGACCCAACAATCGGGTTGAGCCGTCAGATATTGTTCAATCCGGAAGCTGGCCCCTCTGTAACATGCTCTCCTGCAAGTGGACGCACAGCGCGACATGATGTGATTGGCACACGGAGATATTTTGTTGGTTTTGGGTTTCAATACATGATACACATTCATAGCGACAACGGACCAATGCATCTCTCAGGGGCGCCTTGTCAAGTGTGTTCATCCCAAATTCACATACTTAAGGATTTGCGCCGTCCAAACACATTCGTATCTAGATTTTTATTATTAAAAACCTCTGATACGATAAATCAGGCAAGAACTCGTGATGGTAATTTCAAATCTGAAGAATTCTGGTTCATGAATCGACAAAAGCTGACAAATTACAGTCTCCAACAGCCTCCTTCACCACTGGAACTTCTTCCGGATCCATATCCAGTGGTGTACTCATTTCCCAGAACGATGACGACTCGATACTATTCTCCGAAACTGAATCCCAGGGCATGACCGAGAAGGTGGCTAACATGCGCCTCAGTGAAGATATACCGCTACCTTCCATCGAAGGAGGCTCCCCTGACACCGCTGGAGGGGTCAATTTATCAGGAGGGAGAAGAAATTCCCGGACACCTTCTGTGTCACTCTCGCCACCGCTTGGAGATTCTGACACTGGATATCCTGCTAGCATTGACGGCCGTCTAGGCATGTCACAAGTAGCCGATAGCATCGAGGACATTGCCACAGGCTCCGAGAATCCTAGTGTTTTGCTTCTCCCGGAACGACCTCATGCTCGCGATGATACCCCCCAAAGACGAAGGCGATCTAGTTCGCGCATCAATCTAGTTCCCCACGATGTGGCTGATGAAGAGCTTCCGCATGACCGCTTTCATGAGCCGAATTTCCAATCGGCGTTTTCTGATGCACATCGAGTCGTGTCTGAGTTGGCTGATGTGCTTTCCAGCAGCTCTTTGAGCAACGCTCCTGACTCGACTATGAGATCGCTGTATGTTGAAGCGAAAAGGTTGGCTCAATTCCGATGCCAATCTACGCGAACAATTGGGTTCGTTGGCGACTCGGGTGTGGGTAAGTAGTCTCAGTGTCGATTATGATATGCGTTTTCGAGCTCACAGTCCGTAGGTAAAAGTAGTCTCCTGAATTCTCTTCTAGATTTCAAAGGTCTCGCCCGAACCGTGAGTCCTCACCTTCAATATTTGACTTCGCTTTACTAAATTCCATCTCTACAGAGCAATAGCGGGGAGGCTTGTACTTGCGTTGCCACTGAATACCACTACCACAACAGTGATAACTTTGCGATTGATGTGGAATGGTTTAGTGAGGATGATATAGCTGCACAATTATCTGAGCTTCTCCAATCCTATCGGCATTTCCATCTTCATGGACCAGATCTGGATCGACAAGAACGAGAAGACTTAGAAGATCGAGCGAACCTTGCCAGAGATACCTTCCGAGCAATGTTCCGAGGTCGACTTGGAGATGAGCAATTCCTCACGCTCTCTTCAGAATCAGCGGTGATGGAAACTTTGAAATCGTGGGTAGCAGAGTCTAGGTTCTCTTCGGCCAGCGATAGAGAAGAACAGCACTCCATTAACGAATGCTCTACGCATCTAATGCGACTTACTTCTGATGAAAGTTCGAATCAACAGCCCGCGAAATGGCCTTTCATACAGAAAATCAAGTTGGTCATCCTAGTGTGGTTGCCCTTTGATTTTGTTAACATGAGCAGGGTTTTTTTGAAAGCTCATATTCTCAGCAAGGGGCTTGTCCTTGTAGATCTGCCAGGTAGGTTAAGGTTTTATAGGTACGGCTGGCTTCTGATATCATTGCTTAACAGGACTTCGTGATTTGAATTCGGCCAGACGAAACATCACTGAACGATACATGCTTCAATGTGACGAGATCTTCGCGATATGCAACATTGGAAGAGCAATGACAGATGCAAGCGTCGTGAGTATCTTCGATTTGGCGAGACAAGCTAGATTGTCTAACGTTGGAATAATCTGCACGAAGTCCGATGTGAGTTGTGACAACTACTACACCGAAGGCAAACTTTTGGAACTAATTCCTTGCTATTCAGGATATCCAAGCGGAGGAAGCTATAAGAGATTGGCGAGGAGAGAAAGCAAGAAGAATTAAACATTTCATGGATACCATAGCGACAGATCAGCGAGACGTGGAAAGCATTCAGGAAGATCTAGCGGATTATGCTGCTGACGACGATATATCCGAGGAAGAAGCCAGGGAACTATTCGCACTCAACCGACGATCTGAACAAGCAAAGCAAGTACCTTGAAATCCACCTGAATTCGTCCACTGATTTTAAATTTTCTTGCTAGAAAACGCTTGGGGCTCCATCAATTTGAGTATGTGTCTCATTCCGAGTAGACGAAATAAGTTGCTGAGCTGACAATCCTGGCAGACTTAAAAGGTACCTTATAGATACTCGCAATGCTACCATTCGACAGACCCTGGACAGTCTCTACCGCAACAGGGTCCTTGGAAATCTCTTCCAGGTTTTCTGCGCTAGCAATACAGAGTATTGGAAGCATCGATACTCACCAAAAGACGCAGCGTTTCCTCACCTTAGTCTAAGCGGCATCCTTACTATTCGCAAGCACTGTATATCCATGGTAGCAGACCGCCAGCTTCGTGTTGCGACGAAATACATTCAGGATGATATCCCGGCGCTTCTGGAAGACGTCGAGTTGTGGGTCCAGTCCGGCGCAGGAAGTGTAGATGCAGAACAAAAGGCAGCGATCCGCGAAACACTTAATATGTTGGAGGCTCGACTGAATCGTGTAGGAAATCGCTCAGGAATGTCAAGCAAGCATATTCTGATACTTTTAGGAACTAATGGGAAATTCTTCCCATATTAGCACCATTGCTAGATCTTTCAACCAGGCTTTCAGAGCGCGGATTCTCGAAGGCACGTGTCTGAATCGTTCTAAAAATTAGATAGTATGTTGACCATAGATTTTAGCACAGAGGGTAGCGGAATGGACTCGAGCAGCAAGGGATGCAAGTGGGATATGGACAGGTGTGAGTTTAACATATTTCCATCATTGACGGATAATGCTTATATGTGTTTAGTGGCATCACGGTATATCTTTCCCAATTGGGATTTCCCATCGTTTACTGTAAGTCTAATAGTCTCGTAGCAACATACTCCGCTTTCTGTAGGGGTTATGGAGACGCTTTTACCGATAAGGTGGGTAGCCACAATTGGAACGAAGAAGCAATAGATCAGATGGCTAGGGACTTAGGTATACCTTGGGAGACCCTGAAGTCTACATTTTGTAGGGATCTCGAGGGAAGAGGAGATCAGATACAACAGCTCATGGATTGGGTCATCGAATATCTCGGTCAGTCGACCTAATACACTCGCATCCATTAACTAACCGTCCTCCTAGACACCGAGCTTCCAGAATCCTCTGAATCGGCAAGTACACTGAAACGAGCCATGGCATCTCGTCAACGTCTCCTTCTCGCAGATGTGGAACAAACTTTTGAGAAATTCAATACAGATCTCAGGTAACTGTCAATATAGCCTACCCAAAGCGGCAAACGCTAACCCAGTCTAGCATGCTAAGGACCCTCGCATTCTCCGGTCTCCGTACCTCCCTAATCGGCAAACTCATGGAGGCCAGCTACCTAGCATGCATCAATGAAGGAGGTACGCATGGCATCTATCTCTCAATCAATGAGTTAACCCAATTAACAACAACTCATAGGCCGTGGAAGCGACGCCCGACGCAAAGCCATTATAAATAGAAAACTAAACGACGAGGCGACCTTCGAATCGCTACAAACGAGGCTGAGAACTAGCTTCAAGGCTATTGTAGACAGCTTTCAAGATGATATCCAGACTACTGTTGCAGGACATCTCGCCGTCATTAAAAATACACTAGATATTGTCCGGAATGATAATATTGCTTTGGAGAGTGAGAAAGAGCCTGAGTTTAGGGCAAGGGTGGAGAGGATGGTAGGAGGTGGTTAGGGGGGAAATTAGGAGGATTCAGGAAGCGATTAGCCTCTGAGGTGTTGGGAAGGAGTGTGGAATGGGTAGGAGTTGTTGAGTGTTTGGTGAATTTGTTTTATATGGTTGAGGAAAGGAAAGTTGATATTGTTCCAGTGGTATAGCTTTGGTATCTAGAGCTATACTTCGGAGAGAATTGAATGGAGTACGATTCTTTTTCCAAGACCCTAATTTCACCATGTTCTTCTATTTCTCATCACTTTCATTTTCAATTTTGGACTTTATACTTTTCCTGAAGGAAACGAATCAAAATCAAGGAAGTTTTTAATCCAACTGACGCGGCAGCATTTTTTCGAGAAGAGCATACGAGACCAATGTAATGATCATAGTTATTTCAGTTTTTTGATAGTTTTCATACCTTTCAAATGTCGAATGGACGAATCCAAAAATAAAGCGGGGAGGGGTCACGTGTGGTTACTTCTCGCTTGCTGAAAGGGGGAATCGGGAGTCAAGAAAAACAAACGCCTTTCTTTCAAGGCAAAGAGGAGGAGGGTGATGAGAGATTGAAAGAGCGTGGATGATATCCCCTGTATAAATTCCAATAGCGCCTCTGCCTGAACTAGGCAGGTACTCGTTGGCGGTGAGTAGAGTCGGCTAAAACAAAGCCTCTGATAATAACTCGCTAAATACTTTGATGTCAAGGCGGACGAATATAGGTAGTAGCCTCTTATTTTTCGTCTACCAGACGAGCAATGGTCCACTCAGCTTTCATTCTTGATATCAAACGAAGCGTATTTCCTGACCTAATACCTTCAATCGAAATATCCCTGCCCTCAGCGCCAAAAAGTGGCAACTATGCCCACCTCACATATCACCAAAAAAGAAAGAGGGAAAAAATACATACAACAGCAGGTATTCGCTGGTGGTCACCCACCCAACTACTAATCTGCCGATCTGAGGCTTGTGTATGGCAGAGCGGACGGGATGCCCAATTCTCCTCCGTCTGTGGGCACTGCAGCATTTGATCGGGGCCCGGTGATTGGTTTTCGGGCTCGCGGAACTTGAATTTCTCGTTGCCGCTTTTCGTAAAGATCCACCAACTAGGAACGCGGACTCCAGCACGTGGGTCCAGGTTAAGCTGCTGCCTAAATCTGGGCTCTCGCACGTGAATCGCAGTCCTGAGATGTAGATCCTGGACCGAAAATGCCCCTCGCATAATACGAAGCGCCCAAAAAGAAATCGGTTTTCAGCTATCTGTAATATATCTTACGTTTGCGATTATAGACGCTGTTATAGCAAGACGACTCAGCTATGTAGTAGAGACCCACCAGCTGCTTCCACCGAAGCATATTACTGTAGAGGACGCAAGGCCAGACCAATAGAACGCGAGATCCCCCTCCTGATCGAGAGGATTTACAAGACGTGGAACAGAGCAGACGAGCAGGTCGTAAGGCTTATCCTCCTGCTACTCGACGTGTTAGGAGCGTTCGCTAACGTATCGCACGAGAGGCAACCTACGCAAGCGCAGAATCGATAAAAAGACGGTCACCGAGAATAGACGCGCACGCATCTTGATCGACGGCTATAAGTTAGGAGCGAGACAGGTACATTATAGGGGAGAGGGGTGATCCTGGCGGTATTCCAGTTGCTCTTCTAATCTGGTATTCTGGTTGATAATGCTTAGCATTCATTGTGGTGTTACAAGTGCGAGAGGTTATATCTCGAGGCAAAATGTTACGTTTCCATCGACTTAGTGAAATTTCAAGAATTTCGATCACTCTCTATTGCATTCCAAAACCCTTCAACCTAAAGGTTTTAGGTAAAGCATTAGGAGCGAGAATAAATCTTTGTGAAATAATATAAGTAGCAGGCTATTTAGCACGTGTCTGCATTGGTTTAGTCAGCACTTCTCACAACCGAATTCCAAAATTTGCCCACGAGTTACGCTCTGTGCTTCAATCAATAATCCATAATGCATTATCAAAGATCCGCTTTTACTTTCAAAGGTAACGGTTACTTACTACATATACCCCAGATTTATGATATCTCGTCCTTATTATAAGAGAATTTAGCTTACCTTCAGCTCCTAGCTTTGCTCTAACGCTTCTTCGAGTCTCACCAACACTACCTACGGCTCTTCAAAACACGAACCTTTAGTCATCTCAGTCATCTCGATCATCTCAAAGATGGCAGACCAAGTGTTCACCTTATTCCCTAAACTGCCGATCGAATTACAACTCAAAATCTGGCGTTATGCTCCACTCTTGCCGCGGGTAGTCCAAATCAAGACCTACAACAATCGCGACTATTATTCTTGCTGTCCTCCGCCTTCTGTTCTTGAAGCCTGCACACATTCACGCAAGGAAGTCTTCAAACAGTATGCAACAATTGCAAACAAAAACCAGGCCATTCTCATAAACCCGACAATTGATACTTTGTTTATTCCGTGGAATAAAGAGTCGTATGATATCAAGGACTTTGTTGGATTGAACCTTCGTTACCTAGAAATTGATAGCTATGGGCTTGAAGATGCAATGGAGGATAATGATATTGGCTTTTTACGCACTTTAGCTGAGTTGTCTACGGTTGAGACAATTACTATCATCCTTTGTACAATGGGAAACGATCAGCATACCGGAGACGAGCAACTAGCTGCACTAGAAACCAGTCTACAACGTGCAGAGAAGGAAGAAGTATGGGGAAGTTTTATGGGTTTTATCAGTCGGGGTAAGAAGAATATCCCAGGTTGGAACCCAGACATAGACTGTGCAGTTGTAAAGCGAAGTCAAGAGACTGCATGGGCTGGACAGAAGTTGAAGGTATGTTTAACAAAACTTCATAGTATACAATATAAGAAATTAACCTCAAGTATCTAGGAAGCTTTCCAATCACCACCTGGCAGGACTTTTAGGAGACGGAGTACAGCCATGATTGGTCCACCTTATATCATGACTTATAGGAGACGGAGTATGTAACGGCTATATGGGGGATTAAGGGAATTCTGATAAGTGATGCGTGAATCCGTTTAAAAGCAACAGTCGCCATTTCAGTCGTACCTCTTTCTCTGATGACACGTGATTTCATCCCGACAGCTATTTCTTCGTCGACGAAGATCGTACCTTCTTACCTCGATTTTAATATCCAGCGCACGAATCATGAATTCATTGGCGCTGTGCACCTAGCGAAAAAAGGCAGCTCGAGAGCCCTGGGCTACGTACCTACTGCTGCGCCAATGTCGAGCCCTTCGATGCTCCGCCTATAGAAGAACGCCCTGCCAATTTAGTCCGAAACACTTCCTCGAAGCCCCCGTAGCCTGATCCCGTTGATTTCCCAGACTTGAGAACTCAGTTAGCCAAGGGTGGCGGCCCCGCGTGTGACTGCTGCAAGCGTAAGCGCGCAAACAATGTAATGTGCTGTGACGGCATAGTAGCCGTGCTGTGGTGAACCTGATATAGCGACACATAATAGTACAAAGAGCAATTAGAACTAAGGGCGTAGTGCCAGTCTACAGCTACCGTGATCACTATCATGCGTCTCGGTGGCACTGTCGCCGAAAGAACATGTTCGTGACAACCCTGCTCAAAAATAACATGAACTGGTGTGAGCAAGGGGTGGGCAACATTCCGCAACACCGGGTTCTTCAAAACCGCATGGTACTAAAGTGTTGGTGGCTGTATCGCTAGACCCTGATTGACCGCTGACTAGCCGATCCGATGTTGATAAATACGAAGTAGAACTGAGTGTGTAGTGATACCCAGTCTGCCGATTAAGAGATCAGTCTTTGGTAGCAATTGCCACCCTGCCAAGGGCCAGTTATTGATCACCTTGGCCTTTCAAGGACATCACCCCCCTACTCACAGAATTGTTGGCGATAACGACCTGTTCTGAGAACGTAGATCCTAGTCTACATCTCACCTCACCCTCGACAAGATGGAAGGGCGTGACGCTTGAAACTTGGAGTGCCAATTATGATCACACAATTTCATGTTACTGTGATCGTTGATACTCACAGTTACGCTGTTCACTTTATGCCCTTACAGCTTATGATCGGAACACTAGTCTGTAGTAGAAAATAGCGGCGAGGGGTTGTGAGAAAATGGTCAGAAGTTTGCACTATTTGTTATAAGTATACTCAAAGGCTCCTATTATCTCTTTTCGAGATTTAATCATTCTAACATCTCTGAAGAGCTCTTTCCATCCCAGCAATAACTTCAATCTCTTTTGCAGGCCAACATTATAACATCTCGAGATCCCTCTTTCTACCCATCTTCAAACTAGCATCGCCGCTTCAACTCAACCACGACTCAAAATGTCCCAAACATCTATTATTAGCTGCAAGGCAATTGATCAGCAAACAAATAAACCAGTCGTGGGAATGCCAGCATATCTTCGAGCGGTGCCGCTTTCCGACGATAACTGGAATGGCGTCTTTCAAGGACAAACCGATGAAAACGGCTATATACATGATTGGGAGAGCTGTAAGGCAGCTGCCGGCTCTCTATTGCAGTATCTTTCTGCAAAAGGTGGCGAGCAGGAGACCGCATGGCAAATTTGTTTCATTACGTCGCAGTATTACAAGCATGTTAAACCAAGCTATAATATCATTGACGCAAACTTTGTCCTACATCGGGGGATGCAATCTCACGTTACTCTCATCGTTGATGCCCGCTGCTACAGCGTTCACTTTAGGCCCCAAGAGGAGCTTAGCCAGCAATATCTTTCACACCACCAGCACCAAGTACCCCAGCAAGACCCCAGATCAATTACTTCACCAACGCCAACTCCACCCCCGATTCTGTACCAAGATAATCACCAGCGACAAGCTTCGGAGTCTTCCTCCATTCATTATCCTCAGAGTCCTCAAGTTTCTCCTTATCATAGAGAGGAAGCCCCAAAGTCTGCCGAATACAAGCAAGTGATAATCTCTAAACGCCGGGACTCCATACTAGGTTCACGACAGCCGACACCACAGGTACCACGATATGACAACAAGCAACATACATGGAATGTCGAAAGGCGTA